GAGGGGAGGGAGAAGGCGCTGGGGAAAGAGCATCCCGACACGCTGACAAGCGTGAACAACCTAGCGTTGGTGCTGCAAGACCAGGGGAAGTACGAGCAGGCTGAAGACATGAACCGACGAGTGCTGGAGGGGAGGGAGAAGGTGCTGGGGAAAGAGCATCCCGACACGCTGGCGAGCGTCTATTGCCTTGCGTACTTACTACACCAGCAGCAGCAGTATGAAGATGCTTCACCTCTCTACCAGAGAGCCTGCGCTGGCTATCAAGAGAAACTTGGACTAGATCATCCAACTACTCAAGCATGTATGAAGCATTACTCTTCGCTCCAACAACTATGGACGTTACAGGGTTTAGAAAGCATGGGTAATGTACCCATAGATGTAAGAGGTGACGGCACACACTCGCTATCTACATCCCAAGATACAGCGCAATCTATTGCTCTAGAGCCCACAAAGATTTCAAAACGACATAGAATATTTCAAAAGCTGGGCTGGAGATAAAAGGTACTACGTCGAGGCGGAAGGGGGCATGGCCAATACTTAGATTACTTGCTGCGGCAGTAGGAAGAGTCCTATGCACTTAGGTAGCGGAGATACGTTTAGCGAAGGTCCGTAGTAAATTTTTTTTTTTTTAGCGCAGTTCAGATGCGCAGCTTTGCCTAATGCGTTCTGCAGTTTGCCTGCGCTGGCAGTGGGGAAGACTTTGATGAGCTCACCGCTATATAGGGCTGAAGAGGATCCGTCTATAACGCACTGGAACGGGAACTAACTAGTGCAGATACAAGGAGGTGAACGGCGCGCCCCACCTTTTAGACGACATTGCATCTTTCTTTAAAGCTCCTCTTAGCTGTTTTATTGCAAATATTTCGTAACATGAAAGTCCATTGTAAGGCTTCTTGCTTAGTGTTGACACTGTAAAGATGATTTAATTTTCGACTCTTAACTACGGATCTAAAAGACCTACCAATTCGATTCCAAGCCAATAATGAGAGACAAGACCTCCCATATGGAACGCCACGCTATGCCAGACGCCTCAAAAGCTCTCCCTCGATACAGCCCTACCACACACCCTTCACCCTCTTCCCCGCCCAATAAACGGTCCTCACAACTAACAACGCAGGCCCCGCAACGGTCTGCTTCCCAACCACTCCATCCCCAATCGCGCCCCTCTTCTGCAAAATCGCAAATCTGAGCAGCACCTCCAGACACGTGACACAAATACTCAACACGATCAGGATAATAATGATCCAGGTAATGCGAGTCATTTTCTTGTCGGATATGGAGTCCGAGAGGATTTCGCCGAGGTCGAGGAAGACGCGACAGCGCTCGTTGAGGACCTGGATGCGGGGTTTGATTTCGAGGTATTCGCGGACGGCGGTGTACAGCGGGTGGAGCGTGGGCTCGGAGTCCCAGAAGAAATTGGGGGTGTCGAGCATGTTTGATGCTGGGGGTGGTAATCAGTTGAAGCCCTTTGAAAGGTATGAGAATGACAGGGACGGGACGTACAGAGATTCACATCGACACGACTCGTGAAGAGTCGGCCGATCATCTTGACTACCTCTCGTCTTGTCATGCCCAATTTACCTGTGAGCGCCAGTCGACGCGGAATATACTGTGCCTGCAGCATCGTCTTTGCCATTCTTTCTTCGAAGAAGCTTAGCTTGGTACTTTGCGCAATAGCGTGGCTCATGGCCAGCTTGATCATATGATCACTACTCCGTAGCGTGATCATATCATTGTAAACCCTGGGCCTTGGGATATCCCCATTATACTCGAAATGGAACTCCTCGGTCTCGAAATCCGGTTCTTGCATCGGTCGCGTAACGAGCGAGATACCCGTCTCGCTGGCCGAGAAGGTGAGGTCCGCCAGTATATCCTTCTCTTGCCTCTCTGTGAAATTCCAGAAGACAGCGACCCCGTAGGAGAACACGAACATCTCCCCAAACGAGAGGGGGTCTGGCGGAATTCGAGCGTGTAGGCCAATGCCATCCCCAGTATCCGAATCGCGTCGCTCGCCGATATCTTCGGGGCTCTGCGTCGGACTGCCCTCCCCCTCGTCCCCCCCACGGTAGCTATACTGCTCAGTCTCTCCAAAATACCCCTCGTGGTACTCCCGATTCTCATTCCTCTCAATCTCCTCATCCAACACACTCTTCCCACCCGGACTCTTCAGCACCGGGCTACTCCTCACCCTATACCCATCGCTCCCCGGCAGCAACGGCAGATGAAACACCGTATACAAACAATCATCGTACAATTTCGTCCGCGCATGATGCTGCGTCTTCACAAACTCCGCCGTCGACTTCATCTTGTAGCTCTGCGCGGTGCAGTACGCCGTGACCCTCGCCAGCTTCTCCGTCCGGCGTGCTTTGGGTAGCCGTTCCGCATAGCTCTTATCCCGCAGCCCGCCCTTCGCAGTGCGCTGCTCGAGCTCCTCGTCCCGCGGCGGCCGCTCCCCGTCCGAGTCCGCGAAATCGCCTTTCTCGTCCTCCGGCTCCAAGTCTGCTTCCGGGAGGAGCACGAGCTTCTCGCTGACTTTGCTGGACCGGCTGGGGATGTGCTGGGGCAGCAGGCGGCCGGAGAGCTTGGGGTCGAGTGGGTACAGGCCACTCGGCGTGCGGGTGTGGTTTTGGGGACGCTGCAGGTGCGCCGGCGGGCCGCGGCGCTGTTGCGAGGGGATCTCGGAGGCGTATTGGAGGATGTTGTCGACCGAGATGAGCTTGGTGGTTGAGCGGCGCTGCATTGGGACGCGCGCGGGAATGCGGGGGGCATCGCGGGTGTCGGTGACCTGGGGGGATGGAATGTTAGACTTATCGAGGGTTGAAGCTTGAGCTGGGGAGCTCTGGTGGTGCGATATCGACGTACCAGGACGGTCGGGCGTTTGCTTTTGGTGGTTGTGGTGCTCATTGTGATCTATAGATATAGAGAGCAGGGGCTCTGCGGAGAGAGTGTTATTGATGAGACGGCATCGATGGATTGAGGCTGCTTTGGTGGCTCTTGAGACTGCGTTGTGAAGTCCGTTCGGAGGAGAATGACGTGCCGCCTTTAGTCATGGGCGCTTTGACCGCCTTCAACTACGATCAATAAGGTCTCATTTCAACAACAGCGAAAAGTAATATATGGGTTTGCAAGGCGGAGAATCGAGTGCGGAGGTAGGAAGGACACTCTTCAACCCTATACCATGATTTTTTATGGCTCCTGGTCATGAGTCTGTGTGATCAGTCAATTCACCAGGCCACATCATACGGCGGAGTAGACACGCAAAATGGAAGCCCAACATCGCTCTAGATTTCTCAATATAATCTGAAGAACCACACGTAGTTGCGAAAGAGTAGATATCCTAAACCCCATTGATTCACCATGTAGCGGCAGATTAGACCATATGCTCTGAAGTCACGGCATCATCAAGATCATGACGTAAAAGCCCTTCATAATTCTTACTCGCAAAATCGCAGCTATTTTACACGCCTAGCTCCACTACCCACGGTCAAATCCTCGAAAACAGGCAAATGGGTATTATGAGGTCCAACCAAAGAAAAGACAGGAGACTTCTTCAACAGTTCCAACCCATGAGCAGCACCTCGAAAGAAAGCTGCCGATTAGAACCCTAGAAGTCTATAAAACATTCCTACGCCTAGGACTTTCACGAAAGTCGAATTCAGAGTTGTATCCGGTATTGAAGCAGAGTCCAGGAGCCAGAAGCCGAGTCGAAAGCCGAGTCGAAAGCCGTTGCCGTAGCCGTTGCCATTGCCGTTGCCACGCCGGATCCAGGACAAATAACACCAGAAAATTCACGCAGTATGTGTGCAGTAGTAGGGAGGAAAGGAAAGAAAATCGTTACCTCGTAACATCTCGTCTCACAGCATCTTTCCAGGGACAAAGATGAAGAGACAACAGAACGCTGTGTCGGCTACGATCATCGCAGCTAGAAGTACGATGGCGCGTCTAGTCAAAATTGACTTGATGAATGGTTCGCGGATGCGAGAGAAGTCCATGAACGTGTACTCGCTGAAGCCGGCGAGAACGAGAACTGGGTCAAGCTGCCACTGGTGCGAGAAGAGGGCGTAGACGCAGATAGTGAAAGGGAGGATGATCTATGAGCGTTAGCTTCGTGATTGCTAAAAAGCGGTTGCTAGAGAAGTTAGCGGGTTAATGTAAATGACAACGCACCCAGCATCTAGTGCTTCTAGACGCGTCCCGGAAGATCAGGATGAAGGCAGTCCAGAAACCGCCGAACAAGGCCAGCAAACCGATGATCAAGCGCATCATCATGCTCGGTGGCACAATGTTGCCGAGACCCTTGCTCTGGAGGAAGCCTGGGAAAGCGTCACGCTCCATGGCTTGAAAGACGTAGTCCTTGGCAGCATCGAATAGCTCTGGGTCGCTACGCTGATCGGGGCCCTCGATGGCTTCCTGGATGTCGTTGAGGATACCCTGGGGAATGATGATCTCACGCTCGGAGCCGGGTAGAAGGTAGGTGTACAGAATCTTCTCAGCAGAAGCACGGAGGTCCTCGCGCTTGGGGACATTGTCCGCTCCGGACGAGATCTGGCCTGGCGAGCTCGAATTATTGCCGGGAGAGCTACCATCATTGGTCATGAAGCTAGGTCGGGGTCGCTCCATTCCCGGAGTCGAGCGGTTGCTTCCCAGACTGCCCTGGGGTGAGTGGTTGGTGCTCCCATGGTCGGAACGCAGGAACGCGGAGAGGCGCTGGTCTGAGGTGCTACCCTTCTCGTTGGAGGGGCCCTCGCCCGCGTTGTCTAGGATGTACGAGGAACGCTTGCTAGTCTCTTTCTCCAGTTCCGGGGTGTCTTCGATGACGGATCGGTGAAGGCGGCGAACATAGTGTCGGCAGAGCGAGAGATGTTGCGAGACATCAAGCCTATACCACGTATTAGCGAAGGCCCGAAAGATCTCTCCTCTCCTCCAGGAACTCACCAGAAGTCCAAGTAGTCAACCGAGCGCTGCTGGTCGCGCATGTAGATGTAGAACGAGAACAGGTCGACGGGCGGGAGGGTCTTCCGACTCAGGACCTCGAAGAGGCTGGGGAAGCCCGACCTATGGTAGGCGCGGTCCGGGAGAGGTGATGGAGTCGTCATGTCAGGCGGCGGAGGATGAGGTCGCTGTGTCGGATGAGAGAACTAATCGCCGTGGAAGATGAAGCCGGCGGGAGAGAGCGTAGGCCCTCGTTGCCGGGTCGTGAGACTGCGCTTCTAAGACGCCGCGGCGAGGGTGTAGTTGAGAACGGTGAGGTTCCTCCTGTCGGCGGCGAGGTGAGATGGACTGCGGTGAGATAGGTCGCCAATTGATGCAAGAAGGCGGTTCGTCGTCGGGAGATTGGACGTGGGCCCTGTGGTCTTGGCGCGATGGCTGGAAACGAGTGGATGAGGCGACCTCGCGATGGAATTGCGGCGACCTCACAGCGGACGAGGCCAGCTGGACGCGACGAGGGGTACGGCGGGGAGATGTTGGGTGGAAGAGAGCGGGCGATGGCGTCGCTCGGTGACGATAAGTGAGATGGTGTTGAGGCTGGCTTGGCTCGAAGAGGAACAGGCCTGCAATCCTGCGACGCCGCCCGTGTCGATCCTTTTTCCTGACGCCGCCTGACGCCGCCTGACGCCGCCTGACTCCTGGGCGCCCGGGGTGTGAGAAGCCGTCAAACGCGAAAGGTCAGGCAGTTCCAACTACGATGGCTGGGAGAAGGCTCAACTCTACAACGAACTGCCGGGGCTGTGCGCGTGTATGCCACTGCTGGGGTGCTTCAACGCCATTTCAGATATCTACACGAGACAAAAGCTCTTCACCTTGGGCTATGTAGAAACTTGTTGAAGCAACTCAAGTAGTGGCAGACAGGTGTACACGAGACAGGTGCTGAACAAGTGTGCCACTTTTTCATGCCCAGCGTGATTGCATCAAGGGGCCCCAGCAAGGTGGAGTCGTGTAGCTTCCAATAGCTAGTTACTCAGCCGCAAGGCAACAGTACTGGAGGCCTTCCACGGCGTCGCATAGCCCCAGTAAATCAAAAACAGAGTCACTCTCCGTTCGCGAATCGCACACATACATAAAGCCTGCATCTTCACGAGCCCCGGCATGCTTAAGTCCGTTGTCAAAAAAGCCGTCACTATGTCTGCTACCAAGAAACCCTTCACTTTGCCCAAGGGCTTCCTCAAGGGCCCAGCTCCCGCCATCAAGGTCTCCAAAATCGATTTTGCCAACTCGACCATTCCCGAATACAACGACCTATGGGCAGTAGTCCTGGACGATGTCATGACTCCGGAAGAATGCAAAGCGCTGGTGAACGCTGCCGAGGCGACGACTGACGGGAAGTGGGAGCGCGCCATGATCAATGTCGGCAATGGCAAACAGGCGCTGTATGAAGATACTAGGAACTGCGGGCGCATCATCTGGGACGACAAGGAGATTGTAGCAAAGCTTTGGGCTCGCGTTGAGTCTACTGTTCCAGAGCTACAGTATCTGGAGAACTGGCCCAAGGTCACTGGTATTGGCCCGACGAAGCGCAAGGAGACTTGGAGGATGACCAGGTTGAACGAGCGGATGAGGTTTCTCAAGTACTCAAGCGGTGAATACTTCCGACGTAAGTAATTCCATGCTAGTAATGATGTGAATTGGCTGCTAAGTACACACAGCGCACTGCGACGGAACATACGAAACACCAGACTTCAAAGAGAGGTCCTACTTCACACTCCACCTATATCTCAACGACGCATCATCGGACCCCAAGGGCCAGTCGCTGCAGGGCGGTTCCACTACTTTCCATGCCTACGACATGAAGAGGCGGATTGACGTGGAGCCAAAGATTGGACGAGTCCTCCTCTTCCAGCATAAATTCCTATTGCACTCTGGCGACGACGTAACACAGGGGACCAAATTAACCATGCGGACCGATGTCATGTTTGAGAAGGACCGTAGCACCTAGACTCGTTCTCTGCAGCGAGTTTGACGTTTTGATTTGTCGGGAGGAAAAAAAGGCGCATACATGTCGGCGCTTTGAACTCGATGGGAAACGAATAGCTTCAAAAATGTACCTACCATAATTTGTTTTTACTTCATTAGTAGTATCCCGAACCCAAAATTGAATAAATCAGACGTACCTGGAGAGAAAAAAGGTTGAAGCGGCCGTCCCCACCAGAGTAATCGGAATCGAATGATGCCTTCCCTCTTTCACTCGCACACCTAGTTGCCCAGATAGTGTCCGCTACTCGAAGTCCAGCACGCCGCGTATTGCACTAAAGTGTCGCACGTATGCACACAATCTTCGCACAGGCTCCCATAGGGACACCGCATCCGCAACCACGCAAGCGCAGAGGCAGAGTGGACCCTGGTTTTTCTGATGCCAAATGCAAGCGTGAGTGTCACGCCAGGCCCTCACGGGCAGCTGTGCCAGAGCTCCTCGGCAAGCCGGGAAGGTGGCAGTGGGTGGGTGAAGATTACTCCGAATTTCTCATTTGCAAAGAGGGACGGACCGAGCTGCCACGAGGGCGCAAGGTGTCTGTGTGTGAGCAAAGAAACGCAGCGTTGGTGAGGTCGACCGCTTGAGAAAAAGAGGACGTGGCGAGTCGAAGCTGGAGGTTTTTGTAGCTGTGGCTGCCGATGAGTTTTTCCGTTCCGCAAGGAATTGACCAATCACCAAGATTTCCACGTTCTCTACGAAGTACCTAGGTACTTTTGCACCACTGCATGAGGTGCCCAGCGGCTTCTGCAAAACTAGGTGAGATGTAAACTTGTAATCGTATAACCCAGATTTTCTTTCTCGATCTTGCACTCGACAACTCTCTTCTGTATAACTTCACATGATTCCTACAAGATCAACACGATAACGGTCTCCCAAGCCCGCAACTTACCTATTCTACATGACGAAGTTTCCTCCCCAGTAGTCAGCTTATTCATTGTGGAATAAAGCCTACGTACCTTCTGCCTTAGTGCTGGTGCCCAGCACGACCTTTCCGCCGCTGTCGTCGATCGTAGCAGCGCGGAAATCAGGGTCCCAACCTACCCCTCCACCCCCCTCCCCGCAGCTGGGCCCCTGGAAATAGGCGAAGATGTTCATCAGCAATCCTGGCACCATGACGCCATGACGGAGGCAGCGCCGCCAACTTTTACTGATCGAGATTCGCGGTTCTTGTCGTCTGGGGGTGAGAGGGTGGGAAACAGGTTTCTTTGGGCGGAGCGAGGGATGTATATATGAGAGCTGTTAGGTGTGCCATCTCTCCCAACTCCACGAACTAGACACCATATCGACTTTCCACTTCGCGCCTTCTCAAGCTCCAGACGCTATCTCACATCTACCTCACCTAGTCCGCACGTCCAACCACCCCAACACACTCGCAATGGCAGGTCTCCTAGGCGGCGGCGGCGGCGGCGGCGGCGGCGGCGAGAACCAGAACGGCCGTGGCGGAGGACTACTCGGCGGGTGCGTTCCCTACCATTTTTCAACCTCCCATCCCTCTTCTCGGCCACAGTCGCTAACACGATCCCCGCGGCACGCAGTGTCCTCAACACCGTCGGCGAGACAACAAAAGGCCTGCCCATCGTCGGCGAAGTGACGGATCCGCTGCTCAAAACCGTGGGTGGAATCACGGATGGACTGCCGATTGTGAGCCCACTGTCCCTCCTCCAATCCTCCCCCCCCGGTACATACGCTTCATGAGGTGATGCTAACAGGATTAGGTCGGATCCGGCGGCCAGCAACAGGCACAGCCGCAGGCGAAGCAGAAGGTGGCACGGACTCCAGAGGAGCAGAAGGCGCTGGAGAAGAAGAAGAGGGCGCTGGCGCTGCGGAAGCGGCAGTTGGCGCTGGAGGCCGAGGAGGCGGCGTTGGAGGATGAGTAGATTTGGATAGTTGGGTTGTAGAAAAAATGCAATTATGAGCTTTAACATTGGTGTGCTGTGAAGAAGGTTTTTCACAGGGTTTGCACGTGTGTAGGGACGGTGGTGAGACTAGAGGAATGGGAGTTTGAAGATGAGTTTAGTTCGAACGGTGAGGAATGTTACATATGGTGCATTGTTCTAGATTAGCGTTGATATTGAAGCATCTTAAGCAGAGCCAGATGTGTGGGCTGAGACGTTTCCTTTAATGAGGGGTGAAAATGGGTGTTGGGAATATTACAGCTGGATCTCAGTTTTCAAGATGGGCTATCTAAAGATGGTTATGACGAGGCATCGTAGAGTATAAAGTACGAGATCTGGAGAGGTGTGGATTGTACGATGACAAGTTCACATCTCACCTAGATTTCACGAAAGCCGCTGGAACATCTCAGGCACCCCATCACGCTCATATTTGCACAGAAGCACGACTTTCGGATCCAGTTTCGATTACAATAGGAACAGCAAGCTAGGCGTAACATACCCAGCTCCTATCCCCCTAGCAACAGCTCCCCGCCCCCGTCTAGCCGCATCCCTCCCCCTCTTCATTCACGGCGCAGGATAAAGGGGCAATTAAACGCGCCCTTCGAGACAAAGGCTGGAAAAGCTGAAAATTCCAACGTAGAGACTTGCCCCCCCTGATTCGAGGAATGAAAAGGACACCCAAAAAAGGAAGAAGCTTTAAGATATATCTGGAAAACCCCTCCATTCAAGCTGAAACCCAAACCAACCCCCTCCATCTCAAAACCGCTTTCGCCAGACTTTTCGCTCATTCCGTCTGGTAGCCACGCTCACGCTCACGCTACAGAAAAAACCACAGGAAAAGAAAAAGAAAAATAGAGAAGATTAATTGATTCCCAGTCCCGCAAAAATCTCAATATTCGCCTCTCTGCTCCGCGAACACCATGGGGAGAAAAGGGAAAAAAGAGGAGGCTCAAGCCCGTTACGAATTCGAGAGGGAGAGAGAGAGAGCCGATGATTACAATTGGCCCGCAGGACCGAGCGGAGGAAAAGTAAGTAAGTGGAGAAAAGCACACAGGCCGAGAAAACAACTCCTTGGCGCCGCCTAATGCATGCCCAAGCCCACGCCCCACGCCACACTCAATTTCACACACTTTGTCCCACCACCACCGCTGTGTGGAAAGGGCTCGATCGCACGCGTGCTGGAAGTGGCGTCGTCCCGGCGTGATATGTAAATCGGACTGGTATCGATGCCGCGCTGGAAATACCTCATATGCAAAAGGGGCTTCAACTGCACACCGCTAAGGTCACGTTCCCATTTATCTCGTTATCGGTCTGTCTTGCTACCGCGCTGCTTGCCCGTCCTCCGGAAGAAATCCATGACGCGCTTCGCAGGCGCCGAGCTGCCGGAGTGGTTGTTGTTTCCTTGCTTGCCCTCGTCGTAGGCCTCGCCGAACTTACGGCTCTTCTGCAGCACGGCTGGGTTCTTATTCCGGCCGTGCTGCTGCTGTGGTGGGGAGTCGTAGCTGTTGAAACCGGCAGGGTATTGAGGGCGGTAGCTGGACGACTGTGCGGGCGGCTCGGAGGCTTCAGAGTCGTTGGTGTGGCGGTAGGGTTGGTTGCGGTAGGATTGGGTGGGGTGAGGGACGTTGGGACCTGGGAATTTGTCGTCACCGATAAGTTGGGGATAGCTCTGCTGGTCGTTGTTGAACTGAGTCTGCTGGGCGGGCGCAGACGTTGGGGCGCCGCCTCTCATTTCCATACGCTGCGAGGGGCTATCGCGAGGACGATCCTGCTGCCCGTCGTACGCATGAGGGGGTACGGTGCTTCCAGTCGTGCTCTGGCTCGGGGATCGACTTTCGCCTCGTCCAAATGCCATCTGGGGCCGGGTTTGGGGTCTGCTGCGGGATGCGGGTGCTGCTGCTGATCGTCGAGGATCCACGGTTGAGTACGAGCTTCCAGGTGGGCCTACTTCCTGTGTCTTGTGCCTTGAGAGAGCTGCTGGGATCAGAGAGAATCTCCTTCCCGACTTGGCTCCGCCAGATTGATCAGAAGCTTTCCTGTTGAAACCAAACGAGGTACGACGGTTGGACTCTGTCGACTGCCGAGGAACGTCATCATTGGGCATTGGACCTGCCATACTCGTAGGAGGATATGACCTCTGTAGCTTTTCTCGAGCTTGATCATTATTGGCCGGCCGGCTGCTAAAGATGGATGCAACCCTTCCAAGCGTCTCACTGACAGTGCTTGACCGTTTGTGTCCCTTTTGATGGGGGTTAGATGTTGGGCCTTGCGGGTAATTCGAAGGCACCCGCTGCGTGCTCGGTCGACCAATTGATGGATCACCAATCATCGGCTCTTGCTGCGGGATTGGTGCAGAAATAGAATACTGCTTTCCTCGTGGCTGTGAGAAGTGGCCTTCGGCATGTGTCTGAGCGACCGAAGCGGCGGCAGGCTGTCCGTACGAGTTCCCACGAGACGGTAGTCGCGATCCACCTCCGAGAGTTCCACCGGTCGATGGTCGTGTCGCAGATGTAGTAGGAACATTTCCAAAAGCCGTCGAATCTGAGACTGAACGTTGGGCCCGTGAAGTAGGCGGTTGCACCGAGGATGTCGCGGCTGAAGCTTGACCTCGAGTTCGGGGGTTAGTGCTAGATGACTGATATCCATCTGTTGGGGGTACCTCCACGGGGCCTGGCTCCTTGACCCGAGTTCTCGAGCTACCCGACGCGGTAGCAGTCGAGCTATGGACGGGAGGAGATGCCTCTCCGCGTTGAGTCTGTGACTGAGGAGCCACATATTCGACCTGGACGGTGCGGCGTTTGTTGTCCCGTTGAGACTTGGAGCTCTCTGGCTGCTCTGTTCGGTTGACGTGGCCGTGTTTCTGCGCAAGGCCTCCGACGGGGGAGACTGTGGTGTTCGGTTTCCCGGGTTCTCTCACCGATGCACTGCGGGCAAGCATTGGTGTTTCGAATGCATCTTCTTCGAACATATCAGCGACCTGGACAGGAGGGGATATTAGAGAGTCAGGCTCACGGGATGGGACAGTTGTGTTTGCAATGTCCTTTGACGTCGTAGTGGTGGAAGTGATCAATGCAACCACATGTGCATAGTCGCTTAACCAGCTGTGCCGGGCTACTTCAAACAGATCAGCCCGCTTTCGCGGGTCAGGTACTAATATCCGTTTTAACAGGTCCCTAGCGTGGGGTGTGACGTATTCAGGGAAGGTGAGTGGGGTGGATACGATGTACTTGTATAGGAGGTTGATATTGTCGCCTTCGGGGTTGGCTGGGTCGTCGTCGAAGGGGAGATAACCGGCAAGCATTGCATACTACCGAGATCAGCATTAATCAAAAAGCGACTGGGGAATGACAGGGTCCACGACTTACCAAGATTACACCACAACTCCAGACGTCTACTTTACGACCAGTGTACAACGAGTCGCTGACCACTAGTTCTGGCGCAGCATAGCAAGGGCTGCCACAGCTCGTCTGCATGAGATCTCCTCTTCGGTTGCCGTCAGTACCCTCCAGTCCCATTTTCTTGACGAAGTCTCGGTTGCCAAGATTGTACTCGATCTCCTCACCCAGTTCGTCGTCTGGCCTGAAAGTGTTGGCGAACCCAAAATCAGTGATGATGATGTTCCGATTCCGGTCCAATAGAAGATTCTCCAGCTTCAAATCTCGGTGAACAATTCCCTTCTTATGTAGATATCCCACTCCAGATATCAGCTGGGCGAATAGTCGTCGGGCTGCGTTGTCCTTGAGATATCGGTGGTTCAGGATGTAGTCAAACAGCTCTCCTCCAGAGGCATACTCGAGGATGATTCCGATATGTCGTTCTGTTTCCACCATCTCGTGCAATCGCACAATGTTCGGGTGTTCCAGGCCTCGGAGGATGGAGATTTCGCGGTGGATCTTCGCTATGCGTCCTGTGTTTGAGCCAAGATTCTCCCGCCTGATTAACTTGATAGCAACCTCGACGCCACCATCCTTCTTCCAGCCCATCTTGACTTTGCCAAACTCGCCCTCTCCGAGTGTTTGGCCGAGAATGTAATCGCCAAACTTGGTGTGTTTCCTCGAGTTTTCTGACCTGGAGTGGTCCTGCCGGCTTTTGCCAGCACCCCGACCTCCATCATCTACGCCTTCGCTGCCAACGAGGCCGAGGCCTGTTCTGGGTGTAAGATCGATTCCAGCCGGAGCGGGTCGCGATTCAGCTATACGAGCTTCCTCCCGTGCGATGTCTTCTTGAGGATCCGTGATGACTAGTCTGCTGATGACATTGCTCGCTTCTCGTGACAGCTCTGTTCCGACAGGAGTTTGGCCGACAGCAGTCGCTGACCGACTGTGCACTGGCTGCGCGGGGGAGTGCTTCGACCTGCTAGAAGAGCTCGTCTGCTGTCGAGGGCTGTCTTTGGGCGAAGGGTGTGCTCTCCGCCGTGATTGGGCGGCGTTTGCAGCAGCCGAGGCGGGATCGTCTCGAAGCTTTTCTCTGTCGCTCCCACTGCTGTATCCGGCTGCATACTGCTGGGCAGCTCTCGAGGATGACGGGCGATCATCTGCAGGCATCGCGGTTAACTGGGGGTTCGAAGAGCTCGCAGACGATTTGTTGTTGCGGTGTGAAGACGTACGTGGGGGAACGGACGGGCCGCCAACGGAGTTGTAGGCGGAGGTGACCGGGGGAGTCATTACGGGAGACACGTTGGTGGTGGGCGGGAGCTGCTGTCGGGGGGTGGTCAGGTTGGACGAGGTCGAGGCAGTGGGCGAGTAGTGGTTCTGCGGCGTCGTAGGAGTGTTGGGAGACGCGCCATTGCCACCGGGACGCCTCGAGGACTTCCGCGACGCGGACGGAGAGGAGGCCACGGTTGGGGACTGCTGCGAGTAGTACTGGTCTCGCCCATGCGGCGATGGCTGCTGATAGGAGCGGTTTGATATTGGGGGTCCAGTGGCCTGCACTGCTGCCGAAGACATCCTCCTCTGTCACGGACAGCGGGAGCGAGCGTCTGCCGACACAGGCTGCGAGTAGCGGCGTGCGAAGGGCGCGCAGGCTCTCAGGGCGTGGAATTGGGTCCGGTGGTGGTGAGGGTGAGAGTTGCGCGGGCCTCGTGGTGCATGAAGGCGTCAGGCGGTCGCGACAGCGGGCGGCTGGACGGGGGCGGCAGACACGGCGACTGCGGGCGGGAGGATGGGCAGGCTGCTCGATCAGCCGTGGCGATTCTCACGATGGGCGAGCTGGCGGAGGAGAGGTGGTTGTCGTCGCCGGGCAGCTTTCACATGCAGCGCGGCTGATAGCGCTGAAGCGAGCGTGTTGTGGTGGACGGCCTGAGGCGCCGGGTCACGGGCGGGCTCTGTCGTTCGCGCACAGCGTCGCCGTTTGGCTAACGATTGGCCCTGGGCGAGGATGTCTGAGGCTGTGAGGTCTGCGAGTGTTCCAGCGGGAGGTCGGTCGCGGCTGGCGTCGTCGCTGGTGGGCGGAAAGCGAGATTAAGCCATCCACCGCAGGCAGGGACAGCTCGACTCTGCGATATAGGGGCGGTGGCCCTAACCACCACAACACCGCCTCGAAAACGCTCCGTCCCGGCGCCTGTGCCTGGCTGCCGATCCATCTAGCCATCTGCTGCTGCCCGCCAGACGATGCCAGCGCCATTCACCGACCAGCAGTCCTGCAATCCCGTCCTCGTCGGGGCTCTCCTCGACAGGCGGCCGGAGCTGTTTCAACCCTCGGCGGGCCTGGACGATGCTGCGACCTGGTACGTGTGCTCCGAGTAGGGATGGCTGAAATGACACTTCAGGCCGAACTGCCTCACGCCGCCGGACCTCGTCCGCCTCTGCTGTCGCCAACGCTCGAGCATAACCTGCCTGCGTCCCGCTGGCTGTGGCACCTCGCGCCCCTGATCTCGCAGCAGCATCGACGCCCCCAGCCATGCCCGCCGAAGGCATTGAGCAGCGTGGGTTGGCTCTGCACGAGGCCCGCTTCCCCAGACGGACCTATCCATTTCTCTGCAGCCCGCGTTTGTCGCTGCAGGCGTGCGCAGCCGGCCGCGATTCACGATGCACGCTATAACGATGCAGACTGGATGCAGGGCCCGCATGGCATCCGGTCCTGCTCGGTCTGCTCGTCATGTGTGCACGCGCAGCGCAACACACACCGCGCCTCCTTTCTTCTCTCGAGCACAGCATCAACAACCATAGCAACCGTGCAAATAGTACGCCCGCCCGGCCGTGGCATGGCAACAAAGTGTGCAGGTACACAGAAAACGGCCAGGTCAAACCGCGGCCAACCCTGCGCGTCGGCCTCCTGCCGGCCATCAGTTGCTTCTTCCAGGATGACTCGCATGCGTCGCTTGCACCCTGCCACCTGACAGTCCTGGGCCAAGCATCCCTGCATGTCAACATCAACACGTTGCGGCTTATTTCCGGCCCTTTTGCGCTTGTGCCGATCGGCTGCCACGTTGCTACATAGGGCTTGGCGGAGGTTCTCACGTGCTGCTGAGGTGAGTCAGCAACTTCTGCCTCTTAACTTAACCACGCATACTATTATTCTAAGTTGCAGCCTAGAATATCTTGTGGTTGTTGAGATTGCTGGGGTGCTAAAACACCAAATTGCACCAACGATTGGGGTGGCCACTTGCTTGTAATGGCCACTCGCTTTGTTGACTACGTTAGTTAACTAACTATAGTTATCGTCACGTGGAAGTTAGGATTGGACTATGGGAGAAGAGAGTGGAGGAGGGGTGCTAGAGTTCAAAAGTCGTCTCCTGTTTATGCTTCCTACAACGTCAAAATCAACCCAACTCTCATTCTCCGGTTTACAGTGCCCAGCATTGAACTTCTGCAAACGGTCTAGTATCAGGTGCCATGACGCCAGGTAATACAGAGCCAAACCGGGCCATGGATGGACACAAAAGTTGGGATTCTAGATGCTCACTCTACTCTAACGCCCGCTGCAAAAGACATCATCACAGAACCATCTATGGTGCACCTACAGCGGCACCCCCTCCATCATCTCCACGGCACCCTCTCTCCCCACCGTCACGATCACATCCCCCAGCGTCTTACTCCGAAACCCGGCCTCACTATAGCAGAAATAGTATTCCCACTTCCGCCGAAACACCTCCGCAGCCTCCTCATCCCTCCCCGCCTTGGTATGATCCCGCCACAGCGCCTCCTTGATCTCGCTGTCAAACCTGGCGTCAAACTCCTCCCGCCACAGCCTCAGCGCTTTCGCGTAGTGCGGGCCGATGTTCTCGACGCTCTCCACGATGAGGGAGTTGTTCGAGCCGGCAGCTATCGAGGAGACGAGCTGGGTGATGCTGGGTAAGTGCCCGCCGGGGAAGATGTATTTCCGGATGAAGTCGTCGCTGCGCGCGTAGGCTTCATACCGCGCTTCGGGAATCGTGATGCACTGGAAAACCGCCACACCGCCTTCTTTCTTAAGCAGCTTATCTATGACGTTGAAATAGACGCTCAGGAACTCCCGCCCCACTGCTTCAAGCATCTCGATCGACACGATTTTGTCGTAGGGTCCTTCAGCGGGGATGGGCAGGTCACGGTAGTCGACTATTAAGACCGTAATCTTGTGGGACAGGTTCAGCGCGGCGATACGTCGCTCTGCGAGTTCTTTTTGCTCTGCGGAGAGCGTGATGGTCGTTACGGAGCAGCCGGTGCGCTGGACGGCTTGGATGGCGAAGGAGCCCCAACCCGTCCCAATCTCGAGTACCCGGTCCGTGGACTTGATGTGCGCGTTATTGATGAACCGCTGTAGTTTCCGGTGCTGCGCGTCCTCTAGCGATTCGCTGCCGGAGCGGGAGTCTGTTTTCGGCAACCAGATTGGGCACGAGTATGTCATGTCTGGGGAAAGAAAAGCGGCGAACATGTCGTTGCTGATGTCGTAGTGGGCGGATATGTTGAGGCGGGCGTTTTTGAGGCTGTTCGAGCGGCGGGCGAGGGCGGTTAGGGTGGTGCTGAGGGAAGAGGTGAGGGTGGAGCCGTTGGCGAGGGCGGCTTTGTTGGCGATGAAGAGGGTGAAGAATGCGGTTAGGGAGGGGCAGTAGACTTCGCCGAGCATGTAGCTTTCTGCGAATCCCTAGGGGTGGTGGTTAGAGCTGTCTCTGGAGGGAGCCGAAGGGTTTATGGGGAGGCAGTGTTCATTGGGCTTGAACGGTGGGTATCGCGTCTTCTTCTCTCTAGGGCAATAGTATTGCTATTATCATGCTTTAAGAACTAGAAAGAACTCACCATATCTGCTAGAAGGGCTAACCGCACCCAGAACTTGTCGTCCTTTACGCGCAGTATGACTGTAGGGTATCCATCCTTCTCATTTCCGCACATCGTACACGACTTGGCGCCGCCTTCGTAAATAGCTAGACGCCCATGCTCAATCTTCTTGAAGACAGACGTGCAGGCTGTTCTGGATAGCCCTACTAGTGGGCCCCAGGCTTGTGATTGAGCTGAGGTCCATAGTGATTGCGCGCTCTCGAATGGCGCATATAGAAAGTTCATCTTGCGGGAAGCACGATCGCAAGGTGGGTCGAATGGAGTAGTTCGGGTGCTGTTTAGGGACGTAGCGTCTGGTGATGCGGTTGAGGGACAATGACAATTGACTTTAGAAAAGCAGGCGAAGGTCTTTCGGACGAGTAGGTGGGTATCAGCGCTTGAATGGGATAATAGAAATTAACGGCAGAAGATACTAGCGGCAGTGACGCACTCGATCCAAAGGGTCCAAAGCTCTTAGGGTCTAAAGACGACGTGTACGGAAAGAGAAGCGCAAAGCAAAGCACATCTAGCTAAACAATGAGATCCAAGCTGTTCTAGCGAAATGAAAAGATAGAAAGCAGTCACTGGGGCCCTCTCAAACTATAAAAGCTTGACATTCTGGCAGGCGGACGATTGCGACGCCGACGGTGGGCTCTTGCGGGCCGGCATTCCTCTGTTTGTTCTGGCATGGAAGCCACCCGGGCGCGCCAGAACGAAAAGTGTGTGGAGTCTGTTTGAGGTGCAGAATCGACGAGGTGCACCTTGCCCTAAGCGGCGTGTCAATGACGTTAGCAGTCGAGGCGCCCATCACAGAGGCGCTCAGCAGCGAGCATCATCTACCTTGAGCTTGACGTGAAGTAAGATGGTGGAGATCAGGAGTGATTAGTATGTGGGAGCAGATGTTGTCGGGATGATATACACATCGTGAGTGTCGCCGTGCTGCGATATGGTGTTGAGCTGCGCAGCGTGACGGCATGTGTACGATCGGTGAATTAAATCATGCAGGGATTCGCTCCCTAGCGCGGGGTCGTTCCTGCATTCACTCGGAAGCCGGTACGCCGTTGAGATTTGACATATGTCCGTAGTCTTTAGCTGCATTTGGATCAAGATATGCATTACGAATGACTGCCCATTTCCGGAGAGATGAAGCGTGAGAGATTAGTGTTTACCTGAGGTTCCCGCCAAGCTTACCAAGCTAGCGGAAATCTAATCAGATCTCAATCTAAATCCCAACGCGTGTTCATCGATCTCGCGACTTCACGCGTCTACAACCTTAATCCAACCTCTCCACCATGCTGGCCATTCAGAAACCCTCTGTCAAGTCGCCAGAGTGCACGCCGAATCTCCTCCCCGCCCGCCTCAACCACAATGGCCCCGTAAACGCCACTGAGCGGTACTGGAGTCCAGAAACAACAGAAAGTATACAATCTCCAACCCTGCCCCTCGTGGCCAAGCTAACGTATCCAGGCGGCGAGACTACAGCCTTCTTCCGAGGTCGGAAACTCAAAGGGCGGAGTGTCAAAATTCCGGAGGGATACAAAGGCGTCGTGCTAGACATCACGGATAAAGCTGCGCCACAACCCAAGAAAGAGCAGGTCAAAGAGAACGCGGATGACGAGGGAGACAATGACGATGATGACGAACCGGCAGAGGTCAACGCAGTAGAAGAGCTGGCGTCATTTGAAGAAATCGTGGTTTGGGGACATGAGGCTATACCAGCGGATACGGAAGATCCCTACGCAAAGGGCGTGCAGGAGTGGATAGGTTTTGCAGAGGCGGTGAGTCGCGGCTTTGAATGGGAGCTGATCTATGATAGCTGATTAAGGGCAGATGCATTGTGAGGATGACACGACCGCAAAACTACAGACATCATGATAATAGGCTCACGGAGTTTGTGATTCATGGAGTCATTACATGACACCAAAGCAATGCTCAACACGAATTCTATCGATCACTACAAGAAACAGCAATCTATCGCTATATTTTGGACTTGAAATAGCACCCACTGAATTTTCAAAAGGCTAGAACCTGAACTAGGAGATAAAGAGAAAAAAAGATAGACGAATCCACAAAGCATCACTCTATATGCAGCCTATTCGGTCGAATGGTCGAACCGCAGACACCAAAGATGGTTTTGAAAGGCCTGCCCTCGTCCGACACGTAAGTGAAATGCCTCTTGTCCAGTGCCTGTTCGAGAGATATGGTGATACCGTCGTCATAGCCATTCGCCGTAGACGAGGCTACGTAAGCATGCTCGAACCACGGCTTTGCTAAATGCCAAGTCTTGTGCGTCTGATAGATTATCCCGATGTTGATCTTAACCCAGATAGTACGTTCCTCATCCCACCCAAACGCATCGTCTGCTTTGTTTTCAATGATCACGAAACTTTCATGAGCTTCGCGCTCAAACCCTCCCTTCAGGATGCTCGCGGCGAGTTCCAGTGACGCCTCCATGACCTCGAAGCTCTCAAACCGTTGCTTCTTCCACACGGTGTTGGCAATGATATGCTTGAGTGCGGCCATGCCGCGCAAGAACTCAGCCCGCTCTTGACGACTTACGCCCAAGTTGTTGTACAACTTCAGCAATTCGGTTCTGGCTTGCAGATTTCGCCTCGCAAGAATAACTGGATTACCCTCGCACTGATCAACGATGGTCTTGAGCAAACTTTCGACGGCCTGGTCCTTTTCTGTGACGTGGTCACGGGCTACCACAAGAGCGTGGTCTATTTGTGCTGGATCGTTGTCGGATTGTATTTGGCGGGTGACGCTCATGAGATCTGATTCTTGCGCAGGTGATTTGCGTCGAGAGTTGTCTCTTCGTGGATGATCTCTTGGATCTTTTCTTCTCAAAGCCGACCCCCTGTCAAGATTACCCTTCGCTGACTCTTTGGCACGAGCAAGGAAAGCGAGAGCATCCTCTTCGCGGTTGCAACCATTCAAGAGCTCGGCAAACTGCATGATAAGCTGTTGAGTGCGTTTATGCTCTATACCGAGTTTCGCGATATGCTTTCGGCAGGCTTTCTCCATGACCTCGTCGGCATCAGCCATTCGATTTTGTCGAGTAAAGAATGAGGCGAGGGCCACTACAACTTTCGTGGTGTCTTCATGCGTCGCGCCGAGAATGTGTTCGTATCCGTCAAGCGCTTCCAGAAACTTGGCCTTAGCTGTCTCTGGTTCTGCATGGATGTCATCCCTCTTTGCTGAGTTGAAAACTGCAATCAGGTCCGACCTGGAACGCCCATTCCAACGAAGTCGCAAGTCTGGTGCTTCTTCAGTCTCTGTGTCAGAATATATCCCCTCGGTAACATCTGGTAGACCTGAGGTCTGGTAGGGGGAGTCGACGCTGTCTTTCGAAGTTTTGTAAGAGATCTCTCTAGGCGTATCGACCACTTTAAAGGTTAATGAATATCTAGTGAAGTTAAGGGCCAAGGCTTGCTCACCAACAACTTCAGATCCAAATCTAGCCTTTTTTGCTCTGGCTGCGCTTTTTTGCGCCCTTGGACATCCCATTGTGACTCGCCATAGAAGAAGACAGTATCTTTTCCGTCATCTCTCTTTCTCTTGCCTGCCTTGTCTGTCATCCATAGCGCATACTGGCCTGGGAGATTCTTCTGCCATTGCCACTCTTTGAACTTTTCTTTGAATAACTTCTTCCTACATATATTAGCATACCCGTCTGCTACTCTGAATGCTAGATTGGCTTACGATGCGACAAAGGAATAGTTCTCTTTCATGACACGCATAGTCTCTTCGAGGCTATTTTCATTCTCCATGTACAGCTCTCTCATCGTTCCTTTGTGGCGATCCCAATCTAAGCGACCATATCTCTGCCGACGCGACGACGTAACCGGGGGCCGTTCGGAGGTCGCGAGAACGTGAAGTTGGCCATGGGTATCCGAATCTACTACCATTGGATCACCGTTCCCGGACGAAGGATTACGAATATAGCCATTGTCGGGCAGAACTTGCATCCGCGGTACGTGAGTACCAAGCTCGTTCAAAGAATCATTAGTCTGAAATGCGGATGGGCCTCCCACATCAGACCTAATGGCTGGACCTGTGTTCTCGTGGAATTCTCCTGCCAGAGACTGTACACCCCAAACATCAAACCCATTTGGGAAATTCATCGTCCGTGAGAATTGGGTCGACGAGCTGATCCGGAGAATGCAGAACGAAAAAGTGAGAAGGTGATCCTTTTATGTGAAACGAATTTGAAGAACAGAAAACATATCGTAGGCCAGGGATCGCGCGATTATTTGTACTGACAAGGAGCGTGGCGGGATCGCTGCAGTCGCGATGAGATGGCGAACCGAAGCGCGAAACAGACTGCGAAAGCCCGCAAAGGGCCACAAAAGGCCCCTTGAGCCGTCTGTCATAAGCCGATGCCCCCTTGGATTACGCCCTGTCGGGCCTGCCTTGCAAGGTCATCCGTCGAGCCGCCAACTTGCCAGGCAACAAATGCGGCACTGCAGCCGCCGTGAGACATGCATCCCGCGCCTGCAGGATACAGCTACCTTATTGGCTATGCTTGAGGTGAAAACAACGAGGAGCACGATCTGTATGGGAGAGCATGGGATAGGACCTGCAATGACAACAGTTTGCAGCTCCAGCTCCACGACGCCCGTTTGAAGCGGGGTTCTTCTTGGAATGATCTCTGACTAAGATGGCGATGTTTGACCCAGGAATTCAGAGGGGGTTATTCGAACGACACACCCCGTTCTGTCGCGACAGCCCTCAAACTGGTCGAAGAGTTTTCGAGGGACCGAGGCCGCTGCAAGTGGAGTGTCAGCTCCGTGTATGCGTTGTCCCACTCAACCGCCGTGGAATGTCCGACCACCTCGAAGCAAAGGGTCCCAAAAGACTTCGGGGCTGTTGCTGTGCCCGCCTGCAACGCCACGTGGGTCGTAAGCTCAACCGAGACCTGCCTCCGGGCCCTTCAACAACCAATAATATAAAAGTCCCCAAAGGTTCGCGGGCGCTTGAGCCGCCAGTCGACCCTGACCTGACGTCTCCTCTCGATTGCCACCAATGGTCTAGGTTTCGGTCTCAAAATTCTCAAGAGTCCCAAAAGTACGCGAGCATTTAGCCAGTTGGCATTGGGCCGAGCTGGGCAGAGCAGCCTCACTTTAGCACCAAAAGTACCCCGGATATCTATACCATGGAATCATTTACTTGATACGAGTCTGTATGCTTTCAAAAGTCCTCAAACGGCCCTTTATGTCTTCAATCCACGCGACAGGCAACAAGGTCTCCTTGGTAACTTTTGTGGTATTGCAGCTTCTTGCGATGGTACGAGTGTCGATATGTGTGCGCATTCGGGGCAACCTTCGACAAAAGTTCCCGAAAAGCTACTGCAATAAAGCAGGCTTTCAAGCTATAAGTATGAGGAAGAACGCGAGAAACAGCTTTACAGAAAGCTTTGAGACTTCTACAACGCACACGGAAGTGGAATTTGTTAGTCCACTATTTGATCAACGATGAATCCATCGAACTATCACGAAACAGTCGGCAAGCGCAAAACTGGCAATGAGCATATTGAAGAGCTCGCATCACAAGAGAAGACTGAGAGCATGATTCAGTTTGAACGCAAGGTTCGTCGACTCCTCAATGGAGACTTCAAAGTATCCAACAATGATGGAACCGCTCAGCATTCGCCCCAGGAATTGACATCCAACACGGACAACAAGGGTGCAAAGGTTCCAGGCTATTACCAGGTCCGAAGGGAATGGCTCAGTGACCGGACCACCCCTGGCGCAGTGATGGCGGTGAACGGCGGCAAGGCTCCAGATGTGACAGACGGCAAGGCTCCGTCTTCTGCTCAATCAGCTATGCTGCAACGATGGATTCAGGAGCCCCAACGAAAAGAGCCCTACAACAATGTTGCTGCTGTGGCGTTGGGCATGCGTGCAGATTGTCCTAAAGTTGGGGTGCATGGAGGCTGTACTGATCCCGCGACGTTTGGGAGCTCAGCTGCGACGGTAAACGGTGTGGAGTCGGAGTCTGTTGGCGTCAGGCAGCCACTCGGCCCATGAAGGCTCAAAAGGCAACTGGGACGGCTCACGAAGAGCACTGGCGTAGCGAATCAATGGAATGACAGAACAAAGCTGACGGTTCGACTATCCTCGCCCTGCACTGCTTGTGCTCATGCTTGTCTCCGTGCATATCTACGTGGCTCGGTCCGCTCCATAGATTACCTGCTCTCTTCGTTCCTGTTGCTTGCACATTATTCCCGCCCTTTTGATGCGTCTTGCCTTCCCTTCACTTCTTATCTAAATTACTGCGGGGAAGACCACATGATCATCGATCATGAAATCCTTTCATCCCAGCAATCGGAAATCGACACAGACGCAGACACAGGACTCGGAAGCTAGGGTCGACTCAGAAGCATTTGCTGGAGTCGACGCGACAGACCCTTACGTAGGCGAGGGCCAGAAGCGTGAGATTCTCACCTACGAGCAACGTTACAACTCCCGCGGAGAACTGCAACAGGTCATACCTAGGATTGGACGAAGATACTAGCATTGAAGCTGCACTCGTTCTCACAAGGTCCTATTCGCAAGAACGAACTCTAGAATCGACACAGCTGGAAATTCAATCGCCTTACATCAAAGCGGCATTGAGAGAAGTCGTGAAATCTTACCCTGGAGTCAACATCAATTCAAACGGACCAATATCAATCTGGAAGGAGCCTTGGTACTTATTTCACTACCGCCATGAGCTCTCTACATATGCGTCGAAGCTCCGGGACAAGAAGGCAAGGGGACATGTCGTGTTTCTGCTGGAGTATGCTGCAAAAGTTCTGCACAGGGACATAGCCAACTACGAGGCAATGATGCATGGGGAAGCTGCGCCAGGCCTCGAATTTCCAGCCCTCTGGATGGCTTTCAAACCCGGCACGCTGATCTTTACAATCATCGAAGGCCACGACTCCATTTTCCGGCTCAACAGTATTTCCCGTGAGCACGAAACGATTGGAGGTGGCGAACTCCTCAAGGAATGGAACGTGTCTGCGGAACATCTGATCAGTAATGGAGCTGAGTTGGGATATGTTCGCAAAGATTTCAGAATTCCACGCTACGAGGGATACAAGGCGCTGACTGAATTGAAAACCTTCCCGTTGCAATACCACCCTGATTGTGAAAGGGTCAAAAGGGATTTACTAGCAAGAGGGAAAAAGTATGTCTCCTTGCAGGGAATCCATCACAGCATGTATGAGGGTCCTACGCATACATCAGGCTTTCCTTCTCTTACTAGCAGAAGCAAGGAGTATTCCACAGTAAGTTCAGCCGATGACTTGGCGAGTGAGATCGCGTTTAATAACTTCATTCAAAAGACCGAACAGAGAGTCATGCTGGATATTAAAACGTATAATGACCGGATCCGAACCAAAAAACTGACCTTCATTTCGGGCGCAAAGACACATTATCTAGATCCCGAACAGGCTTTGGAACTTTCCGATGAGGAGTTGCTCATATGCGAGCACTTTGTTCATGGATTCTCATTTGCACATAAAGATTGGCGGCATTTCGAAGTATCGAAATTAAAGCCAGTAGAGTACAACCAGAGCGCGTTCGACACCCTCGGACACGAAGAATACGCTATCTTCACTTTTGCGAGTTCAGACACAGGAATCCTCCCAATTTGATGATCTAATTGAAGGGAAGGGTAAAGGATTGATCATTCTCTTACACGGACCTCCTGGTGTCGGGAAAACCTTCACAGCAGGTCAGTTCAAGCAAATGTAGATGGAGATGGATGTACTAGCTCACACGTAAACTAGAAAGCATCGCAGACTTCTCCGAACGACCGCTCTATAAACTTGGAGGATCCGACTTTGGCGATAGTCCTTTCCTTGTAAGTGACCAGGCGCTGCGTACAGCATTGAATCTCGCCTTGCGATGGAAAGCCGTCGTCTTGATGGACGAGGCGGACGTGTTCTTACAGCAAAGAGATATCCACAGTAGTCTCGGGAACAAATCAGCCTCAGGTCAGAATTATGCTTCCCATCAGCGAGACGCGGCTAATCATTCCCAGTGCTACTTCGGTTACTTGAGTACTTCGACGGCACCATGTTCCTCACTACGAACCGAGTCCAGACAATCGATGCTGCCTTCAAATCCCGGATCCATCTGTCGCTTTCATATCCACCCTTGCCTGCCCAAGCTAGAAGCATGCTTTGGGAAACCTTCATTCTCAAGGGGACAGAGCAGCGCCGGCCTCGGTGGCTGACCGAAAAGTTCCTAGGGAAGATATCCAAGGAAGAGGTTAATGGACGGGAGATCAAGAACATCATCCGCGTAGCTCACGCTTTTGCGGTAGACGGCAAGCGCGCGATGCGGCCAGCAGACGTAACCCACGGGCTTCAAACGCGGAGAGATTTCGAACTCGACTTCAGCAAAGCCGTGGCAAAGAGGAAACATGAAGATGACCAGACGAACGGTAGGAGTAAGAAACAGAAGAAGAAGAATATGGAATTCGACGGCGAAGCAAGTTCATGAGCATGTCGCCGTTTGATGGTGGAGGTTGGCTCTTCGGAGGAGGGCCCCATCACGCTGGAAATATCTTGTCAGACATGGAATCTCTCCAAGTCGACCATGCTTGGTCTCATCTGGCTGACTCTCAAGCGGTCAGCATCGTTGTGCAAGCCCGAAATGGTTACAGGTCTTTTAGCTAGCGTTGATTTTGGTAAGCGTTTTCGGTTTTGCTTCGATCGAAAAACCAAATGGTTAGCTCTACAGCTTTTCAAGACACATCTTCACATTATGAGCAGTATAGGAATCTAGAACATGAACATTGATATTTCAACCCCCGCATTATATATCACCTCGCACTTCGGCCTCGGGGTTAGGGAGGACGCGCAACTAATCGAATGGCAGCCGAGGAGAATCCTAGTCGGTAGATCCCATACTTCCGCCCTGTGAGGACGGACGGCTGTACGTACTCCTTACCTCGGATTTAGAGACAAAATGCGAGGCTAGTTCCGTTTTGGCCGCATTTGGATGTACAATTCCAAAGTACGATTCCGGCGCTGCGATATAACTCGTCAGAGTGTTATCGAATCCCGGTTAGGCCACCAAGACTTGTAAGCTATATTATATGCGGAGATCCAGCTACTTTCAGTCACTCGTTCTTCAGCTTTCAGCGTCTGCGTTTGGCTCTGAGTATATATAATCGAGTGTCACCCCATTAATCTCCTGGTCTAATCATTCCAAGTTCCCTACATTCATACGTCATATCCCAATCACAGCATCGATCCTCACTACTCAACAATGCCCTCTTCCATCCTTCTGAAAAATGGGACCGCTCTCCTCCATGATGGCAACGACCATGTCCGTAGCGAGAAAACAGACATTCTCATCACTGGGAATAAGATTGCCAAAATCGCCCCAAACATCAACGTCGCCACCCTGCAAGATGTCGACACCATCGACTGCACCGACAAGATTATTAGTCCTGGCTTTGTCGATACACACCACCACCTCTGGCAAACACAACTGAAGGGACGTCACGCGGACGAATTACTCTTGGACTACATGGTTACGGGTACACCCCATCCCCATCGTCAACCCTTCCCTCGCCTCCCTCCTGACCCACCAACCCCCTAACCATTCTCAGGCAACGCCCAATCCTCCCAATACACCGACCCCTCCATCTTCTACGGCCAACTCGCCGGCTGCCTCGAAGCCCTAGCAGCAGGCACGACCTACATCCTCGACCACGCGCACATCGACTACTCCCCCACAGCCTCCAAGACCGCCCTCGCCGCCACCATCTCCTCCGGCATCCGCTCCACCTTCGCCTACACCCCCATCTCCCGCGTTGTCTCCTGGACGCCCCTAACCACCTCCCCCACCCCCCTCGAACCCTGGGTCTTCCCCAACCTCACCAACCTCTCCGCCGCGCTCGCCGCCGGCTGGGGCGCCGCCCGCGTGCAACTCGGGCTGGGCTTCGACCTCTTCTTCCTCGGCCCCGCGCTTGTCACCAAGCTCTTCAGCCACGCCAAAGCCCTCGGCGTGACGACCATCACCTCTCACTACGTCCGCTCCGCCCAGATGTCCCTCGCCTCCCTACCTGAGACGATGCGCGCGTTCGGCGTGTTGGACGAGCACATCGTCCTCTCCCACGCCACCGGCTGCTCCTTATCGGACGTGGAGCTGATCACGGCCGCCGGCGCGCACGTCAGCTCTACGCCCGCGACCGAGCTGCAGATGTCGCTTGGGACGCCGGTCGCGTGGCGCGAGGACATCCCCGGGATCCACGACTCGTGCAGTCTAGGGGTGGACTGCCACAGCGCCGTTTCCGGGTCGATTGTCGAAGCGATGCGGCTGGGGCTGCAAGCTGCGCGGGGACAGCGGAATCAGCGGTTTGAGGCAAGGGGAGTGACGCCGACGGGGCTGCATGAGGCGATGCGGGTGGAGCGGGCGTTTAACCTGGGGACGATTATGGGGGCGAGGGCGGTAAGGATGGAAGGTAGGATTGGGAGTTTGGCGGAGGGGAAGCTAGCGGATGTGGTGGTGTTTGATGCGCTGAGTCCGGCGATGGTCGGGGCGGGGCAGCAGGACGCGGTGGTGGCGGTGGTGATGCATTCGAGTCCAGCGGATGTGGAGATGGTGATTGTGGATGGGGTTGTTAGGAAGAGGGATGGGAAGTTGGTGGATGTAGTGGTGGATGAGGTGGCGAGGGATGTTGTAGGGAGGGAAAAGCTGGGGTGGGGAGACGTCGCGAAAGAGATTGTGAGGTCCAGGGAGGAGATTCAGGGGAAGATTGAGAAGATTGATTTTGTGGATAGTAAGGAGAGGTTGGTGAAGTCGTTTCATGTGGACCAGAGTAAGGTAGTTGACGATGTTTGAGGGATGGGAGATGGGGGTTCGTAATGTGATGGGATGTGGACTAATTGAAACAAGTGCACGAGGCTGGGCTATGTCTTACAATGCCTCGTCATAGAAATTCGTACACTCGTTTACCGCTGCATGAAGAGCTTCAGAGTATTTTCGGCATTCTAGATAAGAAAGAAACTCGGCATTTTCAACAACTAGCAAACTCGCGAGACTACCCCAGACATGCCAACAGGGTTAATGTAGATTGGAATGTTCTATCCGCTGCCTCGGTTTCTATAGACAGTGGCAGGAAAGTGTACGGATGTCTATGGCAAGGCACTGTATGTAGATAATGAATGGAGTTGATTGTGAGGCATGATAATAAGCAAGTTTTAGCAATACTTATATTAATTACCACATCCTAACGAAACTGCTCTCCAAGGCCAGTCCGTGCGATTGGGACTCGACTTTGGCATGTTGTTGGCGTGGTTCGTAAAACAGGGCAGAGAGTTGAGGTAGCGGAGAAGGATAGACTGGAACCTCTCTAAAACTTTGAACAGCCATTCTCCAGAACCGTCCGCTTAAAATTGCCATTGCTGCACGAAAGTTAGTCGTATCATCCCAGCCTTTCCTGCAATTCACCATTAACCTTGTCTCCTCACCCATTACCATATTTTATTTGTAGTCCTGGATACGCAACTTTCTCCCTTCCTAAGTTGGGGTGGGTTGGCAGGTTCTGACCATGTTCTTCTTTGAGTACGCGATGAAGTGAAGTGGCGAGTGCAAAGGATTACGTGTTTGTGAGGGGCTTGCGGGGTGAGTGGTTGCACACCGCGGATGTTCCTTTGGATGGCCTCTTGCTCATCCTACCCACGCCTTGTCTCCTTCTTTCTGCCCATAGCAAAACAGCTCTTACGAATAATCCGCCTCTTCGTCCGTACCCCACCCTAGCTCAAATCCTCCCGCGCATGTATTTCCTTAACTAACCGCTGCATGTCATGATCCTCACAGGGTGCCTCTGCATTCGCGCGCCTCTCAAACTCCCTCATGTTTTCTTCTATCCACCTCTTATCCCCACCAGCCTCCGGTAACAGAAACCCTTGCTCATAGCCTGCCGCGATATCGTCAAGTACAAAGACCGAATGGGGATTCATGGGGGTTTCGAGACTCCCCGTTTCACGATAGGCTGAATATCCCAGGATATCTTGCCAAATCGCGGCGATCTGGATGATGAGGCTGTTGTAGAGTTCGCGGACCTCGGAGTCGGCGGGAGTTTTTCGTGGGCGGATGTGTGCGTGGATGTAGTTGATTCCTACCTACGGAGATACTGTTAACTTATTTCAAATCAGGATGACCTAGCTGATTGCGGGGCGCCAATGGACATAATGGAGAGGCATACTCGTTCGCCACCAACGTAGGTAGAGATATTTTTCGCATCATCCTGCGTGAAGCGTATGTTCAAAAAGAGAGACGGCGTGGTGAAGTGTGTGCAATGAAGTGCCGTAATCCGGGACGCGATCTCACCACGCTGGGTTTGATCGAGTGGAAAATGGTGGTGTATATCGTAGAAAGGCATTTTGCTTGCGTATACGGAATGAAAATACTCGTATAGGTGCTTGTTGGAGGTTCGACGGCGTTTGCTTGCTGACAATGAGGAGAGGCTCATGGCTTATGATGCAACGATCATCATCTATTCTACCCCCACACCCCTAGCGTCGATCTACCCGAGACGCAGGAAACCCCATACATACCATTCTCTTCAATAGTCTCTTCTTCAATAAGAGCGGATATTCGACGATTGTGTCCTGGGATTTCGAGTTGTTCGAATTGCTTTCTTCAATTCAGCTAACTGGTTATATTGTAAATGGTGTCGCTAAGTCGTCAAAGGTTGCCGCACCAGACCAAAACGCCGTTAGTTGAACGCCGAAATGATACCAGTATACCCATTGCAAGTACCAATATGCCTCCTAATCCATGTTGGCCAAACCCATATCTTTAGGCACTGTATGCCAGATTGCCTCCCACCGACTGGGTCTCGTTTCCCATACGCCGTTGTACTGTCATCCACGGTTTGGATCCATGGTAGGAAATATTCATGAAAGCATGCTAGTCAGCTAGATCCCACCACCTATCATTATCATATTAGCACACGATGTGCTTCTGCGAATGGCATGGTTTTGAAGTAACGCCCACCGGATCGGTCTACAGAGACGGAGTAGTCTCCTATCGCCCTGTTCTGCTTCTTCGCCGCCAATGCCCTCGACTTGAATAGTAGGTAGGAGCCGCCGAAGGTGAAGACGGAAAAGATTGCGAGGTTGCGGCCACTATTGAGGTAAGCGATAGCTAATGTTTGGGATACTCGAAACAGAAGTCGTACTTAAAGAAGCGGGAGGGAGCCATTGGGTCAGTTGGGACTGGATTACGTGACCATGAAGATGTATTGAGCAATGTGATCGGGCTTGGGGCGTGGGGAGGGGATGGTGTTGAGGGGGAGGTGTTGAATGTTGGGGCACACGACAGTCCGGATGCCCGAGGTCATCGCGAAGGCAGTGACGTTGGGCTTGGCGGCACTCTTCCGTTGGGAGGATCGCCGTAGTTTATACAAAATTCAACATTTTCGACAAAAATACCATGATCTGTACACTCAAGTGCCCTTGTAATCCTTTGATGGAAGCGCCCACATCATCTTGTTATCAATCTAACGGAATACCCTCGATCTGAATCCTGCAAATCATGTAACAAGAAGAGCGTACGAAAGGCATCTTTGTACACGCAGTATTGACTCTGCTTCTAACAAAAATAGTCTTACGCGGTTTGATCTGTGTGTATTTACTACGATATGCTCGAAAGTGTCATTGAAGTGCCTCGGTGCTTTCTAGATATCCTATGGATGGCATTCCTATTCTCTACTCCTTCGAAGCTTCGCTCATGCGGGAAATATTGACCACGCAGAGCAGACGCAACGTGACACGCCATGTAGACCTCGCATCTATAGATTTAGGTTCGTACGATTCGATTCGTAACTTTAAGCAACAAAAACACCAAAAGCGTCCGGAAACGGTGCCCTCGCGGCGTCCCACGATCTGCTATTATCGACCTCGCTGCGTGGAACGTAACCTGTTCCACGTATCCCTCGGAAATTCCGTTCAGTGAGACCCTTTCCGAGCTCATTGTTGGGCAGGTGAGCTCTATTATACACTTTTAGGTCCCGGTGCGGTCCCGAGTTCCGGCTTTCGTCCAATCGGAGCCCTTCATTTCCACCAACCTCACTTCATCTCATCGCTAGTTATATATTCTCTACTCTCTTCTCTCAATTCTATACGCAGTTCAATTTCTCGCGCAATGTTGAAAAAGTTGAAGGCGTCTCCTCTATATCTCCATCGTAATGAACACTCCAAGTCTTGCTATATGGCTTTTTCTCCCCCTCCGTACCCATTGCAGAGCCGGACACGCCGCCTTAATGCATTCTCAATTCCATTTCCATTAGTGCAACAGCTTCCCCATGAATAATCTGATGCCAGTGGAACCATAAAAGCCACTTGTTCCCCGCACTTCTATCCTCTCATCCTCTTCTCCCTTCCCCACCCCTCATTTCCCTCGCCCCAAACCCCCGCCATGGCCAACTTCGTCTCCTACGTCGCCCCTACCTCCTTGGAAAATGCCCGCGCCATCATTCCCAATGACTACGAGCCCGACCTCTTCAACGACATGGGCTTCGTACTGCGCGCCAAAGCCGACAGCGGCGAAGACATCCACCTCTGGATGTTCATGTACCGGCAACGGGGCGAAGAAGTACTCTCTCCCCTCCCCCTCCCAATCTCGCACCCAGCCCCTGACCCTCCTAGGTCATCATCAACAACGAAGTCTGCCAAACCCTCCTCGTGTGCCCCACCTACACCCCCGCCGAAAAAGAATCTATGCACGACACCCCCTTCATCAACAAGGGGCAAAACATAGACGACTACCACCCCCTCAACACGCTCACCTTCACCGACACCCCCACGACCGCCACCTGGACCCTCGCCGGCCGCGTCTTCTCGTCGCGCGCCAACCACTGGACCGTCTCGGGCTCGCACGCCGGCGTCAGCGTGCAGCTCGAATGGACGCAGCGCGGCGACGCCCTCTACAACGGCGGGCCATTCGCGGACCTGCACTCGGACGCGGGCCACAGCGCCTTCATCGTGCACGCGCACGTCACGGGCACCGTGACAGCCGGCGGGCGCACGCTGGTGGTGTCGGCGGGCAACGGGCACGGGATCCACGAGCGCATCTGCATGGCGGGCCACGTGCCCGCGCGGCTGCAGTACATGCTGGAGCGCGGGATGAACTGGCTGAACGGGTACGGCGCAGCCATGTCGTGGTACATCAAGACGGCGTCGCGCGGGCGCTCGGCGACGATGATGCTAAATGTGTATGGGGAGACGCTGGCGGTGGTGGGCGGGGAGTGGGCGGGTGTGGAGGAGGTGGGGTTTTGGCTGGATCCGAAGACGAATCAGGTGAATCCGCGGAAGTGGCGCGTGTGGGCGGTTGTGGAGGGGAAGGGCAGGCTGGAGGCGGTGGTGACGGCGTATGGAAGGGCGTATTATACGTGGGTCAGGCAGGGGGGTGTGGTGCTTGTGAATCAATTTGTGGCGGATGCGGTGTGTACGTGGACGAGGGAGGATGGGACGAGGGTGGTGGAGGAGCAGATGGCTATGAATGAGTATATGAGGACGTTGTATGTGCAGCCGACGTCGTAGGGGTTTAGGGGACTAGGTGCGGTATTGTGACTGGGTTATTGGAAGGATGAAAGTTGAGAAGATGTATAGGAAGACTTGAAGATGACGTGCATGCAGTGTCTCGTTGTAGATGTGCGTACATATTCCTGCCACTGCTTATGGTGCCTCACGGTACTTCCAGAGTTTCGAATCACATATACTCATGAGGCCACCCCAGACAGCGGCGGAGAAGAGCACATAGGTAGGTTAGGAGTGCGATTCGTTGCCCCTGATGTCTATTAGTACGTTGAAGCTCTATAAGCAGTGGCAGCAAAGTGTACGAAGAGCCATGACGAGGCGCTGTAGAACAAGGTGGAGAATGCTATTGACAATAACTTATGCATTGAACCTTCTCAGGATCACCGGGAGATCGCTGGTGTGCTGATTCCTACCATAAAGGGTCGGGAGCTGGCGCCATTGAACGAGGAAATCTAAGATCTATGAAGATCAGAATGTAGATCAAGATCTCCCGGTACTACCTCTTTGACCGTAATAAGCCGCCTTATAAACTTAATAAGTGAAAAGTAACTGCGAAAGTCGAAGAGACAGACACGCGCTGGATATTGGCGTGAGAGTCTTACTGCCGGGATCGGCCTTCTCCGTAAGCGGCCTCCTCCATAAGCAGCCTCCAATATACAGAGCATGGATGATACGAAGGATGAGAAAAATCCACTTGCTCTGCCACAAAATCAGGAATCCGACGACGACTCGCTTGAAGAAGTCATGTCCGCATGCACCATCCCACGGCACGCCAAGCAGTCAGCACAGGAGTCGCGATACTGACCAAATTCAAACGCAACGAGGTCGTGAAGCGCAGCCAATAGAGCGGCTCGCCCGGCCGACGGCCAACTGGCTGATCTGTTCTGGAAGACGGGCTCTCGCGTGAATCGTGGTGTGCATATGCGGCCCAGCGCTAGCTCCTCACCTGGCGCTCGGGAGCACGAAGCCTTCCGCCTGAACCGAGTGTCGTGGAGTTGCCATGTCGCGATGGGAGGCCTTCCAGGCGAGTACGGATGGCGTCTTATCTGATGGATCCTGCAGACCCCCATCCGGCGCCGCTCAGCAGCTCTACCCACGACGCGTCTCGGTCTCGAAATAGCCATGAGGCTGGAGATGAGCCGATCCAACAAGGCAGGAGGCAGAGATTGGGTGTGGCGCTGCAGGTCCAGCACACGGCCAGCCAACGGGAGCAGCGCATCGGCGAGCGGTCCCGAGCGACAGACAGCTGCTCTCCCGCGGTGCCGTTTGCACGGAGGCGAGGCTGCATATTGTCGTGCCAAATTGCCGTGGTGTCGAGTTCCAGACGGCGCTCCGCTGTTGTGGCCAAGCGTTGGGGTATATCGCGGCGGCCCACGCTTTTTCGAAAGCGTTGGTAACAGTCTAGATAAGCTTCCACTCGTCCCACAGTTCTTGGCCGTCTCAAGCACGTCTTGGGGATGGGGTGCGCTGGTGGGTCTTGGCCAAGAGCGCCTCGCGCCTTGGACGACGTCGGCTGTCGTGTGCGAAGGGACGGCGTCGACGACGGTGACAATTGCAAATGCTGTAACCAGGCTCCGCAATTCGCCCTCTGTGGCCTCTCAGCGGGAAGAGCGCCCTGAAACGGCAGCAAATGGAGACATGCCCGCGAACCAGAACACGGCGAGAGAGCGGACGCAGGGCCACGGAACGGGCTGCTGCTAAACCCCAAGCGTACAAAAGACCCTTTGTTGCGTCTTATCAACACCAACGGCCTCTATCGGGTTTCTCAGCGAGGCCTCCGCGTCTCCTGGCCCCCTCCGCCACCCACCTGGGCACCGCTTCGCTTCGTCTCGTCCCATGCCACCCGCAGTCCGGACGCGCAAAGCCTTGGCCCTCCCGCTGGGCTCCCGAAAGTGCGCGCCGCGTCGCTTCGGCCTGCCAGCGCCTGTCTGGGCCAATCTCTCCAGGGCCTCGCCGCTGTTGCGCTGTGCCGTTGAGTTGTCACGGCCACGCTCTGCGGCGGAATGACAGCCTCCTTATCAGTTGCCAAGCCCGCATCAGACGGGCGGCGGGCGCGGCAGCAGTGGGAACGTGTCGATACGATGTGTCGATTGGTGCGCCGGCGGAGTGGCCTAGGATGAAGGATGGGGGGTTGAGTTCCAAAGTGCATGGACCGCCCGCGATGGGGAACTATGGGGCGGCTTGGCTCCTACTGTCCTCGGCCTTGAAATCAAACTTATATATTCACCAGGCCCACTCGGTCAAGGGGTTTCAGTTGGCATTCATCTCCGTTGCTTCTCTTTCTTTCAACCTGCTGGTGGTTCGACCGACCACAGTCTGTATTCACGATGTCGACCACTGTGAGTTCTCCCCCATCTGCTTTATATAAATCCAATCATTTCACATGAAAACGATGCTGACAATCCCCCCCAGCCTGTATACGACCCAGCCCAGCCCAACGGCGGCGATTCGCTCGTTGTGGACGTCAACGCCCAGTATGCCGGCCTCGAGTACCACTACACCTACCTCGTCTTCTGTGGCTTCATCGTCTGGCTCATTATCCCCGGCATCGGCCTGCTCTACGGCGGTCTCGCACGCCGAAAGTCGTCCCTGGCCCTGCTCTTTCAGTCCTTGATGGTCTGCGGAGTGTATGATACTCCCCCAACCCGCCAAGCCGAATCCAACTGACATCAAACTACAGTGTAACTTTCCAATGGATGTTCTGGGGCTACTCGCTGGCCTACTCGCGCACCGGCAATGCCTTCATCGGCGATCTGGCCAACTTCGGTCTCAAGAATGTCATGGCCGCGCCCTCGCCCGGCAGCGCCGTGATCCCTGAGATCGTTTTTTGCCTGTACCAGATGCTCTTCTGCGCCTGCACCGTGCAGCTCGTCATTGGCGGCTCCTTCGAGCGTGGCCGTATCATGCCATCCCTCGTCTTCTCTTTCTGCTGGGCCACTATCGTCTACTGTAAGAACCGATGTCTTTATCTTAATTTATACAGTTCCGTTGCTAATATAAAGAATAGGTCCTATTGCGAACTGGACCTGGAACGCCAATGGCTGGCTGTACAACCTTCCCTCCCTCGACTTCGCTGGGGGCGGACCCGTCCACATCGCCTCCGGATGGTCTGCCCTTGCCTACGCCTTTGTTCTAGGCAAGCGCAAGCACACGGGCGAGCCCTCCCACGGCAAGCCGCACAACACCACGCTCATCTTCCTCGGAACCGTCCTGATCTGGTTCGGCTGGTTCGGCTTCAACGGCGGCTCCGCACTCAACGGCTCCATCCGCGCCATGCTCGCCGCCTTCAACACCAACACGGCCGCCTCCTTCGGCGTCCTCGGCTGGACCCTCGTTGACTACATCCGCACACGCGGCAAGTTCAGCGTCGTCGGCGCCTGCTGCGGCGCCATCGCCGGCCTTGTCGGCATCACCCCCGCCGCCGGCTACGTCTCCGTGTGGATTGCCGCCCTGATCGGCTTCCTGACCGCCGTCGTCTGCGCCTCAGTCCAGGACCTCAACAAGTGGCTGCACATCGACGAGGGCATGGACGTGTTCAAGCTGCACGGCGTCGGCGGCATGTGCGGCTCCTTCTTCACCGGCATCTTCGCTCAGAGTTGGGTGTCGGCGCTCGACGGCTCGTCGCAGTACCCGGGCGGCATCGACGGCAACGGCGTGCAGGTCGGCAAGCAGTTCGCCGAGATCTGCGCCATCTCATCGTACTCGTTCGTCGTGTCGTGCATCCTGCTGTACGCGCTCAAGTACATCCCCGGCATGCACCTGCGCGTCAGCGAGGAGGGCGAGATGATGGGGCTGGACATCGACCAGTTCTTCGACGAGCAGATCGGCGACTGGTCCATGTTCGACCATGCGACGACGGTGCATGGCATCAAGGGGACCGGTGCGACCAGCAGCGCGCATAGCGTGCAGCAGAGCACGGAGATTCCTGACACTAAGGAGGCGTAGATCTGTACTGTAGACTGAGGGAAAGGGAAGAATGTCGGAGTAGGAGTTTGTGGTGTTACCCTAGACTTTCTCTCTAATTTAGAATCGGGCGGTGTGGGTGGTAGATGGTGTTGACTGTTCTGTTCGAAAAGATATCCCCCTTGCGAGAATTGCTACCGCGCCTAGAACCTATGTAATCTAAAGTAAACCAATAGAGGGTGTGAACCAACCCCGCCGTGTCTATCTGTCCAACGTGATACATATTCCGTAATAAGTTTCTAGTACACCTCTTTCTTTCCCAGGCTTCAACTCGTCGTCAATAGCGGGAATGTCTTGGCAGATCTTGGCAAAGAAATATGTCGAGCTTCGGACACCCTCCGAGACCGGACAAACCATAGGTACTTTGTCTTTGCAACTAGTTAGTGGAAGCTGCCTAAGAATCTGATTCAAGGAGGCCACTGTTGGGTCTAAGTGTGACAGAATTTCAGCAGGGTTACGCCTTTATTTTGCGCCACAGTTATTCTATAGCCGGTTAGTGTCAGTTAAGTATAATACAGTGTTAGTAAGATATCTTGTAAGCACGCTAAATCTGCATGCCAAGACATATAGCGCCGGCATAACCCCTCTTTCGCTCGCTCAAGCTCGGAATGCTTAATTCTGATCGATGATCATCTTCAAAACTGGTAATAATATTCCTTAACGATAGAACTTTCGTTCTACAGCCTTAGAATTCACAGAAAGGTCAATAGCTATGATAGAGCAGGGGGGATTCACCGGAGTAGCTCATAACGTCATTAATGAAATGATCAACAGCATGGCCAAGATTGCTGTAATTTTCTCATTACAGATTAGATTCATGAGGAAAAATAGCTAAAGAGTATTCATATACTATTTATAACTTGACAAACTCGCGAGGGGAAGATTTAATGTGCCCGAATGATGGACTTGTCCGGTTACAGGGTGCGTCCGGCAACCCAGGGAGGGATGTTAGAACATCTTTTTAGATTGAAAATATGCTGACTCAAGGTCCCGGAATCCAGTCTGGTCTCGTAGTCGACGGCAAAGAACATGCTATCTGAACTTGAAATCGGGAGTCTTTTAGCTCGGCTTGGCAATCCGGCTTCAGATTCCTTGAAGGAACAGCGACGGAGTGTAAAGCGGAACTCCTGATTCGAAGGCTGGCGGCGAAAGCCTCGTGATTTCATCCTATAATCAGCATCTCTTTTTCAAAGGTTGAAAATCAGGCCTTGGCCGTTCCGGGTGCTTCAACGCGTCCTAACTCAAGAAAGCATGAAGAGAAAAACAATGCGATTTATAGGTATCTCTCGCTCACTGAACGATATAAGCCTCCGCCCCCTTCCCAAACAAAATCTCCGGTTTCCTCGTCGCGAGATCCAATATCGTCTGCGCGAAGACCGAGTTGGCCCAGGCGAACCAGCTTCCTATGACACCGTTAACGTTAGCAGTCATCCCACTTCCGCCCAGATATCATCAAAGCGTTAATAGAAGTTAGATATGACTGCAGCACTAGCCACTTACGCGTATAATCCCCCGCCAAATCCACATTCACACTCTCATGCACCAACCCCAACCCGCTCGCCTTCTTCACCATCAACAAACATGCCTCAATCTCCTCATCATCCTCGCTCGTCATCGCCTGCGTCAGCACGCTCATCGGCCACGCGTGCTGGAGACCAATATGCGGCCCGCCGATCCCCTTGAAGTACTCCCCTTTCAGATAGTACGGATTCCCCTTCTTCTCAAGGACCATCTTCCGCGTGTTCTGGTACGTCTTATCGCTCGCCTTGACAAACCCCAGCAACGGCAGCGCGAGCAGCGACGGGAGATTCGCGTCATCCATCAGTATCGACGAACCGAACCCATCCACCTCGAACGCGAACACCTCGCCGTACACCTTGTGTGTGACGACGCCGTGCTCCCAGATGCCCGCCTCGATCACCTTCCCCCGCGTCCGCAGCGTCGCCGCGAGCTTCTTCTTGCCCGCGCGCTCGAGCATCGCCGCCGCACGCTTCAGCTCGACGGCCATCATCGCGTTCGCGGGGATGAAGAAGCCGAGGATGGTCGCGTCGTCCGAGGGTCGGAACGCGCTGCGCACCAGCCCCGTGCCGCCGTTCAGGGGGTTGCCGACGCCGCCGAGGGAGAGGGTTTCGGTGCCCGCGTTGGTGCGGCGCTGGAAGGTGTATTCGTTGCGGACAAAGGCGCCGGTTTTCTCGTCGAAGGTCGGCGCGGACTGGTGGGTGAGCAGATCGAGGACCGTGTCGAGCGCGAGGTACCATCGCGGGGTCAGGAACTCGGTGGAGCCCGTGTGGTCATGGAATTGGTTGACGAGGCGCAGGAAGTGGGCGATGGAGTCGAGTTCGTATTTGCACTCGAAGACGAAGGAGGGCTCGTAAATTGGGTGCACTTCGTCTTCGCCGCCGCCGTAGGTGGGCGCGAGCCCGCTCGGGGGCGGGGGCTGGAAGGCGTTGCAGTAGGGCGAGCCGATCACGTACTCGACTTGTGTGTTTATAGCGCCGAGTATTAGGCTTTTGATGGCTGCGTCTTTCTTCGCAAGGGGCTGGTATTGCGCGAGCTGGTTTGTGGAGTCTCGCAGCCATTCGGCATTGATGTCGCCTGTGACGATGAAGCTTTGGGCGCCTTCCCATTTGCCCTCGTCTTTCTTGCCCCCTGTGACCCAGTCTGTGGTTTTCTTTTTCTTTTTCTCGGTGCCGTTGACGTGCCATCGCACGGTTGTGTCTAGGGTGTTGGGGAATGCGTTCTCGAATATGCGCGCGAGGTCCTTGTCTATCATCTTCTCATTCATGTCGTCTATTACTTTCTCAACTAGAGGGGATTCGAAAGTTCGGCAGTGCCGCGAAGGGCGCTGGAATGGCAGCTCCATGGGTCCAGAACTGTATGGGGGGCTATAGCCAGACCGTGTTAGCTACTGTCCAGCTCAATCTGTGCTCTAACGAACATACTGGTTCCGCATCGCGTAGTTCTTATAGTCTGGACATGCTGCCCTGTATTTTGCCCTATCTAGGGGAACACGCAGCGGCTCTTGGGGGTCTTTCGCGAGAGGATCAGCTTCCGCGTGGGCGTGTCCTGCGAGCAACACGCTGCTCCCCAGGAAGATAACAATAGGCCGGAGAAAGTCGTGCATTTCGAAGTCGGGTATGAAGTGTTGCGAGGCGTATCAGACGTGTTGGGACTCGTAGCAGTTCCAGAGCGAAGTCAGGGTTGGAGGACTCTAAGAATGAATGCGGCGCGACCAAGCACGCAAGGAGGAGATTGGACGTTCAAGACAGAAATGTATACATGAAGTTTTCCATGCTCGAGGAATTGGCGCTTGGATCCGCGTATGTTTGGGAGAATTGGGGATTGGAAACGTGGAAGTTAAGGCGTTTGAAGCTTGAGGTCAAGACGCAGGTGGGGCCGAAGCTCGCGGGCCTTCGCCGTCATCCTTTTTTTCTACAACTACCACAATCTGACTGACACTTCTCGATATACGGAAGCCTTGACTCTTCAGGCTCTTCAGTCATCAACTTCTTTCCAGAGACAATTCCACTCTAGATGTGTTGTGTACACATGTCCCTTTCCTTTTGTGGTCCTTTCAATGTCGTCAACATAGGCTCAGATTCATCACGTCTCTTTCTTTGTGTCTTTGTATCTTATTAGTTGATGCCTTTTCACGGACCTCAACAAAATAGCAGTATTACAATGAGCAAAGAAGGTAGTAAAAATTGTTAGGGTCGTTCAGAACGATGAACTCATGTCGTTTTGAAATATCTTTACGGCGTCGGAGGGCCTCGCCAACGGTAGTTATCTATACACGAACAAAGCCCTGCCAGTGTATCAGTAAGACGGAATATCGTAGGTAATCATTAGAGATGCGAGAATCACGTGATCTCGACCCTACTCTGGCGCGCTGGACGGAAAAAAGTGGGCACACTCAAGAAGTCCTCACGGGTGTACACTTGTCTGCTAGTGCTTGGAGTCCTTACATGACTTTTCATTTGGTCCGAGGTGAAAAGTTTCCATCACGCTCAAATCTCTGAAATGCATTGAAGCACCCCAAGCAATGGCATACTCGTGTGTACACACACCTGTGACTTGTACAAATCGAGAGTGCCACTTCTTGTATGCCCGACGTGTCTGGATCTGAATCCATGGATGAATTGTTGGAACCACGGTTATCCTGGAGGCTAAACTTCCACCTTCAGCTTTGCTCTTAAATATGCAACGCCCACAAAACCTCTTCCACCTCCAGCCGCAATTTGAAGTTTCAACCATATGCAGCTTTCACTCCAACAGCGATATCACCTGTAAATACTCTCACAGGTGCTCTAAGCCTTCAAGCCTCGCCACTCCACTCCGGTCCACGAAATTCGCAGGCCCCCCTTCCGCCGAATGGCTTCTTGCCCCGCAACACTGAATGGACTGCCCTCAGAGCTGAAGACATATATTGTGGAGTACCTCCACGAACCAGGCCCCCTCTCCAACGGATCTAGGCTCTGCGAAGATTACTTTGATCCCGATTTCAGATCAGATCGACGGCCCCGATGGAACAAGCTCAGTATCGCCTCGCGGCAGGACATTCTCAATATCCGACAAGTATCGCCCGATTTTCGCGCCGCTAGCTGGAAGTCCTTTGGGAGGCTGATTAGCGACCTTCATTTCCGAGTAGTGCCAGCTGATATAGCTGATCTGGGCAAGATTTCCGAGATCCCGCAACTCACGCCTTGGATTAAGGCTTTGACATTTGGGACCGGCGGGTTTGAAGACTCTAGACTGTGCCAGGACATTCCTACATCAGAAGCGGGTTCCCTAATTCCCGGCAAGAAGTTTATTCAGTCGATGAGCGCCTACCTCCAGGACGAGAATCTACGGTCTGAGCTGGAGAAGATTGTCTCTTAATATCTCAAAGCATGCGACGATCAATACAAAACGTTTCGTTCGCCGGGCTACCCCGATGCATTTGCTTTGGCGCTAAAGGCGATGCCGCGCCTTCATTGCATTAGATTCAACGCGGATGACTGGATTGGTACAAACAGGAGCCACCTGCGCGGTTGGATGAACCGCAAAGAGCGGAAATCCTTCGACAGGGTTTGGGAGCAAGTATTCCCAGATCTACAGCAGGAAAACATACATCTGCTTCCATTTAATTTCCTTGATCTACAATCTCAGAATTATAGTAGAATCTACAGCCGCAATCTGGGTATGGAGTCGATCGTCGTGTCGCGCATAGTGGAAACACTCAAGAGCTCGGGCACGAGGATACAAGATCTCAGACAGGTTGAACAGGCTGAACAGGTCGAACAGTTCGGACAGCTCGGACAGCTCGGACAGCTCGGACAGCTCGGACAGGTCGAACATGATGGCTTTCTGGGGTACCTTCAGGGACATGAACTCTTCAATCTCCAAACTCTTCGCATTATATATCACCACAATCTGGACCAGCGTAGGCTGACTTCCATCCGTGGCCTTCTGCGTAGCCTATCTACATTGAAGGACTTCGAGATCGCTATACCATCAGACTTCTGCCCTGACTTCACACCCCTCTGGGAAGGGCTCACCGGCACACCATCCGCCATCGAACGCCTTAATGTCGATTCTGAAATCGACATCAATAATACACAGCTGCACGCAGTCCTGGCCGCGCACACAAACAGTTTGCAGTCCGTGCTTCTCAGTAGAATGGTGCTCACAGGAGAGTCATGGGATGTTGCACTAGCTCGCATTGCGGCTGCAAGCTTTCCACGACTAAAGTACATTGGTATCGGGCTAGTGAGCCAGGAATGCACTCACTTTGATCCACAATTCTCCTTCCTCGGTAACCAAGATTATTGCAATTATCAAGCTACATTTGACGAGAAGGCTCTTCATGGAGCGGGGTTCTGTATCGAGTGTACTTATTACAACATAAGGCTATGCCCGAGCATCGTCTTCGGCTCGGAAGTAGTAACTGAGAGACGGATCTTCGGTACTCTTTGCGACTCTGGGGTGTGAAGAGCAGTACGGGGCCTTGCTACCAAGACTATATGTACTCGTTCTCCGCTGCCCTAACCTTGGGAAAATTGAACGCGATGTAAAGCTCAATACGATGGAATATAGGCCGGCGTGAAACCCGGTTTGTCTGAAAAGGTACTTGGCAGTAGGGCTACCCTCATCGTAGCGTCGAGTGAGCAAAGGCGACACTCAAATAGGAGGATATCCGCGAGTCAACAATAGTAGCCTGGGAATGCATAATGTCTTATTAAAGTCTGTATACACATGTTATCACTGTTTACAGTGTCTTCGTGGGCTTGCTTAAATCCATACGCGATGTAAAGTTTCATGTCCATAGAAATCAGGCTGCATATTGACTTTGCGGGTGCCTCACTGGTGTGCTCCGCCACCTCAAAACACCAGGATATTCTGACGACATCGGTAACCCACCGCTGACCTTCACCAACATTAGACATGGAACGGACCCCGACCACTCTCCTTCCTGACATAGGGGCTGAGCGGAACGCAATAAAAATCATCTTTTTTGTCGGTACTAGCAATATACCAAGTTTCTGGCCATGAAGCTGATCAATGCCATGCAGGAATCGAATCCCGTCTTAGACAGCCTTCTAAGCACAACCACGTATATAAATCCGCAACACGAATCCCCCCTTTTTAGTCGCCTTCCGCGCGAGCTTCGAGACCAGATTTATGCCTACGCCCTCCTCGACACTCAGCAGGATCCTTTCCTCCCCCGCTTTCCGGCACGCATCCCTCTACTCACATATCCATCAAACGAATCAGCGGCTACTCAATCACCTAGCACTCCTTATAATGATTCGCCTTGTACTTACTACCGGCTGCCGGCAGACCACGCCATTACTCTGCGACCGATTCCCCGCCACGTAATCCCATGGTTGAGTTCCTGGCCCCCCTCCCCCGGCCGCCAACCCCACGACATCGCTCTCCCGCTCCTCCGCACCTGCCGCGCCGTCTACCTCGAAACCCACGCCCTCCCCCTCTCTCTCAACGCAGTGCCCTTCTACCACCGACTCGACTTCGCCCTCCGCCTCGACACCCTCCTCCACCCCTTCCCCGACCAGCGCCTCTACTCCTACCCCTACCAAACCTTCACCCACGCCTTCCCCTACCAACTCCCCCACCTGCGCGCCCTCGACTACACGCTCAAGCAGACCGAGCTCGAGAACGCCAACTTCGCCGACTCCCACCACCAGCGCGCGAACGAGAAGTTCCCGCTCGACACCTGGAGCTCGATTGCGGCGCATGTCAAGCTGCTGAGGATCCGCATCGAGCACACGGACTGGGCTGCTAAGGGGGACGAAGCCCTCGCGCTTGAGCCATGCACCAGCTACAGCCACTCGCAGGCTTTTATGCAGCAGTGCGCGCAGGCGCGACGGACGGGGAGATTGGGCGAGGTGGCTTTGCCCTCCCAAGGGGATTGGAGGCAGCCGGGAGGGTGGGGCGGTGCTGTCGAGCGGGATTTTCCGGCGCTGGGGGAGTTTGAGTTGGTGCTTGAGGCGGTGCAGGCGAGGAAGGGGGAGTTGGAGGAGGTGGTGAGGTGTGCGCAGACGTGGGTGTTTGAGAGTGGGGAGGTGGGGATGTTGAGGTATGCGGCAGTGGAGCAGGGGAGTTGGGGGAAGGAAGACTGCCGGGATGGGGTGATTGAGGTTAGGGTTTTGAGGTGGAAGAGGACGAGGGTGTGATTGGAAGGCTTGATATTGTACGAGCTCTGAGCCTTGACGTGATGCATTTTATATGCTCTACGGGGATTTAATAGGTCGTTAAGGTACCTTGGTCAGTGCCAAGAAGTGAAAATAAAAACCAGGATGACCAAGACTGCTGAGTCCAACAAGATTATTAGCATCACGAGGTACATCTGCGACGAGCCCACGGGTTTGCAAGGTCCAAGTTTGATGATTATTTGAAGGACTGCAGACGGTGTCAAGCAATTACGCAGAAGTGTGATCGTGAGTGAGTTTGAATAGTAGGATGGTAATTTTTACACCGCACTGGAGTTTAAGGACATCATTGGGGCACTCCATACAGCTGCCAGCAAGCATGATCAAACCGTTTGTCTTGATGCTCATATGTCGATCCTCATAGAATGACGTATATGCCTACTTACCTTCCGCATTTGTTGGCTTTTATTCCCTGAGTATGCGCTTCATGTGGCGACATGGCCTGGCGATTAAAGCGCCACTTTGGCGGAAATGTAAGAACTACCGCACAAACTGGTACCGAAAAAGCGATTAGTAGGAGGAGCAAGACGTGATAGAAATCATCCACTAATTAAACAATATTTTGCAGCTCATTGTCCATATTAGAAGTCCATAGTGCCCGCAATTACCGCCATTACCGTTTATTCTCCTGGAGCTCAGGCAAAGATCTCTCTGCTTTGGTCGACCGTTTGGCTAGAATCCCGTGAATTCATCTTCCGTATCCCGGCCAAACCATAACCACTCATCGGAAACGAGCGGGGAGTCCTTGGCTTCAAGGCTGAATGTAACCCCTTTGAATATTGCGTCGTCGATTTTGGTGACTTCTAGGGGTTTAGTCCGAAATATGCCTTCCTGTTCCCCGGGAACGTCCCATAGGCCGAAGTATTGTAGGTTGGTATAAGCGATGGTGGCAACGCGGTGTAGAAAAGAGTCCCAAGCTGCATCACAAATAGTGACCTGTTTCAGAATGATGAATTGGAGACTCTGTGAGTGTGACTGTATCAAGAAGGTTAAGTCTTGTGCCTTGAACCTCGAGCGGCTGACAAATATGCGGTGTAGGGTCGATTTGGCATTTATTGTGTTCATCACGGCCCTGCCAGTGGGACACCTCGTAGAGTCGAAGATCGGGGTCAAATTCATCCGCTGGCTCGGCCACCTCCATGTCGATATGGAGGTCCCTCAAGGAAGGGGTCGTCTTCAGAATCTTTGATAGGGCGCCAGTGTCTGCACGGAACCGTGGTCCTGTCCATATATTGAGCCGTAGAGTATGAAGATCTGTCAACGTTCCGGAGAGGTGTTGAAACAGCATTAGCGCTGATAACGTGCAGGATTGACCAATTTGAGAAGTTGGAAAGGAAAGAGAGACGTCACCAGGCACGCTTCCAAAAGGTCCGCTTTGAAAAAGCTCAGATTCGTAAAGTCATAAAGCTACATCGCAGTTGTGCCGAGCTCGTATAATAATCATCCAAAGCATCCCCAAACGCCTCGCTGAAACGCAGCAGGTCCCTTCCAATATCAATGTGACGCGCTGCTCAAACATTCAAACAACTCCGCCCCACATAAATCTCATCAAGCAAATGCCTCTCCCGGCCGCTCCTCCTGCCGCCGTCCCGTCTGCTGTGAGTTCGGCGGCCTCGAAATCTCCCCAACGCTCAAAACATTTGAAGTCGTGTCTTCGGAGCCTGGGCTGTCATGGCCGTCGAAATCCAGCTCATCTCCTACGATCGTGTGATGTCCACTAGCGGCCTCGATGTCTCGAAAGTAGTGCTCCTCGATCTCCTCCGACACTGTGCGGACATGCTCCTTTCCACTAACAATACTATCCCCCCGGTAACTCGCCCCCTCAGCACCCCTCAGCGTGCTCCTCGACCCGGATCTCGAGCGCCAGCTATCCTTCTCGCTCCTCGACGCCGGCCGATGCGTCCGCACGAATGTCCGCAAGCTGGGCAGACAAACCGCAAGCAGCGACGAGACAATCTCAACAAGCGCCCACACGTCAATCGTATGCGTAATATCCGCGCGCGGGACATGCTCAACGAGCTTGAGCGTGACAAACCGCACCAGCGCAGCCACAATACTCACGCTGCCCATGAGAAACACGAAGAGCAGCCCCGTGCGCTCCGCCCTTCCCATCTGCAGGCCCACGAGCGTCGAGATCGGGATGCTCAGAATGACCAGATCGGTCGCGACATTCGTGAAAGTGGATACCGTGACCGAGTTGATCGAGTGCACGGCTGAGCACAAGTGGCCGTCGACGTTCCAGTTCTTGGCGATCGGCGCGCACCAGAACGCGATGAGGCACATGTGCAGGATGAAGGTGGCGAGGGTGAAGCCGCTCGCGGCCCATAGCACGATGCGCGTGGTGCGGCCTTGTAGGCTGAGGATGGAGTAGTAGAAGGCGAGGAAGGCGGCTTTGGAGGCCCAGAGGGAGATGTAGATGAAGAAGAGGGAGATCCAGGAGACGTAGAGGAGGTGGGCGGCTTGGTCTATGGGCACGCCGTAGTAGATGGATGAGCGCGGGGCGTGGGTGTAGCGCTCCCGGAGGTGGTTTTTCCATGTGTTGATGCTGATGAGGACGATGCCGGAGAGCCATGCTAGGAGGACGAAGCCGTCGGAGAGGTTGATGGAGAGGGAATGGCGCCCGTGACGGCGAGCGCGGAGAGAGAGGCGGAGGAGGATGGGGATTAGGGCCACTGTCATAAGAGTCCAGTCCAGGGCAATGAAGCCAGCTTGTGGAATTGTCAATGACTTGTGCAATGCAAGGTAGAAAGAGTCCTTACGGAGAGGCATATGAATATCGGTATAGACCATGTTGAAGAGCCCGTGAGGGAAGAATTGAAGATATAAAGGTGGTATAAGACTGGATGACTTGCGCAAGCTATCGAGCTCAACGCAATATCAAAGCTATGGACACAAGAAAGTACAATTGGTATAGAGAAGAAGAGGTAGAAGAGAAGTCTCAACTAGCACGCCGATCAGAAGAAGAGAATCAGTCGTCCCGCAATTGTCACTGAGTGTTCATGATGGTCGAGCAAGAAGATTTGGGGGTCTCAGGCCTTCATATGTAAGGTTCCCTCGCATCGTTGACGATGCAGGGCCGTTGTTGTCAGCAGTCATCGAATTTGCGGAGAGGCCGCTTTCGTCGCAGGGCTGGAGTAGAGACAACTGCTAGCTTCGCTCTGCCAATGTGCTCCCGGCTTCGGCGTCGCCAATGGCGGGCCGGTGCGACCGCTCTCTTGGCTGAAAATAGGACAAAGTAGATGGAGGTTGCCGAGCGAGAAGCTACAACAGTGGTGGTTGGAGTCTCTGATTCGGCGTTGGCGTTCAGCTTGCAGGATGAGCAGCCAGGGGAGAAGCCGGAGGCTGTGCTGACATTACTCAGCCTGGGGTATCATAACCACGAATAGCGTCGCGGGCGCCTGGCGATGCGTTCATTCGGTCGCATCGTGGTCTAGCGACGGGAGAGGTCGTCACCATGCAGATGCAAGAGGCACCAATCCGACAGCGTGGATGCGGAGGATCACGATGGTGCTCGTCTCCGAATCCCCCACCTCGCACAACCACTCGACCACGGCGTATTCGGAGCGAGATTCTGCACGCCGTTGTAGCTAAAAATAGCTACTTTAAGCGACAGACGACGAGATTCGGGAGCTAGGACAACCACCATCCACTGTCCTTCCTTCTCCCGCGCACTCAATTTATTACCTAGAACGGTGAGAGGTCTAAGTCAAAAAAGCATCGTAGCATTTTGTGGCGTCTCACCTTGATCGTGAAGGGCTAGGAATAGAACTGCAACGCATATTTATTCATAGCTTCAACTTGAGTTGTTGTAGACATCTGCGTGAAAGCAAATATAGCTTAATGGATTCGAGAGATCTAGATCAATTCGTATTCGAAGCGATCATGGATTGACTTGTGTGTCTAGTCTAACAGGGTATTGTACAGATTAGGTATACACAGCATTTTACGGTACACAGAGTCTACCTGGGTCTAACCAGGAGCAGTAAGAGACTCATGAGAACGGCGCCAGCAGCGGCGCCTTCCAACGTTGCAGAGGTCAGATCGACTTTCCGCACGGATATTGGCCTCTCGCTGAACAGATCGAGGAAATACTCTCGATATTGCTGAACGAGATCAGTCAATCGCTGCTGCCATGCATGTGGTTGAGTTAGTGCTAGCACCGGCGTCTCCCCAGTTTCCGGTTGCGGGGTGGGTGTCGGATCTTCTGCACGAGTCTGGACCACATGGACAACTTGTGTTTCTGGGGTCTCGCGATAAGCCGGGTCGTCTGCTGCAGCTACAGCAGCTTGAGGTGGGGTAATGGCTTCGACCGCTGGAGGGGTAGATGCAGGTGTATCTTGTCTGGATGTGTCAGCATCCCCTAGACTCTCTAAGGTGACTCCAACCGGCTCCACCACCGAGTCGATTGCGTCTTCAATAGACTGAACAGCTGTAGAGGCCACAGGAGCTGCAGAGGCTACAGGAGCTGCTGTCGGCGCCAGAACGGGTTTCTGTTCATCAAGGGTTCTTCGAATCTCGCGCACCAGTCTCCGTCTCCTCCAGGGGTCAATCACGACCAAGGATGCGAGTAGGAGGAAAATATTCACTCCCATAAGCCCAAAGGTTACCCAAGTGCTGTTCCGTCGGATCGTGTCGCTCCAGATCTGCTCTTCGTGGTACTGCGCTCGTTCCCGCTTCTCTAAGTGCGATCGCGCCTCCTCTAGTGATACCTCTGCCGCCAATACGCTGTCTTTTGCTGCTGACACAGCTTGGTCGTTGACATGTTCGGATCGAATAAGAGACATGTAGCGTTCCAGCTCCGAATCTAGCCACGAGTTTTTGCGCTCCAGAAGCCGGACAATCTCCTTTTGAGATGCTGACTGTTGAGCAAGTGCAGCCTCCATGGCTTGTTTCGCGTCTTCGACCAACAATCGACGAGATTTGACGAGCTCCTCTAAATTTGAAGTCAGACAGTGCGTCTCAATAGAAGCCCGACGCTGATGAGAGCTGCACGCATATACGAGAATCGCCTACCTTGCTCTCTTATCTCACGCCGCAGCGCCTCTATTCCTGAGTAATCCGTGCCCGTATAATTGTTGACCTTTTGCGTTACGACGGCCAGCTTCGGCAGGAGCTCATCCATAAGCTCGGAGAATCGTTTTGACAGGTTCCATCTCTGCCCTTCTCTGTGTGACGGCAGGTCTTTGTCTGACACTTGTGCAACTGTGTTTTCGCTTTTAGGAGGTATTGGAGGTGGAAGCGGTGGTGGTGGAGGTATAGCCGACTCTGGCTTGGGTGAAAGCTCGTCGGGAGTTGTATTTGAAAACTGGAGAGGTTCCCGCAGGAGTCTCCGCGAGGTTGATAGTAGCCGGCGCGTCGTGAGATTTGGTGATCCGTTGAAGGCCAATTGACTCTTGTTTTTACTCTGCCGAGCAGATACCCGAAACTGGCAGCGGAGGCATGCCGAAGCTGGCGAACTTGCGGAGTCGAGGAGGAGTGCAGGCCGGCGGGGCGCTGGCCGGGCTAAGGATCCAGTAAACTCAAACAGCGAGCGCGAAGCATGCTGAAGCATTGGCCTCATTGCTTGCGTCGAGACTCAGTCGCCCATGGAGTGAAAGACCGTGATGGTGTTGCGAAAGTTAACGAGGCGAGCGCGATGCGCGAAGTTGCCCGAAGGACTACCGGGATGCCCTAAAGTGCGCGAGTGGGACCTCCACGTGCATTGCGGAACGTCAATCTTTTGCCCAAATTCTCCCAACACTCTGCACTCACCTCTCTTCCTGGATTTTTTGCTAGTAACCCTCTTGAATCACCAGAAGCACGAAAATCAGGCACAATGGGCTCCATATCTGACCTTCCCGCTATGAAAACCAACCCCAAGTTCATATTTTTCACCGATTTCGATGGAACAATCACTCTCCAAGACAGTGAGTCACGATCTGCCTCCTCTGTGTCACGAAAGCCTGAATAAGAGATGGAGCGAGAGAGAAAGGGCTCAATTTTCTTAAATGTCACTGAAATTCGATCATTTCAACCCAGTGCGCCCCACATGTATACTAGCCACTTCAAAAATGATGTCCATGTCACTTAAGCCATTCAAATGCTCGAACTGCCTGCTGAAACTCTGCAGGCAATGACTATATGGTACGTAGAGAGTCGCTTTTGATTTGAACTCTCATTGATAGGCGCCTTCCTTAGACCGACAACATTGGATACGGGCAACAGAAGCGTCGGCAAGGTAACATTGATACTCTACACGGAAAGATCACCTTCAGGTATGGCAGTACATCGACATTTTTAAATGTCGTTCCTAAGTAGAGTCATCCAGGAATTCGTTCAAGGAGATGATGGACAGTGTCTCCAAACCCTACCCAGAGTGCATCCAATACCTAGTCGACAACATCAAGCTCGACCCCGGCTTTGCTGAGTTCTTCAACTGGAGCTTGGAGAACAATATCCCGGTGGTCGTGCTCTCCTCCGGCATGGAGCCCATCATCAAGGCTCTCCTCGCTGCACTAGTCGGCCCTAACTCGACGAAGATGCAAGTTATCGGCAATGATGTTGGTCCCAGACCTGGCAAGACCATCGACCAGGAGGGCGGATGGCAGATTGTTTTCCACGATGAGAGCGACTTCGGTCATGATAAGTCACTAACACTGAGACCGTATGCACAGCTCCCGGCTGAGGTCCGGCCGACCATGTTCTATGCAGGTGACGGCGTCTCTGACATCTCAGCTGCGAAAGAGACGGATCTTCTGTTTGCGAAAAGGGGCCATGGTGGGATCCTTCTATACCCTTTCTTTCCAAATTTGCTAACCATGGCAAGACCTGGTCTCCTACTGCGTGAAGGACGATATCCCGTTCACGCTGTTCGAGGACTGGACGACCATCCTAGCCAAGACGAAAGAGATTGTGTAAGTGCAATGTCCTTGAAACTGACCTCAATCTAACAAGGTCATCAGCGAAGGGAAAACCACTGTCAAGGCTGCTGCCCTCGCAGGATCCGAGGCATACAAGTCGTCCTTGCACTCTCACAGCTTGTAAGACCGTGCCAGAAATAACTCTGTTCGGACTTGGAAACGAGCTTGGAAACGACCTTTGCATACAACGACCTTTGCATACGCCGGCCTGCGGCCTTTTTGACCATTTGCATTTGCTGCCGATAGAACTATAGATGCCAATCCCAGATATAGAGGATATAAATAAACCGTTGCTGCAAGGGTGTCTCGAGCACCCACGCCCTGCTATTCGATATTTTGTTCCCGATTTGACTCCAGCTTCAGTTCAGCGAATTTGGCTGTCCAACTGCCCTTTTTGTTCTCTTCTCCGGAACACACAATATTGAAACTATTCATCCCTAACGACCCATATGCTGTGGTAGTCACATGATAATCTCGGCGTCCCGCTCCGCTTGACGTACGATGTGCTGGCATCTCCATCCCACCTCCAAACAGTGCGCGTCCGGGGTTTGGCTAGGTTGCTCCACCCGCAGCAATGAAGCTCACCACCACCCACCAGCACTCGCCGATTCGACAATCGCAAGCCGGCTGTGGCTGACGCGTCCGCCTTCACCGCTTTCCGAGCCCTTGCAGCAATCTGGAGAAACAAGTGCCTCGCGGCCGCGTTTCAGTTGCACCCACCGCTTCTTTCTGCGAGGATTCGAATACCCCGCTAGTTGGGCTTCAACCTCACCTCCAGCTCGAGGTTCACAATAAAAAAAAAAATCTCCACAGCATAGCAGTAGCAGCTTTCAGGTAGACACACTCTTTCAACCTCCCCCTCAAACCCTCAGATCTCTAATTATATCAATTAAGTAGCTACGTCTCCCACGACCATGAACACCGACCCCACCACCAACACGCCCCTCCCCGCCGACGCCATCCAACGCATCCTCTTCATCGCGCCCAAAGTCCACGTCTACAACATCCCGCCGCTGACCTCGACCACGGGCTACAAAGCCGCCGCGTGGACCGAGAACAACAACGCGCGCCAGATCTTCACCGCCCGCCTGCGCATCCTCGAGATCGCCATCCCCCTCCCCTCCGCTTCCCCGGCGACCGCCGAGCCCCAGGAGAAAGTCACAACCACGCTCCTCCTCGAGGACCCGGCCACCGGCGCGCTGTTCGCCGCATGCCCGTACACGAGCCCCGCGACGGTCAGCCAGGCGATCGACAGCTCGCGCTTCTTTGCGCTCGTGGTGGTGGGGGACGGCGGGCGCAAGGCGACGCTGGGGATTGGGTTTGAGGAGCGCAGCGAGGCGTTTGATTTCAGTATCAGCCTGCAGGATGCGCGGAGGGTGCTGGGGATGGAGAACCCGGGCGCCGCGGCGACGCCGGGGGGCAAGGGTGGGAAGAAGGGACGGAAGGAGGAGGGTGGGGAGGGGGAGAAGCGGGATTTTAGCCTGAAGGAGGGGGAGACGATTACGGTGAATATTGGGGGGAGGGGACGGAGGGCGGGAGGGGGTGGGAGTGGAACTGGGGCGGGGTCAGAGCAGGGAGGGGAGGAGAGGGAGAAGGAGGCGTTGTTTTCGATCAAGCCGCCCCCGGGGAGTGGGAGTGCGGGTGGGTTGGGAGGAGGGGGAGGGGGTGGTGGGATGCCGTTTTTGCCGCCGCCGCCGAGCGCGAGGGAGGTGAAGGAGGAGAGGAGGCGGAGTAGGCAGGCGGCAGAGATGACGCCGAAGGACTTAGGGTTTGACGATGGGGAATTTGGGGAGTTTCAGTAGGTGGACTGAATATGTGCATGAGGCCATGAGTGTGGCGGTAGATAATTACATTATTAATCAGTCTAATTTGTATATACCTGGCCATCGCTATCGTTCTCCTTTCATCGTGATTCGGTCTTCAAAGGAGTATGTACAATCGGGGGCCGGGTATCAGGCTTCAAGCTCCTCAAACAGAGGATCGTCGTTGACGTAAGGCCTAGTGTTCTTCGCCGCTGTGTCGTCGCGGCGGGACGGGTGCTTTTGTTGATTTTTTTTTCTCCCAGTCGTAGCAGCACCTGGGTTCTTCATTCCGACCATCCTGAGGCCTCTTTGTAGAGTTTGTTGATATCGTGAATCAGATCCTCCGGCTTCGAGCCATCGTCGCACTCTGACCACGCACCGTCGTCCCTTATACACCGGACCTCATTGTTCAGCCGTATAGTGCAGCTCTTCGTGACGTTCAGCTCCGCGCTGCGCTCCACGCTCTCCCTAAGCATGCCCATCGCAAACGCGCCATCGTCTTGGCTCACGCAGTGATTTATCTTGTCGAAATCCATCCCATGCTCCAGCGCGCAGTCCTCCAGGAGGCTCTTCTGCGGTATATCTTCATAGCTCCTGCTCAAACACATCGTAAAGCCCAAGTATATCTTCGGGTCAGGATAGACGCTCGCCGCGCACAACTCGATGATGTTCCCGAGACATTCGGTCTGGCCATGCTTGCACTGCACCCCGTCGTCGTCGTGCGTAACCCTACATCAGCCCGTTAGCCGTGCTACCACGAACCGCGCGCAGCTACGGCGCATTGTGTCGATGCAACCCACCTCCCGATGAACGACAGCTTGAAGTCGACCTTGTCAGACACATTTTGCATGCTCGGCAGCACGAGCTTCTGGAGGCAGTCCCGGGCATCGGGGCATTTGGACCTGAAGAGAAGAAAGCACTTGGTCAGATGGGGCAGGTCGACAGGTGGGCCGGAGCGGTGTGCCGTCTTACATTATATGGACTTCGAGCGGCACCTTTGCGGCTTCCTGGTGGTTGTGACTTGGGTCCTGGCATTGGAAGCTCTGGGCGAGGAAGAAGAGGCCGATGATGGCGGCGAAGGCGGCGGCGTGGAAGCGCGCGAGCCGTGAGCGCACTCCTCGCGGGGGCATGGGGTCTTCCGGGGGGGTCTGTGGCGCGGTGGATGGTAGAAGGGGTGTCTTTGCGTCCATCGTGAAGGTTATATATGGACAAAGGGAGGTATTTTAAGATTTACGCTTTGATGGCGCGTGAGAGCTGATAAAGTCTTACAGATCCAAGGGTGGAAAAGGTTCGAAGTGGCACCGTCAGTGATGAGCCTCAGCCAGTCTTCTACCTCAGCCTCCGTGGGAAATGGGCAAGCCCAGGCGGATTAGAATACCGAGTGCACGGTTCGGCTTCACCGCAGCTGCGGTTCGTTCGCCCAGTCACCATACACTACACCCAACGGCCTCCGGGTGCAACACCAACGTCCTCAGATAGAGCACCCGCCCGATCCTGCTTGTACTCTGTGCCTGCCCGGCCGCGTGCGAGGGCGTTTTCTAGTTTAAATTTCTTTCTTCTGCGCTGTCGTTCACTCGCTTGGCTTCCATCCCGCCGTTTTACATACCCCTCCACGCGTCAGCCCTATGTAAATTTATCGTACGAACTCCCGTCAGCGTGCCTTAAGTTTCTGCCTCCCTTTGGTAAAACTGAATTCTGCTCGTCTTGTTTGTCTTGCGTGTCTCAACCGCCATGCGGAGCTCTATACAGGCCCCCGAGGATGATGCCAGCTTGAATGACTTTCTATCTCCTTTGACCCGTCCTGTAACTGAGCATGGTCTCCTAGACTTGGCTCGCAGGTTCGCAGAGACATATAAACAGCTCGCGAAAACATCCACGGAACACTTCCTAACTACGCCTGTCACCATCCTGCCAACTGGGAAAGAGAAGGGCAAGTTCCTGACGATCGATGTGGGCGGGACCAACCTCCGTGTCGGGTTCATTGAGCTTCTTGGGGAGAATGAGACGGAAGGCGTGGAGTGCCAATCACTGAGCCAACTTCCTTCGAAAATCAGGAGGTCCCATGAGAAATCATGGAACATCGAAGAGCATATGAAGATGGACCAGGCCGAGGACCTGTTTGCGTGGATAGGTGACTGTATTGCTGAAGTCATTACGGGTGCTCTAGACGACGCTTCAGAAAAGGGGACTGACGAAGCTCCTTTTGGTGATGAACTACCGTTGGGTATCACATTCAGCTTTCCTATGACGTATGTATTGCCAAAATCCCCTCGACATCTGCCCTTCGAAGCAGATCTCATGATAGCTATCAAACTAACAGAGCAACTGCAGGCAAACATCAATGTCAGAAGCAACGCTAATGCCCATGGGCAAAGGCTTCGCCATCACATCTGACTTGAACCTCGGGAAAATGCTTCTGGCTGGCTACGGACGACATATAACTAATCGAAGTACTGTTAACGACGATAAGAGAGCTAGTAACATGCCCTCAAACAAAAAGAGGAAACTTCCATCACTACCAAGAATCCGCATCGCTGCTATTACGAACGACACCGTAGCTACCTTTGCCTCCTTAGCCTATGCGGTACGGTCCACGTCAAATAGTCGAGTCGCAATGGGCCTCATCGTCGGCACCGGCACCAACGCCACCGTGCCTATGGAGCTGGGCTATCTCCATCCCGAGAAAGTCGCAGAGCTTGCAACCCCTGGTAGGGCGGATATGAGGAAGACGGTCGTCATCAACACCGAGTGGACCATCCGAGGGACGGACAAGCCCTTAGTAGACCTCGACATCAAAACAAAATGGGATCTGGAACTCGACAGGAACAGCGAGGCGCCCGGCTTCCAGCCATTCGAGTATATGACAGCAGGGCGGTACCTAGGCGAGATCGTACGACTTGTGTTGTTTGATCTACTATCCAAAGACGATAGCGTGAAAGACATACCACATGGATTAAGGAAGAAAAACGCCATATCAACGCGATTCCTGTCAACGCAAGTAGCGGACGGGAGCAGCCTGGAAAGTCTCAGCGCAGAACTTGAGAAGATAATACCGTCGAGGTCGGCTTTTTGGACCCCACAACGGTGCGAAGTGGTTCGGAGAGTTGCGCAAGCGGTACAGCAACGCTCTTCTGCGCTTGTTGCAGCGGCGATTGTGGGCTTGCTTGGGTGCGTGCAGGATGTTCAGCTGCACGACGCTCGGGAGACAGACGGCGTAGAATCGAATCCTTCAGAAGAAATCATCGTGGCGTACACCGGTGGCCTGGCATCCGGGTATCGATCCTGGCTCCCTGATTGCCAGAACTGGGTTGATGTTCTCGTTCGCAAGGGGTCGGCGACGAACGCGTCAAAGCGGGTGGTGTTGAAGGAGGCGGTTGATGGAGGGGTCATCGGTGCTGCGGTGTTGGCCGGAATGACCGAGGGCACTGCAGGCAGGTAAGGTGTGTAGGTTGGAGGCACTTGGGTCTTGAGAAATGCGTCGCAAGCAAGAGGAAGGTAGACTAGAAAACACTTTTTTTGCTCAGTCTCTTTTTTCACGTCAACATCTGCTCTGCCTCAGGTTTCATGCTCGTTTCCCATGTTGAGTTGGTGGGTTTGGTGTAAGTGATAGAGATGCTCCACTTGTACTACCGTGATCCATTGTTGAACCGATACCCGGAAGGTAAAACGTAGATTGTAGTGGCGTAGAACCCTCGGTGAGTGATATCGTTGGACGAGGACGTGGTGTAGCTACGCCGCGCCTAATCTGTGATGAGGGCACTGCACCCACGAGGTTGATGGTCTGGCGTAAGCTTACTGCATGCAGTATACTTGAGTGCTCGACGTATATTGTCTTGCACCCATTCGACCCACGATGGTGTTGCGGTAGTGCTGTTGGGAAGCCGCTACCCGATGCGGAAGCGGCTCGGTCTCAACGTCACATGCTGCACAGACAACGTCGAGCCTCTTCACCACGATCTTCTCTGAGACAGTTTTACACTAGCCGTACGCACAGACCGGCAGTCACGAATCTGTGATTCTATTCAAAAACTTTATACACTTTAGTTACACACTCACTCTACGCTTGTGTACACTTAACTAGCACCGCTTGAGGTTCTCTGGTAGGCTATATCAAGCTGTGACGCGACATTTTGGCAAGTCTAGTAGCTCACCAGGCCATTCAGGACGACTTCAAGATGCGCCTCAGATCTACGAACGCGGTTCTCCTCTGCGTCGCTGTCAAATCCTTCGCCCAAGACTCGCCCGAGAAACTATGCTACTACGACGAGGGCAAGCTAGCTCCCGCGGAAATCATGCCGTGTTTTGAAGGTGGCCCGGTCTCGTCATGCTGCATGGAGGGAAGCAATTGCCTGGCCGACAATGCTTGCTGGGACCCAGCGAGTGGAGCTACCTATCAGTATGGTTGTACCGATTCGAGTTATCAGGATGACAAGTGCCCGAAGAAGTGCGGCTATGATACCGGTACGATCTACAGCGCAAGACAAGACACACACCCCAGCTGACCATTGCCAGAGGCTTCTCACTGGATAGGGCTCGTCTACTGCGATGGCGAGGGCGATACTGCCAGTAGCCGCACACCTAATAATACTTGGCTATGCCATCATCCTGAGAATTGTGGAGGCCCAAAATTCTGTCCCAAGGAGACCGTATGGCCTACTACGCCGACGAAGATGCCTCCAATCTCATGCGCTCAGCTTCTGAACCCCAGCGCCACTGCCTTCTCAGACGGCAACCCATTGGCGTCGATCGTCGTGCTGCCCAAAGACCCTGACGGCGTAGCTAGCTACTTCTCAGCTCACGATGTGCCGACCACATCGAGCTCGCCCATTACCTCGGTCACTTCGGCCGCCTCGACGACGCCAAAGACCTCAACTCCGTCCACTCTTGCGACTACCACGACTGGTCTAACCGCCTCCCCTTCGTCCCCCTTTCCTGTTTCGAGCGGCTCTGGGCCCAACATTGGGCCCGACCCTCCAAACTCCGGACACTCATCCGCTCTGAACATCGGCCTGGGCGCCGGCATCGGCATCCCCGTCTTCTTCATCATCACAGGCCTTCTCAGCTTCTACGGCTGGCGCAAGCACAAGCAAGCCAAGCACGCCAAATTATCATCGCCGCAAGACCCGCTAACCCCAACAACCGATACCTACCCAGTCGGTGCAGCAGGCTCTGGTTTCACACGCAAGGCCGAGCTCGACAGCACGCCTATCAACAGTCCTACTATGACTACTATGGGCTCTGGAGCTACAGATAACGGGCACGGGGAATCGGTGTATGAGATGGAGAGTCCGGAGACCTCGCCGCTGGCGCCTGTGCATCGTGACTTTTCGTGGCCGCCGAATGGAGAGATCTATGAGATGGAGGGGGATATTCCGGCCAGGCCGACGCGGCAGGAGTTGCCCTCGCCTCAGCAGCCGAGGCGGGGAATTGATTAGATCGGGTCTGGTTGATGAAGAGAAAGGTGGTGAGGTGGTATATGGATGAGCTGTACAGTACAAGCGGTCAGGGGGGATTTTCCTACGACTGGGCGTCCTGTGTCGATATTTGGGCATTTGCATTAGGGAGAGGCGTCTGCTGGCTTGTCACGGAGGGGCTTTTTCTGTCGCCCAGTTCCTCGATGACTCGTTGGGCATTCGGTAAGTATGATACATTTGCGGATACTGAATCAAACATCAGAAGTAGGATTTGATTGCGAAAGAAGGAATGCCACCGCTTGGCAGGCTTCTTTGAACAATAAGTGGCAGCCTACGAATTTGTGATATTATCCTAGATACACACACGCCTGAGACTTGTGTACACGTGCCTCGCACCGCTTATAGCACCCTGGTACGTTATTATGATTTGGGAAATGAGGGTGTTGGCAAACCGTTTGGCTCTCTGGGCCACCTTAGACGGAGCTTACTTCCATCTGTCTCTCTCTCATTTCAGGCAGTTACTTTGAGATTCATCCCCTGATCACCGGGCAGACCACCCTCTTCCCTTCACGTCACTCACGTGCCCCGGACCGACTCGCTCCGATACCTCAATCTTTCGCCTATAAATCTTTTTCGTACATTTGGAACTCAACTCTTCTTCAGGAGCGAGATTTGGGGTACGGGATCAAAACTTGTGATGGCACAGCCCTGATGAGCCTCTTGCTCTGCAAACACCGCGCAGAGCAGTCGTACATGGAGTGGGGGAGTTGGTGTTTTGCAAAAATGTCTTTCACGACCATTGATGGTGACTGGTGGTGTGGTGGTGTAGAAACGAGGATCGAAGCCTTGTATGGGGGCGGAGGGGTGGGTCAACAGGGACTCCGCCTAGCCCGATGGGAGGATTGGTGGTATTGGGTTGGATCGACATGGGGCCAGGAGGAACCAAATGGTGGAGGGGGGACCTGGGAGTGGATGGTGATGGAATTCTCGATCTTACGGTTAGTATGAAGAGATGTGCTCTTGAACGCTGCTGATCTTCCGCAGCTGTCTGAGGGAATAAAGAGATGAAGGTAAGTAGGTAGGCGATCTTAATCACTCACTAGAAATGATACTTAGCATCAAGAGAGAAGTATACACCCCTCCAACCATGGGCCGCTAGCTCTGCCTCGTTTGCAGAACCCACAGACCCCACTATATACGAATGGGGGATGCTGTGGCCACAAACCCGTCCATAGCCCGATATCGTTTCCGATTTCGATCCCCCAATACTACCAGAAGCTCCATTGAACCATTGTATCTTCAGGTTTTGAACACGTCACACCACACAAGAAACTCATGCCGTCGTCCGTGTTGCTCCCCCCACCCACCAGACAACCATGACGCGACGCTTACCGGAGTTTTGATCTCCAGTGGCCTTCCAACTCTCCCTTGCTCAATCAAACCTCCCTAAACCCGCTCTTTTCTACCCTAACCCATAGAAAAAGACGAGCGATGAGTCAGCACCTTGCTCACGGATTTTACACGTGCCATATCAGAAGCATCGCCAAGTCGATTCTATTCCATTCTACGAGACTCCCATAGGAGACCTCTAAACCACGTGCCTATCACGTGCCGCTTACCTAATCCCCCTTCTCTCGACTATGAAAACTTCGCCCGCCTCTGCTCTCCTAGAGCTTTCAAGGAACGGGTTGAGGAAGACTCAAGGAGGATATGGGTTGGGGGACCAAAAACAGGACTGACACCGCTGGATAAAGTGGCTGCCTTTTCTATGGATGGAGGACCCAAACACAGACCTGACACCGCTGATTAGTGGATGCCTTTTCTGTTGTCGGGATTACTGCACGATCAAACTCTTCCTCGCCCCAAAACAATGGTGGGAGGTGGGCTTGGCGGTGCAAAAGAGGCCAGGCGAGGTATCATGGTGTGAAAAATATCGAACAAGTGTTACGATGGAGCTGGAGCATCGAGTCGTGGAGAAGACACGTTTATGTTCTCCTTCAAAAGGCGGAGAAAGGGGGACTTCATGGGGTGGGTGGTTTGAAAATTGTTGGAGCACGAGCTGATGGGGGAAGTGGTGTGTAGGTTTTTGGGGATGTTGATGATTGTCAGTGTTTGGCGGAGGCGATGGTGGGAGCCTCAGAGGCACGCTGGGCGTGCAAAAAGTGACACACTCGTCAAGCGCTCCTTCTCGTGTGCATACCTGTCTGCCACTGCTTTGGGCGCTTCGACGAGTTTCTATATAGCGCAAGGTGAGGGGTTTCTATCTCATTCATATTCTTGAAAATGCATTGAAGCACCGTGGCACCTTAACATCCTGGCTACCCGGTCGAGCTAGCCTCCCGGTCGAGCCACCTCCTTTTTGATTGTTTTTGCTCCACTAACTCCAAACGTCTACCTCAATAACACTACAAGTTGTACACCAAATATGACTCCACCTAGCTCAAACGATGCGCAAGCTTCTGCAGAAGCTCGCCTCCAGCTTGCTATTGATGCATATCGCTAGTACAAGGTCCCCTCGCTGTACCAAGCACACAAGCTCTTCAACGTGCCATATTCGACTTTGAAAGCGCGCAACGCCGGCAGACAATCAGCTCAGGCCTCTCAGCAATCACAACAACGTCTATCTGTACAGGAAGAAGATGCACTTGTCAAGTGCATAATCCAAATGGCGGCCTGGGGCCGGCCAATCTCAATTACGTGCTTGGAGGGCCTGGCTACCAGCATGCTTCGAAAGAAAGGCGATTTCAACGTGCTTGGCCACAACTGGTACAAGAACTTCCTCCAACGACATCCGAATATCAAGCCAAGGCTTGCTCGCTGCCTCGATCAATCAAGACACAATGCCGCAGAGTATCAAGAGCTGGAGAAGTGGTTTTCTCTCTACAATGAAACTGTCCAGAAGTATGGGATTATTATGGAGGATCAATACAATATGGATGAGAAAGGCTTTATGAAAGGCACAGGAGATAGCTGCAAAGTTCTTCTTCCTGTTCAAGAAAAGAAAGCTTGGTCAATTCAACCTGGAGATCGCGATTGGGTATCGACCATCACGGCTATTGGCATGAGCGGCTACACGGTTCCACCATACATCATCTTCCAAGGCAAGCAGATACAGCAGTCCTGGATCAATGCATCTATCGATTCCCGCACCGTTATACAAGTTAGCCCAGCCGGCTGGACCGATCGCGACATTGCTATGCGCTGGCTCAAGCATTTTGACAGCTATACAAAGCCTATTGGCGAGTATCGGCTCTTAATTCTCGATGACCACAACTCGCATACATCTCTTGAGTTCATATAGTACTGTAAGGATGTAAAAATCATTGCTCTCTGCCTGCCACCTCACTCAACCCACATACTCCAGCCGCTTGATGTTGGCATCTTTTCACCAGTTGCAAAGGCATACAAGAAGCAGATTCGTGAGCACAGCATCTTTGGGGCAGAGCGCATTTCAAACGAGCAATTCACTATCTTCTATCAACGGGCAATACAACAAGCAGTCACAAAAGTCAATATTGCTAGTGCATGGAGAAAGGCAGGCCTACTACCTTTCAATCCTACATTAGTACTGCAAGAATTCAGGCCAAAGACACATCCTTTTATTAGTATAACTAATGAGAATGGTGTTCGAGTTGATATTCAAGCAACGGAGGATCAGTCAAAGAGGATAAATACGCTTATTGCAGAGCTTCTTGAAGAGGTTCCTCTCCAGCTTCATTCCACTATTACTCATCTACAAGATCAGGAGGTTTTAACTGCTAAGGAGAGAGCTGCTGCTCTACGAGGCAAAGAACGCTTTGCAAAGTTAGCCTGGAAGGAACTGGCAATGAGTTTTGATGTATTTATGTAGCAATTCACTCCTTTGCCCCCCTGCGAGCCTCATACGCCACCAATACGCTAACCGGGTGGCCAGGATGTTAAGCAGTGGCAACAAGTGCACACATGAGACAGCTTGTTCTAGATTTAAAGTGCCATCTTTTCCTCGCCCCGCGTCAGAGGGCTGATGGTGTGGAGGACTCCTCAATTTGGTGGTGGAAATGGACCGAGGTGCGGAATGGTGGTGAGCAGCACTGATATGGAAGTGATAGGCTGGCCCATAGCTCCATCCTCCACTACATTCTGATTTGAAGACTAACGCACATAGAGCGTTGAGCGGAACATCCTTGACGGGCGGTTTTGCCTCAGCCTTGACGAGTGCTTGTACGGGGCAAGGAAAGGAAGGAATATTGACTGCTTTTATGTCACTTATGAAAGAAGATGAGAGGGTCTCCCGTGGGATCGTATCACGAGCACATTGAAGCATCCGGTTCCGACCTTTTAGCTTGACGAGTTCCTTTTTCTCTATGATATAAGCCTACCAATGAACGCTGCTCTAGCATCCTTCCTATTATGCACCATAAAGACAAAAGAAATCTACACCCCTGATACCCAAGTCCTTCTCCCTGAAAGCACACACAAGCCCATAATTCCAAGATCAATCCAATCAAGCAAGCTCCACCCTCTCCATCGTGTCTCCCGTCCCATCCCTCTCATTCCTCAAACTCTTCGACATCCTGCCCTCACGTCTCAAGCTCCTTGACCCCTTCCCCAAATAATCCTCCACAATTCACGCCGTCGCACTCACCGACCCATGACTCCCCATCCCCCTATACCCCCCCTTATAATGCCCCTCCCTAAACTGACTCAACGGCACCGCCGCCTCCTCATCCTTCCCCCCCTTCTTAGTCTTAAACGTCCAATTCCCATCCGCCCAGTGCCCATCAAAACAGACACCCGGATGCCCCACCGTCAGCGCCGAGCAAGCAATGACAAGCATCGCGCCCTCAAACACCATAAACATCGCCTCATTATTCGCCAGACTGCCATTAAACCCGCCCCAGAGCTCCGCAACGCGGAAAATCGACCGCACGATAATGAAAACCGTCGCCGCCGCCAGCGCCCACAGCATCACCCTCCACATCCGCGTCTTGCGCAGCGCGCTCAGCTTCTCCGACTCGTCGGCCACGAGGTCCGGGTGGCGCCAGATGCGGAGCCAGATGGCGGCGCACAGCGCCATAAAGACGCATAAAGAGACGACTTGGAAGATCAGGCCCGCGATCATGATGTGCACGCCGAGGTCGTGGGTGGTCTGGTCGCCGGTGTCGGCGGTGGCGGTGATGGCGCCGCCGGCGGATTGGAGGATTAGGGAGAGCAAGTCGCACGAGACGAAGATGATGCTGTAGGTGCGCGGTTTGAGGGGGGAGACGGGGGGCCCGTAGATGACGATGACGCGGCCGAGGGTGAGGTAGATGGCGGCGGAGAGGAAGGCCGGGGCGATGGTGAGGCAGATGAGGTTTCTGTTAGGAGTGGTTGTTAGAATGGTGTTGGTAAGAGGGGTTGGGGGGAGAAGACGTACTCAAGGAAAGGGTTGAAAGGGAATGGGTTGAAATGCAGCTGTATCCGTCCTGCGTATCCTATGATCTCTAGCAAGAGTCCACCGAACATGCCGGCCAGGTATCCCCATGTTCGCTTCCGTATGCCGAGGTAGATTTGAGCGATGAGGATGATGCCGAAGATGACGGCGTAGAGGACATTGCCGGCGAGGGAGGGGACGTAGGTGAAGTTGGCTAGGTACATGGGACAAGTGTCCAATGTACATAGGTCGGTGTTATTGATGAGAGTTTGATTGGTGAAGGTGATATTTGAAGGGAACATTGTTGCGGTTGTTGATATGGTCGATGTAGATGCAAAAGTAGAGTGAGTGGTGCGGATGAGTGGTGATTGGTTGTTAATCGCGAAAGGGTATAAGGAAAAGACTCGTAGAAATCTGTATATAGAAAAAAGTCTATAGCAAGAAGTAAACCCCAAGTGCACGTGTGAAGAACTGATGGATGATGAAGCTGTCTGGATGACCCCCCTCCTCTGCTTCACCCTTTCCATTATATACACCCACCTTTCATCACCACACCCACTACTCCGATCTGAGCAGCGCACAACACAGCCTCCTAATACCCGGGCCCCTGCAACTGCGAGCGGCGCGCGTCGCTCGACGCATGGTGTAGCGTCGTGCTTAGCCCCAGTCGGCTATCTCGGTAGAAGCCTGACTCTGCCGAATAATAGCAACAATCCGCCCTAAAGAGCAAGGTGCTGCAAATCCACCGAGGTTCCCTCGAGACGCATCAACTTATTTCGTACAGCCTCCTACGGAATAAATGTTTGAAATGGCTGAAAGAGTATGAAGAGATCACGTGTACGGGGTTTGGGTTGTTGTCCCTACGGACGGAGTAGTCCTTAGTCCGACCGCTTCTCCATCGCTCAACACCAAGATCCACGAAGATCCCAGCTATTTCCACGAAATCAGTCGTATCAAGGCTCGACAGTTGGTAGCAAGGGTCAGTGACTAGCTCGAGTATACATTCTGATCCGTAAGGCCTATGTCGTGCGTTGTGCGTTGTGCGTGGGAGGTACGTACAGGACCCAGCCACAATGAGCTGCGAACTGCGAAATTCGCAGCGAAGCCCGCACAGTACAAGCCTCGCACAACTGCGATCGGACGCGCGCTGGTAATGGGTTCAAGGAGCTTAATAGTGTGCGGACCAATGATGATGAATGGCTAATGGAGAATCGAAGAATTACATGCGTACCGTGCATTGATGCCTGTTGTTGGCCTGGTAGCCTGTAGGGGTCCCACTGTATCGAGGACACGGAGTAGGCATTTACTCCTCGTAAGGCTGACAGACTTGCCTATGGGTTAGTTGAACGATACTATGTTGAGTGCATGACGGACAGTGCTGTGGAGAGGATGCTTGAGATGAAAGGTAGAATATATGTTCCAATGTCGTGTACTGTGAACATGTCTCCTTCATTCCAGCTCCATCCAACTCTTTCATCTTTGCATATTCGAGCACAGCCGGATCCATTTTCTGTGATCTCAACACCCGTAAGTCGATCTCCCAAATCTGGGGCCGCCAAATACCGACATCACGGTCCCCGCAGCGAGAGCAATGGCGACATGGATCCTGCAGCGCGTTTCGCTATTCGCCGTCTTGACTTTTATCCTCCATGCCCCCATAGTGCTGTCATCTTCTGCGGTCTCCACTCCACCTACCACAGATAAGATGCCGCCAATCATCCTGCTCAAAACAACCACAACCAGTACGGTTCCTCTTCGCAACGCCCTCGCTCTACTGGGTTACGAACAACTCGCCATTTCAACCATCACTCGGAACTCGACACGGCAGCAGACCTACGATACGGAGGGCGAGAAGCTGTTTGTGGAGCTCCACTGGGCCATCGACGACGATTTCGCGACTCTCGCGTCTTTGTACCCGTCCGCGAGGTTCATCCTTCCAGTTCCGGAACATCCAGCAGAGTCTAGCCGGGCGAGGAAATGGGCTCGTAGAGCGACAGGAGCCAGTGTTTCGAATCTTGTGGAGAAGCTGGAGGCTTATCAGTACGCCGCTTCAGTACGCAACTACTTCCACGATTGCAACGAGGAGACGAGGTTGCTTGAGGTGAAGAATGGGTGGCTTGGGGATCGCAGCGGAGATTGTTGGGTACAGTTGTGCGAATTCTTGGGGATGGGTTATAGCGTTGTGGAGCGCATGAAGCTGCGAAAATTCCCTGATACTGCGAGTGCTGGAGGTTCGGATTGGAAGGTTGTTTTCCAGGGGCTACACTGGAGAGGATGGGACTTGAGAAGTCGGTGAAGTTAACGTAGAGGCCTGCCTGTCTTTTTCTCTGTATCGATACCCTCTTGGGGGACGAGACTTCAATAGGTGCCGCCAATGGTATCTGGCATCCATCCTCCCATCATTTCATCAAATGTTGCGTCAGAGTAGAAGTTTGCAAATTGCAGGTCATACATGCCATCCATCAATATCGCATCCGGAACCGTTGGGCCAACAACGGTGCTGGTGTTGAAGATACCATCTGCTATTGGCTGGGCCATTAGAGAGAACTGTGTGCTGTATTGAGCGTTGGGGTGTTGGAAATTAGAGTCTACTCGCTCCGAGCCCCTTTGGTCTGGGCCCGCAGCTGGCTTCGCAAAATGCCACTCGTACCATTTCTGGATCCTCTGGACACGTTTGACGTAGTGACCAAATACGTCCATGTCACCGGAAGCGTCTACGCGGCCAGTCACTAATGCTTCCAGTCTAGCGATGCACTCTCTTAGGACGCTCGACATGTCAAGAACTGTGCCTAGGCTTCTCGACTGCTGAGTTACCAAGCTGCTTCCCGCGACTAGGGATAATTTTGTGGATACGGTGAGAGCAAAGCCGATCTGGATTAACTCCGTGTTGTTAAGCAACTTTTCGGCACCTAATGGCATTGTGATGTAGAACCCTAAAAGAGATTTCGCAGAAATCAAGCCCGCTGAGAGAATTTCTTGTCGCCAGGGGGACCAAGGTATGGATCGTGTTGCGTTAGGACCACAGTGTTTGTCTAGTAGACTGATTTGGTAGAGATACAACTCAACCGTATGAAAGAGCATTCCCAGTAAGTCTGAATTCGAGATTAGCTTGGAAGGATTGAGATAACTCGAGGTGGCACATACGATTCTCAGACATCGGAAAAGGAAGTCGCTCTCGGAAATTGTCAAGTTCGGCTCGAAGTTTGGTAATGTGTAATTCGACAGCTGCGTCTGGGTCGATCAAGTTGAAATGTCCAGAAGTCTGGTGGCTGATATCACCGAGGATCCGCTGAAGTTTGATGATGTAGACAAGATACTTGTCGGTGGCGTACTCGGATTTTTCCTTGAGTGAAACACAGGTGTCCTCAATGTATGTTGAGTACGGGAATGTGATCAGCTTCTGCAGCATGACGGCAATGCTATATAGAGTCAGCACTCGTTAATATAGACAGATGATGGCGAAGGCTTACGAGGAAGATAAGTAGTAGCAACCAGCCACAGCTCGCTGTACGTCTCGACCCCAGCTACTCTTGGCCGAGTCTAGTACTCTTGGGTTTGGAGAGTCTTCGGATACAAGACCGGGTGCAGATTTCCATGATGACAAAGTTTGTGGGGTCCTGTCCAGCCTCAAGTCGACGATAATGCTAATGGCTATTGCTAAAAGTTGTGAGTACCTCCGAGGCCGGCTGTGATATTGGCACCTAGAGGCTGGTTAGAAATGTTGGAGTGTTAGCGTAAATGGTGATGGAAATACCATGCTAGATGAACGAGGAGGCCTTGCAATAGCTCGAAGGAGACTTCTCCGCCGATGATGACGCGAGCGCTAATGTACTTGTTCACCTGGCCATGTTAGTAGTCCATTGTAGTACAGAGCTTGTGGTAGAAGGTTACCTCTTTCCCTAACAGCCGTTGCAATGGCATGTCATCATACGAACTAGCGGCCAGAAGAACTAAGAACAGAAATGGCTTTTGCAGGCGAAGCTCCTCAGCGGGCATATGCGTCGGGATGACGACAAACGGGAAATGCGGTGTCATGTACGTCTTGAACGTATGTAGAAGAGCGTTGGCAGTCTCGATTGTGATCAGTCCTGAGTTAATTACGTCTTCGGTGATTTGAGCTGGGATAGAGCTGTCTTCATAATCCGTAGGTCTGCGTGCTGTACAGGGTCGCTGATGACGAAGCTCTCGCAACCCCATAGCCACAGAGGAGATGACTGGAATGGATGCATCTGGGGACCGGGGAGACTGTGATTGCTCTCCGCCTGACTGGCTCTGAGTGTTAAGAAGCTCGTTGACCTTGGCCTCTAATGCCTCGATTCGGCTGCAAGGACCGATGAGCATGGTACAATTGGACGACCTAGGGCGGACTTACTGATCTTTGCGATAGCCTTGAATACGGCGTTTGGCTTGTCGAAAGGTGCATTCTTTTCCGAGACGGTCGCATCTAGAGCTCGCTGTTAGCGTGCAAAACGAGTGAGGAGACACGGAGTAGGCGTTACGGACCGATCACATATCGGCGACGCGGGATTTCGATGGCATTTAATTTTCGCGTGTGCACAGTTTTGACAGGTTCTTGACAGAGGCAAAGGGGATCGTTCACGCCCTGCCATAGTAAGTGACGGGAGCCAAAAGGAAGCGTGGATATTGCTGAGAACATCGAAAAGATGGTGTATTTGTAAAATGCAACATGAGTGGCAGTGCGGGATGAGCTGGAGGGCGTTGGGACGTGCTTTGGCTAATGCAGACACTATCAGGTAGAAAACAAGGGGAGCCCATGAATAGGCGGCCCCAAGGTGGCACCCTGGAGACCTGAAACAGCGCTGCCATTTCAAATTGAACGTCACTGAGCTACTATAGACCACATCGGTGACTACAATCAGCGACCAAATTTGGTGCATGATTGTATTTTCATGGTGGAGGTGAAATTAGTCACGTGCTGTACAGGTGATTCCGCGGTTCGGCTGGAAGATCCGACGCGATCTGAGGCTATACTCCCACTTCTCAACCTTCAGGACTCAGAAGCAGCTCCACGGCATCGCGACACTTCCATTCTTCATTAGCTTCACCCTTGACTCATTGGTGGTGCATTGATGCTTCAATGCCCTGCTGCCCTCAACTAGCGGCCTTTTTTCTAGGGGGTCGACCGTGGCTCTGTTAGCTGAGATCCACAACGTTACACCTCATTCAGACTCCTTCCCTCTACCCCTCAACAGCCTTCCGTCCCGCTATCGTGCTTCTGGCCCACTTTCTTTCCTTCTTCTTTAGCTGCACGCGTGGCAATCGACCAACGGAAGCTACTGGGGACAGGATTCCCTGTATGCACCCCACGAGCTCGCACAAATTCGCAGGCATCGCCGACGCGCCATACATGTTTTCAACCCTGTCCTCGCTCGGCACCTCACCCCACATCCAATCCAACAGCGCCTTATTTCATGCTTAAGAATGGCGCTGGTTCTTGGCGGCCATATCGTAGAGTATCCCCTGGGCCCTCACGAAGTCATCTACCGCAAACCACCAAAGAGTCCGACACAATCACGCCAGCATGTTTGCTTCCGCTGCGAGCCCTGTGACCGCACATTCGTGGACAAGTTCGCCCTATCCCAGCATCTCGAATCCTCCAGCAAGCATAGCCTCTGCGGGAATTGTATGAGCGACTTTACTTCTAGCCAAGCACTGCGGGAGCATTGGCGCCAGGACCATTGTATGCACCTCTGTAATGGATGCGATACTGGCTTCGGCACCGCCGACGACTTCATCGCACATGCTAATGCTTGTTAAGTATGCCCACAGTGCCACAGACACAACCCGAATGAAAATAACCTTGAATTTGTAAGTGAAAAATCCTGTTTCTTTTCGATTCCTGCATGCACCCCGCCAATCGGAGTACCTTAAGCGAACAAGTTGCGTATCTTGATCCTTCCTTGACGGGGTAACTGGGGCCATTTGCCTTTCTGAAAGGGGACCTATCTCGGCGGCTTCTTTAAGGTGGTCTCCGAAAAGTCACCGAACTGCTAGAGCATTTTCTCTTTTAGAAGAGCTCATGAACGCACAGTAGTGAAGAGAGCTTACCAATCCTCAGGCTTGTTTGTCTATACCTATTCCTCTAGGCTTCAGCAGACTTCGGGATCGCGAGTGTATGCCACACGCCACAAAGCTGCAATAAAGACGCCACAGACCACAGAACTGCTTTTCAGACGCCACAGAGTCATATACACTCCGTCACTAACCACGCCTCACAGCACCGCCGGACCCATCTCCCCGCCACCATCCTGTGTCTCTCGTCTGTGTGCGATAGAGTCTTCACGACCTTTTCCCCCATCCTGGCCGCCACCATCGCACCTCCCGCCCCGCCTGCAGCCCTGAAGGATTCCCAGCCCCCTTCTCCACTTTCCTACCGTCGCGCTTGTCCCAATGCGGCCCGCATCGGCATCGGCATCGCCTTTCCCAATCCCTGCCATAGCCCTGATTAGGGAGGATAAGCGAAGGAAGCCAAGACGCTATGGTCGAGAAATGAGGCGAGGAGGTGTGCGTGTGCGCGCGGGCCGGTGTGGTGGGCCGGTGGTTTGAGGGCTAGGACGTGCGCGGGTTTTCTTGAATCACGATTGCTTGGCCTGGCGGAGGGGTATGAGTTGCCGGTGTTGGAGGGAGAGATAAGGGGTGCGGGTGGGATGTGTAGGTTGGGTTGTGAATGATGACTTGTTGTTCCCGTGCAGTGAATGTCGCTGTTGAGGTCTTGTGTGCGTGTGCTGTGGCTTCTGGTACTTCCCTATGAGAACTGGGGTGATGCAGGCGCAAAAGCAGCGACCTAGGGACTTCGATGTGCGAATTTTCAATGTATGAGGGGATGTCGTGGGTTAGGAGTTGGTCGCATTTTCATTTCAGGTCGTCTCGATCTCTACAGTCCCAGAACACAGGTTCGGATATTTTCTTGCCACCGCTTGGGGTACTTCCCTTGGCTTTTGAAATATTGATTACGATGTAAAGATGGACGCAGCGGAGATCAAGTTTCTTTTTAGCAGACTGAAATGCTAATTGGGCTACTCCTCACAGTGGTATCGAGCACTCAAGAGTATAACCCGTGCAGTAGTGATCTATCGGTGTGCCCAAACTTATGACGTAGTCCTGTAAGTCGGTCGTCTCCAGTTGCTCATCACACCTTTACTTCCACCTACACGATACTATCCGTCTCATAGTACCTGACGGAACATATTAGCAAAGATTGAAGAAGAAGGATAGAGAGGATGTTTACCAGTCACTGGGATCATACGGGAATTTCCTATCTTCCATTAGCCTTCTTCCTCCATTATTCACACACCCAGAATCAGTCACATAACGTACCTGATGACTACATCGCCCTTATAATCGGCCAAGTCGGGCTCAATCGGCTGGAAATCCAGCGCACAAACCGGCTCTTTCTGCCCGAACTCGGCGACTTCGCTAACAACGCCGTCTTTGTAGTTAATGCGGACCATGTTGACAGTTTCGCGGCTCGGGTCGCCTTTCAGGTAGTTGAGCGGCATGATTTGGAGACCGCTGTGAGCGGTAGTGAAGACCGTGTTGGGGAGGTCGCCTGTGTGGGGTATCTGGGGTGTATTAGTGGTTTGATGTGGATTGAAGAAGGGAGCTTAATACGTGATGCATGCCTGCCAGACGGTTAGCATGTTTTCAGATAAAGAAGCGGGATGGACGGCATTGTGCTCACCGAGATTGAACCACACGACCAAATCTTCCTGCATGAGCGACTCCCCATCAAAGAACTTGCTAAAATCAATAGGGGGGTCAGACACATCCTGCGAGTTGAACGGATGCGCAGAGCGCGGCTCTGAGTCTTTCTGTTTCGTAACCATCAAGTCGTAGCCGGCCCAATTCGCTGCGTTTACCAGATTACTGGAGTTCTGAACTGTCGAATGGATAGTGCCTTCCGAAGGTAGGATTCGATACCCTCGATACTCCCCAAAAGCATTCGGCTTGTCGGTGTTGACGACTGAGAATTGCGTCGCACCGTTGGCGGCCCAGAAGAGTTTACTCTCGTCCTCTGATTCGACGAAAGAGCGCTGAAGCTTCATCGTGTTGCGAGACTTGCCGCGGGACCAGGGGTAGGTCTCGGTCGTAGCGACGAGAGTGGTCATTTGCATAGTGTTTGCGGTGCCAAGGACGTCCATATCGAGTTTGTAATGTAGGACGTGATCATGCATGCTGAAATTGGAGTCAGTAGCTATTGAGTAGGACAGACCGGGAGAGATGTCTGATGAGCAACCAACCTTCCGGAAAGAGCATCATGGATATGGTACCCGTAGTCTCCGTTCTTAGCATAATACGTTGATTGAATGTATCCGGAGGCCCGCACTTCTATATGTATGGAGCCATCCATGTAAAATTGATAAGAGAACATGTAGTCATAATTCCCGACTGTGCTGACACTTCTCACCGTGAAGAAGATGTTCCTCGTGGAAGAAACATAGTTCATAGTAGAATGGCGTTGAATAGGATACCCCGCATCCATTTCGAAAAGGCAGATGCTATCGAGATGCGTGTGTGTTGTTTCCGCCGTATAGAAAGAGCTGTTGAGGTATGTCGCGTAGCTTGGGCAATCAAACCCTTTCACGAGTTCAAATGCGTAGGGTCCGAATCCATAGAAACTGTCTAAATAGGAGGTTCCAGATGAAACAGGGTCATTTCCGGCGTAATGAGCCAGTGCCTCCTCTAGGCCGAGCTCGTAGATGATACGCTCGCCTTTGTATCGAATGTTGAACAGTCGTAAGCCGGTATCACGCGTGAAAGATAAGTAGAAATCGAAATCCATCCATTTAACATATCGCTCTTCCACGTCCACCCTAAAGCGGGATCCAGCGGGAGCAACCAAGGAAGGTGGGTAGATTTTGTCCGCCGGGGGAACCGTTCCCTCCTGATCCGAATCGGCCCAAGTGTCTTCCACGTTTGGAGGCAATCTTTCGAATCCGGGAGACCAAAATGCTGCACGGAAAGCATCTGTGGTGGGATAGAAGACGTCATTGTAGAGCCACCCTTCGAGCGACCACTTAGATGGGTCTCGGCCCGTGACGTTTGACATGAAATAAAGGCCTAGAGGCAGAAGAGTCTCGGCGTCAAAATCTGACGTTGGATAGTTCCAGAATGTGTCCCATCGAATGATTCCGTCATCCTGCCATCTGTCCCACAATTAGCAGAAGTACGTTTCGGATGTAAACATCTACACCTACAACGGGTCGATTCCCCACACGTCTATCGTGTCATTGTCCAAGCCCAGACAGGTGCCGTTCCACAATTCTAGGGTAATGTCTTTGATGGAGGCGCTGACAACGTAGAGCCAATCGGAGTACAGAGTGTCATCATCCGCGTCAAGGTTACGGACTCGACCATTGTTTTGTTTAGTAAAGGGATAGGTCAACGGCTCCCAGGTGGCAGATCCATTGGTTCCGTTCTGTAGGGGCAGCGGCCCGACCAGGATATCCGCGTAGTACGGGTTCTCATCAGCGCGGTGATCTATCATCACATGCGCATACCGTGTTGGCGGTCGCTCAACAACGCCCTCGAGAAAAGCGAGAACATCTGTTTTGTTGGGCGTCATAAGCTCAACTAGCATTATGGTATTGTCCCTTGAAGAGTTATAAGACATCATTAGAGCGGATGGATGTAGCTGTAGCATACCATTCCGTTGCATTCTCAGTCTGAGTCAGGTTCAGCGATGTTTGGGCGAATAACCTAGTCGAAATTAGTATCCAATCTTGGAAAACTTCGACTTGCCACTTCATGCACGTGTTTTTCAGTTCCCAGGTCACGTGTACAGTGCTTTGTCACAGAAATCCGCACGCTTTCCTACCACTGTTGTGGGGTTCCAACGTACTGACAACCAGGGGCAGTGCATACACTTTCATTCTGCATACCCCCTGCTGACGCTGTCAGGGGTAGCCTCGCGAGCTTACCAGTTGTTCAAAAAGCGGAACTTCTCTCTCATTAAGAATGCTGAGAATAACATGAGGCTCCTCATGCAGCGGCAAACGAGTGCACGGATATCTTTGATGAGGAATTGTAAGACCTCCTCTCTTGGAAATATACGGGCTCTGCCCCTGGAGTCGAATGCAATCAAGGAATCTCTTCAAATCTCAACAGTAAAGATCACACGTACCATGCTGTTACTGACGCAGTTTCGTCATTGGTGAGTCCGGCCCAGACGTTTGGTTTGGGAGCCGCTAGCTTCCCGAGCTGGGTATCAACGCAATCCGTACCGCTGGGAGCTTCGCGTTTAGAATAGCCGGGAAAGCCCTTTCGTTTAGCAGAATTTCTGAGCCAAGCTGATTTGGGTTCCGGGCGGGGTCTCGACGCGACAAGGGTAGTATGAAAGGTTAACAGTAATAGCGAAAGCACTTGAAAAGCTTTAGAGAGGCCCATTGTGGTAGGTGATATCGAGACTCGAGGTTCTGCTGAGACTCAGGAACCGGGAGTTTGGCAAGCCTGTCTAAGGTTGACCTTTTGAACTGCATGGAAGTAGGATTGCCCCACCCTCTGCCACCGGGAGCCCGGTTCGGAAGATGTGCCTGAACGCTTCATCGATATCTAGCCGGCATTGGTGCTGTGGCAGGCACCGTTGCGGGGGGAGAAAGCAGGCTGTGTCAGTGGAGGCCCGGCAGTATGTATCAGTGGAATCCGGCAGTATGTGTCAGTTCTTTCTGAGCAACGAAGAACAAGTTGCTCGCTTATCTCATGACTCTGCCCATCAGGCGGGAGAAGGTTATGATGACAAGGACAAACGACAAAAAGGAAACAATGCCATGAATTAGCCCTACAGTAGCTATAGATGGGGAGTTCGCCGATAGACGATTCAAGTGCCGCGGGCGCACGGGATGGGACATGCTGGTCGACAGCAAGGATTCCGTAGTTGCTACTTAAAGCAGTTCGTGTCCGCAGATAAGGGTTCTCGCATGCTGATACTTCCTCCGTCTAAGCGGAGGATGAACGTTTGCCCGATGTCATAGTTGAAAGTGCTCGAAGGATTTGACGCGTTGAACTTGGGAGTTGATGAGAGAAGATGTGTTAGGCTAGTGATAGAGAGTGGAGGTTATTCGTAAGTGGGCGTAGCGGTAATCGATAGCATTGAGCATTTCTCAGCACGCTAACCTTGATATCACGACGACTGGCAATCATCCCTCGATGGATCCCCGCAATGCAACCTCAAAGTAACAGATGGGCAAGGAACCTGATAAGAAACCCCTCATCCCCGCGCCGGAAGGTGAGTGCCGACAGCATTCATCGGATCTTGTTTCACCGCTACATTTGAGCAGCGATGCCCGCTAGAACTACGCGTTCCAGCGCCTTATTTGTCTAACGCAACACTGCAAAAGGTCTCCTTTCAAAAACATCGTATTCAAGCTAACATGATTCTAAAAGCCGACGATGGCGCGGTGGAAGAGCGCGAGTCGACGGTGCAATCACCCAAAGCCTTCATTGATGAAATCGAGGGTGAAGTACGTGAAGCTATCGAGGCAGAACACCAGCTGGACTTCCTCGGTGCGCTGAAACTGTATCCCAAAGCCATTGGATGGTCTGTCTTTTTCTCGCTTGGTGTGATAATGCTCGCGTTCGATCCGCAGCTATTGGGGTAGGAAATTTCTTGAGCTTGATAAGGCTATGCGTCCTTACATTTGATATCAGGAATTTCTACGCTATGCCCGCTTTCCAGAAGGATTTCGGATATCAATACAACGGCGAGGTAGGGGCTCCCCATTCTGGGCCAAAGACAGGGGATGTATTGAGAGACTGACAATGAGTGATCAGTATATCATTTCCGCACCATGGCAGACTGGACTCAGTATGGGAAACCCGATTGGCCAGGCGGTCGGTGCTCTTTTTGCTGGACTTCCTATGGAGCTGTATGGACGCAAGAGAACGTTCAGCGTGTGCGTCTGTGGAACTGCGGGAATTGTGTTCATCCAGTTTTTCGCTCGTTCCCTTCCAGTACTACTCGTGGGTGAGCTGCTTGGTGGTTTATTATTAGGCTGCTACGGTGTGCTTCCTATTGCCTAGGCTTTTCGAGGATCGCTCGGCTAACAGGCCATAAGTTGTGATCGCGCCTGCATACGCGTCAGAGGTTTGTCCGATAGCCATTCGTGGGACACTCACGTCTTACATCAATCTCTGCTTTGTTATGGGTCAACTTCTGGCGAACGGAGTATGTGCTGGTACCTCGAAGCTATCAAATCATTGGGTGAGTAGCGCTACAAACACTCCCGAGTTCATTCTAAGCTTGATTCAGGCATATTCAATCCCCTTCGCTCTCCAATGGTTCTGGATTTTGATTATTATCCCCGGGATGGCCTTCGCGCCGGAAAGTCCATGGTGGCTAGCCAGAAACAATAGATTCGCTGAAGCTGAACATTCGCTCTCTCGGCTAGCTTCTTCAAAGGTAAACGTCAAAGCAACACTCGCTATGATCATCGAAACAGATCGATTTGAACAAGAAATGGAAGCTGGAAGCACCTATTGGGACTGTTTTAAGAAGATTAATCTTCGTCGCACCGAAATCGGAATCGGTGTATATGCTATTCAAGTTTTAAGCGGCATCTACCTTATCAATTACGGCACATTATTTTTTACTCGCGCCGGACTTCCAACCGACAAAGCCTTCGACATGGGCATCGGTTTCCTTGCCGTCGGTTTCGTCGGCACGCTGTGCTCATGGGTCCTCCTCCAGCACTTTGGTCGTCGTACGATCTACAACGTTGGCCTCACGATCCTCGCTGTGTTGCAACTCCTCATCGGATTTCTTGATCTGGCTCCCAATATTGATAGACACCCAAACATCATCTGGGCGCAATCATCTCTTATGATAATTTGGAATTTTTTTTACGATATATCGATTGGACCCGTCTGCTTCGTTATCTTGTGCGAAGTTAGCGCGACAGAAGTACGCGCGAAGACTATTGCCATATCCACAGCCGTGCAGGCCGTGCTTGGCATAGCGATGACTGTAGCTATTCCCTATTTGATGAATCCAGACCAAGCCAATGTGAAGGGAAAGCTTGGCTTCTTTTTCGGCGGACTTGCTTGCATATCCCTCGTATGGGCATTCTTCCGCATTCCTGAGACTAAGGGCAGGACATACGAAGAACTTGACATTATGTTTGAGAGGGGCGTGCGTACTCGGGACTTTGGAACCTACACGATTTAGGAGTAGAGGCTGCAGATACCGGTATCGTAAAGACTACTTTCTACCCTCCGATGTCTATCCATAAAGCATTCACCAGCAGTTTGAGGAGCTGGTCGTCACCGAATTTGACTTCAACCAGATATCTAATCTCGCCCGGTACCTAGCCTCACTTGAACAAAAAGTAGCAGCATCCATTTGTGGTCCTGATTTAAGATTCCCTATCCTTGATATACACACTTTTTCTGTGCTTGTGTACGCTTGCCCAACAACGCTTGAGGCCCTCTAGTAAGCTATCGAAAACTTTAAGATGCCAATTTTGACAAGCATGATAGGTCGCCACGCCACCTCCGACGGTGTGTTCAACGAAACTGCCACCCGGCTGTTCGTGATGAACTTTGGAAAATGCACAACCTGAAAAGCTCACGAACCACTTCGGAGATATCCTAGGGTAACATGCATAGTCTTTTCAAAGCTTGTCGAATTGCAAAACCTCCTTATGCACTGGCAATAATCTCAAAACATTGATTCAATCGGGCCTTCCTTCCCTGTTGTTCTCCCTGTGTGCACTGAACTCAACTCCCCACTTGGGGAATAATCGGAGACCTCACAAAGCAGAAACAAGAGCCACTTTCCGAGTCACGCAGATTGTTATCTGGGGCGACACCTGATCCGAGCCACTGGTTCAGGGATCCCGGAGTTTTGATATCGGCGCACATAAAAGCTTGGCCGCAACCTCTTCTGTAGACTGTGCTGATCTCTTAGACTTCGATCAATTAACTTTCCTTTCTGATACAACTTTGGACTGACCAAGGACTGAGCATCGCTTGCTCTTTTAGCTTTCGATCAAAATTAAGATGACAAGGACAGCCTCAATCCCGAGTGCGATCAACGAAAAATTCCGACGAGACATACACCGAAGCGATTGTGACTCCTGATACCAAACGCGTCAACAATCCCCATGGCGTCGCCCTAAAACCAGAAGATCGACATGTATATCGACCAGCTGCTTCAACACAAGAAATAGATTTGCTCATCAGTCTTTGCTAGTACGACTTCAACAAGAAGCTCATTTGGAAGATCGATGTCAGTTTATTGCCACTGCTATGTCTTATGTATGAAGCGACACTCCGAACCCCATGCGAATAACGGTATATATGCTAACTATAAAGCCAGGTTCCTCATGAACTACCTCGACCGCAGCAGCCTCGCTCAATGAGAGCAAAAATGGGTTGGAAGATGACCTCGGGATGAAAGGGGTTGAGTTCAACACTGCATCCTTCCGTCGCCAACCGTGACTTTCTTCTTCCCTTCCGTTGTGAACACCCTCGGATTCCCATGCATCACGACATTGCTGCTCACGGCGCCGGTGTGGGTAGCAACATTTGATTTCAATTCTTCGGAGACATGCGAGGAGTCCCTGGATTCATGAATGCAGCTATCGATGCCCTTCACAGGAACTTGATCATACGCTGGATGAACCTAGATACCGAAGTTGTGACCTACGTCTATAACAACACTGCCGAGCTGTCTCCGCCACGTAAGATAACTGTTCAATTCAAAGTTATAGGCACCGACACCCTCCACCACTTCCTCAAAAGTTATTATAACGATTGTGCTATCGGCTATATTTTCGACACACTGAAAATTGTGGATAAGGATGGAGGTTGGGGCCTCCGTTTTGGACGGGGTCGGTGGTCGAATGTTGACAGGTGCCAGTGGCATGACCACTCCGGACCTGGAGGAGTTTCGAGAAGAATTGCAACGAACGGGTGGCCCTCTCCATAGACGACGTGTATATGAAGGCTGCCTTGGTAAGGGAACAGTTTAATCGATTAGAGGGTGAAAAGGTCTCAGCTTGAGCCTAGCATTAAGTCATCCTACTACCCCCCTTATGTTTCTGCAAGACCTTCTCTGCCAGTGATGGATTGAGGCCTGACATTCGTGATTTGATTTAGAAATTGTGACTCTTCGATGTTGCCCAACAGTACATTGGCAGAGAGGTGTACACAGTGAGAACATACTATGACGTGGCTTCCGTTCACTTCAATTCAGCGCTTACCTAATCCTGCTGTCACGCTTTCTAGAACCTGCCGACCGTTTCGAGCGCAATCTCATCCTCTTTACCACAATCAACCTCTCGCTGGCTATGAGCGCCCAGCCCCCAGCGATACCTGCGCTGTCAACGGCGCCTAAGACTCCAACGGTACCGAAGCCGAAGTTCGTCATGCCAGATCTCAAGCCATGCTCGCATCCACCCAAGTCCCCTTTGATGTAAGTCCACCAGTGATGATAGAACGAGGGCTAGCTCGACGCCTGCACTGCACGCGGCTCCTGAAAAAGTAGCACTCTTAGTTTCAACAGGTCGCAGGGGTGGGTGTGTACACGTGTATGCCACTACTTGGGGTGCTTCAATACATTTTCAGAGATCTGAGCGTTATGGAAACTTTTCACCTTGGGCCATCTAAAAAGTTGTTGAAGCCCTCCAAGCACTGGCAGACAGGTGTACACCAATGCGGACTTCTTGAGTGTGTCACTTGTTTCCCGCCCGCTGTGGCCTGCCAGCTACGTCAATGAAGCACAAAAGGACATTGAGTCGCCGGGTTGCCTTGTCTCATGCACAAATTGTATGCTAACGGTGTTGGTGCATAGCGACGCCTACAGTCATGAGGTGTCAGTGATAGTCGGCCAGGAAAAGAAAGAGTTTCGCATCTACAAAGGCCTACTCATCTATCACTCCTCGTACTTCGCCGCCGCACTGAGGGTTGTACTGAGGGAAGGCCAGACCGAGCCGATCGAGCTTAAGCAGGACGAAGTGGAAGTGTTCTCCGCGTTCCATTGCTGGATCTACACTGGGCGCCTCGACAAATCTACGTCGTCGCCACTCAATAAGGATGGCCTGTATTCCCCAGAAGCCTTCAATAGGGTGCAAGCACTAGCCCTATACCTTCTTATCTCCAAGATCTCCATATTTGGAGAGACACGAGGCATACCGGCGTTGAAAAATGAGGCCATTGACGCATTCCACCGAGTGTTCACATGGTCTTGGATGGAAATCCCCGGCTCCAAGATTCGATACATATATGAGAACAGCTGCGAAGGATCTCAGCTACGCCGCTTCGCCGTCCAAGCTATAGTCGCAGGAATGCCGGATCACAATACCTTTGTTGCGAACAAGAGCGATCACTGGCCGATCGACTTCGTTTTCGACGTATTGGGCTTCATCGCCAGCAAGAACAAGAGTGGTACATGGCCATTGGGAGACGAGAGCTTGTTGAGGATAGCGTGGGCGAAGGTAGATCGATGCCAGTTTCACGATCACCGTGAGCCCGGAGGAGCTCTGAGGACGCCAACGTACCGACCGCCGTTTAGAGTATCACTGATTTAGACGACAATGGAACTTTTCTTGGAGCTTGTGCCAAACCGACGGACTCTCCGAGAACGACTGTGTACACTGGGTCGCCACTGCTTGGAGTGCCCCCATGAGGTTTCGGCAATCAGGAGAAAGTATAAGTCTTGATACACATAGATTTAGGCTCGTTTCCGAAGGCTTCTGGACCACCGGTTGCGTGGCGAGGCGATCCCGCATAACTGGACATCGGCCTAGGCCCAACATCAAATGATACTACTCCCCCCTTATGCTTCCACAGGACCTCTTTTGATTGTGACGTTGTTATCTGATGAGTAACTAACAGCTCTAGAAGGAAGCATAATTGCTGTAGTTCTCGTTTTTTTGCGAGAAAGATATATCTGTTGAACACTTAGCCATGGACTTTAAGAATCGAATAACCGGCAGGAACGTCGTAGTAAAATGTTGCAGACTTCCACGGCGTAGCTGCGCCAGCGTCAAATGAACCCTCTATGCACACGAACTCACATCTGCTCCGATGCTGCTAGAGGTGGCACTCCTAGGACAGCCTAGAGAGATCATCGATCAATCGAATCTTTCGATTCGAGCCCAACTTTCACCCCAACATAGCTTGCGAATTATTCAAGGCTTTGAGACATCATTGGTGGCGTTCAAGTAGTGGTAAACTGCGCGAAACTTGTGACGAGATACTTGTGATTGCGTCCAGCGTCGTTTCGATACGCCGAGAAGTCATGCCGGTCGATAGGCAGCCTTCATGCTGGAATGCGGTGAGGCCAGCACATGGCTGTCTAAGCTCAGATGTTGAAGTCGGGAGCATTTTACTTCCACGACTCACTTTAGGATTATCTCTCGGCCCGCTTGGTACCGATCCGCCGCCACGTATATCCGACTCGCGCATTCCTTCACCTCCTTCAACTTCGCGAGCTTCCGCTCGTACCTAACCACCACTGCGGAGGCCTGGTCTGCCGCCTGGCACTCGTCGCGATGGCGGCCACCGTCAAGTTCAAGATGCCGACTGACCTCAAGGAGTGTCCACACAAGACTGAATTCCCTCCACTGTACGTCTAACTGAAAACGCACTCGCTGATAGCGAACACAGCACGCTAAGAATATCGTTTCGATAGGACCGCTTGGGATTACGAAGTTTCGATCAATGTTGGCAAACAGAAGAAGGAGTTTCGGGTCTTCAAGGGTCTTCTGACTTACTACTCATCATACTTTGCGGCTGCTCTCAATGGAAGCTTCAAAGAGGGCGTCACCCAGGTTGTAGAGCTTGAAGAAGATAAACCAGAAGTGTTCGAGGCTTTCAAGAGATGGATGTATAACAGACGCCTACGGGACCAGGATCCGACCCCCTCTTGGCTCAAATCGACAAAATACCACCAGTTCTTGTGCGAGGTCTTTGTGTTCGGCGATATGAGAGGCATACCAGGCCTCAAGAACATGGCCATCGATCAGCTTCATAGAGCAACCGCCGAAAGTTGGGTCGTTCCGAATGATGCCATCAAATACGTTTACGACAACACACCCGAATCGTCAGCTCTACGCAGCTTCATTTTATGCATCTACCGTTCTACACTAGCTTCTGTCAAGGCTTTCATGGAACACGGCAAGGATCACCTCACGATTGACTTCATCTTCGATCTCCTGAACGAGGTGGACGCGCAGGGTGGTTGGAAGGGCATGAGCCAATTGTCATGGGCAAGAATGGACCGATGCCAATGGCACGATCACTCCAGCCCGGGAGAGAAATTACCGCCTACTTCGAAGGACGATGCAACCGCTTGAAGGCACGCTAAAATCCCCTTCTTGCTTAGCTAAAACTGCGGACACTTTGATGCTCTGCTAAGGCAGGAAGGAGCTTAACGACGGCTTTTGTTCTCAGATCTTGGCAACAGAAAACAATCTAAAGAAATTCATGCCTTGGCTAACACAATGGGGACCTGGATTGAGACAACGACGGTTGACTCTATGCCATGGCCGAACAATGACATGGGAGATGGAATAGTGGCTGGCTCGTCGGATCAAGGGCGCTCACAACACGCTGAGTGGTATCGACAAAACTATGAGATACAAATACAAGCTATGCTCTCATCGTCGTCGACACTAATTGGTGATCATTTCGAGTTAAGGATGGAGGTTCTAGAGGCCAGGAGTCGTCTGATAGCGCCTGGTTATGGAACCACTTTTTCGTGAACCAATGAATGCCTGACCTTGTCCCCTTTATTAATCCTCGTATCTATCGTTTTTGACCTGCTTTGCCCTCCACCGTCAGAGAAACCCCTGGTACTTCTGCTTCTGTTGAAATTATGCCCTCGAAGTACCTCTCATGATGCGCGTTACAGGATCTCAATTGAATACCGCCCCGAGAAGTGGTCTTGAAAAGAGGGTGAATGCAACTGAAGGCCAAGATACAGGACAACCTACCAACCTATGTAACTTCCTCGCTCTAAACTGAGCTTGGAGTTCCTACGTAAAACAGTGGACTCCACATCGTTCAAATTTTAAGAATTTGATGGTAGCTAGGAGGAATCTCGGGCGGTGAATTGATGATCTTATCAGATGCCCCGCGCCAAGCCCCGAGCTCCATCGCTGTTGACTGAAATACACCTCCACCGTCACTTCAAGCAATTTATCTCCACCTCACCAACCTCACCAACACAAACTCTTTCTAATACTCCTACACTCTCTCCAACTCACCATGGAGCAAACACGCGCTCTCAACGCGCTCGAACCCTTCCTCGCCCTCTCGAAATCCGCAAACTCTCCCCGCGCTGCCGCCGATCTGGTCTCGCAAGCTACCTCCGCCCCGAACACCTACGTCTTCGCCGAGCTTCTGCAGACGCCAAACATGCAAGCACTGAGGCAATCGACCGAATACGCCTCACACCTCACACTACTGGAGATATTCGCCTGGGGCACATTGGCAGACTACAAGGGTAAGGCAACCACTTTCCACTTTCCACTTTCCAACCTCCACCCTCAAAACCCACACAGATCTAGAAATCCCAGCTAACACCCTCCCAGCCAACCCCTCCCTGCCCCCCCTAAACGCCCAACAACACCAAAAGCTCCTCCTCCTCTCCCTGCTCCCCCTCGCCCGCTCCCACACCACCCTCACCTACGCCCACCTCACCACCGCGCTCTCCCTCCCCTCGCCCCGCGCCCTCGAGGAGCTCATCACCACCGCCATCTACGCCTCCCTGCTCACCGCGACCCTCGACCCGGCGCACGGCCTCGTCAACGTCTCCTCCATCTCGCCGCTGCGCGACCTCGCGCCGGGCGCGCTGCCCGCGCTGTCCGCGACGCTCGCGGCGTGGAGCGCGCGGGCCGGCGGCGCGCTCGACGAGCTGGACGCGCAGATCGCGGGCGTGCGGCGCGCCGCGGTGCTGCGCGAGAAGGAGCGGCGCAAGCGCGAGCGCGGCATGGAGACGGCCATGGCGCTGCTGGAGGAGAAGAGCGGCGGGGCGAAGCGCGGGCCCGGGGGGAATGGGGAGGAGGGCGGTGGAGGGGCGGGCGAGGCGATGGAGATTGACCAGGAGGATATTGTGGGGAGGTTTGTGAGGGGCGCGAAGAAGGGGGGGTTGGGGGGGTTGGGGGGGTTGGCGGGGTTGGGGGGTCGAAGGTTGTGAGAGAGCGTTTTGGGGGGGTGGGATTGGGTGATGGCGTGCTGACGGGCGTGTAGGGATCGCGATGATGGTGATGAGGTGGTGGGGGATGGGCCGTCGGCGAAGAGGATGAGGGGGGATGTTGCTGTGGATGTGGCTGGAGGTGCTGGAGATTATGGTGGTGTGAAGGAGGAGAATGGGAAGGTGGCTGAGGATGTTGGAGATGGCGACTATGGCGGTATGAGAAATGAGAAGAGCGAGCAGGAGGCGCTGAAGATGCTTGATGCGGGAGGTGTTGAAGGCGTTGAAAACGGCGACAAAGACGGTGGCATCGACTGAGCATGATCATGCTCATTTGCGACATATTCATCGGGATTCGACTCGGCGGAGGTGCCTTCGCGGTAGCATGGAGTCGTCGACCAGAGGATGAATAATTAGAGAGCATAATTCATCATAGGAGTTCACAGGCGAACAATATATCTTTCCTACCTATACCTTCTGAAGTAGCTCGACAAAGCAACTAGTCGATCAAAAATCTCACGCACAATCTTTGAAAAGATCTCGATCCTCATCATCGATCCTCATCATGCCTCACGCACATCTCCACCAAATCACTCATTCCTCACACTCCAGCACATCACCCAAATACGCACCAGATGAATCTTGTAAAACTTCTCAAACCCATGACTTTCGAGTATATACAAGCTCCCCTCCCCCCCGGGGGCCAATCGTTGGAGAATACGAGACAAAAAAAACTACCTGAAAGCCCCGTTTCCCGCCCCAAAAGTCATAAGAAAACGGGTATTACTCCACCGCCCCTCCGTTTGTTGTTGTTCGCTATATGCCGTTTCGTGACGCCTGAAAACTCCGCTGTTCGCAAAAAAAAAGATGTGAGACGCCGTGGAAATGTTAACGCCGGTGAGATGTGCGGGACCATGGAAATGTGCAGGACCGCGGAATATTGGAGTCTGGGGGCTGGGGAGGTAGGCGATGCTAGCCTAAACGCAGAAGAGTATGGATGAGAGGGGCTGTAGGCCGTGTCGGGCATTTCATGACCAAGTCTTGCCATCCGTGCTGAGCCAGAAGTTGAGAGGGAAGCTGATGACGTTCATCTTGCTGGTTAACGGAGTTGATAGATGGTAGAGTGTAACAGTCTGGATTGTGGAGTGTAAAAGTCATCAAGACGATGTCGCGGCGCCCAGAGATGGTACCGTGGGTCTGCTCGAAAACGCAACCGTGGGCGCGGTAGACGTCGCCGACGGCTGTATTTCCATGTCTCCACCTTCGCCCCTTTCCTGCTCCTTCAGAAACTGCTCCCACTCCGGATCCATGACGACGCTCACACCTTGCTCGCGCAACGCAGCCGCATGTCGTAGCCGCTCGTTGAGCGCGAAGCCCACGGAATCGGCCACCTCGTCCTCGTCGCTTTCCTCGTCTTCGCGGTCGGCCATGTCTGCGTCCGCTGGCTCGTCCTCCTCTTCTCCGTCAACATCCATCCCCGAGCTGCCATTCACGCCCCGGCCCCGCTGTTGCGGCTGCCGCACCTCCTCGATCTCAACCTCAATCCGCGTCTTCACGTTAATCCCTTTGCTTCCCCCTTGTTTCACGCGTTTCCTCCGGTCCACCCATTCCCCGATCTCCATGCCCGTCGTGTCGTGCACCTTCACCCCCTCGTCGCGCTCGTACCGCTCGCGGGCCCACAGGGTCCCCTCCCAGCGGCAGAAGCCCTGGATCTCGTGCTCGGTGAGGCCGAGGTCGTCGAAGGCGCGGAAGAGGCGGGCGTGGTGCGGGAAGCGGCCGAGGCGCTTGCGGTGCGGCGGGTGGAAGTAGTTGAGGCCCGGGTAGCGGGCTTCGATGGTGTCGAGGGAGCCGTAGAAGGTGGCGGTTTCGATGCGGACCTCGCCGACGAGGCTCTTGGAGAGGTGGGCGCTGAAGCTGGCGGGGTCTTCGGGCCGCGGGTTGGGGAAGAGCTCGTTGTAGACGAGCGTGGTTATGGGTTGTTTGCGGTGCATTGTGGGCGCTGTGGCGAGGAAGAGCTGCGTAGGGAGCGGTGTGTTCGCGGTGGAGGACGCAGGCGCGCGCGGAGTGAGATGCCGGGGCTTATGTAGGTGTGACTGCAGCTAGGGAAGGGGCCGGACGTGTCCGTGTGCTGGTTCGTGTGTGGAATGGTGCCTGGATGGCGTTCCGAGGACGAGTGGTCCCTGGTTCCTGAGGGCACCAAGCACGAGACTGGCAGCGTGACTGCAAAGGGAGTGGTGGTGGAACAAATCACAGCGGCCGTCACGCAGACGACAGGAGCAGGAGCAGGAAGGAGATGCTGGAGGCGGTGGCTGACCGTGGTTGGCGTGGATATAGCGTGAGGCGGCGGACTGCGGCAGTTGTTTCGCGGAACGCTACTCTAGGGGTGAATGTCGCGGTTCAGGAGGTCGTCAGGGAGACGGGGAGAATTGGGGCGGAGGGCTCGGGGAAATGAAGTCTTTGAAGCTGTACACCGCCATTACTTATAACGGCAGCACTGCTCCCACACCCCGGGCAGTAGCCGCGAGGTGGGTGCGCCTGGTGCATGCTTTGTGGTGGAGCTCGGGGCCGTCGCTGTGCCTTCAAGGGTCGACCGATTTAAGCTGCAGCAAATCCGCCAACGCCACCTATCACCGCCGGCCCAGCCTGCACCACGCCGATTTGGCGGCCCTGGCAGCGTCCAGCAGAAGACCAGCCCGGCCGGCCCTCCAGAACCACGGGCTGCCTCCAGACGGGCACTGAATGCGGCCACTGACGGCTCCCGGCCTCTGCTGCTGGGTGCTGCGCGCGTAAGCCGTGGCCAACGAAGCCCGCCGTGCCCGCCTCCCGCTTTTTGCGCCTTTGATCCATCCCGTCGGCTTCGACCCTGACGAGCCGTGCCCGGCCAGCATCACCTCGACGCCAGGGCCGCGCCACCGTGGCACTCTCCACTCCTCTCGCACGCCTGCAGCAAGGCCCGCAGATGCGCGCTGCATGCCACCGACGCGGGCCGGAGGAACAGGCGGCGGACGCGCAAAGAAAGTGAAACTCTGCAGCGAATCGCGCCGACCAGCGCCTACCGCCTTTTCACCCACGCCACTCGACCGCGGTCCTGACTGCTGGGAGCACGCGAACTGCATTGCCAAACATGTCGACCTTCAAGGGCGTCGTGGCCGGTAAGTCGGTTTCAGCGCCTCGATACGGTCGTGTCCTCACCCACTTCCGCCCAGAGTTCCCCCAGATCCGAATCGACTACTTTCGCCCCGTGCTGGCCGTGCCGCCGCCGCTGGCCTGCTTCCTCAGCCATGTGCACTCCGACCATCTGCAGGGCCTGGAGTCGCTGAGGGCGCCCTTTGTCTACTGCTCGCCGGCAACCCGCGAGGTGAGTGACTGATTGGCTGCCATGCTCCGCATGAACAGACGTGCCCTGCATCCCAGCCTCCATCCTTCCATCGTGGCTCGAATCACGCGTCTGGTCGTGCAAGAACGTGCTCTATCTGCATGCACCCATCTCTCTCAATTGTCTAGCTTCCGCTGCTTCTGTGCATGCGCGTTGGTGTTGATGCTCCCAGATCCTGCTCCGTCTCGAAAAGTACCCCCATCGAATGAATTTTGCAAAAGGCCTCCTCGAGACGCGGAAGCAGACGTACAGGCATCTGAAGTATTTGCTCAAGACGCTGCCTCTAGACACGCCGACTGTCATCGAGCTATCTCCCGGCAATGAGTTGCGCGTCACCCTGTTCGATGCCAATCACTGCGCGGGGGCCGCCATGTTCCTTATCCAGGGCGGCGGCAAGGCAATCCTGTACACAGGGGATATCAGATCCGAGTCCTGGTGGGTAAATTCTCTGGTGCAGAATCCGGTACTAATCCCATACACTCTTGGCAATCGACGACTTGACTGCATATACTTAGACACCACCTTTGCAACCAAGTCACTGTGGTCGAGAGACTTCCAATCTAAAGCTGAAGGCATAAAGGAACTGCTCAGTAAGGTAGAGAAATACCCCCCCGAAACAATATTCTACTTCCATTCCTGGACCTTCGGGTATGAAAATGTGTGGATCGCTCTCTCAAATTTCCTTGAATGTCCTATACACCTCGATAAATATCGGTGGTCAATCTATAAATCTCTCTCGGCCGTAAGAGGCACCCCAGACTGTAGAGAGGCACCGCCACTCTCTGGATTTTCTCTAGGTAACCACCAAAGGAGCGGCTGTCTGACTCAAGATTCGAACGTCAGACTCCACAGCTGCGAAAAAGGATTTTCATGTCCTGCCGTAAAGAAAAACTCAAATGTCGTACACATCCTCCCGATTGTAACGCGATTAGAAAACGGTTCCGAAATCGCCGAACTTGGCGCAGGCGGTGGCAAAGGAGATCTAGATCAAGCTCACGAACTCGAAGTTGGCAGCACCAACGATGTAGCTCAGCTGATGCATCTCTGTGCTACAAACATATCCAATCCAGACCTTCTCTCAATAGTGCTCAAACTCCTTTCTACCACCATCACCGACTCAAAAGACAGTATAACGCTCGAACCTAGCACAGCTGAGAATGGCTCGTGCGAGGACGTTACGCTCCTCGACAACCTTCCGATAAAAGACCTCATCCCTATACTAGCAAAAGGTGCAGCGAGACAGGCCTCGCACCCTACACCCTCTTCGGAAAATGGAAAGTGCCTTCCAATTCAGGAAGGTGGTCTCCCCAAAACTATTAAATTTCCTTATTCGAGACACTCGTCGTACAGAGAGCTCTGTGAGCTGGTCCAAGCATTCCGACCACGTGACGTCTATCCATGCACCGTCGACGCCGCCAATTGGACCTCGGAGCTGAGCATACGCTCTCTCTTTGGCAATCTCTGCTCAGATGATGTCTTTGCACATGATGCGGAGATGCTGGTAGCATTCGCACAGCGCGCAGAAGGGGCCCAGCAATCCGGAGCAAACGACGAGGAAACTCAAATCAGCGTGCATACTGAGACGCAGGCAAGCACGGTAGAGGATTTCCAGCAGTCCGTGAAACGGGTGGACCTAAGCCAGCATATGTCTCTTATCTCGCCGCCGAAATTGAAACGAAAAGCGTCGTCGCTGTTGCAACCGAAACCATCGGTTGATACATCGGAGATTAAAGAGACGACATTTGAATCTCTAGTTAAGACGAACCCAAAAGCTAGCAACTCTACTCGTCAAACACTTGCAAAGAGGTTGCAAGGTTTCCAACCAATGGCAAAAGCCCAGCATCCCTCCTCATCGCCATCGCACGTTTCTCCAGAACCACCTCCTAAGCATAAGACATCACGAGCACAGGTAAGACTAGATCATGACGGCGAGATGTACGTTGAGTCTATCCATTCGTCTCAAGAGAGCGACGACGGCCAGAACTCGCAGGTCTGGACGGATCGGCAGAGGGAAATGATATCTGCCTATTTTGCGGGAAAGGATAGGAGGGCTAAGGACGCACATCTACTCGCTGTTGACGGAAGACGTCTGGAAAATGTCGTTCTGAGTACTGAGATTCCAGAATCGGACTCGGATTCTAGAGAAGGCAGCATTGTCCGAACACCGCATAACACGACGTCTAGAGGCTACTCTCGAATGAGTACTACGGTGGAGACGATACACAGCACGCCAGCTCCCTCCCGCTCATCTCTTCCTTCTAGAGTACCAGCTACGGACCCGAGAACGAGCACTACCGCCGAAACCCTCCGTAGCACCTCCCTGCAAGCCTCTACCTCTACCTCTAAACCCCTCGCCACCACCCCTCGACCCGGCACAGCCGCCAACCCCATCGACATCCCAAGCTCCAGGCCGAGAGCACCCACCCCTGTCTACCACAATCCCCCCGACCCAGATTCCTCGCTCCCACACAGTCCCTCGCCGCCAACTACTCAGATCAGAATCCCCGCTGCAGATGACAAAGACAGCAGTATGAGCGAGACTGACTCCGAATCATACCCCGACCTGGGCTCCGACTCCAAGTTCCGGCGCATGGCATACGACGCCGCGCTCGGCCGGAACGGGCTGAGCATGGAGGACATCCAGATCGTGTGTGCGCGGCGGGACAGGTCGTCGCCGGAGTTGTGATTCCCGGCGCCGTTGGCTTTTAGCGACTGGGTTAGGAGGTGTTGGCGCGGATTGGATGAGACCTATAATGGAGGTTCAATTGGATACGATGGCCTGGCCTGATGTTTTATGGTGTCTTTATTTCTGACGCTCTGAGTCGCTTGACAGGAACTTAGGAAATTGACGAATGAGGCCCGTCTTAGCAAGGGAAGCGTAACGTGACGTGCTACCTTTTAAGTATGGCAAGCTTTGAAAATCGGACGTCTGGTCTTCTCGGTTTTTTTTCTGATTTCGCAAAACGCCCAGCTCCTAATCGTGCGCAAAGCCATCCTAATCTAGACACTCGAACTCAGGCCGCATGCGTACTCATCCTCTTTGCTAGGCGGTCAGGGTCAGGGTCAGGGTCAGGGTCCGGGGGGGGGCCCTCCGTGGTCCCTTCAACACAACCCCCGACTACGCCATACCGAGCTATGGCAGGGGCATACACGCCAGTGTAATTGGGATCGGGAAGATGGTACCGTTTCGTTCGAAATACACCGAGACCGAGTTCTGCTTTCTTCGCATTGTCCTGGCCCTTCTCTGTGTCCCCCCGACCAAACCCTCCACCCCCACAGGCTCCAAATTCGGCTCCGAAAGCGGCTGGTATGGACGCTATGCCAGCGTAGCTGGATTCTAGAGATCTGGGCCACAGAAAGGAGAGGTTAGGTAGTTGCTAAAGACAGGCAGGCAAGCTAGGGTGAAAACTCCAGAAAGGGCTTTCGGGACAGCGTGGGAGTATCAAGTAGTTCCTGAGGAAGCTGATGGCGGGTGGGTAAAAGGGGTTGGTTTTGGGGGGTGGGGGGTGTGCCTCAACAAGCATAAATAGTAGAAAAACATGCTCAAAGAGCTCCTAATCTCAACTCCACCGCACCACGATGACAACGCCAAGCACGTGATTTCTCACACAGCGCACGGACTGCCTTTTCAACCGCACTCCATTTCCCTACTTGGCTTATAAGTACAACCCTCCCCCCCCCTCGACCTCATCACCACTCCATCACCTCCCCGGGCTTCGGCCGCTGCACGCGCACAATCTTATCGCAGTTCAGCAAGCACAGCGGGTCGAACGCGAGCTTCAGCCGCCTCATCGCGTCCACGGTGGTCTCGCCGAGCTCGTGGGGCAAGTAGTCGCGCTTGACGAGGCCGATGCCGTGCTCGCCCGTCGCCGTGCCCTCGAGCTCGATGGCGCGCTTGACCATGCGGTGGACGATTTCCTCGGCGACGGCGTGCTGCGAGTCGTTCCAGAGGAGGATGGCTGGGCGGATGATTAGCCTTAGCCCTTTCCCTATCCGTTTATGGGGGGTTATGGAGGGAGGGGAGAGAGAGAGAGAGCGGGGTTAAAAGAGCTTACAGTGGAAATTCCCGTCACCAACGTGGCCGACGATGCTGCCCAAAAGGCCGCTCTCTGAGATGTGTTGCTTGGTTTCCTCGATGATGGTGGGCAGGTGCGAGATCGGCACCGCCACGTCCGTCGTCCAGACGTGGTCGCCTTCTTTCTGCTGCGAGATGACGCTCCACAGCGCCTCTTTCCGCGCGCTCCACAGCTCCAGCTGCTCCTCCTGCGACTTTGCGAACTCGAACGATCGCGAGCCCGTCGCCTTCGCCATCTTCTGCACCTGCGCGACCTGCTCCTTCACCGCCGAGGGCGTCCCCGCGAACTTGAAGAACAGCGTCGGCGCCTCCGCCCACCGCTTCGTCGTCATGCCCGCATCGTTAATACACTTCATCTGCACATCATCCAGGATCTCAATCGCCGCAATCGGCACCCCCGCGCCCACAACCTTGAACACGCACTCGGCCGCCTCCCGCACCGTGCCGAAGGCCGACACGGCCACCGACGTCTGCTGCGGCTTGACCGTCACCTTCAGCGTCGCCTCCGTCACCAGCCCCAGCGTGCCCTCGCTGCCGATGAACATGCGCGTGAGGTCGTAACCCGCGCTGCTCTTGCGCGGGCGCTGGCGCGTCTTGATGACGGTGCCGTCGGCCAGCACGACCGTCAGCGCCAGCACCCACTCCTTCATCGTGCCGTAGCGGTACGAGTTGGTCCCCGAGCACCCCGTCCCCACCATGCCACCGATCATGGCCCCCGGGCCCGGGTCCGGCGGGAAGAACAGATTCGCCGCCGCCAGCTCCTCGTTGAGCCGCTCCCACCCCACCGCCGGCTGCACCACGACGTCGAGGTCGTCGGCGTGCAGCGCGAGCACGCGGTCCATGCGCGTGAAGTCGATGCACACGCCCCCCCGCGTCGCCGCGAAGTGGCCCTCGAGCGAGGTCCCGCCCGAGTACGCCGTCACAGGGATGCGCCGGTCGTGGCACACTTTCATGATGAGCGCGACTTCGTCGGTCGAGGCGGGCTTCACGACCGCGAAGGGGACCTCGTCGGCGAGGAGCGGGTGCGAGGACCACGAGGAGCTCGAGTGCGCTTCCAGCTCGTTGCGCGCGGTGCTGATGTTGGCGGCGCCGACGATGTCGCGGAAGTCGGTCCACGCGGCTTGCAGGTTGCCCGGGGAGGTGTCGTGTTTTGGGGGAGTGGTCGCGGCGAGGGCGGTCGTGGAGGTAGTGGTGGCTTCGGGGGGGGCTTGGGTGCCGGCGTAGTAGCCTACGGCTGTGGAGAAGGCGACGACTGGAGACTTGTTAGCAGAAGTTGCAAATGGAGATTTTAGGTTGCACGCTTTGCTGGGCTGATTGTGAGGTCGCGGGGAGATATGTCCCATACCGAATAACATGCTAGCACCCCTCCCACCAGAACCCAGCTGCCTCTTCGTCGCAAACCGGGCCTGCTCTTCCCGCTCTTTCTGTATCCGCTGTGCCGTGCTCTCGTACAGCTGGCCCTTGAACGACCTCCCCTCCTCCTTGGCGCTGGCATAGCCCCGCCGCTGCGAGAGGCGGAGGCGGCGAGCAATCCATGGCGATGGTGTTGCGCTTTGGCAGGTGCCTTGCAGCGCCAATTGGCGGCGAGAGATGCGGAGGACAGACATTATAACCGCACGCAACTGTCGAGCATGGCGAGATAATGGGGCCACGGGACGGCGGGGGGCGGAGAGCTTTGTAAGTACTTGTATGGCGCGGAGGCTTCGAAAGAGTCGACGTGCTTGCGTGCTCGGTCCGTTCTTCGGGGATCGGCAGATTGCAAGCCGCCAGCGAATCAGCGCCTTTCACGCACCCTTTCACCCTTTTGCGCTTTACTGTTAGGTAGGTCACTGCTGGTAACGACTGATTCACAGGCATGACATGTATTCACAGTGAAGTGGCTTTTTGAAGAAGAAAAGTCGCAATCCGTGATTGCTAAGCATTGCAGACGTATCTAAGCAATATCTCCAATGCGAGGGATAAAAAACGCAGACGTGGAATCCACCCAGCCCGTTATAACCCAAGAAGCCCATTCGGCATCCAATGCGGTCTGAAAGACGACGCAAATCCCAGTAACACCGCGGGCAGCTATCCAAAATTGCTGCCGAGCCCAGAAACCCAAGATCCAAATATAAAAACCCGTGCCCTAGCCAATGCTCGCTGTATATGCAGCGAAGAGAGAGAAAAGAAGAGCATTGCATCATAAACCCATAAACACGTAATAACGCCATGCTGTAAGAAAGCCATAAAGGCGAAGAACGACTGCGGTGCGGCGAATGACCACAGCGTGTAGAAATATAAAAAAGATGAAAGGGCATATCACTGTTATGTACGCTTGCTTGGCACCGCTAGAGGTCCTCTAGTATGTTATCGAGAATTGTGAGACGTCAGTTTTCATAAGGCTGATAGCTCTCCAGGACACCTCAAACAGTGTTGGCCTGCGACAATCTCGGGCGCCAAGGTGGATATCGCTCCTGATTTTCGTCGGTAATAATGGTGTTGAGTGGTGAGTAGATAGTGTCCAAGCAAGAATGTGAGTTTGCTGTGTTTGTATGGCTTTGAAGCGTGAGTAGCAACATCATGATCATGCAAGCGTCAGGCCAACAGGCCATTCACTTCCTAAGCCATGTGCAGTCTCTTGCCTAGCCGCAACATCCTGGTTCTGAACCAGGTCACAAAGTTCGCCCAGCGGCCTTTTGCCAAACGTCGGCCAGTAATCGGAGGAGCAGCATGGATCTCCTTTTCTGGGTCAATGGTAGCCACACGAGCCGGGAGTGAACGAGTGTGGGCGGGTGCGTAATTGGAGTATTCTTTGCCGGCAACCGATGCAGCCACTTTTTCCTGGGAGACGCTCAATGTACGTTTTTCCGCAGCATCAGATTTCCGACGCTGTCGCTCCTCCTGTTTGTACTTCTTTTTGCTTTCGCGATCTGCTTGCTTCATCGCCTCTTTCTCGGCTTTGGCGTCTTTGGCAGCTTCTTTCTCTTGATATGCCTGACGAGCTGCGCGAATTGAAGCGGCTCGCGAGGCAGGATCTACAGGTGAGTCTCGGCCGCCGCGAATGAAGCCAAAGGCCTTGTCGAGAGAAGGACGGGAGCTTGGCGACGCGGTGTCGATGGATTTGAGAGTGTCTCCACGTGGTCGCGTTGGGGGTGAAGCGAGCGACAGACTTGTTTGCGAATAGCTACCCAGCCTGGTGGAAGATCCCGAAGTCGTCACGCGGAGTGCTTGTGCTTGTGTGGAGGATATGGAGCCAGAGCGCCGGGTCGGGTCAAACATGTTTTGCCTATATCTCATCTCTTCGTCAGACATGATGTCGTCTGCCTCATCACCCTCGCTTCCAATCATCGAAGCCGGAGAAGACTTGGATTTACTTTGAGGCGGAGTATAGGGCCGGGACGGCTGTCGCAGGGGCATGTAGGGGGCCGTCGGGCGCTGCAGACTCGACGAGGTAGAGAACTGCGAGGTGTTGCTTGTGGAGCGGTTGTGTCTGGTCCGACTGTTTACTGGGGCGAAGCTGACGTCCGAGGCATTTCGCGAGCCAGCTCCATATTCGTGGATCCCAAGCCCAGCTAGTCGCTCATTCTCGGCGGCGGGGCGGGACAGGTCAAGAGTGTTGGTGTCTTTCACGGAGAGCTTTCGTAGGTAGGGCTTGATCTTGAGAGGGTTGGAGGCGGCCGGCGTGGGACGCGCAGGCTCCCAAGGCTCTTCGTAGGTGGCCCTGGGGGTGTCGAAGCGGTTGAAGTTGTAGCCCGCGAGTTCCGAGCTGGTCTTTGGGTTGTTGATAGACGAGGCAGAGTTCCCGCGCTTGTGAAGTTTGCCGTGTTGCGACGGCGCATGCGATCGGGTTGCAGCCATGATTTTCGGGGTCTCAGAGGACGAGATCAAGGGGACATGTCTCGCGGACTGCGGCGGGGCGCTGCTGGAGTGATATTCGCGGACCATAGCTCAGTTAGGTAGGTTGCGGGGAGCGGCGGCGGCGGCATCACCAGGGTAACATGGTGTGAGGTGGTGGTGCGGGAAGAGAGGCGACAAGTCTTTGAAGAAGGCTAGCGGAAGTCTCGGAGGCTTTGTAGAGAGCGAGGGCTCCGTCGTCGCAATGGTGCGCAGACGGTGGTGGGCGGCCCAAGTGGCTTTGAAGGCAGACGGCAGCTGGAGCAGCGGGCTTTGATCGAGGCTGCGCAGGGCCAACGTCAACACTGGGGGCTCAGGCGGGCGACGGCAGCTGAGGGCGCACTCGCGGCAGACAGCAGGCGGCGACGGAGGCAATATAGCTGCCGGCTGCCCAAGATGAAACAGGACGGCGAGGGGAACGAGGTGGAGGTGCGAGCAGTTGGGGTCGGCGATGGAGACGGGGTGGCCTTCACTCCAGTCGGGGCGGGCCTTGCCTTTGCTTTGAGGCCGCTGCAAACAGCGGCCTGGGCTCTCTCCACGCAGCCTAAGCCCGTCGCACGCCAACGACACCTCTGAACTATACTGGATTGTGGCATGCCTCCGCGATTTGCAATTGCCCGCTTGCCCAGTGGCCTCACGCTGCTGCTCGCTCTCATGACATGCTGCGTGGTCCAGCCCGCCCGGCGCCCGGATGCACGCGGTGAGAGCTGGGTCGCTTTGATACGCTGCGAGCGGCCCCGGCGAGCATCCCGACCTGGCAAAGCGCGTACCGAAAGAGTGCCCCAAGAGGGCCCCAACCGCCGCTGGTTGGTGGGCCGTCTCGCTGCTTGTCTCGCGTGCAGTGCTGGCGGTGGTGAGAGGCGGCGCTGGAGTTGCATCTTCCTGCGGCAGCGCAATCGACTGGCTGCGTGCCTGTCGTCGTCAAGACAGCGCTGGGATGTGTGCCGACACCAGATCGCAAATCGCCAAGCCTGCCACGAGCTGTTCGCCGACCTAACGAGCAGCGCAAGTACGCCATCCAAAGACGCGGCTCGCGACAGTGCCCTCCAGAGTCGGGAGGCGATGCGGGGTGGCTCCGTCCTGAGCATCATCATGCCTCAGACAATTCACTCCCACACCCACGTGTCTGCGTCTCACCACCCTCTGTTCTCCCCAGGATTAGTGGCAACCCCGCTCAGCGCGCCGTGAACCATGACTTCGGCCAGCCCGGAAGTCTATCGCCTCTCCCCCACTCCTCACGTTCCCAACTCGGTCCTCCCTGTCCTGCTTTATCGCAGCGTGCTGCCGCCCAACCCCACGGCCGACTCCACCCGCCGAGCCCTGGAAAAGAACCTCTGGATGCAGGGCGGCGTGTTCAAGACCTACACCGCCCATCACTTCCACTCCGTCACCCACGAGTGCTATGCTGTCTTCAAGGGCTCCAGCCGCCTCTTGCTGGGTCGCGGCCCGCTAGACGATCCTGAAGGGGGCGTTGAGGTTGACGGCATGTCACATTATTCTTGCTGCATTTGGGGGAGAAACAACTGATGTTTCAAGTGTCTGTTGGCGATATTATAGTTCTGCCTGCTGGGGTCAGCCATTGCTCGCTTCACTCCGAAGGCGAGTACGGTATGTCTCATATGAACGGCTCACGTCCTACCGAAGCTCTACTAACATGCACAAGAGTATGTGGGCCTCTACCCACAGGTAAGGGTCGTGTCTCATCCATGAGAAGGGCACGCTCACAATCTTTTTACAGGGCAGTCCGCATTGGGACAACAACTTCTGCAAGAAGCCCGAAGAGACGGCGCAAAAGGCAGAAAACGCACGTGCTGTGCCAGTCCCAGAATACGACCCAATCCATGGCAAAGATGGTCCGCTGGTTTACCTCTGGCAGAATGCCGCTGCTGTCGCAGTTTGAGGTCAAGTATTTGTAAACGCGAAACTGTCATGGCATTGACCATCATTTGTCACGAAGCATTGCAATGACGATAAAACGAGCTTGCATTACTATCATTCTTATGAACAATCTGAATCTCTTCAATTATCAAGTTCGAAGCATTTTTCTCAGAAGTAATAATGCTAAGTCACGTGACCGCCCGTACTCCTTTGTCACATCCGCTGTGGGCCTTCCTTTAAGATGAACACAAAGATAAGTAGGAAACGGAATAGCTACTAGAACGTCGTTTCTGTTACTTCTGATTAGCGGTATTTTCGGGCAAAACACTACTCACGACATACCGAGTCCATTCCACCGTTACTAGCTTGCCGATTAGGAACAAAAGACCTCGGGACTTCATCACTGTTCACATTGCCATCATATCAGCCGTAGCTTGTGTCTTGATCTTACCACAGGGCTCTCCCATCTCTTCGCCTGGTCTCTGCTAGAATCTATCAAACTTCCAGGAAAATCATCTTCAAGGCACGGTTTGAGACACGTATGCTCAATCTCTACCAAATCAGCAAAGACCTCTCTCATCCCGTCCCCCTGATCCGAGTAAAATCAAGCCATACCACCAAGCGGCCAGACGGCGCACATGTGACGAAAAGGTTCGGAGTCTTGCTCATGTCGGTTGGGTCACGTGCAGATACTCGCTTAGGTAGGTGTAGCGTGGAAGGAAAAGCCAATCACCAAGGTGGATGCGGGCAAGTTATATCCACGGTGCTCAGGTGCTCTACACTTCGCTTAGCCCTTGTAAAGTGAAGACTTTCCTTGAGAGGCAATTGGTCACGTGCTGTGAATAACGCAGAGTGAGGGATTGCAAAAAGGTGTACGGCATCCACTCTACCGATAGAGAGTCGGAGATTTGAGGAGGAAGATGGATAGTGATGGTATAGCATTTCCAGGATTTCACTGTGTATATGACTACGATGAAAGCATGCATGTGGGTTGTACACACAGGATGGAGAGGAAGAAGTAATATATTAAGCTAGATCGAAACGCCTTCCTTCAGGCCCCTCCCCTGCTTATCTAAGATCGTTGAAAGCATTAGTTGGCTGGATCTAGCATCTACTCCCCCCGCTCCTGTCTTAATACTCCTCCATTACCACGTCCTCCCTCCTTCTGCAAACCTCCCCTTTCTTCTCTCGTCTCTCCGGCTCTCTCAACTTCCAAGCTTGCTGCAACGCTAGCTGCACCTAAGTCGCCTCAGTGACCGTAGCGGTGACCGTGGCCGTAGCGACGGTCGCTGTGATCGGATCGTCGACGGTGTTGGTATCCGTGACAGTGGTCTCCACGGTGCGCGTCACGGTCGTCCCGCTGGCCTCAGCAGTGGTCGTGACATACACGGTCGTCGGGTCCTCGCTGGTGGTCGGAGCGACGTACCCAGACGGGTACGGGCCGCCGGTCAAGATGCTCGTCTTGAAGGAGGGCTGCTGGTGGTGACCCCAGTGCTGCTCGTGGTTCTCCTCTGGCTTTTCGAAGCCGCCGTGGCTGGGGGTGGGGAAGACGGTCGTGTAGGACGTCGCGGCCCAGATGTGCTTGGGGTGGCCGCCGCCGCCGCCGCGGTGCTGGGGGGTGTTGGCGGGCGTCTGTGCGGGTGTGTTGGCGGGCGTCTGTGCGGGTGTGTTGACGGGCGCGGTTTCTTCGTACCAGTCGATGCTGGAAGGGGTGGCCTGGACTCCTCGTATGAGGTTTTTGTGGTAGTGGGCTTCTCGTACGATTTGACTGTAGAGGTTAGAGCATAGTTCGTTGGACTCAATGGAGTTGGGTAGTAGAGAGAGAAGGCTAAAGAGATGGCATCAAGGGCTGATATACAAAGGGCCGGACTTACTCCCGTGTCTCCCGAGAGATACCTGCAGCAGAGCACAACGCTGGCACCGCTGCAAGAGCGATAATGGTAGAGCGCATTCTGGAGATGAAGGGATTGTGTTGGGAGACTCGAGGAAGTAGAGAGTACGAAAGAAAGTCAATGAAAGAGGGGATGTGGTCGAGTATATCAATTCTGAGCTGGTCTGGATGGACAGTGGAAACCGCGGCCGTAGGTGCATATATACCAAATTCAGATCATGCTCGGACTATCTCCAGCTAAGGATCCTTAGAGCACTCTGGATCACGTCAGAGATCTCATCAATAGGTATGATACCTTCTTGCCAGACCAGGATTGGCCAGGACTCTGAACTACTCTCACACTTTCGCCCACACAACTTTCCCAACCAAAATCCAATCGCGCCATTCCCCAATCCCTTCATAATATCGAATACATTACCTCATAAACTCTTATTAATAAATTCGAATGACGAGGTTGAGCACCGCTGCTGGCTCTTTCTAGACAAGCGTCTCGAAAAGGCCTGCAAGGAGCTAGGCGGGTTCTTTTTTTTTTTATAGATTTTGAGGCTCCGGGAACCGGTCGAAATATGCATAGAGGTGGAGGCTAGGGTCACATGGGGAACCTAAAACACGAAGTTACCAATGTCTCATAAACTATGATTCTAATGAGTATCCAAGTGGCCCAACGCATTTTGAGGGCGGAGTTGTTGCGTGAAGGTGGGGAGTGGGTGTTGCTGGACTGCAAACAGATGCGAGGAACTGAAGGTGTGTCGGCGTTGGCGTTGGCGAAGAGGGCTGTGTCCGTGGTAGATATGTAGCCAGAACCACCCTTGGCACGTCCTCTTATCCAATCAAAGCCAACTAAGCACGTCGCGAGAGAACCAATATCACCTCAAACTCGCAAAAAAAGAACAATACGTCCGTCTAGGGAAAGAATCGACTACACGTAGGGCCGACCCGCCCCAAAGTCCTCCAGCTGCAACCAGACCTACGTGATGACCCTCTTCCGCTTCTTAGGTGGGTCTGGGATCAACTTGTTCAGCTTTCTAACCTCTGTCCACCTGCTCAGCGTCCCCAATTCCAAAATACTCATCCGTCTGGTCTTTCCACTCGGATTCCCAATGACAACCGGCTTCCAGTCATCGGCCCCAAGCCCCTTGACCTCAGTACCAAACTCCGGCACAGCAGTAGGGCGGCGTGTTCCGAACGCGCCATTCGGAATAACCTGCACAGCCTTGAAGCGCCAGAGGGCGGCCGTGAGCGCAATCGTAAGGAAGAGAAGAATGCCCCCCGTAACGCCTATCGAGGCTTGCGCACCGATACGACGCGTGAGTATGCCGCCGACGGCGTTAGCAACGGCTGCCAGGAGAAAGCCAATGGTCTGGCTCAGAAAGATACCAGCTGAGACACGGGGGAAACTAGAGTAGTTTGTGCGGCGTCTGCGGTCCTCGACGGCCATGCTCTGGAGCCGATGGCGGGTATTGACGCCGGGCTGTAGGTCGCAGACGTCGTATGCTTCCATGATCAAGCCGTGGCATTCTGCAATGGCGAGAACGGAAAAGAAGGCGATGACGCCGGCACAGACGATGGGCACCATATAGGGGTATCGTCGCCCGGCGGAAGAAACAGTGTAGGCAATGCTGGCGGCCGGTAGGGCCAGCATGAATAAGATGCGGCGGGCAAAATGGGAAGTCCAGACAATTTCACGCTCTAGGGTCATGCTGTCGGTCCGTGGTCCTCTTTTTCGGTCGCGACTAAAGATGCCGGCTTTCGTGAGAGGAACGGCGAGAAGAGCACCTATGGCTACGCTCATTACCCCGAGGCCGACATAGTCAGGATGCCAACGATAATCGCGAGAGAGCAAAGCTCCGAGCAGCTGCTGAGATAAGTCGAGGCAACAGTTAGGAATGGTACGCGTACCTACCACGATTACCAGCACGATCTGTGCGTATATCCAACCCAAGTAGAGTGCCAGGAAAGCGAAGCCCCATTGACACATCATCATTATCGAAAGTTTGATACCGGCCCAGACTTCTTCGAACCAGTACTTTGGGCCTTGTGTGGAGATATGGAGTTTGACTTCCCCTTGCGATATTCGCCGTGTGATGAAATTTTCATCTCGATTGTATACCTCCGTAACCGATCTTCTATACTGCGACCGTCTAGTCTCCGGAGCGAGTACATTCAAGACTAGGACGGCCGCCATAAAGATGATGACGATATAGAAACCCCAATCAGGGTCAAGACTTTCGATAATGGCGGCACCGATCTGAAACCCTATCGCAATAGACCCAATAGAGCACCATGACCAAAGACCGAGCCACATACCCATTCCGCCTCCATGCCGCCGCACATCGTTGACAACGACAATTTCTTGATGGGGCTTATTGCTTTGGAGCGATACACCAAAAAGGTCGAATAGCGTAGTGATAAAATTGACGTTTGCGAAGCCGAGGACAAGGCCAGAAATTGCACGCGAGAGAAGTAGACCAGTTTTGAAGATGTGCTTGTTTGGAGATCTCGGATTTCCCACGACAACGGCCTGCGGAAATTGTAAAGGTAGGGCGATCGCCAACGATCCGAGAATGTATGGTTTACGGCCATGAAGGAGAGGCAGTGGCCAGACAATGGCAGTAGACACTGCAAGTCCAAGATAGAGACTTTTGAACGAATGAATAAGGCTCTGGAATAAGGTAAGTGAAGACTCACCACACATTTCCGAGGATCACTGTTCGAGTTTCATCCGCCAACTGGTACTGTATTCGGGGAACTTCTCCAGCCTGTTATCACTTAGCTGAAGTTTGGTTCCCTTTTGAGGAACCACCCACGTATATACCAACAATGATCCCCAAAAGAGAAGTGTTGATGCATGCAATGGTGGCGACGATACGTTTCTTCGACGTGCTCCAGTTCCTTGCAACTGGTTGACGACGAGAATGCTTATGCATACTGTACCTATGAGCACGAAGCTGATCCCGAACTTCCATACTTTTGACCTTCAAGCGTCGGTTGTGAGCAGGCATCCCTGAGGTGCGCGCTAAGTCTGCTCTCGATACTGGTAGTCCAAATTCGTCTTCATCGGGTTCATAGGAATCATCTGACGACTCAGACGCGGAGCTCTTATGTCGACGACTAGGTCTCTTCTGGGGCGGGCTATGCGATTGACCATTATTGCTATCAGTCAGCGTAGGCCGTCTTATGGCGAAGTCGACAACACGGTCAGGCGCATATGAACCATCACTCTCGAGCTCTCGGAATCCTGATGCCCCAGCTGGCGGGACAGCTTTGCGAAGGATGCCGTCAAATGAGCAAGTTGAGCACGAATCGCAACTACTGGAGCTTCTAGAATGAGACGAAGTGAACGATGAAGGGATCGTAGAGCTTGAGGCCTTAAGAGGTGATCCAACAGCCATGAGATGTCGCGCTCGAATGCCTGATGCCGTTTGTGCTGGTTTGGCAGCATCTTGAATGATATTAGCGACTTCATCCAATTTGCCTTGACCAGCAGCATCCTCCAAAACGCGACTTGCTTCATCGATGAGGTCCTCAAACGTGTGGGTGGCATCTTCAAGTTGATGGCGGGGTTTTCTCTCACCTCTTCCCGGAGAAAACTGATCATACTGATTAGGAGACGTAGTCGTGATTTCGAAAAAGTGGTCTGGCTTTGAATAGACCTTGTCCAGCGACGAGTATTCTTTGACGTAGTCTGTGAGGTTCTCATAGGTGTCTGGAGATGTAATAGACTTGACGGGAGTTGGACTGCTGGTCTCTAAACCAGCCACACTAGTCTTGCGACGTTGGAAACTCTGTGGAGAGGAAGCACTGGAAGACTCTTCAATGACAAGGACTGCATCGCCTCCAAATGACTTCTCTTTGGTAGGTTTCTTCAATGCCTTCCTTTTGTTGGGTAGTAGTTCTACAGATGTAACTGATGAGACTCGACTTCTCGAAGGCGCATCGATCGTTTTGCGACGAATGGATGGATCAGATCCAGCAGATCTAATCGCGCCATTCACCCGAGGAAATGTTTTCGGATTGCTGTTGGTTGTTGAAGATGGAGGCGGGCTATTTGAGAGGCTTGAAGGAAAGCCTCCGGGAACCTTGCCTTCGGGTGGTTGATTTGAAGGGGATTTCCCATCTAGCCAGGGGAGTCGGTTTTTTGAAATCCCAGGCTGGCCAAAAACCCCCTTTGCAGTCCTCAATACGGGCTCATGTTGGTTAGGTTTGATGTCAGGTTTCTTGTTGTGTGCGGGGTTGGACGGGGGATCGATTGAGGCGGTGGGTCTGTTCCATGGCAAAGGCTGTCGAGTGCGGGTACGCTGGACTTCGCTGCGAGCTCCGTTCGACCATTGAGCTGGAGATTCTGCGCCCGCCTTAGGTTCACTAGGCATGCCGATGAATCTGCGAGGGCAACGCCAGCAACGCTTTCGCCTCTTCGGAAGACGAAGTCTCCGCTAGAACTCGCTGATTATACGAAGGTCTCGCCAGTTTTCACACACCCTTCGTTTATAGAACTCGATGTCGATAATTTGAAGTTTCGTAGGAATATGATAGAAGTCCCTTTCGGCTCTTAGGTAAAGGAGGACCAGTCGCAAGAGGTGCTCGTCAAGACGCTCGACCTCGGTGTCGTAGGAGCAATAGTGGAAGGGTGTGTCATAGGCCGCTTTGCGTCAAGCCAACGACCGAGGAATAATGGGCGGTGAGACAATGGCGCATGTGGTCGACGCCGGTTTGACGCAAAAGAAGTTGTTACCGGCTTTGAAGGAGACAGAGATGAGAGGAGGGTGTATAAGTTTGGGGAAGTGAGATGGCTGCTTGCCAATTGTTGTGTACCGCCACCGCTCTTTCCCAATGAATCTAGGAATGAGCGACGAGCCCCAATCAACCCTTGCGTCTTTCAAGATACTTAACGTTTTGATTAAATAAGAGACTACATCTTAGGCTATAACGCTTCAAGAACGGTCTTCGTCATAGCAAGAACCTTTTCTTCTTCTAGTCTTCTCGCTATCAGTTGCAAACTCACAGGCATACCATGCACAAGGCCTTCGTTATCTAGAGTAATGAGGGTTAGCGAAAGCAGATTCATAGAAACATGTGTCCTGCTTGCATCGAAAACTTACATTCGTCTCGAATTTCCTTATCTGTCTCGGTCATAGGTCGGTAGTCAGAACCATACTGGTCTACCTCTTTGTTTGCTATTACGCCGCAAGGAAAAGAAACAGCGGAATAGTCAAGGACGTTGAAGGTCCCAGTGTAGCCTACATGCTTGAACTTCCCACTTTCAACGGATGCGTACGGGGTAGTCGGACCTAGAGGAAAGATCAGTACAGTACTCGCCGGTTGCTTAAGGATAGACTGAAGTCATTACCCAGAAGAGCGTCCATGCCATGAAAGTTCCATTGGTCGAGATACGCTTTTTGGAAGTCTGTTCGCTCTAGGTGTAGCTGCCACAGGTCGTGCACGCCCATCTCTGAAGCACTTGCATATGCACTCATCTCTGGCCGGAAAGGCTCATCGGTAGGCTTCAGAATATGGCGCACGGATTTGCCGCCATCTGCGACGAACATTCGTTGCTATCGTGCACTGTGAGATATGGTACATGATACGTCCAGATTCTTGCTTACTATAAGGCTGACGGCCTGCTTGTGCGTACTCGCGTCCCAATCTATAACCTCATGTCCCGCTTTCTTCAGTTTTTCCACGGTTTCTCGTAGTGCTCGCTGCACTGGCGGAGTGGGTGTGACTATTCCATCATTCCATATCACACCGATCTTCAGCTTTGTCTTCGGCTCAACAGAACGCCACGGGATCGGAAGGCATTTTGGGTCTTGCATCCATGGTTCAAGCCCAACAACTGTCTTTGAGAAGAGCACAATATCGTCAAGGGTCTTTCCCATAGGTCCATTGACGCTAGCAACCGCTTCTTGACCCGCAAGACCAGAACGCGCACGGAGGGTAGGAAAACGGCCGAGAGAAGGACGCAGCGTGAAGATGCCAGTACATGCTGCAGGTATTCGAAGAGAACCACCTAGTTTTGGTCAATTGAGGGCTCGACCGCTGCGAGTATATCAAAAGCTAGAACTTACCAATGTCTGTCCCTATCCCCAAAGGACTCCCACCGAAGACGATCAACGCCGATTCACCCCCAGATGAACCCCCAGAGGTTAGTGCCCGGTTTAATGGGTTTACGGTTCGCCCGAAAACGTTGTTCACCGTCTCTGCAATCATCATGGCTGTCGGCACGTTCGTTTTAACATAAAATACGGCACCAGCGTCTCGGAGCAATTCAACCAGTGTACTATTGTATGTCTGCGGATCGTTCACCCATGATGTAAAGCCTACAGTGCTGTCTTTCCCAATCAGGTTGAAGTTGTCTTTCAGCGATATTGGCAGGCCGTGGAGAGGTCCAATTGTCTTTCCGGTCTTCGCAAGATGCTTATCGAGGGCCTTTGCGGTTTCAATTGCTTCATCGAAGAAGACCTCGGTCAGGCAGTTCGTCTAGAGATAGTCGTTGACCATCAGTACCTGCTACAATCGCCAATTCTACAATGTTTAAAACGTACAAGCTGATGAGCCGCTGCCGCCCTCTTACAAAAAGCCTTAATAACATCTTCGGCAGACCACGCCTTGTTGGCAATCCTCTCAAGCAACGCCGGCGCAGTTGTCGAAGTTATCTCCAATTCCTCTGCCGTGAACCATTTCGACTCTGCTGGAAATCGGGATATATCTAGCTGTGTTTCTGGTGGTAGGATGTCGGCAGGGATGCGAAATGCTGGTGGAATTGATTGCGTCAGGGCGGCACGTTTGGCGGTGGCCTTTTTTGCCCACGCTGTGTCCTCAATTTCAGTCATCTTTCTCTCAGCCTTCGCGTGGTGTTTTGTCTTTCAATTGGTCGCAATAGGTTTTGCTTTCTTCTACTGATCTGGACGGGGCAAACGTCTAATATGTATGTCGACCTTCTGGGGCGACATGCCCCTCCTAAAAGAAGAACGGCTTCATTCCCCACTTACACCACCTTTAGAGTGCCCCGGGTCGGATGCCGTGCTGAATGCAACCCTTCTGTCGATCAGCGCTACGATTACATATAGCTTAAAAGCCGCGCGATGCCTGCAATGTTTGATTCTTATCGCGAACCTTGCTCCTCTTTTTCGGATTCAGCGTGCCGATATCTGGAAAGTTGAGCCGTCCATTGGGCGCTCTTCCCGTGATCCTTTACCAATATCAAGGACCCCGTCGTGAAAGACCTGAGGCTTGGCATTGTCGGCTTGCCGTGTTCCTATCTTTCCCGTATCGTGGAAGCGTATACCTAAACCAGATTTCGATGTCATTGACGACCTGTGACTCTAAGGCAAGGGTAATCTGCCACATATATAAGTCATTGGGAAAGCCCACCGAGGCGCAGGCTTCTCGCTAGGGCTTCAGATATCAAACGACGAATCGTCAAAATGGGTTCCAAATTTATGGACTACCTACGCGGCACACAAAATAAGCCAGGCGAAAGAGCGCTGGTCCAGAAACTCGACTTCTTCATCCTTACGTTCTGTTGCCTCATGTACTTTCTGAACTATGTTTGTGCATGAATCTCCAGCCGCTGATTCTCCGCGCTAACACTTCTGTAGCTGGATCGTTCTAACCTGGCGAATGCATATCTCTCTGGGATGAAAGAAGATCTGAATTTCAAAGGCAACCAGTTTAATCAAATCAACACTGTCTTCACAGTTGGGTGAGCGAAGTCTTTTACCGTAATTTCCGTCTATCCAACCTGAGCATTAACATTCTTTAGATACACAATTGGCCAAGTACCATGCAATGTTGCACTTTACTACATCAAACCACGAATCTTCTTCCCGTCCATGATGGTGATCTGGGCGGGTCTGACCATGGCGACCGCTGGTGTCCACAATCCTGAAGGAATCATGGCAATCCGGTTCTTTCAAGCCATTGCAGAATCCAGTACTTTCGTGGGCACGCACTATATCCTGGGCTCGTGGTACACAGAAAAAGAACTCGGCAAACGCAGCGGTATCTTCACTGCCTCTGGCTTAGCTGGTACTATGATCGGCGGCTTCATCCAAACCGGGTTGAATTCATCCATGGACGGATTGAACGGATTAGCAGGATGGCGGTGGCTCTTTATTGTAAATCTGCTCCACAACCCGACCCTCGCGATCCCATCTACTAACAACGTCCCTAGATCGACGGCATAATAACCCTTCCAGTTGCCCTCTACGGCTTCTTCTTCTTCCCCGACACGCCCAGCACTACCACAGCCCCGTACTTCAACGCCGACGAAAAGGCCCTCGCCATATCCCGCGTCCCCGAAGTCGACGATCGCACCCCCGTCTCCCTCTCCTTCCTCAAGCGCTGTTTCCGCTCCTGGTACTGGTACGGCTTCGTGATGCTCTGGATCATAGCCGGGGAAACCGAATCCTTCTCCTCCAACTCCCTCCTCGGCCGTACGCATCCTCCCTACCCCCCTACCGACCACATCCCCTCGCTAACCCCCTCGCAGTCTACATGAAAGCCAACCCCACGCACAAATACACCCGCGCGCAGCTCAACAACTACCCCACAGGCGTGCCCGCCGTCGGCATCATCTCAACCCTCTTCTGGGCCACCCTGACCGATTTCTGGGGCGGGAAGCGCTACCTCGTCGGCTACTGGATCGGGATCACGGGCGTGGTGACGGCGGCTATGATCCTCGCGCCGGGGGCGAGCACCGCGGTGCATTTCGGCGCGTACTACTGGGCGGGCTCCGTGTACGCGTGCCAGGCGACGTTCTTCGCGTGGGCGAACGACGTGCTGCGGTACGAAGAGGATTCGCTGCGCGCGGTGGTGATTGCGAGTATGAACATGGGCAGCAATGCGGTTAATGCGTGGTGGAGTATTATCTTTTATTCGGCGGATTTCGCGCCGCAGTTTACGGTGAGTGGTGTCCCTCCTTGGGTTCTTTGAGAGGAGAGTGCTGATCTGATTGCAGAAGGGTATGTGGGCGATGATTGCGACGTCGATTGCGCTTGCGGTCTGGACGACGGGGATGCTGTACATGACGGTTCGCGAGGAGAGGAAGCGGGTGTTGACCCGTGAGGAAAGTATACCAGAGAAATCGGAGGTCATAGAGGAGAAGGTCTGAAGATGACTTATCTTTTACACTAAACTGCGCTACATCTCATTTTACGTAGCCTTTCGGCGTCTATCTCCACGTAAGAGTTTCCGCCGCATTTGTGAGAACGTGGGTGAGCGAGGGGGTTTGTTATGATACCAAAATCAGGTCCACTTCAACGCATTCTCAGGAATTTAAGCAGCAGAGAAGGCATTCATTACTTAAAGGTGGGGTATGCTAGCGTGCCTAAACACTAATGAGTCTCATGCTCACCTTCTCCGGCAACGTCGACAGTTAAGACTTTATGCTCCGCATCCTCATGCTCTGCGTCAGGTTGAGGATCGGCCCAGCTCCTCTCGTACAGCTCAGATCATTAAAGCTCATCAAGTGCCCCATCCTGCGCCCCCAAATCCCTGTGCGAACCCGCTCATCGGGTCCGCATCTATGCTATCTAGATTCAGGTAGTCGTCTAACATGGCAACGTCGCCCGACAGCGCTGGCTGCTGCTGTTGTTGTAGTGGCTGTGGCTGCAGAGCTGGAGGTGGTGGCGGTTCGATCCCGTCCACGATGTTCGTTCCGTGTGGCACAGCACCTCCAAAAGCATTGGCACGCTGGTCGATCCTGTTGAGCACGTTGGAGCTGTCACCTCTGCTATTCATCCAGGAGCCGACGTCGGAAAAGTTACCCTTTGCCACCTCAGCACGGCAATCGGACTCCTGCTGGAGGATCGGGTATAGTATGCTAGACTCGTACCAGCGGCCTTTGATGTCTGTGATCTCAATGCGGGCCTGAAGAGAGGTGAGGTTCCAGAGGCCGTATGAGCCAAGGGTTGGGAGAGTGAGGTTGTTGCGCCAACGAAGGTCTTCGCGGACGCGGAGGGGGAGAGCTGAGAAGTTGGGGATCTCTGGTACTTGTGTGCGAGACGGAGGCGTGCGCGTCTGGAAGGCATAAACGTCGCCTACGAAGTATGCGACTGGCGAGGTAGGTAAAAGAACGGGAGAAGAAGATGCGGTATGGGGGCCGCGCCGCTCGAGGATCGCGGTCACGATCATGATGTCGCCGCCACCCCCTATGCGGAGACGGACGGGCTCGCCGGCCCAGATCTTTTCGGCGCCTAGGTACATACCATTAAAGTAGCGTTCTTCAAACCCGTTTTGGGTGACCGAGGTTCGCAGAAGCTCGAAGGGAGTATAAGTCCCGTCGATAGCCTTAGCACCGAGGATGGAAGCATCAACCTCGACATCACCACCGCGGCCGTACTTTTCACTGAGAAGGCCATGCCAGTCAACTTGTTGGTAGAGTAACGCGTGACTTAGCAGGTATGGGGTGGTGCATGGAGGAGCAGACCACGCAAGCCAGGGACGGAGAAAGCTCTCTTGGTCTATGACTGCAGTCGCCGGGTGGTGTAAGGGGTGCGAGAGAGGTTGAATCAAGTAGTTTCGTACGTCTGACTGCAACCATCGCCGTATTATGACTCCTAAGCCCCAGGCATTGCCGCGATTGTACCAGACAAGCTCGCCAGATCGAAACATGAATCTGTTGTATTGAGCATCAAACTGCTGATCAAGAGATCGCGGCTGTGGGAGAGGAGACGGCGTGGGCGCAGTGACACGCTGAGATAAGGTATTGGCACGGGAAAGTCCATCGAGAGGATTCGGAGTTGAAGGATTGGAAGTGGCGGGCTGTGAAGGATTGATGCTCATCCGGCGCACATTCTCTGCGAGGGCTGTCTTTCCAATAGCAGGAGATTTGGTGGAGCCCTCCTCCTTTTTGATGCTGGGAGTCGGAGTAGTGACTTTCTCCTTGTCCTTCGTCGTCTTGTCTCCCTCAATCTCCTCTGGACAGCATATCTTGCATGAGCAATTATCTTGATCGCCGTCCTTGTCCGTGGTCAGCCAAAGGAGGTGAGGGAAGAAGTCTGCGGGGCTTCTGAAGCGCTTCCTCGGCCCCATTGGGTGGCCATACAGGTATGCATCTTGCCGGTCATGACCGCCTCCAGAATGATTCTTTGAGCTGTGGGATCTGTTGCCTTCGCCTACAGGTCCGCTAGATTTGATATGCTCGTAGAGGCGGTAGTTCTCTGGGAATTCGTACAGAATGCTCGTGTTGGCCTTGTCTGGAATGCGTGAGCGAGTGGCGCAGATGGGGGGAAGTCGAACTTACCTTTGTCTTGCGGACTCGCGATTTCCCTCATGAGCATGCCTGCGAGCTTTCTCCGCCAGTCCATGTGTTTGACCTCCTGGGGACCCAACTCGCGGTAGTAGTCCTGCATGCCCTTCGCGTCGGGCGTCTTGTCGAGCTGCTCTTTGGTGGGACCATTCTGCTGCTTGCCCGTCCGCGTGGGGATCTCCGTCTTGCCGTCGGAGCGCGCAATGTGGAGGGGGTAAAAGCGCGTCATGATGCTGGCATGGTCGGGATTCCTCTTTCTGAGATGTGGGAGGCGCGTTTGCTAGGAGGAGCTGGTGGACCTTCAATTCACGGAAGATGAGGGCAGGGCAGCATCCGAAAATGTAGATGCAGCATTCAATCAAAGCGCTGCATGGTCTGAGCGCAGTCTACCGTGAAGCTTGATGCGGTATGGAGTGGCTTTAGAGAGGCGCGAGGTTGTCATAAAAGCTGCATTTGGTATGCGAGTGAGGTAAGAGCTGTGACGGCAATGGGATAAAGCGGTTGTTGAAAGATGCTTGGCATTCCAATGGATTCACGCGCCACCAAACGCGTGAATAGACAGCCTCTCGTCCCATCCTTCCACCGCAGTAACCCCTCCACAACACCCTCTAGACTTCCACCTCACTGCAGACAGGCTCGGGGCGAGATAGATTTGCGTTTCTAAACAGCGCTCTGGTCTGGCTGCTGCCTCTGGCTTGCTGGCTGCACTTCGCTCTTTCTTACTCAGATTCCGCTTTGACAGTCGCGGGTCCTCTCTGGCCTCTTTTCACTACCTCACCAATGTATCACTAGATCTTCACCTCTCTCTCACGTTCTGACCGTCTGCCGAGCCCCGAGCTACTCGCCTAAGCCTGACCTCCGTCACCACCTTCTCACTCTCCATCGCGACGCCTCGTTCAGTACATTCACTCCCACAATGGATCTGCCGAGAGTGCGGCTCGGCTCTCCCCTACCAATCACCCCAAAGAAGCGGCCCCATGGCCTTCTCGACGACCTGTTGCAGCAGTTCGGATCCGTGAACTCGCCCTCGTCCATCACCAAAGCGAGGAAATCCTCCGCGTCTACCCCGAATACAAATGACCGTGGACGCCGAGATCACAAGTCAGACGTGGGCTACATTGCGTCTAGCTTGTCGAACACATCCTCCACTTCTCAGAAAAAGACGCCTCCGATGAACGACACGCCGCCTTCGAAGAACACACCCAAGAATGAGAACGGCATGGAGGACGTGCAAATAAACAACGGCGCGGTCACGTCTGGACGCTCCATGAGGCCTCGTAGAGCGCAAACACAGAGGAAGAGCCTGGACAGCCTGAAGGTCGAAGAATCGCAGAAGCGGGAGTCCTCTAGCCGTCGCAGTGCTCGGAATGCGAACAAAATTCTCGTCTCGGACACCCTTATCGATGGGTTCGAGAGACCTCCTAAGGCTGTCAAACCGAAGCTAGATACAGCTCGTAACCGAGTGCGAGAGGAAATCGCGGCTCAGACGATGGTCAAGAGAGACAATTTCATCCTAGCACACAAGGACTATTTCCTGCCTCTTCTCCCTGAGACCAATTATGTCGCGAAGCTCGCTAGGCAGGCCAGCTCTGAGCCAGCGATCTCCGAATACGTTGAAATCGATACGCAGCCGGAAGGGTACGTACTCGTTCTCCACATTCCGAACTTTCTTGGTTGCTAATGCATTACAGCGTGAGGGCGGTAATGAAGCCTTACCAACTCAGCGGCTTGTCGTTCCTTGTCCACATGTACAACAACGGAATGTCGGGGATGCTTGGCGACGAGATGGGATTGGGAAAGACACTGCAGACTCTCTCACTATTCCAGTATCTTGAGGAACGCGATCAAGCCTCTGGAGCCGCGTCCGCAGAGAAGAGACCTTTCCTAGTCGTCTGTCCACTCAGTGTTCTTAGTTCGTGGGTCAGTGAAGCCCGCCGCTGGGTACCCGACCTAAATGTTCTCCGTTTCCACGGACCATCTAGCCAACGCGACCATCTAAAGAAGGTTGCTACCGGCCAAGAAGACTGGTTTGGCAATGAAACAAACCAGTCTAAAAAGAGAAAGGCAGACCGTAAGCTTGGAAAGTACGTCTCAAAGCTGCCCTCTGCAGGCGATAACGACGATTGCAAAATCGTCATTACTACCTACGAGACGTTCATGGCTGAGCATAGTTGGTTCAAGAAAGCGTTCGTTTGGCGTTATGCCGTCCTTGACGAAGGCCACAAAATCAAGAACATCGACACGAATATCTCGAGGGCCCTCCAAGGATTGAAAGCCGAGTATCGACTCATCTTGACCGGCACACCTCTCCAGAACAACCTTCACGAGATGTGGGCCCTCCTCCATTGGCTCTACCCCGAGGTTTTCATTGAAAAGACTGCCGATCTCTTCAAGTCGTCCTTTGACTTGAGTAAAGGCCTTGTGAGTACTACAGTAATGGATGACGCTCGCCGACTGTTAGAGCTGGTTATGCTACGCCGGATGAAGAGCAGTCCCGGCGTCAATCTTGGTCTGCCACCAAAAGAGGAAATCTTGCTCTATGTACCTCTTACTCCTATGCAGAGGTTTTGGTACACCCGGCTCCTGACTCGGGTAGGCGATGGCCTACTCCAAGATCTCTTTACCGATGCCAAGGCCAAGGAGAAAGACGCATTAGTGAGAGACACCGTAGACGATCAAGAGTGGACAAAGATTGCAGAAATCGAAAAATACGCCGAAGACAAGTCAGATGAGTGGGCGGAGACGAGAGCAATCATGAAGCAAGCTCTTGAGCAGGAAAAGGAAGATCTGACAACTAACTCCGCCTGGAAAAAACTGATGAATCTCGTCATGCAGCTCCGGAAATGCTGCAGTCATCCCTATCTTCTCCCGGGTGCTGCCCCAGAACCAAATGAGCTGGGCGAGCACGTCATTCGCGCATCGGGCAAGTTCATCGTGCTCGAGAAGTTGCTAACAGAGGCCATTCTCGCAAAAGGAAAGAAAGTCCTCATTTTTTCCAGCTTCACAAAGACACTAGATTGCTGTGAAGATCTTCTCGCTCTGATGGGAGATAGAGGAAGTTCTTTCAAATATCTCCGATTTGATGGTCATACAGGTCGAGCGCGCCGCAATCTAGGCATCCGTATGTTCAACGACGTAAGCTCGCCCTACAAGGTCATGCTGCTTTCTACCCGTGCTGGCGGACTGGGCATCAACTTGGCTACTGCTAGCGATGTCATCTTCATGGACGAGGACTGGAACCCTCAAATCACTTTGCAGGCCGAAGCACGCGCGCATCGTATCGGTCAAACCAAGCCTGTCACCGTCTACAAACTCTGTACCCAAGGCACCGTTGAAGAGCAAATGATGGGCCGTATCCGGAAGAAACTTTATCTATCTGCCAAAATCACGGAATCGATGCGAACCATTCACGGCGACAGGACTCAAAAAGCCAAAAAGAAAAAGGGTCGTGTAGAGTCAAACGAGGATGATGCGCCTATGCTCGACACGTCGCAGCTCATGTCACTTGTTCGCCGCGGTGCTCAAACCTTGTCGCATCCTGAAATTGATGTAACAGAGATGTTGAGCTGGGACTTTGCGACGATGATCGAGAAATGTCGCGACAAGCCTCTTGACCCGCATGTTCATCCTGAGGGTGTTTCTTCCAGTGATGCGGATGAGGAGAAGTGGCTTTCGGTGATGGAGAAAGTGGAATGCGCTGTCTTCGACGGTAAGCGGTACCAGCGGGAAAAGGATGTGGAAGCCAAGGCCAATATCCTTTCCACGGAAGTCACGCGCGAGGACCGCCGCAAAGGCAAAAACACCACCGTCAAAGTCGGCGGCTTCTACATAAGCAAGGAGTCCATGGGCTGTGCCGATTGGGAGGCCGTTCCGACATTCGCAGGCAAAGATCCTCGTCTTGCCGAACCAAAGCGACAAAAGAAACAGGTCGTCAACCACGAGGAGCATTGCCATGTCTGCTATGACGGCGGTGAGATCATCTTGTGCACGGGTTGTCCACGGACGTAAGTTTAACGATTCAGAGGATTTATGAGTGGAATCACCAAGCTAACTTTTACTAGGTATCATCAAGACTGTCTAAAAGAACACACCAAGTCCAACCCGCACGCCTGGAACGGTTTCTACTGTCCACAACACGAGTGCTCAGATTGCGGAAAGAAGACCACCGATGCTGGAGGTCTGATATTTCGTTGCAGATGGTGTCCACGTGGATATTGTGAAGGTATGTTGCAAGACTCACCAAAACCATTGTACGATGGGAACTAACGGTCTGCTTAGATTGCCTTGATTGGGATAAGACGAGGCTTATTGGAGAGAATCTGCCCGAGTACGAGATGCTCGGCATGCCTGAAAACGCGCAAGCCTATTACATTCATTGCCCCGGGTGCACAGACTGGGCAAACGCAAATGCCGAAGCTAAGAAGTGGTTCAGCTCGACCGAGCGACGATACGCAACCGACCACGCGGCTTGGCGTGAGCAGCAAGAGGTAGAGCACCAAATGTACGAAGAACAAACGGCACAACTGAGACTCGACGAGGCGAAGCAGACCAGCCAAAAGGTTGAAGAGGTGGAATATGAGGATATGCTACCACTGGACATCGACTACGACGAATTGGGCTCAGACGACATGGATTACGAGGAGACGCGCGGCGCCAGCGAGCAACTTTCAAGCCTCGACGAACCTCCAAGCCTCGTTGATTCTGTAGCTGATACGCCAGCTACGGTAGAGAGCGGTCTTTCGACACCCAAATTGAAGTTGAAGTTTGGGATTGCTAAGAATGCCAAGAAGGATCTCAGGAAGAAGAGAAAGGTCTTCCACGACGATGATGAGGACGACGATATTGGTAGTTTGTGGGACGTGGCGTCTGATCCTCTCATGGCCGCGGCCAAAAAGGTCAAAGTTAGGGGACGTCCTTGATTTGGCTACTTGCTTTCAGGATCCCGTTGCTTATATGCCATAGGCTCTTGCGAGGGCTAGATTCATTGTAGCTCTGCGAAGACGCGTTGCGGCGGGCAGCGCGCATCACTCTCGGTGTTTCTGGATAGGTGTCTTTTGCTTTCGCGTGGTGTCAAGACCGCTCCTGTGCATGCACGCACTCATGTGCGTGTCTTTGTCACCGAGCTGGTGTTTTCAGCCATTATGGTCTTTGGGTGTCTTACATCGGGCCCTGAGGGCGGATATGTTAGGTATACCCATTGTATATTATACGGAGCATCTGCTGCAGCGAGTCACTCTGGATTTTGGTAGCCACAACACTGTCCAGGTTGACGCTGCGTTCATTCAAAACCTGGAACTTTCAGAGTTTATCATATTCAAGATACTGATCTTTGGAAAGTGAGAAGTTATGCTATCGGAACTGAAATATACAATCGTGAATGGTCCTACTGACCAATCTCATGGCGAATTGCACAATCTCGCATCTATTACTGCAAGGTTTCTGGACAATGCTGGGCCTGCTGACGGTAATTTAGCCGGGTTTGCCGGTAGCATTTGTTTGGTCTGTATGCAGCACGGTCTGATTTCTCGACTCCGGAACCGTACGCATCCGGTCCCCCTGCAAGACGAGGGACTTCCCCTTCAAAAATGGCGGACTGTCAAAAGATTATTTGCGCTTCATTTTTGTGCGCTTTTCCAGGGCATTTTCGCCATCATACTCCCAACCCATTGTCCCCTAGCTTTTCTCTCCGCAGCCAATCATGCACTTCCGTACCGCTGCCATCCTCGTCGGCGTTCTAGCCGCTCTTATTAGCCTCTACTCCATCCTAGAAGCGCGCCTCTCTGAATTCTACATCTTTGACTCGCCGTCTCTTCACGCGCTCGCTCGCGAGGCGATAGCCACCCATGGCAATGACACCGCTGCTATGGTGCGCTACATCGTCGATGACCTTTCACAAAAGCACCCGAAGAACATAAATCTAGATCAAGAGTGGGTCTTCAACAATGCTGGCGGTGCGATGGGTGCGATGTATATTATTCATGCGAGTAAGTGACGGTCACGTGCCTATATACCACTACTGCATCCAGACCCTGTTTTGCATTCTCACTACCTCCTATCAAGCAAATCAAAAGCTAACATTTATATCCAGGCATCACAGAATACGTAATTATCTTCGGTCCGTCCGCGCCCAACCACTTTTCTCTTCCCTCGCGTTGCTAACAAAACCCAGGCACAGCCATCGGCACCGAAGGCCACACAGGCCGCCACACCGTCGACAACTTCTTCCACATTCTCACCGGCACCCAAACAGCCTACACGCCCGGCCCGGGTTCCTTCCTACCAGAAATATATCCGCCCGGTAGCATGCATCACCTTCGCCGCGGCGCTGTCAAGCAGTATAAGATGGACAGCACGTGCTTCGCGCTCGAGTACTCGAGAGGCTGGATCCCACCGATGCTGTTCTTTGGAATGGCTGATATGGTGACGAGTACGTTGGACGTTCAGAACATATGGTGCACGGGGTGGATTACGGCAAGGGAGATGGGGCGGAATTTAGGGGCTGGGAAATTTTAGGGCTTTCGGAGGCAAGGCGGCTGGGAGAGGTGTTTCGGGGGAGCATAGGTAGTGTAGCCTTGTGTGGCCATTTCGTTCCGAAAGTGCTTCACTGCATTATCTTGAATCTGCGGATGCCCTTGGGGATGTACTACGGTCTGAGACACTTTGGCACTTTCTCATTAATACCTCTATTGAGAATTGCTGAAATTTACATAGTAGCCTTTGAAATCACGTTCCCGACGTTCAAGACTTTCAGGCTCCAAATCAAAATGTAGACTACAACCCTTAGATCCGGTCCCGCTGGAAAGTCGCACTATACACCTGATAATATAAGTCGACTAGAGAAGTATCTTGTTGCTCAGCATTTCTGTACATCGACGTACCAGGAACAGTGGCAGAAAGACCCTTCTTAAGTTTGACTAATACAGTATCCCCCCTGTACGGATTGGACACCGACCGTGCGCAAAACAAGGGTTTTTGTATGTAAAATCCCTTGTTCTACGCACGATCGTGTCCAATCCGTACAGGGGGGGATACTGTAGTATCAACAGGCGAACCCCTTCTGCGACGGCGGCTTCGTGCACACCCCTTGTAGTATGCACTCCGAACTAATCTTAAAATAGATCAGTTTTGGTGGCGTAACTCAAACGTCCAATGGTTGGCGTCCGTCGGAGGTTAGGCAGTCATTCAGCCCCATCTTCCTCCACACGTGCTTGACGAAATCCTGCTCAACTCGCTACCGGCCCAATGAATGTGTTATCGCAAGGAACAAACCTGCTGCCTGGATGCTCGGGATGCCTGAATGCTGTTCGTGTTTGACAATTGCTATGTCGGGGTTTCTGAGCCCCCACATCTGGCCCCCAAATTGACCGTTGGCTACAACAATCAACAGGGTAAGCTAGAGTGAAACTCCCTACCACGCTTAGTGCCTGGCGCGGTGGAGCCATGTCTTTCCCTGTAGAGTACGTCGCCCGGCTTCGGCCGGCGCTCATCTGGTTGGACGATAGTGAACGTTCTTCAAGTCGGCGGCTGCGAGCTCCTTGAAACCTCCATGCAGTCTTGGCGAAAGTCCGCAGCCCTTGGAAGCTGGGAGTGACTGCTATAATTCACATGGGCCGTAAATTTTGACGTGCTGCTCGCAGGGCCCGGCCATATTCCGGATATTTGAATCCTTCTCGCCCAGCTCCATCCTTGAAGCCAACCACTTTTCTCTGTTTTTGGTGCCTTTTCGCATGCAAGTCGCATTTGGGAGCTCCGTTCAGATCCCCACCTCTGAGACATGGCGGGGGGTTACAGCTATGATTCTATTCCGCCATTATACGAGTCTCAGGACCTAGCAGAGTAAGCGCTGATTCTACAGCTAACTACCTTTCAGGCAAATGGGCTTACAAACAACTTCTCTAGTGGCCGCGAATACTCCCTGGACTTGACATCAACTCTATATTCCCCAGATTCGCGACAATCAGGATCCGACTTTCCTCTATCAAAGAACCTCGACGTCAAGGATGGTGCAAGTATACACAGCACGTCGACAGGCTACTCGACGTCATCCTCGAGCTTGGATAAAATCAAGCAAGGCCTCGGACTAAAGTCACTTCGGCGCAAGGCTGTGGGAAGCTGGAGGCCAAGCAAGAAAAAGAGTGCTTGTGAGACCGAATATGTTCGCGTGGGGAGGGGTTGGTGGCAGGATCAGCTCCTGTCCGATCGATCTATCCGAGGAATGGCTGCCCTAACGGCTGTGTTTGCTATCGCAATGGTACGCTTCAACTTCCTTGACTTATTGCTGTATGCTATTGGCTTTAGTTTCTCTGTGCTAAACCCCGTAGATTATTATCATGGCTACCAACGCGAATGCATTCAGGCACCGACCAAACAAGAACTCCACATCTGTAGGCGGACAGGAACAATCATGTAAAAGTGTCCAGCGAACTAATTCGGCTTTGCTGATACTCATCAACATCGCCGCGACGATGATTCTGGGAATGTCAAATACCTACCAACAAATGGTGACAAGCTTGAAAGTCGGGGACATCAAATATGTCCTATCGTATGTCCTCCCCTTTGACCATCTCGTCTCTGAAGCTGACGAAAAGTAAAGTAAATATGGCGATACCCGGGTCGGCACGAATTCCCCCTTCGCTATAAATCACAAGCGTGAAGGAAGGCTAAATTCATGGCTGGCATGGGTACTTCTGATCTCCACATCACTGCCTGTGCATTTCCGTATGTTCTTCTCAGTCCAATGACGTCGTAACCATATCTGACAAACGCCACAGTTGCGAACAGCTTGATCGGGCCATCTTTGGTATACACTCCACCAAAGGTCGTTCAGTACAATGCAACCACAGTCACTACCTGGAGTTCTTACGCCTCCTACGCTGACAGTGACAACTCGATCATCTCTGAGAGCTCTTTCCTCTGTTGGAGCGCTTTCCGGACCGGCCAATCCAGGTTTCCTGGCGATAGCTATGGCCGATTGGGTATGTTCGATACGATGCATGATTCAGACTTATACAGTTCGACTGCAATGAACTACGGTCGGATAATAGTCACATATGACAAGAGAAATTGCAGTAGTTTTGTGAACAATACCAATGTTCTACAGGCGCAGCAAGAGTATAATAAGACGGAAGATTACCTGATGTTCGAGACCGGAAATTGTCACATGGGCGGTAATGTCTTTTGCGACCTGCATGAGGCATCAACTGGAGACTGCCGTCTAAACATTCGGATGCAAGCCGCTTTCATCCTAGGCGGATGTCTTGTTATCAAGGCGATCTACATGATTGCAGTGAACCTAGTAGCTCGTGGAAAAGTCAAGCGGCATTGTTTAACATTTGGCGACGTTATCGTGGCCTCGGCGTCGGATCCTGAGCTTCGTGTGAAGGACGAGTGTAAGCTTTCCATCTGTATCACACAAGTTACTTGCTAATTTTACCAAGGTATGGTTAATGCAGCTGAGAATTATCGCAGGTACATATTAACCCCATATTTGTCCCTTGCCCGGTACTTGATTGTTTACTGATGCTTCTCTACCATTTATAGACAGACTGATCATACCTGTCACAAACACTGCACGGCCGAGCCCTCCACAACAGGCGACGAGATCGGACATTGTCAAAAGTGCAAGAAGTTCAACGTTGTGAACAAGTTTGTTCCTCTTGCGCAGCCAACGATTGTAAGATACAAATCAGTATATCCTCGCCTTGTTCCGCTATTAATGACTCGCGTAGGCCACCAAGATCAAGAAGTCTCTTATTAGCAATCTTGGAAATACTGCACTCACACAAATGTCAGTCATTGAATTTCCCGATCTCCTCTGGAAGTAGCTGACGAAAATCGGAAGGGCTCTCCTGTTCATCTGTAGCTTAGCCATGTTGATGGGTTCCATCGTCGTAGCTCAAATTTCAGGCTCTGACTACAAATACGAGAAGGACAACTGTAAAACTAAGTATAACCGCGCCTACTATTCTTACTGCAACCAATCCGATACATCGATGTTTGCTCATGTTTCGGGTGGTTGGGGAGGCTTCAATTCCTCCTTGGAGGCCGCTTCTCTAGCCCCCGACAAACTTTCAAGTGAATTGCTGAGTTTTTGCATCAGTAACGGAGCACAGTGAGTCCAACATACTTCTACGCCTCCCGGCTGAATGTTTAACTAACTTTCTTTAGATTCATTTACTCGCTGCTTTATTTGATGCTGATTTACAACATCACATTGATATGCCAGGAACGAGATTGGGGGAACCTCGAAACACGCCGGCGTCATCTACGCTGTACGATTGTGATCGGAGAAGCATTCCGTGAAGACTATCTCCTCCAGCTGCCAAAATACGTCCTGTTCCCAATCATGGGATATAGTGTGCTCACACATTGGATGATCGGCGAGGCTCTTCAAACGCAAGAAAGCGTCTGGCGCGACACCAATGGCGATCATCCAATCGAGCACTCAAAATACGTCGTAAGTTAGCTTCTTGAATTTCCATCAGCCCAGTTCACTAATTAGAGTAGATCGTCTACGCAGCGTATCCCCTTTGGGGGGCGACTGTCTTGGTTCTCGTCATGACTGGACTCTGCTGGTGGGCATTTACGTATCGGCGGGAGGGCTTCATCCCTCAGATGTTTGGTTCGCTTCGAGCTTGCTGCGCTGCGACCTCTGAGCTGGATGATTTTACTCCAGAAGGGATTCAGTGGGGAGATCTAGGCGCGGGCGAGAAGTTTCGGCACGCGGGTCTATCGGCCGAACCTGTGGGCAAAATCCATCCAAATGAACTATACGCGGGTCGTGGTGGGCAGAGCGAGGAGGCGCCCGGGGGTGCGCGGAGGCGGGCGCACAACGATTGACCTAGTCGTCAGGGAGCCTCGATTTTGTCATTTTTGCCTACTATTGTCGACAGGAACCACTTGGTCTCTTCAGGAATGGAACTTTTATACCCGTCTGGTATTGGTAATGGTAACCTAGATAATTTCTGACGGGGATGGACTGAGTATAGATGTACACATAGATAGACACACGAGAGAGCTTTGAGATGAACCACCAATTTTCTTCGTCCATGTTCACAACACCATCAGATCAACTTGTGCGAACTCTTTCAAGCCTGAATGAACTGAATGAAGTTACTATCACGTGCTGCTGACCCACACGCCAAGCCATACCCCTGCCAAAATTATTTTATCAAATCCCATCCCACACCTCCACCAGCTCTCGAGCTTCAACCCTCTAAAACAACCCACAATGCCGTCCGCCAAACCCAGCCCCAAATCGCGAACCTCCAGGGCCCTTACATCCGTTTCTTCCTTCACAATCCTCCCTCTCACGCTCCCCGCACTTCCAGCTCTCAAATCGCAACCACCAGCCCCACACTACCTATACATCCAGCCGCACGCCCCAAAACTCCCAGAACCCGACACCGAGCGCAGCCTCTTCCTCGCCAATATTCCCATCGATGCCACCGATGGCGCAATCCGCGCTCTTTTTGCTGACCAGCTCGGTGGCGGGCGAGTCGAGCGCGTGGTGTTCGAAGCCACTGTGCCGAGCTATGCGGCGCTGAATACCAAAAGCCAGGGGGATTCCGGAGGCGCGCGGAGGGGAAAGAAGAGGAAGAGGGGTGTGGTCAATGAAGACAAGGTCGGCGTGGTGGAGGATGCGGAGACGGCGCTGCCCCGCGTTTGGGAGCGCGGGCTGTGTGTTAGTGGGAGCAGTGCGGTAGTTGTGTTTGTGGACCGGGCGAGTGCGAAGGGGGCGTGGGTGGCTGTGAAGGGGGCTGTTAAGGGGGGCGAGGAGGTGGTGTGGAGAGGGGAAGGGGGCTTGGGCGAGAAGAGTGAGTTTGTTCTATATTAGGGTCTTGGTTCGAAGGAAAATTTGCTAATTGAGATGCTATAGGATACCGGGATCACCATTCCCTAACATTCCCACCCCGAGCTACGCTTCAGAAATCGATAAACGCATATCTCACTGCGTTTACAGAGGCAGAGACGACGAGAGATCGCCTGCGCGCGAAACAACGCGCTGTGCCAGATGAAGATGGATTTGTTACTGTTGTTCGTGGGGGTCGTATTGGACCTGCTAGGCTGGAAGAAGCGCAGGCTGCCAAAGAGAAGGCAGATGAGAAAGATAAGAAGAGAATTGCCAAAGACGATTTCTACAGGTTTCAGACGCGGGAGAAGAAGAAGGAGAGGGAGATGGACCTGCGGCGGAAGTTTGAGGAGGATAGGAAGAAGGTGCAAGAGATGAGGGAGAGGAGGGGGAAGGTTGTGGTAAGTGGATCTTTCCAACTGTTCTGGTTGCAAATTTAGCTAACGTTTTCTCCAGCCTATGTCGTGATCGTGATACCCAATTTAAGACATAGCTGTAGAGTACACTTGAAAAGCTCTTCCTTATAGAAGTTTCCAAAAGACTGGAATCATGGCAGTATCGCCCCAGAATATCTAGGGATTTCTTCGATGTGTCAGACAGTAATGGCAGTGAATGACTGTGAACGAAATTACCACGCTGAGGAGAATCACGGAGAACTGAGCACGACCCTTCGCGGACTATAGAGACCGTGAATGGCAAGGCTGCTCAAGATCCATCAATGCGCCGAGGCATCTACCTTCTCCGCGCCAAGTTTGTGTGATAAACGAAGATGAACATGGAATCTATAGTAGATCTGACCGATGGAGCATTGAAGCTCCCAATAGGATTATCTAGCTTCACGTGTCTGTAACCTCTGATCGAGCCTTACTCCTTTGACTTGGCTACCACTAGATCCCTGGGACGGGTCTCCTTGTCGGTGTTTTCAGATGTTCATTGCAATGATTCCCTAACAAGCTCCATGGCCGGAACGAGCAATTCTGCACGTGCTGAGAAAGTATTGGATACCCTTATGAAGGGTGCTTAAACTTACAACTCGCTCCGCAACATTCTCCACCTCCTCAAATATCGTGAAATTCGGAAACAACCAAGTACAGAATTGAAAGTCAAATAAACACTCGATTTTCAAGCCTCCAGATCTCTCGGGCATCCGGGCATGCAAAACCTCACCAAATGCGGAAAGCAACCTCGGCAGTCTTGGCCCTTCACATGGCAGTGACGAAATCCGGGGAAGGTCATGCTGCACCTTCTCCTGCGCTCCATATAAACGCCTGTCACGAGCCATTTTCTGACCTCTATACCCTTTTATCAGCCTCCAGCTTCTGCTCCTATTAACTCATTGTCCAGCCCTCTCCTACCCACTGAAAGCGCTTCCAACACCGCCATCCGCATCTTACATCACCGGACAAAGCCTCAGCACAGCCCACCACATCCACAATGTCTCTCAAGAACGGTACGAACCTTTCACTTAGCACGTGAAGCTCAGATAGTGGAACTAATAGTATCACAGACGCCTTCCCCTCCTCCACCGCTTTCGACGCCATCGCCGCCTCCCTCTCCAACTCCGACGCGGACCGCAAAGACGCCATCAAGAAAGGCGGCACCATCTTCGCCTTCACGCTGAAGAATGACGCCGGCGCGACGGAATCCTGGTACATCGACCTCAAGGAGACCGGCACAGTCGGGAAGGGCGCGGCGCCCGAGGGGAAGAAGGCCGGTGTCACGCTGAGCTTGTCCGATAAAGACTTTCAGTCGCTGATTGCAGGCAAGGCGAATGCGCAGAAGCTATTTATGGGCGGGAAGCTGAAGGTCAAGGGGGATGTGATGAAGGCGACGAAGGCGGAGCCGATTTTGAAGAAAGCGCAGACGCAGGCGAAGTTGTAGATGGGGGGAGAAAAGTGTATATTAGAGGAAGCATACGTTGAAGTTATGCCGGTTTACTGTGCTGTTTCTGTCATCTTTTCCAAGCCCGAAGATGCATCGGCGCAATCTCACATAGACATATCCTCGCCAAATCTTAATTTTCCGAGGTCTGAATTCGCGTCTATTCATCTCTCGAAGCGATTTCCACCCCCCTCTAAGGATGTAAAACTCCTAACATTCCATATCAGACCACGAATGGGGCTAATGTTACAATGCACTAAGATATCGAGACGGGGCCGGTCCGATATATTGGGCCTGGCGTCAAAATCCTTCGATTTAGTCATGATCTGGCGTCCCAGAACGTTCTACGCTTTCGTCAAAACAAGCTCGGACTATGGAGCTGCTTCCGTTCATCTTTCTCCTTGAATAGACTTCGCTTTTGTGCGGAGCAGTTATAATTATGGGGAAGCTTTTCCTTATTTATTCAGAACCATCCACGCCATTATAAGAAGTACTAATCGCAATAAGCTCTTGGTAAAAGTTCTCGCAAAAACGGGCACATTCTTTCTTCTCAACAGGGACATCGTTCCGGTTAGAATCTGTCTAAATTATGACCAGTGGCTAGAACATTCACACTTGTCCTCCAAAACTCACCTCACACGACTTCCCTGTCTGGTTAGCGCCGTATCCCCTCTTCGTAAGCAAAATTACGCCCGGCTTAGCTTCGTATCTCCGCCCCAGCAACAGTAGACGTCCTCACCACCCCCGAACTGTGCTCTGCCACTTGCCCCCAAGCCTCACTCATCCACGTGCACAGAAACTGTTGCTTCTTGCACACCCTCATTGTCAAGTCTCTGTTGCTGCAAATATGTATTTTCTTTCGCGCTTCGCCGCATTCCACAAATCACAAATCTTCTAAATCTAAATCCAATTCCATCCATTGTCCGCCTCATTCATACCAAATCACCTCCTCTCCATCTTCCAGGCTAGTACGCCCCCGTCACAGACATTCCGCAAGACGACTGAGATACCCTGTACAGGCGTTTCGAGGATTCACGCTCGGCGTCGTGAAGGGTGGGAAGTCAGAGGATGTATTTCTTAGTTTACCCATCCTTTTCATGGTCCAAATTATTTCCTCTATAGCGTCGTCGCATTTTCTTTCATTCCGCCAGAGAAAGCCATCCTAGGCTTGGAGTGCTTCTTCACGAAATACTCTATTCGGGGCCATTAGATCACAAAATTCAACGCAATTGACGCTATGCGCCCTGATACAACATTCAGTAGTTGTTATGGCCATGGAGAAAGTCTATGTATTCAAGATACCTGGATATGTTCTCTCCTAGTGAAAAAATCCAATGGGAATGTCCACTGCGTTGAACTTTTCGTGGCGTTGGAGTTCCCAAAGCCTAACGGGGTACCCCGAGTAGTTGCAAGGACTGCCCAAACTTATGTCTTGGTACTGTATTCGAATCGAGCTACCCAGCAAGCTGGATTTCGCTTAAGGTATGCTCTATTGCTCCCCACTCCCTACCCCGCAAGTATTGTCACCAACCTCGTAATCCTTGCCTATTTTGTCATTTACTTGTACCACGATAGCCTTGCCGTTCTGCTGTTATACGTTCGCTCCTCATGGAACTACTGCCATGTGAATGGTGAAAGAGGAATGGTGATATATCTGAGGTTGCCAAGATAGTGTAGCGCATTTGGTGCCTACGCACTGGTACAGGAGTTGCTTCGTATGAAATCAAACCCGGATGCTTAGACCTCCGTAGCGCCGAGCTGAAAAGGTAATGGGTACGGGAGTAATTTAGTCCCGTAGTCAACCTTAGGTTATCTCTACAGCCCTAGCTTGTGCTGCATGAAGACGAGGTGGTTTAGTGGGAAACTATACAACACTACACAAGTGAGATCAGGCGGGCCGGAGAAGGTGTTTGGGCGCCAGAATATGGGGTAGCGCATGCGGAGTATATTGCTGTCTCAACGCATATGCGCGTGCATAAGCCGAAGAAGGTGAGTTGGGAAGAGTTTGCGCGCATTCCGGAGGTAAGTCACCCATCCCCCTCGCTCCCCCAGGTCCTCTAGCGCAATTCGAGTATCCGTAAGCATAGTTGCTCTTCCCAAAAGCATCACCGCCAACGCCTCCCCCAGGCCTGGATCACCGCAGCCCAAGCCTTCTATCTAATCGGCTGCTACACCTCCGGCAATTCCGTCCTCTGGCACACGCCGGCCTAGGCTAGTAAACGACCCGAAGCAGCTGACAGCATCAGTGAGGATCCCGCAAGTGTTCGCGTTTTCCCTAAACCTATGCTCGTGAAATGAAGGACGATGCTGCATTATGTTTTGTTGCTGCTGTTGTTTTTGTCGTTGTTATAGCAGATATAATGGGGCTGCCTTTATGGACGAGTCTTCCCAACGCAGTAAGTATGATCATACCGAGTTTGTGATACTATTCTAACTAATGCAAGCTGTTACTACGGACTCATTGAACGAGAGTCAGGGTGCAGCCATCGAGGCCAACAGGTCGGTCTCTGATATTCGGTTGGATCACGAGCCGACCTGTCAACATGCCCTGACAATTTTATGCACCCTGCCGGAGACTCTCGAGGCCGAGCCTGGTAGACATAAATCAAGGCAAGGACTTTCTTATGAGTATAAGCACTCCGTCTAAGTAATGTAAGACTGCTATTCTCAATCTCGTTTATCTGATAGCCATAGTCAAATCCGCCCTCTGCCAAGATACGCCCGCCATGCTATCCCGCTCCCAGATCTCCGCCCGGTACAACCGGACCACGCTAGGATCCAAAAAGACATTTGAATATGCTTGTGTTGGGGCTGGCGTAGCCACTAATGTGCTGTTCTTTGTCGGGCTCCTTGCCGGATCTATGATGCCGCCGCTGGCCCCCGCCCACACCGCTGAGCAGGTCGTCAGTCACTACAAGCGCCATCTCACCGGCATCCGCGTCCTAGCAACATTGGTCCTATGGTCCGGCCCGCTCTATGTCATGTGGACCGCGGTCTGCTCCTCACAGATGAAGCGCATCCCCGGCGTCCCGCATGCCGTGACGGCGACCCAGCTCGCGTCCGGGGCCTTGGGTGCAGTGGGCTTCTACGCGCCGGCCATCCTGTTCGCGACCACGGCATACCGCCCAGAGCGCCCGCCCGAGATCACCATGGCGCTCAATGACCTGTCGTGGATCTTCACCGTCTTCGGCTTCACGCCCGTCGTCACCCAGAACGTCGCTTTCGGCTGGGCCATACTGGCGGACCTCCGCCCCAAACCCCTCTTCCCGCGCTGGCTGGGCTGGATGAACGTCATCCTGCCCTTCGGCCTCAGTCCCGGCATGGGCCTCCATTTTGTTCATCACGGGCCGATTGCTTGGAACGGATGGGTGACGTTTTGGCTGGGGTTCGTGTGGTTTGGTGGTTTGACTGGCGCGAATATCATGTATCTGTTCCTGGCGGTAGGTAACGATATGGAGCGTGACGCGGTGGAAGAGGTTGCGGTTGAGGAACCCACGAAACGAAACTGCTGAGGTGAGTTTTCGTGTTTGCGCGCTCAATTATGATGACTGAGAGTGGTAGAACCAGCATTACTAGCATAGGATAGCCTTCCTGTCGAAGACATACATGGCGCTTGAGGCCAGGCTGTTGTCTGCTACCTCGACCTGATATTCCGGCGCATCTGGAAGCTTGCTCCAGAGCCTCGTGGTGCAGATACGGGGAATGAGAGCGCTTTGTGTAAGCGTTAGGTGGATCGCCTAGAAAGGAGCTAGGTATACAGTACCCATAGCGGGAAGCAAAGAGGAAAGGAGACCGCATACATTGATTCCGCCGACCCTCTCACTCGAAGTCTTCACACAACGGTGCACGTTTTCCAAGTAATGAGAAATGTTCAACATTATGAAATTGGTTAAAGAATGTATATACAACAAACTGCGTGTCAGCGTGATACTCATCAAAAGCGTGAAGCGTGAAGCGTTCGCCCGTCATCGTCATCATGAAGACTGTTCCGTTCCGTCCGCCAAATGAAGGTCATGAGAAGTCAAAAGAAGAACCAAAAGAAAGCCGCCGCCTCAACTCTGTGCTTGCCAGAGGAAGCCGGCTCTTGCGCCACCGTCCGTAAATCCCGTCCGTCCATGCATAAGATGCCACCACCATGAATACACCTCATAAGACAACAATACCTCGAGCTCCGATCCCGAACCTCAACTGCGCCGAATCCGTACGACACCAACACTACTAATACCTTTACATGACGTAGTGACTAGCGCCTTTTCCAGTAACGCTCATCTCCACGAGAACACCGAACTCCTCAAAAACCGCCGCATATGCTCACTCCCGCCCCACACCTGCTCCCGCGCCTTCTTCCCCACCACCGCACTCCGCCCTTTACTCAACCACCTCGCCAGCCCCTTCCCTTGCACGTCTCCCTCGCCCTCATCCTGTCCCATCAGCGGCCCTAGGATCCGCGGCTCCATGTCCACGGGGCTCAGCATCACAGGCACATCCATGACCTCCTCCGCCTTCCGCTTCCACTCGTCGGAGCCGGTTAGGCGCGTCAAGGGCGCCAGCGCATCGTCCCAGTCGCCGGAGCGCAGCGTGACGTCCTCGAAGTTGAAGTCTGCGAGCGTGCGGCGGTGCGCGTGGATGAACGCCGAGATCTGGGAGGAGTCCATGACGCCGTTTTCGAGCTCCATGTAGCGGAGGCGGGGGAACTTGAGCGCGCGGGGCCCGTTGAGCTGGGGTTTGGCGCGGGTAGAGTGGGAGCTGCCCGGTGGAGTGGGGGGCTGCATGCAAGGTTCGCGGTCTAGAGAGAGCGGCGAAGGGCCACGCTCGCCGCGCCAGCGGAAGAAGAGGCGGGTGAGGGCTGGCGCGAACGCGCGGAGGTAGGCGTGCAGGATGCGGAGGTGCTCGGTGCGGGATTTTTGCGCGAAGGGGAAGGAGTCCATGTGGATTGCTAGTTTGCGGATTTGTGCCCAGCGGCGGGAGGAACGTGGGGTGGAGCCGAAGGCGAGCATGGGTTGGAGGTACAGCAGGCCGCCTGGATGGATAGGGAGGAGGGAAAGTGTGGTTAGCTGGGGCAGGTGGGCGCGCTCAATGGCGATGCGGAGGGAGATGAGGGCGTAGTCGACGGTGCTGCGGCGGTAGCGCTGGGCGGTCTCTTGGCCTGGGCAGCTGATTTTGAGGTGGGAGAGGGTTGGGAGCAGGGAGAAGGCTCGAATGAAGGCGGGGATGTTAGTTGCGGCGTGGAAGAGGGGTGGGTATTGCTTGATGAGGAGGTCGGTCATCTCCCAGGATCCGTACTTGGGTTGCTTGACCTTGCCGGCCAGCGTATTAGGTGGATGGACCTGGGGTTCATAAAGAAATGGTCGATGTTCCCCGGTCAACGGGTCGACCAGTGGAGGTAGGAAAGTCTCTGAAGTGTGAGGCATATTGAAGGTAAGAGTCTTCACGTGACGGCCGACTCTCTCCAGGGCAGCCATGCGCGCTGGCTTGGTAAAGGTGCTGGGCTTGAAGGTAATTGAGACATCTTGAAACAAGAAGGGCGTGGCTCGAGTAGCAAAGTCGTGGCACACCAGGCGGACGTTTGGTAGCTCCTCCTTGGGGACCTTTTCGAGCAGCGCATTGCGACAGGTATCGTTCAGCCAGAACCGGAGGAACGAGGAGCTTGTCGACAACACGAGATTGCAGATGGAGCTGTTCGATCGATGTGCTGGTTAGGAACTGTCAGTGATGCTCCGCGACACGTAGTGCTGTGCGTGGCAGCTCACATCTCCCGTCAGCTGAGGCGGGTGTCAGCGGGATCTCGCCGAATAGCAGCTTCGAAGAGGCGCGCGAGGTCTTGGAGGCCTGGCTGTCATGGCTCTCGCCTGATACCGATCGCTTCAACGACGGAGGCGACGGTTGAGGAGACGTCATACGTGGAAATGGTCATGAAAACGCAGCAGAGTGGAGATTTAGAACAGCAGTTTGATTTTGAGTCGCGATAACGAGAGCGGGAAAGCAGAAACCTCAGGAGCATCAGGCATAGCGAGTGGCGGCCGTCTATTTACTGTGGCAGGGCACGAGCGGAGCATGTCTGCACGTGAGACGCAGGTATGAGTCAAAGCAAGAGTCGTTGGAGGGGAGGGCAGGCTTGGGGTTTTGCAGCGACGCTGGATTCGGGCGAAGTATTGAGCAGAATCACGACCATCTCGCGGTGCGCGCTCGCGCTCTTCTTTATATCGACGTGATGATTTGGCCCGCCGGCCGGCCCCACGAGGCCCGACGGATGCCTGATTCAGGGCTTGAAACATTTGGGTGAAGCAGCCAGTGGGAGGTGCAGAACGGGTCGTGTCCGTTGCTTTTTGGTGCATTAGCGCATGCAGGAGGGAGGAAACATCGAGGCTGGGCGGCCGGGGAAAAGGCCGCAAAGACGGTGAGGCCCGCCAAGCGCAGCACAAGGCGCGTCCACGTTTAAGTGCACGCGTCGTCTGTTTGGCCATGGTAGAGTTAAAGTTGTTTTGACATCCAGGAACGGGCCAAATGGGTGAATTGCGGGTGGTGCGTGCAGCCGCGGACGACCAGAAGTTTCGAAACTTCGGCTACCGTCAACACCATAGGCCCATCGTCACATTGTGTTGGCAGTTCCCAACGCGTCCCCTGTCCAGACACGTTCACGACGTTCCACCATCCTGGCCATGCTCGAACAAACTGACCCTTCACGCGTCACTTCACTGACAATAGGTCAGAAGGGCTCCTCCTGTTGCACTGTACTCAAGAACTACCTGGGGCGACATGAGCATCGCGAATTGCAGCGTCGGAGGTGTCTCAATGGCTTGAGTGGCTGGTGAATGATAGGTTGGAGTCACGTACATTCGGCCTGCACGCGTCAGTTCGTCGAAACTACTCCCATGTGGCATCATTTGTCCACCAAACTACTAGGCACAACGTAGACGAGCGTCAAGTTCCGCTTTTAAGTGTGGTTCAAATGCGTAAACGACTCTAGAAGGGTAGTCATGGTCATGCAGTTGTCACGTAAGATGTCTCGATAGTGTGCCCAGGTGGGTTTACTCTATGCATTAACTCGGGTTGCAGCACTACAACCTAGGGTCAGCAACTCATATGCAGTAACGTATCAGGATAACATGCTGATACAGGAGGAAGTAACAGGTAGTGCAACAGCAGTGCTGCAGCACGGTATCAGTACTGTATCAGGAAACAGGATGAATCAAGTAACGCGTCAGGAAGAGATACCACGTTATGCCCCCGGGGCTGGCCCCCCTCCTTCCCCTAGTATATAAACAACGAGCTAGACACCCATAGAAATCAGAGTTCACATCAATTTCAACCTGAGTCATTATGTACTTTTCTTCGATCTTGACGCGTTCTGATATCATTCGACGTTTTGGCGGATGTGATGGATGCACATATCCAATAACCCCAGACCAGAACACGGTCATCGTTTTTCTCGAACCCCATACGAAAACTCACAGGCATTGAAGTAGTACGCATTGAGCTCCACACAAGTCGTCCCGCTCACACACTACATCGGTCAATTAGCAATGTCCTCAATCACTGACAACACTCTCAATACGTACCTGTGTCGCACCCGTCCAACTCACTCCCCCACACTGACCCCAATGCGCCACAGTCAGCCCATTACCACCACTTGACCCCGTCACCGCCGCCACAGAACTCAACGCACCACTCACTGTCACTGTCACTGTCACTGTCACTGTCGCTGTCGCTGTCGCTGTCGCTGTCGCTGTCGCTGTCGCCGTCGCACTAATGCCCGGCGTCGGCGTCTCATCATTTCTCACACAGCCCGTCAGGTCCGTCAACTGTGCCGGACACGTAACCTTCTGCCAGCTAACCGCGGGGTTATCCGCATTCTGGAACCAGTCGAAGCGCCAACAACACCCAGGCTTCAGCTTATCCGAGAACGAGTCGCACTCCGAGCGAGAGGAGATGCCGCCGTATTGCGCGCCCCAGCTGTTGGGAGGTGCGCCCCACTCATTTGCGCAGCCGTTGAAGATGCCGACGCCGCCAGATATCGCGAGGTCGAAGTGGTTGTCGCCCAGGTCGCCACCTGTGTTGGTGGCTTGGACGACAAACTTCTTACCAGAGACGGGGCCAGAGGTGAAGGTGAGTCTGGGGCTGGAGTCAGCGGACTGTTTGACGGAAATGGCAGAGGAAAAGGATAGACGGAGGCCTCACTCGTAGCATGAACAGCACCAGCTAGACTCAGTTCAGCCTGCTAGCTTCACGGCCGCGAAACCGTAGCTTAGATTGTCGTTAACGGCCCACGGACTCTTTATAAGTCTAGTAAGTATGTTGGTTCCAAGTCGTGGGCATCAAGGTGACTCGTTACGTACTTGGTTCGAATGCAGGCCCATTCGAGACCGAGAAATCGCAGCTTGATTTCGCCGCCATGTCTGCGAGCGGATTGTCGCTCTTGTCGCAGCTCTTAATGGGGGCGCTGACCGCTGCCTTTCCAGCCCATCCACAGGAGCCCTTGCAGCAGTCCCAGTACCGAGTCGTCTAACCAGTACCGGAAGTCTGCGCATTGGTGATAGTGGCACTACCTCCGAGGAGGGCGAGCAAGGCAATCTTCTTTAGGATGGATGTCATATTTGAGAGATTGAAGCGAAGAGCGAAGATATGATCAAAAAAGCACGAGGAGGAACGTGAAGGAAGAAGTAGACTTGAGGGAAATTTTAGATGGATTATACGTCGAACACCGCAATCATCGAATTGTCTTCACCATGTCATGATCAATCCCGGATTAGGCCCTGCCGGATCGTCGTAGGGGCAGATTGAATCAGCGGAAATTCAAACAGCGGAGATTCAACACCTCCTTCGGAGCCGTCCGCTCGATAAATGTGACCCTAGAATCTCGGGGCGTTTCATTTTGTATCCCCTCAGACGCGCCACTTGATTAGACGAACACCGGGCGTGATGTCAGGGCAATCAGGTGCGTTTGTACGGTTTGTGGCGGAGTAAGATGGCCCGAGATGGCCTTTGGCTGGGATAGACGCGATCTGTGGAGCTCATTTGGAGTTGCGGGCCCTCAGGCCTTGATCTGTCTCGAATTGCCGAGCTGGTGGTTTGTGTGGCAATAGAGGGCTTTTGCCGAACAGGGGCATGTGCGCGTCCTAGGTGTTGCTCGACGTGCCTGGCCACCCGTATCCGTCTCCATTAATTTTGTCTTGAGCATGAGTGGCCGTGTCGTCGTCGTCGTCGTTGTCGTCGTCGTTGTCGTCGTCGTCGTCTTCATCACCACTTTCGTCATCATCCCAATCCCGATCGACCGCCCCAAGCAGCATTTTCAAGACGTTTCCATCACATGAAGTTGTGTCCACAATGTCCCTGTAGCACCCCGCACACTTAGTGCTTGCTTTCCCATATACTTTGAAAACTTCATGCCGGGAACTTACTTGTCTAATTTGAGCTCTTTGTGATTGTCTATCATCCGAAGCCGCTTCATACCAATATCATCGTGGCCAAACCGGACGAACTGTATGCCCGCTTGTCCATCAAGCAAACCCCGGTTCGAAAGCTCATTGACAAGAATTCTGATCGGTTCATCGACTCCACAAATGGGTTCTGGTTTATCTTGCCAAACGCCGTCAGTGAGGATATAAATACTGATAGGATGGAGCTTTTGTGTCGCCCCCAAAAAGCTCAAGCGAGACCTTGGGCGATTTGCATCGAGGCTTTGAATCTTTGCCCTGTAGCCTTGCGTGATATTTCCCAAGCTGTTTTTGATGTTGCAACGACCACCTAGTGTTGCTTCTCGCCTTTCCACCAGGCTGGCAAGTGGTGTCGTGTTTTTGTTGTGAAACTTCTCGGGAGAACTAGTGAAATACAGGTCAAGTCCGTCGGGATCTACTCGTTTGACAAGCCAAGCCAACGCCTCAAATACCCGTTTCAGCTTTGGCCAATACGGTTTCATGGACGCAGAGTCGTCAATAAGAAATATCTGGTAGATTTAGCAAGAATCCCGGTACAGCATCGGTTGACATACATGATCCCGGTCATTCAACCTCTGCAAATACTTGTCGCCATTCAAGGGAGGACTAGAACCACGACCTTTCTTTTTTTTCCAGTTGTGTACTTCTTGGACGGATAGGTTGGGGCGCTTCCCCCGAACCAGGTCTTCGGCAATTGTGCCGTCGTTTCCAGCAGTAGCTCTTGAGTTGTCGCGAGCGGGTGATAGTAAGCGAGGGCTATATTCGCCATCTCCCTCGTCTCTTATGGGCGTTTTGCCGTTTGCAGTATTAGCTCTCGAAACACCGCGATAACGCAACTTATAATCAAGTGCATATTCATGTTCCCGCTCGGTTGGTGCGCCGTTCTTTTGAGACGGTAGAGTCGCAGTGGATTGCGCAATGGTCGAAGCAAAAAGGTTTGTTCCTCGCATAGTACTCCGAGAACTGAGAGCGCTTGGCTCGAAGGATTCAGAGTCTAAGGAGTCATGTTCCCAGCTGACTGCTCTTCCGAAGGCTGACGCTCCATTCGGGGGGTTGGACCGCCCATTGTAAGACAGCTGCGAGCTACCAGAAAGTTCCGAACCAGTCCGTCTCTGCTTTGAAAGTAAACCCCGGGAGCTCCTTGAGGGGTAAGAATGTGTAAGTTTTAGTCCCGCATGTTCTGGTGGAACGTATGGAGGCTTTCGAGGGGGGACGACTGGACTACCGACGGTCTGCATGATCTTGGGATATTTCTTTTCTCTCGCCTTCTTCAAGATCCGCTGTGAGTTTCTGTGGACGTGTACCGCATTGAATCGGTTGGTGTCCACCAGCATGTTGTCAATGAGCGGAACGACGTATTCTGTGATGTGATCGATGTTCATACGTCGCTTCTCGAGTATGTCTTCGTGCATGTGACCTACTGCCTTAAGGACATGCGTGCCATTGTGGAAGCAACCACTATAGCCAGCTTCTGTAAGACCTGGCAGCTCACCTATCTCAATCGTACGAAGATTTTGGTAGTGCTTGAGACCAGGCATTCCCCGCACAACCCATACAACAGCCTCGCTGAACAGACAGCCTAGGGACCATATGTCGATTTCAGGGGATATCTCTAAGGCGGTCCGTTCCATGAATCGATCTGACCTGCAGCATTCGGGAGCGCCTACACAGACTTAGTCAACAGAGCGCTTCATGTACACAACGCTACTCACTGTACATGGGCGTACCGCACATGTCTTTCCCGGTGAGATGGCTGAGACCTAAATCGGCAAGCTTGAAAGTACATTCGTAATCTGACTCGCTTGTCCCCTTGCAAACAAGAACATTCGCGGCTTTGATGTCTTGGTGAACCCTTAGGGTTTTTAGTGCTTGTTTTCATATCAAATTGAAAAGGGTGTCTGTTTTCGTACCTTTGTAAACTGGGCGGGCCATTTCCACCACGTTTCAACTCATGTATTCTTTGGAGAGGTTGGACGATCTTGAAAAGATTGTCCCAGAAATTTATGATGTCTACTTCAGCGGAAGGTGGTTCCACGTTTTCGAAAAACTCTTGAAGATTCCCACTATCCGCATACTCGAGGATGATATTATACGTCCCACCTTGACTGTAAGCCCCGTAAAATGCAATCATATTCTCCTCGAATTTTCTAGGACTCATAAGTTGAATGAAGGCGTCTACCTCGTTCTGGTAGTTTTTTTCGGCCTCGCTGACGAAGTAGGTCTTCAGGACGAATGTATCCGTGAGGGGTCGGCCATTTGGAGCCTAAAAAAGAGGTGGCGTGTCAGCGGATAGTAGGAACAAGTTGATTTGGCTCATTCTTGTATATAAACGTACCCTTTCAACCAGATGATTGTAGGCGTCGTGCAATTTGATTTTGTAGATGGCGGCGCTTCCTCCACTTCCCAGCTCCTTCTTCTCGATGATGGGAAGTATTAGATCCTCGTCGAGAACACTGCCTTTTAGCTTCTGGGTGAAGTCGAGAGCACAAAATTGCCATTGTGCTTTGTAGAACGATGGGAAAAAGTCGTTGGAATCGGCAACGCTCGGCCAATGGGAAGGTCGGTGATTCAAAGACGTAATAGGCAAGATTTTATCTTCAAGGTCCGAGTGCTGAAGGAAGTGCTTGATATATTCAGCTTTCCCGATGATTATAAGGATGGCGAAAACTCGTAGATAATGCTCCAAGACGTTTGCAGCGTCTATGACTCCTGGAAGAGCGGCGAGAAGCTGTGTCACGCGGCGTTGATCCAGATAGGCCTCCAGCAAGTCGAGAGGTACGAACTCTTTCTGCGAAAAGTCACAGGTCACCGAGTTGCGGACAAATTGTCTGAAAGCTCTGATATATGGGTTGTGATCAGGCTGCACAGAGGCGGCCATTGCAAGGAGCGCGCAACGTTCGGATGGAGAGATACGAGGGAATGAGCCGTGAAGGTTGCATTGATAAGGTTGGGGGGGCACATGCCTGGGCCGGCGCGGTGTGTCTTGCGATGAAGCGGAAGATGGGGGAGAACGATGTGTACTGAGGGGAACTGCAATACCAAATGTCGCCCCGCCAACCTAGAAGCAGCTCTACGCGCACGCGGCTGATAATGAGGGCGGCCAAGGTCGACTCAGCCGCCCTGCAGGTCAGGCCGCGTGATCGTTGATCGGGTTCGCCTCGAAGCTTCCACATGAGCAACAAACGCCTTCAGGAAATTGAACTTGAAGGAGAGAGACTATGCAGTAAAAAGCTGAAAAAACTAACCTCTCCTAGTAGCAAAGACTAGCTCATGGGATGTTCAGTTGCGGTACATCTGCTTGGGCAAAGAGCAAATGGTGGTAGAATATTCTAGGTGAACAGCCACGCTCCGCGAGGCAGAGAGCCGCCATATCTGCCTTGCCTGCTATTGAGCTGCGTATAGCACTAGCTCATACTAATCAATATACGAAAAAGCTGCGCCTAATTCCGGTCTTGTCGTGAAGGAAAAGCAGTAGAGATGGATGCCTTCCATCCTTGAAACAAATGTTCCGTTAGAGTTACACTGCCCCCTTAGCTTGTCTTCTCTTTCTTGGATCAACTCCTACCCACCCCTGGTACAAGGCGACTGCGCCTAGTAGTCCGTAGACCTTTTTGCGGATTACGCCCTAGGCTTTCACTTTAGGCTATGAGAAAATCAGGCAGGCTCTAGGATTTAGTCTCGAGTCAAAGACAACGACCGGTTTGATGTATTTCATATACAGACCCGAGCTTCTTTGCGCGAAATTACTTCTGTTTCTGCAAAAGAACGGCCGATGCCCTACAAAACATTCCCCGGATACTTCACACCCCGACTTATTAGTTGCTACTATGTACGAGCTGCCTCTGTACATAGTTCCCATCGTAGATTTATTGATTGCATCTCTAATAACCAGTTTGGTAGTGTCTTTAGTACACCTAACCGCATACTCAGGACATAAAAAAAGTAGCACTCTTAGTTTGAATAAGCCGCTAGGCCGTGTACGTGTGTATGCCACTGCTTAGAGTTTTTGAATGCATTCTTGGAAAGTTAAGCACGACGAAAGCTCTTTACCTTGAACCGTTTTGTTGAAACACTCTAAGCAGTGGCAGACAGGTGTACGCTTCAGGCAGCATGCTCAATGAGGATGTGTCTAAATTCGGGTGGTTGAGCCCAGTTCCCTCTTCACCAGCCACCTCAACCGGTGTATATAGCTAGCCGCTGTGCTGCCCTCACAATACAACTTTTACAATAAGCTTCTCTTCCTCCCGAGTTTTGACAGTGTGCGACTATTTTCGCGCTTAGCGTGCTGCATCGTCTCTTCTACCTGTTATCAGACAAGCAAGAGAAAACGGTAACATAGAATTCAAGGAAAAGTTTACGAATGTAGATCAAGATGCTTCATCGTAAAATCAGAAGACTGTGGTTAGGCCGCTTCGCAGAGCTCGTCTTCAGCTGAGACCCATGGCTCTGAACGGTCGCCCCTTTTCACCCACCAGTAAACAATGTACCAAGCAATGAAGGTAACGAACATTAGGGGGATGCATATTTCCATATACAACTGGAGTCCTTGGAACTGAAAGGCTTTCGTTTCATGACCCTGATTATCTGTGCTAAATTTGATGATATCCGTGCTGAAGATTGTCTAAGGCCCAGGTCTTAGCCATCGTTTATCTGTTCAAGATGCGCGTTTACTTACTGCAATGAATGTTCCTGGTAGGAAGAACAGGGTGACTAGGGTAATGATGCGCATTGAAACGGTTTCCTGCTTAGTCTTCCGAGCGATTTCATGCATACTAGTGGTCATTTTTTCCATATGGTGGGCGGATAGCTGAGACTTTCGGGCGAAGAACTCGCTTGCCTTCATACTTCGGTATTGTAAAATGCCATAGAGCTATTCATTCAGCATTAGACTTAGAGTTAGGGATTCTTCATTAGAGGAGTCTTACTAAACTTTTCCGTTCAGCTAGCAGACACAGGAGAGTCTCGGTCCGTGACAGCTGCATTCGGAGGTCCTTCTCCACACCCGAAATGCATTTCTCAAACCTCGCGAACTCAGAATGGCACTTTAGACTAATCTCAGAAGGGAATTGGGGATCCCTGATCACAGAGCGATAGTGTTCCTTCAAATCACGCAGTACTTCGCTATTAAGTTTGAGCACTAAGAGCACTTCATTGGTTTTCTCTTCGATGTACTGTATTCGTTGAAGATCGCTGAATGAGAAGTCGTCTTTCAACGTTGAGGAGCCTTCATTCTGGACCCTTGGGGGCAAAGTTAGACGGTCAGCCCTCATTATAGAAGGGTTCTTCCGTGGTTCGGTTTTCTCCCTTAAGGGTTCGGGGAGGTTTGCGGTTTCCTCTTGTTGTTTTCGCAATGAAAGTTTCGAGGAGAGTGTCTTCCAGCTGCTTTCTGTCATCATTGTTGCAGTTCGAGCTTGAGAGAAGGTCGATAGTGCTCCCGTTGGAGCTCTCGATAAGACAGAGGACTGCCCAGATTTCGTCCGCGACGGTGTCGAAAAGGCGTCGGCTCCACTAGTTGAGGATATTGGAAACATTCCGCTCGGAGTTTTTGGACTTATTGGGCTTGGACCATTAATAGACACTGGGCTAGGGGTCTCGTCGATTGGCGCTGAAAGGGCCTTTCGGGTTACACTCTGAGCTTCTCTCTCTAAATCGTTCAAGTACCAGCGCCAATTTTCTCCCGACCAATTACAGAATATCAAATGCGTTGCAAGGGCTGACGCAAAAGCACCACTGGTTGAATCGAAAGACCTTGGGTTCAACGCTTGAAGCTGTTTTGATGCTTCCGAGATTCTTCTTTTTAGAAGTTTGTTTCCTTTCACGTTGATCCAGAGTGTGCCGCCGGACGTAATGTCGAAAGAATGATATATCGTCGTCTGTCGAATGGACCAAGGTAAATCCACCTGCCCTTTCGAGGGTTCTACTGATCGCAGGTTGTAACATAGACGCATCGAACGTCCTGAGCGTCCTATTTCTGAGACACAAAGGCCTCCATCGGCATTGCTGAGATAGTCGTCGTCTCGGAACCCACTGAAATGAGAATCCTGGGCTTGTTCTTGCGCTCCGAACGGGAAAACAAAATCTAATAACGGAGCCATAACTTGGAAATAGGTGAGAGCAAATGTGAACATCCGATGTGAAACGCGAAGTCGATCTCGAGAATGAAGGGCGTGAATGAACCTGAAAATGTCAGCAGGAGTGCCCCAAGGGTCGATTAGTCGCAAACCCCGCGAACTACCCAGACTCACATGAACCGACAGCGAGGATCAGTATGGCGAGGTTCAATGGCTTTCCGCACATGTTCTTTAAGTTCGTTCGTATTTGCTACACAAATAGCTCGGAATTCTGCGATGGTGAAATAAGCTTATTGACTCATGTATTAAGAGCTTGCCACACTCACCATCGTCCCCATCATTCAGATCGAAGAAATCAAGAGCTGCTTTATTCTCCTCGCTAAACAGCCGGTCTTTCTCGTCTTGAAGGCGGTCAAAGTAGGTTTTGAGAGCATGCGGCGAACAGTAGTGGCGCACAAGGTTTTGTGGATAGCTTTCGAATCTTTCACAGGAACTGATAAGTTGATCCATTGGAAATGAACTACGACTCTCATACATCACAAATCATTCCCTTGGTGGTCCTTTAAAGGACTGTTTCCAAGAAAGGCTGAGAAACACTGCCCCCAAAAAATAATCACGCCGCGTTGCCGAGTTGCCCCTTACCTGCAAGGCTCCTGCGAAGGTGGCTCAGATGCCAACGCCTGAAAAAACTCATTCGTGTCCCCTCCGTTCTTGCCACGCTCAAATGGGCGACTGGTCCAGCCTTAATCATCATCGCTTGGGTCCCCGAAACGCAGGTCGCGAATGTTATTCCTATCTACCTGTCATTTCGTGAGGCTCATTAGCTCGTGAGTTCTGCTGTCTCAATGTTCAGTGGTCCGCACATCAGATAGTTTTTCAGGAATTAAAAATATATATTCTCCATTTTGGACCTTGCTTGGCTATTAGGTTAATGACTGCGAACTCATTGAAGAGAAACTGACCTCAGTAGAGAAGTTGTAGTCTCCATATTTCTTAATAAGGTAACCTTCGAGGGCATCCTGCCTAAGTCGGTATGTGGGAAAAGTGTCCAAAACCCAGTTCATGGTTTCGGGTGAGACGGGAAAGGCCGAATGCGCAGGCGTGGGGTTAACTAGAGAACGGCAGATCACACCGTCGAGGCAGAAAATCAATTGAGTAAACAACCGGTGAGCAAGATGCGGAGGTAGCGGTAAGGCGAATCGACAAAAGCGAAAAAATTGGGCTGATCATCTAGCTGAGTGATGAATATTTATTGCCTCAGCTCATTGACGGCGACCGTATCTGAGGCTCAACTGCCGCTCGTAGAGAAGGCAACTCGTAGCCTTGTGACGGCAGCAATGCAATCACGTATACTTTACAGGACCCAATCAATGAACGATCTGTGTGTGTCTTGCAGAAACAGCAACCATTCTGAACCCGTTTATACTGCGAGTGGTCCACGTGGCTCCAGCCTTCATCGGAAACTACAAGGGCGGTCCTTGACAAAAGAGGCTTCTGATGTAAAGCGATAAGGCCACTGGAGAAGCCGTTTCCAAGCAGTGAAGATGCTTGATGAGGCTCATGCGCGAGAGGTTGACTGAACATGTGTTCTATGATGATTCGAACAAGAAGGTTTGTTCGAAATTTGGCTGCGGATTCGACTCTCTGCCTACGGAGTGTTATGCAAGCCTAATTCAAGTCTACAGCTCTACATTTATTCACCTGTTAATGGATCATAACTTAGCTCCCAGCATCGACATCGTGCCGGACTCTCCTCGCGCAAGGCTCTCTGTCCTCCTCAGCGCCTCGCTTGGGTATCATGGCCAGCGGCGAACCCTCGCTCCGTACATCTTCCTTATCGAAAGGTTTGAGCATCTTAGCGAAGTCATTTTTCACAACCAGCTTCTGATGGAGCGCCTCATCATCTAGCTTCGTAACCTCGCTATCCGAGTAATCATTATTATGGCCAACCTGCTCTTCAAGCTCTCCTTCACTAATGCTAATGGCTACGAAGCGTCGTCGAATTAAGGTCGCGATCTTGCCACCTAGGTAGTGGTTTCAATAGCCACAAGTATCGAAACGGGCCATACCAAAGATTTTGTCCCCTTCCTAGGCCTCGTCGTAGTCTGTCACAATGACATAGTTAGCCACTCGTTCTTTCAACGGTTTGATATTGGTACTTTGCATACGTTCCTCCTCCATACCATTATAAGGATCCTCAAGAGGGGGTGCGCGTTTCCATACCAATATAGGTATGATTCCAAACCTCTAGGAGAGGGACGAAAGATACCAGCTCGATATTAAGGTTCCAGTTATCTCCCACTGTGCCTCCGTTAGCATCTAGTTCATAGATAGTCATCTTTCGCCGGAGGCCATCCTTGGAGTCGCAGGCATAGTAGACAAGAATATTGTCGCTCTTCACGTCTCGACCGTCACTTCCCCTCCTGGCCCTGGGCCCCCGGATCCCTCCCACCGTCTTTCTAATGAAGAGGAACCAGTAGCGGGCCCTACTCCTTGACCTCGCCGCACCCTAGCCTCGACTTGTACAGTTCAACAGGCCATGTACTTCAAACAGGTGTAGGTGGCAGTCGCTCTAGCCGAAGACATACTAGATCGGGAGGTGCACATGACAGAAGGTATACTTGCAGCGGACGCGGCTGGTCATTTTGACGCAATTCTTGCTATTTCGGAGACTGAAATTTAGAGTGATCTGGGTGCTGTTGCGGTCGGGATGGAGGAGAGGTAGGAGGAGAGGTAGGAGTAGGTCGAGCCGGAGTCGGAGGGAGCTATGGATGTCATCATGATCGTGCGACGAAACTGACGGGAAAAGAACGGTGATTTCTGTGGAACTCATAGTTACCAGGGGGCGATGGGATGGAAAAGGAGAGAAGGGATGAACACCACGGTTGATTTTGGCTCAGCGCGTTCTAAATTAGCTCCCGCGTTGAATTGTGGAACCAGATCGCGCTATCACGTGCTGCTCTCTGATCTGGACCCTGCTTCCGTCTTCTAATTAAACCTTTATCTATTGAAGTCAATTTACGCGTCGACCGAGGAAACTCGCAAACTACAAATAGAAGAAAACAATCTTATTGCCTCCAATACTTGGATTCAATGGAATGCCGCACGGATGTAGGACAGAATGCATGCCAAACACCGGCAGGATCCAGGAATTTTGAATTTTTAGATATATCTCCGGAGACCGGGCGGTTTTTGAGGCCACGGGAAGCGTATAGTTGGAAGGTCGTTGGATTTCCAAAGGCAGATGTGGACTGCTCTGTGGTCGTGCCTCAATCAATCACTGATTGACCAAGAAGTAGCAACTGTCACATGTTCAATCACCAACTGCCACAGAAGACGACTCAACCAAACGCCTTTTCTCCGTTTAAATATTAGCGTATCTTATACTGGAATCCATATACGGCTCGGTAGAAGCCCGAATACCGCATCACGAAGCTCCACTTCACCCCTTTTGGTCTGCATTCATCGTACCTTATTGGTGTCTCCTTCCCCGCGACATCTTCCTTCACACCCCACCGTCGCAATCTTAGGTTCTAGCGCTTCTTCGTTAATGTGCCCATAGCGGTAGATTGCGGTGTCGCACAATCACTTCTCATCCCTTGATCGGCACGACAAGCGAAACCTTCTCGCCCTTCTCAATTCCCAACCCAACACCCTCGCCATCGCTTCCACTTCCGTCGACGTCGGATTTTTGAGACATTCCACCCCCGACTACTCCTTGCTGCTCGAATCCGCCTTCGCTCTTCTGCTCCCTCAGCGCCACCATGCTGCCGTCCGCTCCATCTGAAGTGCTATGCACAGATTTGTACCCATATGGCAGCGAAGCACTGAGCTTACGGGCGTGGTTCCTCCAACTTTTGATTCGTGGGACTTGGGTATGAGATCGTGCTTGCGGGGAGGTGTGCGTCTCAGGGTTATCGCGGAACGTGAGGGTAGTAGCGGAAGTTGAAGTGAGAGGCGTGGAAGCGTCAGTGCCGAACATGCGGGTGGCATCAGCGGCGGCTTTAGAGCGGATGAAGGCTTGACTGCCACCGTTGTTACTTCTTGGTTCAAAATTCCCAATGCTAGCAAGACGGGTTGATGGAAAAGGGTACAAGACTTACTGCTCTTCAGTCAGGCCCGGCATGCAGATGTCTACTCGACGAACATCCGTGGGTGAGCTCTAGACATGTCGGTGTCAGCGGTTGCATTCGACAAGACGCCAGCTTCGAGTCGTCTTACAATTTGCAGCGATGGCTTTTCGTGACCTTGGGAGGTACAACATAGAAAAAGCGCTTTATCGAGGCCAGGGTTTCATTCGTATTTTTCATCGTCGTGATTAAAATTCTGAGAAGTAAAACAAAGGTTTTGGCAGTCGTGGAGATCGTTGATATGCAAAGATATGAGACAAAATGACCCGCTTGCTCAACGCAATAATGAACAAGTAAAACACACAGAAAGCATACACACACTTTGTCTAGCAACGAAAGTGAAAGGAGACAGTTTAAGGTTGTTGGGGTTCGCTGTGATGAAGCAGAGAAGACCCTCAGACTACTGTCTCAGAGGTATATAAGAGGCTCGGACGGGGATGACTTGCCACGCGAGTACTCTATACATTCCTTACTTGCCAGAGTCAGGACAATGCTAAGGTACCTAGGTACCACATTCCTTGTTTCCAAAAACTTGATGCGGCACACCGGATAGGTCGGCGAGGTTTGAAATATGTTAGGTAGGTGCAACTTCAAGCCTTATAGTCTTCGGCGGAGAACAATCATCGGGCAGTATCATGCGCATTCATTTCGTAACTCAAGCACTCGTGCAGATCTCCACATGTGTCTGTACTTTGTGAATAGAAAAGGGTAACGCTCGACTGGGGTTTTCGCTTACGAGCTGTGGAACGTTCCTTGCATCTCTGGGAGCCACTGACGCATTCCACAAGCAGGTACCTTTGTATCGTTCAACGCGTCGCAGAAACGCGACTGAAAACTTTAAATGCCTTGTTGTTAAGCAAGTGGCAAGATCCCGCGCTGCAGAATTTAATGTCCGGTCCAAGCCACGGAACTCTCCGATATACATAAAACAAGGTTCCTGTCGCACTGGTTACCTGATCAGACTAATGTAAGTATCATCAAATGACAGTGCACTCGTGCTATCAATGCTCGTGCGTGGGCCTTGCATCTGGGATTAGCTAAAGCATCACGGTGCAGGTCCCACATACTTGAAGCCACCAGGAACGAGAAACAATTTGTTTCACATGTATCCATAGAGCTACTCGAACTGCTCATCTCGTTCATCTACTTCGGGTAATCCTTGATGTGGTAGCTCTTGAGCTTGACAAACTGGTCGAAGCCGAATTTACTCAGAGTCTGTCCTTTCCCCGAGTCTTTCCAGCCGACCCACGCAAGGTCCTGCTAACATTAGTTTATGCCCATGGGTTCAGTCGGTATTAACTTACTGGACTAGGAAAGTCGCAACGATTGACAAAGACAGTCCCTGCCTCGACGTCATCCACGAGTTCATGGCCTTTTGCAACATCCTTGGTCCAGATGCTAGCAGTTAGGCCGAACTGGCTATCATTCATCAACTTGATGGCCTCCTTATCGTCTTTGACCTTCATGACTGGAATTACGGGCCCAAACGTCTCTTCCGTCATCACAAGCATGTCGTGATTGACATTCGTCAGAAGAGTAGGGACAACGTAGTTGCCGTCGGACGGAGGCGATTTGAAGGATTCGTTCTCTGGTGTAGCATCTTTCGCACCTTTATCAAGGGCATCCTTGATATGAGAGCGGATCGTCTCTGCCGATCGCTTAGACACAACGGGACCAATATGTGTTTTGGTATCGAAAGGGTCTCCGAGTTTGTAGCCCTTGAGAACCTCCTGCACAGCGGAAACGAACTCGCCGTAGATCTTTTCATCGACATAGACTCTCTCAACGCTGCAACAGCTCTGTCCGGAGTTAAAGACGGCACCATCGACGATCTCCTCGGCCGCCCATGGGATGTCGACGTCGGAGCGGATATAAGCTGGATCTTTGCCACCAAGCTCCAGGCCAACTCGCACAGCCACACGATCACTAGCAGCAGTCTGTACAGCAAGGCCTCCAGCTACAGAGCCGGTGAAACAGACAAGCTGGATTTGAGGCGATCGAACCAATGTCTCGATCTGGCTCAGTGCCCCGCAGTGGAAGTGCTGCATGACACCTTCTGGCAAACCGGCTTCAGTGAAGATCTCTTGAATGTGCTCGGCCGTTGTAGGCGTCTGAGGGGACGGTTTCAGAATGACAGAATTCCCCGCAAGCAAAGCCGGTACAATCGAATTAATAAGGGTCAAATATGGGTACTGCAGTGCACATCAGTTGCCGTACAAGTGGGAAAAGAGCCTCATGTGACGAACATTCCATGGGAACAAGATCAAGACAGGGCCTATTGGCACCTTCCGAATATACCTCTTGATCCCTTTCTCGGCCTCGCCGTCTGTGTCGCTGAGAGCATCGTCGCTGATCTTGAGGAGATACTCGCCGCGCGCCACGGCCGTGGTGACCTCCTTAGCTGTGTAGGCGATGGGACGGCCCATCTGCTCCGTGATCTCTTTTGCTAGCTCATCCTGCTTGTCGTTGAGCAGCTTGAGCGCTTTCTTTACGATTTTCTGTCGCTCGCTGAGAGACGTCTTCCGATAAGCCTCGAAAGCTTTGGTTGCAGTAGCCGGGAGGGCTTGCAGGTCGCCCTCTGTCAAGCCATTACGAGTCAAGACGGGCTTGTTGGTAATTGGCGAGATGGTCGTGAGTGTTTCGACGGACATGATGTGGCTCTGCAATATCAAAACTCAGGTATAGGCTAATTGTTTGGAGGCTCAACCGAGAATTTGGGGGCGTTCGCCTTTTCGCAGTTTCGAGTCCGATGCCGGGCCATGACCTCACCTGCACGTCCACAGCGCTAGGTCTGTTTTAGACCTAGCGAGATCAGCCTTGTCAAGATGACCTTCCGGCGGGCCATTCAACACCACAACATCCATTAATTGCCAGCACAGCTCCACAGACTTCACCCTCTTCATCTCGCAGAGCTTGACGGTAGGCGCCTACCCCATTTAGGGTACTTGGTTTCGAACCCAAGCCGATAAACTCATTAGCTGCATTCGCGCCTCTCACGCGAAGTCTGGTCTGAATATACATTCAGGTTTTTATACGCGTACTTTACACTGCCAGACTCCACTCTGGAAGTGACCCGTTTCAATTTCTAGCACAGATGTCTTAGTTCGCAGTCCCAGGCCTTGCTTGACGGCTCTTCCTCCCTACAGCATTCTTTACCACTTTGCACCAGCACTTTCAGCGCCCCCGCCCCGACAAACAGTGAAGAGATTTTTGAGTTAGATTCCATCTCTCTGCTACCAATTCAATTCAACCTTGCGGTGTTGGCTGGGTATATTCCCCCCAGCTGAGGTTAGCAAAGACCCCACGGTCAATCTGTCGATTTCTATGGGAGAATTTTGCCTCATATGTACAGGAAATTCTGACCACACCACCTAAACCATGGAGCACTATCATCGCAGGCCCAAGAAAAGGGTCGACGGGAAGCGCATGCTCTCGAATGTGGCCTTAAGACTCATTCGCGCTCCTAGGAAAGCTGAAGAGTACCTGCCGCATGCAGCGTCAACCTGCATACCGGATTCTGTGATAGCAGCTGGGGGCTGGGAGCTGACGCTGTGCGGGCTAGACTGAGAGTAATATCGGAGTCCGAATTTACTTACCGGAAGTCTAAGATATCATGCTGATCATTTTTCTCTTACTTGACGCTGTTCTCAGGGTTACCCGTGCCAACCCCCGGTCCCACCCACGGCCCATCTCTTCAACCTCCGGGCTCGATCGGGACAAAGGTGGTGGTCAATCTCACCTCACGTGAGCACCTAGACTGCCGACCGGCATCGCGAGGTCCTCCAGGCGCTAGACCTGGCCGCAATGCCTGTGCCTACGCCCTGGTGGGCCTTACTTTCATCCTCGCTCCATCCGCCACACTAGGTTTCGTGGTTGGAAAGTCAATGATCGCCCGGAAGGGTATGTCCGAGCCAGAGAGAGTATACCTTCTCTATTAGACGTTCCTGCAGAGGCAGCTACCAAGATGGATTCTGTGAAAAAAGGTAATTGATGACATTTCAGGACCGTTGAAATGCGGAGCAAACCACAGCCAACACTATCGAATCCCTCCACAAGGTGCGTAGATCATGTTATCGGTCGTTATGACATGGTCTCTCAGGTTGTCGAGCGGATCGCCTCCGTATGCCCATTGTCGTCAGACAGTACCCTCAAGTTGGTTGCGATCGGAGCAGGCAAGACTATGGTATGGAAACAGAGAATGCAAGCAGGGCGACGACGGGTTCCTACGCCGCCACCACTCGCGGGAGACTCAGACCAGGTATGTTGACCCCGCTAGTCCGCACGTACTCGATTCGGAACTTCTTATCTTAACAGAGCTATTATTGGCCTGACTTCCAACTCCAACGCATCCACCTTTCCATAGGGGTATCTGAACAAATTATGTAATACAGCTGACTGCCCGGAAGCCGTGAGTCCTCCTCTTATTGTGGAGGACTCGCACGACATGCATTACCGAAGCCCATAACAGACGCCATTATCATGCAGGACATTTCTGGATTCTGACGCCAGCGATTCGAAACAGGGGTGATCCTCGAACCATGTGGTTCATGTCACGACAAAGAGAAAGGCTTTTTGGCCTCATTTTAGGGGACTATCGTGGTGTGTTGTTGCGAGCAGTGATTCATACCGTCACTGCTGTCCTGAAATCAGGGGTCTTGGAACTCGCCGGCGATTAACACGCAGGCTGCCAGCGGGAGAGAATTTGGGGTGCAGCATGACCAGCATTCTCGCTTAGTGGCGAGCAAGTCGTGGTTGGTGTGCTACTGGGGGCCTGCGTTCGAGGGACGTACCCGTAAGTATACGCACCTTCGGGCGGTTTAGCGCGAGAGAGCGACCGCTGCTCGCCGTTTCTGCGGACAGGGTGGCCGCCAATCGAGCTGGCTGCGAATCACAGATGCCAGCAGCTGGTGCACGGGTTCACCGACAGTATGGGTCAGCAGCAGAAGCGTGTGGTGGTCGAGGAAGAGGTCTTGATTCGCAGATACCGTTCGGTACGTGCAGCAAGCATAGGAGGCTTTCAGGGCGTGAGCAGGCGGTGATATAGGCCAGGTCTGCACCGATGAGCCAATATAATGTTTGATTGCGGTGGTGGCCACTGTGGAGAATGGGTTGCAGACGTCAAGCGGCGGCACGCGGCGATCCTGTGGCAGTTGTTGCTTGAGGAGGCCGCAGCTATCTCGTTCAGACTGATCCCGGAATGTCTGGGGCCCAGGCATGGTAACAGATTAAATGGGACAGTCCAAAATCACTGGAGGAGCGACACTTTTCAAAGCTTCCAGCTCCACAACGTAGACTGCATAGATTAAGAAATTTATCGCATGCTCTCCTACCCTACGCGCATTCCTCTCTTTAATCTTAGCAAAATCGATTCATGCTGTAGTGCAGAAGAGTTCATGTTGTCGAGGTTCGGGTTACTAAACGAGTGTCCCATTTAATCTGTTACCATGCCTGGGCCCCTGACGAGTGATGCAGCTAGGTCCGGATATGGGCCTCGAGTATGCCGGCCGGTATTGGGCACCCCAGCTCCCGCTGGCAGTCTCCACCGAAGCATGCACAAAAGCCCTGGAGCAGTGGAGATGCTCATGGAGCTACTATACCCCGCGACTTCACTAGCCACGACGGAGGAGGCGCTGCAGGGAAAGTATATTGTATGTCACCGCAGCCGGCGAGCCAGCCAAGAAATCCTACCATTCAGCTGCACACTAAACTTTCTCAACGTCGACGGGCACTGCGTGCTCGCCCTTTACTCACCGTCTGAACTCCTGCCCTCCTGCTTCCAACTGCTCCTCCAGCCACCATTGCGCCTGTTCGTGATATCGAAACCATCTATCGTCGACTAGCGTTGGAGAGAAGAGCGGAGCTCGCCTCAGTACGGCCGAGGTCGCGGCCGCTAGCATCATGATTTCCACCAGTCTTCATCAGTACACCCCGGCCTTCAGCAACCTGCCATCGCCGAATCTGGTCCACCACGACCAACACCAGCATTCTCACAGCCAGCACATGGGCCAGTCAAGACTGGATGCCCTCGCCCATAGCTCTCAGTACACCCTCCACTGCCAGCAGCCACGCCACGTCCTTCCTACGGGAAAAGGCATTGTCAAACCGCGCCACCACGGCTTCAGTAATGGGCCCATCGCAGCAGCTCCCCGCAGCCAACGCGACGCCATGCTCCACGACCGCTCAGGGCGTTCTTCGGCCTCAGGGCCGGTGCGGCGACGGATCAGCCGTGCATGCGACCAGTGCAATCAGTTAAGGACCAAGTGCGATGGAAAGAGTCCTTGTGCGCATTGTATGGGTGCGTATGCGAGTGTGCGTGATGTCCTACGTATTAGAAGCTAATAGGTCTCAGAATTCGGTCTGACGTGCGAGTACGTGCGGGAACGCAAGAAGAGAGGGAAAGCGTCTAGAAAGGACATCTCCCAGCAAACCGCATCAGCAGCGGTAGCTGGCACCAATCCGGAGCCTTCCTATGGCAGTCCACGATCTCGTGACGGATTTTCTTCTGGAGACCAAGGCCTCACTGATTCAACCATAGGAGGCCATGAAGGGATGCTTGGGCCACGCTCAATCATCGATCTTCCGCCGCCAGATCTACCCCTTCCAAGGTCTTCTAGCATGGCTGGTAGCCGTAATATGGACGGCGGTGCCATGTACGGTGGCATCAATCCAATGTCACGAAATATGAGTCTTTCAGCCATCGACGGCATGTCCGACTATGGCTCTTTGGACGACTTCAACCGCTGCATGATGCATCCTTCTGCTGCAGCACCTGGCCATCCAACGATGCAGAGTGGTGCTGACGTACTCCCTCATCCCATTATCCCGTCAAATAACATTCAAGAATACTCTGACAGCCCCTACTCCATGATGAGCCCCAAAAACCGACGAGCTCCGCCGAACGCATACCGCATGCCTACTAGCGAGTCGCCAATGCCAGGGTTTATGGGAAACTCTCCAGTCTCCGGCTCACCCGGTTGGCTGTCATTGCCATCGCCATCAGCCACAATGTACGTAGTAGCACCATCTTTGCGCTATCCGGTACTGCAGCCATTGGTGCCACACCTAACGAACATCATTCCACTCTCACTTGCTTGCGATCTCCTGGACCTGTACTTTCAAAGCTCTTCGTCTGCCTTCATGCAGCCGTTGTCTCCATACGTTCTTGGCTATGTCTTTCGCAAACGATCTTTCCTACGGCAAAACCACCCAAGAATATGCAGTCCGGCTTTGCTTGCAAGCATGCTTTGGATAGGAGCGCAGACCAGCGAGTCGCCATACCTCACATCACCGCCCTCGGCTCGGGGTAAGATTTGCGAAAAGCTCCTGGAACTTACTGTTGGACTGCTCAAGCCGCTCATCCACTCTTCAGCAAGTAGCGAGGCCAGTTCAACATACACTAATGCTATCATCAACGGCGTCGCATTAGGAGGGTTTGGGGTAGGAGCACAAGAAACCAAGCGCCACGGCTCCCCTGGGGCGACCAGTGGGCTTGACGACGTTGCCACGTACATGCACCTCGCAGTTGTCGTATCTGCTAGCGAGTACAAAGCTGCCAGTCTTCGGTGGTGGAACGCTGCATGGTCTTTAGCGAGGGAGCTAAAACTGGGCAGGGAGGTTCCACCAGATCTAATGCCGCTTGATCAAGGCGGGGATGAAGATGCAAATGCTCCTAGAGAGATTGACATGGACATGAACCACAACATACCCAGAGGTCAAACGAATGGTGCTCAAACCAACCCTTCTATAACGACTGAGGAGCAAAGAGAGGAGCGAAGGCGGATTTGGTGGTTGCTATACACGATGGATCGCCACTTGGCGCTCTGCTACAATAGGCCACTGTTTTTGTTGGACGTCGAGTGCGATGGCCTACTTCAACCGGTAGATGACTCCCTATGGCAGGCTGGCGAGTATTTCAACGGGGACTCCGCTCAATCGTTTCCAGATTCAACCTCCCCATATCTACGACGACGAGGTCCAACTTCCGAATGCACTGGATACAGTATATTCGGATATTTCCTACCTTTGATGACGATCCTGGGCGAAATCGTCGACCTCAATCACGCGCGCAACCACCCGAGGTTTGGCCTGCGTTTTCGAAGCGGCTCCGACGGGGACGACCAAGCCGCCGAGGTTGTAAAACAGTTGGAAGCATATGGAGAGAGTCTTGAAGAGTTCAAGGTCCGGGGCCTTTCTGAAGCGAACGTCGAAGCCTCAACTCTAAACCAGTACGAAGTCAGCACCCCTTCAGCACGGTCCGTCAACTCATCAACGTCTCGAATCCACGAATCAATTCTGCAAACAAAAATCGTGTTTGCGTATGGCACGCACCTAATGCACACATTGCATATCCTTCTAAATGGGAAATGGGATCCCATATCCCTTCTCGACGATAATGATCTCTGGATATCCTCCGAATCCTTCATCACTGCGACTGGCCATGCAGTCTCAGCCGCCGAGGCCATCAGCGATATTCTCGAGAACGATCCCGACCTTAGCTTCATGCCCTTCTTCTTCGGCATATACCTACTACAGGGCAGCTTCCTGCTCCTCCTGATAGCCGACAAGCTACAAGGCGAAGCTAGTCCTAGCGTTGTTCGAGCATGCGAGAGCATTGTTCGAGCGCACGAAGCGTGTGTTGTCACACTCAATACAGAATATCAGGTGAGACCGCTGTACTGCGTCTACTTTCCCCTGAGACTCTTCCTTCTTTAGCTTCAATCATCTGAAATGAGCGACATCATGGTCACTAACATGTCTTCTCGCAGAGGAATTTCCGCAAAGTCATGCGCTCGGCTCTCGCTCAGGTGCGCGGGCGCCTGCTGGAAGACTTCGGTGAACAGCAACTCCGCCGGCGTGAGGTGCTCGGGTTGTACCGATGGACGGGTGACGGGACCGGCCTCGCTCTCTAACTCTGAATCCAAGCCCTACCGGCGATAGCAGATGGAAAGGGTTTGAATACGACCTTGCTGGAATGACTCTTAGCACTCTGCTCAATGACAGCTTCGTCTCGGCGCGGTTTCTATTTAACTCCAGCACCATGCTGCTCCTCGTTACAAGACCACATCTCTCGACCGCTCTTCTCGGTCTGCATCTTTCATTCTTTCATTGAACTAGGGTAGGGGCTGGGTAAGAAGTAGTCTGTTTTTTGGGGCAAAATCGCCTTGGTAACGTTTTCAGTCACGAACATCTTCGGTGGCGAAGGGGGGCTTCTGAATTGCCAAAAGTCATCCACATTCTCGGGTACAGGGAATCGCGAGCCGGCAAAAGAATACATGTTTTGAAAGCGTTTGAAAACTTCTGGTCGCTGGTTGCTGGTTTTCTTATCATATACCCATTTCACACAGCTTGTACAGCCTTCCATGGTGGAGGCTCGTTTCAAATTCCCCAATCGCTACTTGTATACGTTTCATGGCCGTGGTCCAGCACATATCATATCATTTTTACATCTATACACCAAATTCACCGAATTCACCGGCACACCGGGTGGCTATATTATACGCCTGGTGCTGCAGAGCATATACATGTATAACTGTAGTTCCCCGAAACACGCAATCATGTTTTATATGCGGTTCCTCGTTGAAACGCGCAATGGTAGCTGATATCGGGCGAGGTGCAGTGGAGCCGTGAAACGTGTTTCAGATCTATGGCCGAATCGGTTCGGATCGAAGCGAGAACATGGAGGGGGACGTTGGTTCTAGTGATCTGCATTTGTCCCTCCGTCACTTCGACGTCAGATGAATACGACGGCCGCTCGTTGGTAGGATCCAGATAGCGAAGACTTCCGTTCTCGAGCGATAACACTGCGGGGAGTGGTCTATCGATTGATGACAATGCATTGCGCATCGATTAACTACTCTCTCTCTTTCTCTCTCTCTCGACTCTTCCCATTTGATCTTCTTTTCTTAAGTTCGTCTTGGCACCCGATGTCACGTGCTAGATAACTCAGTTCACCGAAACGCTCAAAAATCTGATGAGTGCCCTATTCATAGATGCTGATAGGGCAACTGATGTACTCGCTAAGTTTGATGATATTTTCCAGAGATAGGTACTTATATCGGGAAGCTTTCTCAACAATATCCAAAGATACTTTTACCGCCTCTTCGCAACCCTCGCACGTGAATGTAAAGGTTCGAGGCTCGTGAAAGGGCTCTCAACTGGTACGTAACTACATAGGCTCGTAGTGGATCGAATTCTTAGTTTAAAGAGCTATAGTATAAGGGTTACATTAACGTAACGCTCTTTCGAATTAAGTGACCTATTCAATTGTTGAGCCAAGCGGCTTTCAGTTCTTCCTCGTTTCTAGTATAGACTATGAAAGAGGCCAGGCCTTGCCTCGCGATGAGATCTAGATTAGGCAACTAGTCCGTGCCCTTCAGGTCCTTACATCTACACTGGAAAATCTTGAGTCCACAGTGCCTCATCATACAGCGTCATGATAATAGCAAATTCAGCGCACAAGTGACTCAATTTGCGAATCTGAGCAACAACGTTGTGTAAGGCACCTAATCTACGCTAATGGTGTACCCGGCACAGATTGGTAGCCTACCACAGCCCCCCCTTTCAACTCCACGTTGCTCTTTGCAGCAGCCGTTGACGACCTAAAAAGATCACCATCCCCGACAAGTACCGGCACGTCACCATCCTTCCCTTCCCATGGTCCAATACCCCTCGCTTCCAACGCCTGTCTCTGCAATTGCATTAGCCCCTGCTGCACCCACTCTTCCTGCATGCTCGCAAACCTCCCCCATCCAATCCACAGCACTAGCCTTGCGACGAACATATCCAGAAAAATCATCAGGGAGCCCACAGCCAAAATAATAGCTAGCCCTACAACGCTAAAGCTGGCATGATCTTTGCTTATGACTTTCTGATTCTGACAAAGCGCCCTCATCCCGGCGTCAGCAGGCGGCTCTATCTGGGAGGGACTCCGCAAGCCCGGACGAATTGCAATGTCTGGTGGAGTTGCATACTCGACCACGCTTCTTTGAAGCATCGCAAGCGAGATGTTGTGCATATTCGCGGCCTCAACCTCCCATTGATTGTCAGGAAGGCTGGACGAATACGACGTTGATCCCCAAAGATAGTCCTTTGCGAGCAGCAGGTCGTCTCCGAGCAATACCATTGTCAGCTGGAGTGACATACTCCACGCAGATTTCCAAAGAAGGGTGAAGGTTGAGGATTGTATTGAACTAAGATTAAGCGATTTGGTCGCTTCATTGCGGACATCGTACAGGCCTGTGAGAGGTGTGCATGTGGTACGATGGGAGCAGAACTGGTATTGCTGCGTACAGCCTAGGAAAGAGGCAACGCGATTCGCAGACTTGAATCCGGGAAGGTCGGTGTTATTGGTGGCTCGATAGAGCGGATCCGTAACGTTACCGAGATAGGCGGCCCTGTTGATTATGGAAAGTATGGATACATCTGAGTCGGTGGTGTTGAGGTCCGAAATGGGAATATAGTCGCTCACGGAAGCGTCGCGTAAATAGGAATTAAACCACCTAGGGGTCAGTTAGGAGCTGGACTCGAGTAGCAGGGGAAAATAGGGTGGCTTTATCGGTAGCCAAAGACTTACGATATTGTGTAAGGCGGGGCAGGTAGTGATTGCGAGTAATTACTCCAGGCAAATGTTACATTGTCGGGAAAGGTCTGAGGTATGCTTTGTCCGAAACAGTACAACTTGAAGGTATCGCCAGGCAGGGCATCGTCAGCCTCGGGAGGTTGTATCCAGCCTGATGAATAGCGTTCTTCAATCAGGACGGGTGCGCAAGTAGTGACTCGCCGAATTTGAATGGAGTCTTCTTCACGAGCATTTAAGCCCATGTCGTCGTTCGAATCGACGAGGCCGGAGTCAAACTTCAGAGCGGGAGTTTCACAGACGCCGTCCGCGAAAGGACAGGGAGAATTTCGGGTGATGGTGGAATTCAGACGTGGTCGGACCATTGTAGAGCAAAGAGACGCAAACGTTCCCGTTTGCTCATCGTAGCAGGTCCTGGCATAACTAGCGCTCCGAGTGTAGCTCCATCAGCCAAGCACAGCTTGGGAATTCAGCGTGGCTAGTTGAGATTCATTGAACGAATCTTCGGGAGTGTTGATGGGATTTGGAACTGATTTTGGCCATCCGCAAACATCACTGCGGACGAGAGCTTGGTTACTCGTAGTAACCACGCGGGACGAGAATAAACCAGCGATGCCAAAGATGGCTAAGTGGACTAGGCAGATCAGAATGAGAGGCATCGATCGGGAAAATGTGCGGCGAGCATGCTTCCTCCATAGCCATACAGTCTTCGTAGCCTCCCAGGCGGCGTTTGAACTACTAGCGGCGTTCCTTAGGAGTGCTTGTTGCTGATGATGGAGTCCGTCCTTCGCCCGCGAACTTGATCGGATTTGGTGTAGAACGAAGCAGACCACTCGCCAGAAGAAGCCGCCGGAAGCTTGCACGAACAGGGCGAGGAATGCGACAAGAATAAGGCCCTGTGCCGCGGGAAGTGTAATAGTCGCGCCAAGGTATTTGCCGTCGCCTATAAAATATTCAGTAACTGTGGGACGGTAGTGTCGGCTTATCGGGCGAAACCCGTGTAACTGAGAGTCGACCTACTCCAATTTATCCAAAAACCGTTATGAATACCACTGTCTCCCATTTTTATAGTGACCTGCAGAGAAATCAATGTTCCAACATCCAGCGGGGAGGGGTTAGCGGCTACATGTAGTGCGGCAGCTGATTTCAGCCACATCAACAAAGTAAACCGTTTTCAGCTTTCAGCTCTCAGCTTCCTTAGCTCAGCCAATAAATCTACTGCAACTCTGTTGCTGAACGCCACGCCTAGAAGATAAGAATGCATAGCTTCGCACCAATAGCGCTGTCTTACGAGCTGGCAATGAGAAGAAAGCATGGCCTAGAACGCTCCAATTATACCCCAAAGTGTAAAATATGCTGGGTAAATTCCATTACAGTTCTTGGTAGAACTTTAACACTTTCCTCGCTTCAAGGGCACTTAACTGTGCTACTTACAGTTGTTCTACCTTTTGAACTATACCTAGAGGTGTTTGGATGAATGAATGACTTATACCTGCGGGTAAGAGAGAGGGAAGTACCTTGGGAGCTCGCCAGATCATACTGCTGAAGGCCATTTTGAGAAGTGATAAGGAATTGATAGCGACGAGAAAAGAATATATACAGCCTGTGAATTCACGGGGCCACCATACACAGCCACAAACATGTGTATATATGGAGGGAACCCTAAAGTCGGACTTCCATCTGGAATATCTAGGTACAACATCTCGTAACCTCCTTCCCGACATTCCTCATGCTGCGTGTCGATTGAGCTGGATGTTGCATTGCACGCGCTAACGCTCAGCTGCTTCGTTTCTAATCAGAATTCGACGTCTTAGCTCTCTTTCAACCCTACTAAGCGTCGAAAAGGTTATGAGGGGCCATGCGAATATTTTGCATTTGGATTGGCGAGCAGTGGTTGACTCAATAAGTGACCGTGATCGGAACGCAGCTGCGAATAGCATCTTTTCGCAGTACATCTACAGGATGATGCTGCCTTTTTACGGTAATGTTTAGGTATCGCTTCTGAGAATACTACACAGATCTAGATTTCTAAGGATGACAGAGGAGATTGAGTAGCTGTGGTGCGCGCAATGGCGATTATAGATAGAACGATGCGATGGATGTTGCATCTGCAAATCTTTGACATGGCGAAGACGCCTTGAGGTGTTTATTACTCGAATGCCCTGGGTTCCTCACGATGTATACCTAGGATTGTGCAGATGAACGAAGTCAGCGCGAAGATGCTTTGGAAGATGTTGTGCATAAATGCATTAGTCACCAATGCATGCACAACCTCCGAACCTCGGTCAATATCAGAAGGCAAAGCATCTCCATCCGCAACACGAGCAATGCGCGCCTGCTACCGATGTAATTCCTACACGCCAGTATGGAGTTTATGTCGAGTCTGCAGAACGGTCTCGACGAGTTGAAGCCGTCCTTGTTTGGTGAGAAGCCCCCTAATCCAGCAGCTCCCTAATATCTCCCTAACGCCCCTCTGTCTATCTTCAATATCTAATGTAACGTCTTTCTAGAACTTCTTTCTGAACAACAACTGTCCTCTCTATTACCTCCCTCTCTCCGATACCTTTTGACTGTCGCCACTCTCCGGTATCCCCGGTACCTCCTCTCCGTCGCCAACTCCTTCGATGAGGTCTACGCGGTGCTCATGCTCCTGGTGGAGCGACACTTCCTCCGAACATACGGTGGCGGCTTCACCGAGAACTTCTACGGACTGAAACGCGAACGTGTGCTAAGGACCAAAGGCGGGGAGGTCCCGCGAGCACAGCTCGGCGCACCGAGCGATGTGCGCGAAACACTCAAGCTCCGGGACAGTGATGTCTGGCGGAACCTGGCCGTGATGGTGGGCCTACCGTACCTAAAACGAAAGCTAGATGAAAGCTACGACATCCATGCCGCGCATGCGAACGTGTTAGGCCCAACTTTCAACCGCAATCGCGACACATTACCGCCTGGGGCGAGTATAAAGCAACGGCTGATATTCTACTACAAATGGTTCCTACGGCACATCTACCCGAGCGTGAACGCAGCGTACTACTTCTCCATGTTAGCATTCAACCTGGCGTATTTGTTCGACGGGTCGAAATACCATTCGCCATTTATGTGGCTGATTGGGACTCGAGTACGGAGACTAGGAGAAGCTGACTACCACGCCATCGAATTGGCCACGAACCCAAGGCCACCACCAACGCGGCCAGGCCGGATACCAGGCGAGGGAACATCGATCTTCAATCCTCGAACACTTGGCCGAACAGTATATCCACGCCTCCTCTCCTCTCTCCGCATCCTCCTTCCCACATCCATATTCGCCCTTAAGTTTCTAGAGTGGTGGCACGCGTCAGACTTTGCGCGGCAACTTTCCCGAAAAGCAGCTGAGAGCTTAGATTTACCACCACCAGTCATATCAGGCCTTACCTCTACCACATTCTCAAAAAAGAAGCAGCAAAAGTCGCAATCGCAACCAGCATTAGACTCCGAGGAACCCTCCCTGTCGGAAAATAAGCCTTCACCTCCCATTGCTGCATCCTCCCTTCTTCCAATACTCACCGTCCCAACTCCACCATCCTCATCCCTGTGTCCAATTTGCACGGGACCTATCGTCACTCCCACCGCTGCGCCGACTGGCTATGTTTACTGCTACACCTGCATCCATCGGTGGGTGGAAGGCACCCACGAGCGCCAAGTTGCGTTCATGGAGGGTTCGAAATTCGAAGGCGTCGATAGCAGTATGGAGGAAGAGGGTTGGGCAGCAGAGGAGGGCAGTCGAGAAGGGCGGTGGGAGAGCGGGAAAGGAAGGTGTGCGGTGTCGGGGAGGGTGGTGCTTGGGGGAACGGAAAGTCTAAGAAGAGTGATTATTTGAGCAGATTGATAGGCACGAAGAGGTGTTGGATAGCGTCTGGGCATTAGTCGCAAGCCCTGGAGCGTTGTATGATGTATGATAGGGATGTTTCCAAAATGATATCCAGAAGAGACTTGCTCAGACTCGATTTGCTTCTTAGTAGCAGTGCCAGGAGCAGCAAATCCCTAGACCTCAGACAAGAGGCTGCTCAAGACCTTTAATAGCCATTTTGTGGTCAAATGTGGGTTCAAGAACCGCGTCTACTACCACACACTACCAAAAAAGAGACTATTGACATCAGTGGGGTTCCACGCGACTCTCGTCAGTAGTGTTTTTGTATACGTTTTCACGATCACCAAAACTACCGCCTTAGACCACTCGGCCATGATGTCGCTTTTTGTACCTGAAGCGACCACGCCGTGTTGATGCTTTCGCATGAGGCTCTTCGGATCTTTGTAGGGCGGAATTTAGTTCCTATAAAACCTAGATTCTCACTGTGAGTGGATATCGCAGGATATCGCATTGGTGACGCTGCGTCGGCGGTCTTTTCAAGGTGACTTGAACCTCTCAAATACCTCACGCTATGCGTCTTCGCTGTGAAACTGTGGACAACGTAGAAACGTCTTGTTGTTACAGGGGCTGCCGGAACTTAACTTTTTTTTTTAGCAGATTTTCGAAATAGCTTCCCGATGATTTCCGGTTTCCAGCTAGGTCGATTTAAGTCCACTGGCAAAAATTCGAGGTCGCAAGAGAACACTCAATCATCAACCATCGAAAATAGGTCTTCGGCAAATGTTCCGGTCGATATGTCACCTAGGGTCAGGCTTTGGGCAAAGGGTCTTGGCAGAGTGACATCCAGCCATCCCCTCATTGGCTCCTTGCTTCTTCATCACCAAACATATATATCGCCATATCGTGGTTTTACTATGGCTTCCATCCTTCCCATCACTTTTTCTTCGCACGAAAATGAATACTGCAGAGCATTCTGTAGCGTCCGATCCACAACCCGATGCTGGGCTGGGGAGACTACCACAACATTCGATAGAAGATGGACAAGATATTGAGAAGGGCGCCGTACCGCTTGCAAGAACTGAAGCACCAGGTAAGAGCGTTATTCCTTGCATATTTACTTATGTTAATCTTTCAGCAGTAGGAAATGGTGCTCCCGATCTACCACCCCTCCGAGGTCTCTCATTCCTCGACCGCTTCCTAGTCGTCTGGATCATTCTCGCCATGGCAATCGGCATCATCCTCGGAAACACAGTCCCATCAACAGGGCCAGCCCTTCAAAAAGGCCAATTCGTAGGCGTCAGCGTACCTATAGGCAAGTCCCCATCCTTCAACCACTCAAACCCGTCTAACCGTCTCCCCAGCCGTCGGCCTCCTCGTAATGATGTACCCCATCCTCTGCAAAGTCCGCTTCGAAACCCTGCACCTCCTGCTCCGCTCCCGCGACCTCTGGATCCAAATTCTCATCTCCTTCATCCTCAACTGGATCATCGCGCCCCTCTTCATGGTCGCTCTCGCATGGGCCTTCCTCCCGGACCGCCAAGACCTCCGCGAAGGCCTCATCTTCGTCGGCATCGCGCGCTGCATCGCCATGGTCCTCATATGGACCGACCTCGCCAAGGGCGACGGCGACTACTGCGCCGTGCTCGTCGCGTTCAACTCGATTCTCCAAATCGTGCTCTTCGCTCCTTTCGCGGTCTTCTACATCAAGATCGTGAGCCACTCGTCGAGCGCGGTGACGGTGAGCTACAGCAAGGTTGCGACGAGTGTTGCGGTCTTCCTTGGGATCCCGCTTGGGGCGGCCATCGTGACGAGGCTGGTGTTGAGGAGGGTGTTGGGGGAGGCGACGTACCAGCGGCGGTTTATACGGTATATTGGGCCGTGGTCGCTCATCGGGCTCCTCTACACGATCATCGTGCTCTTTGCGTCACAAGGGAGGCATGTCGTTAACCAGATCACTTCGGTGTTAAGGGTCTGCGCGCCGTTGATCGTCTACTTCCTTGTCATGTTTAGTTTGACCGTGCTCCTGTGCTGGAAGCTCGGGTTTGGGTATAAAGTTTCTTGCACGCAAAGTTTTACGGCTGCGAGCAACAACTTTGAGTTGGCGATTGCGGTTGTAGTTGCGGTGTATGGAGCTTCCAGCGGACAGGCATTGGCGAGTACAGTTGGGCCGTTGATCGAAGTCCCGGTGTTGGTAGCTTTGGTGTATGTTCTGCAGTGGTTCAAGAAGCGGTGGGGATGGAAAGATTAAGTAGAAGAATAGCGTTAGTCCTCGCATCTTGTATCTATGATAATTTACTCAGATGAGGCAAGAAGTAATGTTCCAGCGAACTAATTGATGCTTTCTCCAACCAACCTAGGTCCTTGGAACAGGCGACATGGAATTTGGAACGGGCAGTGTACCTACCCACGAGGGACTGAAACAGTGAGAGATTTCTGTAATACAGAGTTGTGACGTCAGATTGATTCAACAGCGTTTTCGTGAAGTACGTAGCTGTCGAATTCCAATGAACATCTAGGAAACACATATGGAAAAAGAATCCAGTAAATTTTTGCGTTCATTCAATTAGGTACCTCAGCACCCTCAAAGGAATAATTTCATAATGCAACTGTCTAGTAGAGCCGCTAGCTAACATTTCATAAGCCTGATCCTCCGAAGAAGTAGAGGCCTAATCAGCAGTCGTCCCCAGAGGCCCCTAGCCCTTCCAAACTGCCCTCAATGTCTTGCCTAATTTCCTCCGTGATGTATAGCATAAACAACACGGCAGCACCGCCATCCAGTTTCCCAGTCATCAGCTAGAAATTCGTACGTAGACCCTTATCTACAAGTCGCCATCCTCTTCGTCTGGGAGCGGCATCTCAGCCGCGTCCTGCATCTCTTTCTGGTACTGCTCGAGAACGGCCTGGTCGACCTGGACTTCTGGGGGGGCAAGAGCGGGGGCAGCGACGAATTCCTAGGTATTTCGTTAGTGTGTGTCGTTTCTCGTAGTGAGTAGGCCGCCTTACCAAGGTCTGGTTGCCCACAAGCTTCCTGGCAAGCCACAAGAACGGCTTCTCGAAGTTGTAGTTGGACTTGGCGGAGATATCGTAGTACTGGAGATTCTTCTTTCGGTGGAAAGTGATGGTCTTCGCCTTCACTTTGCGCTCCTTCACGTCGACCTTGTTGCCGCACAGCACGATGGGAATGTTCTCGCAGACACGGACGAGATCACCTGGGGAAGGGTTAGTGTATGTTTTCCCGAAATATGAGCTGGGTTCGGAGCGTACGGTGCCAGTTGGGAACGTTCTTGTATGTGATGCGCGACGTCACATCGAACATAATGATGCCGCACTGGCCGTTTATGTAGTAGCCATCACGGAGACCGCCGAACTTCTCCTGTCCGGCAGTGTCCCAGACGTCGAACTGGATAGCGCCCAGGTTCTGCAGCTAGTTAGAATGGCCAAAGATATCATCGCTGTATCGCTGGGAGGGGGTTCCGTACGGTGGTGAATCCAAGAGGGTGGACCTCGACACCCAGAGTTGCGATGTACTTCTTCTCGAACTCTCCGGTGATGTGACGCTTCACGAAAGTTGTCTAGAGTTTGGAATGCTGGTTAGCCATGCGTTCTGCGGTAACGAGGGCGACAGCAGCACAGTTGCTGTGGTACCCCGCGGAGAGGCTGGGAAAAGCTTGTCCGTGACGCCAGTTGATAAGGAGCTTCTTACCTTGCCGGTGCCACCATCTCCGACGAGCACGAGCTTGAAGGTGGGTGGGGCTTGCGCGGCAGCGCTGGCTTCAGCCATGGTCGCGGTGTGTTGCGGGGTGGCGGGAGTCAATTGGGGGTTTGCGACGGAGACTGTGCAGGCGGAGCGTTAGTGGCTGCGAGGTAGATAAGAGGCCAGAGGTGGAAACATGGCGGGGCGACAAACCCGTGTATGAAAGAGTAGTGTGGTGCTGGGGTGCGGTGGTGAGAGTGTTTGGGTCGTGGGGGCAAAGATGTAGGCAGGTGGGCCGGGTTGAATTTGTTGTGAGGTGTTGGCGGTCAAAGCGGTCAGTCCGCCGCTAATGTAAGCAAGCATGCTAGTCACGTGATTGCCACAGCTACCAGGCGACAGCAAGGCAGCTAGGCAGAGGTAGCCAGCAGGATGGTTGGAAATCAGAGTTGTGCCTATCCTGTTTGGCAGAAGCGCCGTGACGCCGGGATATCATGCCATTTCGCCCGAAATGTGTGCTCCAGTCCATGCACGCCACGATCAGTCCGAAAACCTTTTCATCTCGAATCTTCCGCTAGAAACTACACCGGCAACAAATGACACCCTAGCATTCCTCGCCCACCCCAATTCTTTCGCGGCGTCAGGTTCATCTGGACTTCTTGGGCGCGGCCGCCAGATATGTTGACGCGAAGTACTTTGACGATGATGGGCAGCTGGAACATGGGTCAGCAACTTCAAATCACCAACCGTAGCTTCTTGTAGAAATGCTAGGCTCAAGCAATGGGCAAGGCCCTGGAAATAAGAGATAGAGCCGCTGGCGGACAACTCACCCCTTCGTTCTGGGAGACAGCCTCCGCCACCTTGCTGAGCTTATCATGATTGGTCCAGTCTACGGTGCCAAACTTCACAATGCTGTCTCCAGCTTGCAGGCCCGCAGACTCTGCTGGACTACCAGGCACCACGCTGTTGACCTTGGCGAATGGAGCCTCTAGCGTACCAGCTCCTGAGCTACCTGCAGCCGGCTCTAGGGCGCTTGTTGACGCAACTGATCCATTCTGCGCTGCTTCGGCCATAGCTGCGTGGTGAGCATGTAGGCCCTTTTCGATGCGCCCCATGATGCCCTTGTAGTCGTTCTTCAACCGTATTATCCGTGCTCTTGTTGTGCGAACTGTGTCTCAAGTCAGGCCCTGTCTCACAGCATAACGAGGTGGTATGTGTATGTACTCTGCGCTACATCGATGTCGGCTCTTGGGAATCCATCGAAGGTCGTAAGGCCCGTGTTCATGTTGACGCCGTGCTGTACGAGCGACCGTTAGCCAGAGGTTACAAGATCAGAGCATGAGCCTTACAGAGTCAAGAACAGACCCCAAAGCTGATAGCTCCGCCTCGAGCCGATCTTTCTCGCGAATGAGTTCCATCAGCGAGAGCTTGTCTTTCGAGACACCATTTGAGTAGCCGGAGGACGTTGGCCCCGAGGACACCGTCGGCGCATGTATGTCGTCCATTCGTAATCCCATGAATTCGGAGACTGGGAGCTCTCGTAACCTCAGTGACAAGATGCGAGTCGATGGAGAAGACGGCGCGAAGATGCGTAAATGGACGCGAAGATGTGGGGCCCGAAGATCACCCGACCTGCTTGTGTAGTTCGTACTGCTCCCCTTTTTTCTTCACCCTGCATCTATCCTAAAATATCATTCCTAGATGTGACTCTTCGTCGAGTCCGAGAGATAGAATTGCTTTCTTATTGGCCCATGGTGATAGGTAGAATACTCTATGGTCAGAAGTCATGGCCCTCCTCACCTTACCGTATTGAATGCAACTATCAGATTGGCATGCAATCTACATATTTAGAGGCGGTGAAAACAGCTTCCTGGAGTGCATGTGAGATTCATTGCAACCTTTTCAAAGTCTGCTTCGAAATGGACATTTCGTCCCTTCCCTCAGTCTGGAATGTCCCCATCACGTCAAGTGCGATTTAGTTCATTTGTTCTTTCTTAGAGTACCACGTTTTCTCTTTCTGTACACGTGCAAACAGATTCGCGTCTCGAACTACCTTCCCCCATCCTGCCTTCAGTTTTGGCTTCATTTTGGTCAAAGAATATTTATCTTTCCAATCGACAAGCCCATGCTCCGCCCATGATCTCGCCTGGGCCTCTCCTTCGCCATGGCATATGTCCTCTCCCTCCGTCCCCAGAGTCCACTGAAACGTTCCTTCAGTGAAACGCCCTACCTGAGGTCCTACTCGACTCTACAGGAAAAAACGCAACAAGCAGCATTCCCGCAAGTTTCATCTCGGATCTCAGTGGGCTCTCTGAAGTCTTTCGCATCTGTCCAGGCAAGCCCAAGGACCCAGGGCAATGAAAATACACCACTAAAACCCAGGAGCCGATTCAATTCTACGAAAACTGCCCCCACAGAGACCAGCTTGTCCTACGACTTTCGACAGCCGGACGTGGTGGCTGAGCCCCACCGGTCGTCCTCCTCGACTTACATAGAATCACCCGACTTCTCATTGGATCAAGAAAACAAGTTGGATGTCGACCTCGATAGCCTTAAAAAAGGAAACGACCCGGTCCAAGACGATGTAAACAACCCAGCCCTCACCGACTCAAAGTCCGAATCAGACATTTGCTCCTTTTATGATGCGCTCCAGATCCCACTACCAGACAGCCGGTCATCCGATAGCAACCGATCATACGACTCTGTCGAAGAACCTGCCCAGATCGTTTTCGAGATTAGCCCACCGCCATTCAAGAGATGGATAAGCACACTGAGAAGGAAGCATGCCCTGAAAGGCACCACATATCGGTCCGAATGGAGATCTTCCGGTCTTACCGATACGGGTGACGACTTTGACTCGGCATTATGGCTTATGCCTCACATCGCTGAATCACCTCGAAAGGATTCTGGTTCGGTCTCTTCGTCTCTGGGATTTGTAACAGCAATCAAGTCCGCCTCAATAACTCTAGCGAGCGTCAGTATAGCTACTTGCTCACATGGAGGACTTCACAAGATCAAGTCTAGAGGTAATAGAAGTAGTGGGCTCTCAGAGGCTAGGAACTCGATAGACAGTAGTTCTGCCGCCCTGGGGCCAATCCTGGATGAAGGGACATGGATCCGTTCTGTACAGCGTCGAAAGATCCTTGAGGAGTTGATCGCATCCGAGGAGGGCTACATTGGGGATATCAAGATCCTGGTCAACGTAAGTGAAATAGTCCTGCTCCTGATCAACATTAACGAGTATCACAGGAATACTTCATGATTCTGGCAGCGGTACCGAGCCTCCCTGCTCATATCAGAATGGCAATACAGCAAAACGTGACACAAATATTGCAGTTGCATGAGGATATACTCGGCGAACTTCATAAGGTTGTTCCGCATGCAGAATATACGCACACCGCACGTCACACATCCTACCCAGTCACCAAAGCGAAACATATCCGCTTCCATAGCGCTGATGTGATACCTGGACGATTTCATGAAACTCGGAGACCGAGTCACAAAACTCGCCGTTCCCTTGATAACGGTACCACTCCAGATCATCGGCCGCGTGGTTTAGTGACCGATACCCAAACTGCCGCAAATGTGGCCAAGATCTTCAACAAACACGTATAGACTTTCTTGTCATGTCGAAAAAAGCTGTGATACTAACAAAATACGCGTTAGATGAAACGTTTCTTTGCTTACGAGGAATACGGCGCCCAATGGACTGCGATGTCACAAGAATTGACCTCGACTTGCAAGAACTTGCCATCTTGGCATGCGTACGAAAGAGGTGTTGAGGCGCTGTCTAAAACCCTGACATCTGAGAACAATCGCGAGGCGAACAGTCGTAAAGCTCTGAGCTTCTCGGACTTGTTGATCAAGGTACAGGATCTACAGAGCTTTCGATATCGGTACTAATACGCGCTATACAGCCGATTCAAAGGGTCTGCAAATACCCTCTTCTTTTCTCGGACTTATGTCGCTACACGCCTGTCTACGACGATCCGGAGGCTCATGCGGAGCTTCAGAAAGCTGTTTCTCACCTACATGAAGCCATTCGTGAGGTTAACAAAGCGAAAGACGATCCAAGGAGAAGGCGACTGATTGAAGCTACTTGGCAACTTCAAGATCGCTTGGCTTTCCAAGAAGAGGTATTAGCTCTGAGCACAACGATGGCTACCACGAGCTAATATGAACTAGAAGACCATTTCCCGCACTGCTGTCTTTCGACTATTAGGGCACGTACTCCTCTGTGGAGTCCTTCACGTGGCGTACCAATCTCCAGAGCGACCGAAGGGACAATACATGATATGTGCTCTCTACAAAACGTGCTTGATTCTTGCTACGACCGATCCCTCCTCATACAAGATCTACAATGTAGTAGCTGCCATATCTCTCGCGAATGGTAGCATTGAAGCACCCAACAATGGCCGAGGTATTTGCTGCCCAAGTGTCATTCAACTGCAATTACTAATTATATGCAGGACTTCAGTGTCATACCGCTCAGCATACTTGGAAGCTTGTCTTTGAACAAGATCATCGCATTTTCGACATCATTTTGAGCGCGTGCACAGCGCAAGAAGAAGAAACATGGAAGCATAACCTTCAAGAGCGCATCAATGCCGAAACTCACGACCTAAGTGAAGAACGTTCTGCTGCTCAGGATACATATTCGTCGCTCTCCTTGGATATACGATTCATTGGCCCAGTGTTTGGATCGGAGGAGAATCTTCGTCGGAGAATGTCAGTCCACCGGGCTGCAACCATGGGACCTAAGTCCAACTCCAACCAAGTCATCATCCAAGGCACGCAAGCACAGAAGATCCAAGAGCCTAGCCAATCCACCGTTTCTCTTCCAGTTGCTCGTTCAAAGTCGCATTTGTCGTCCCACTTTATCCCCACGCTGGCTCCCAGAAGAGGAGAGAGGACACGGCTGGAGACAGTCATAGAAGACGTCTGGACAAAAGACATGTTGCCTTTCCCAGGCATGGCTCCTCGTCGTGCAGAGAATCCTCTCCGGGCTTCGGCCAACTCAGTCATGCGAAAACTTAGCATGGCTAGTATCGCTAGCAACTTCTCCAGACGATCCCCAAGCTTCACGAGTCTAAGCCATACACGCTCGGAAGAGTCATTTTCAGGAATGCCGGGTCCTTATGGTGGGATCAGGGCAAAGTCAGCGCTGTCGGACCGGCGCCCAGCTCCAGCACTAGTCGACTTCCACAATGCACCAGCAGCATTCCTCCCCGCCGATTTTGAACTGCAAGACAAGACGGCTTCTCGCCAGAGACGGTTTGGACATAAAACAACGTTAGCCTACCGCTCAAGCTATCGATCCGCAAAGAAAGCTCGACGTGATTCAGCGACGCAAATTCCCATGCTTCCACAGCGACCAATGCTACCTAACAGAATGGGATGTTCGAATTGCTCAGACGACACTATCGTTCATAAGCGCCCGCAAGGTAATCCGAATAGCATCATGGAGAACGAGATTCCGCGATGCAAATCGGCGCAGTCAGCGCCCGCGACACGTGCTCCCTCCGTGGCCAGCACCACCGCACCGAAGAAACCATCGCGTGTGAAGTCTACGCTCCACCGTTTCTTCAAGAATTGATGATCGCTGGGATTGGAATAGCCGCCGCATGCATACTACACCCCACGCACAGCACCTACATGCTGGACTACTTTCTATGTTGTATGCATATCGGCGCGAGCATGCTGGACACCGGGTTTGCATGGTTGGGGCCGACGGTTTGGGGTGGCAGGCGGGGCTGCAGCTGCAAGGTACTCCCGCGTACGGGGTTCCAAGGTTCTTTTTCTTTCGGCGTGCTTGTTTTGAATTGATTGATTCCTGACTTGGAGGGGTTGTTTCCTGGGGAGCGAAGAGGGCTTTGGTTGCGTCACGCTGCGGGCGGACTGCTGCACATCTCATAGACTGCGAATAGATATCATCATCTTACTGCATTGCTTGCCGATGTGCCTGTCCAGATTAATTGCGTGCATCATGGCAAACGTGCTAGCTGCCCAGGCGTGCGTGCCTTGGGCAGGGCTTTGCGGCACGAGAAGCTCGGACCACTCGATGACGTAGTTAGCAGGCGAGCTTGCTATATCACACGACCGCCTGCTCGTGAAGCCACTCACTTCAACAACTCTACACCCTCAACGCTCAAAGAACAATCAATCTCTCAATCCACTACCCCAAACTGCACGAATTACCGGACCCAACCCAACCACCAAACTATACCAGCAATCATGCCTCGCGGAAACGCTCAGCAGACCAAGGTCCACTACAAGGGCGCCGAGGATGACTACGTGATCTTCGTCGACAGCGCCAAGGCAGTGCAGGAGTGGAAGGAGGACAAGTCGATCCCGCTGTCGAGCGTGGTCAGCGGATGGAAGGTGTTTGTCACCCACAAGTAGGTTCTCCCCTCTCCTCACCATCGCTGGAAGCTCCAAGCCCTGTTCCTCTGAGCATACGCCTTGTCCCTGGGAGCATGCGCGTCGCCAGAACCACAATCCGGAGTAGACCGATACGAATTCAATGATCGCGTTACAACAGTTGGAGACACATAAAACTAACGCAACCGACTCCCACAGGCAAGGCACCCAAGGCATCCTCGACGCGGCCTCAAACGGCTCGCTGGAGGGCGAGTTCGGCACGCACAAGGACGACGACGTGGTCAAGGCCATCTTGGAGAAGGGCACCGTGCAGGAGACTGAGGTACGCCTACCGACACCTTCTTCCCCCCATCCCCAACCCCACTAACCGATCTATCTGCAGAACCCCGAGCGCCAAGCTGACCGAAACATCGCGAACGGCGGCACGGTAGCCCACTGAGCGGAGATGGCTTGAAAGAGGATTTTTCGGATATCAGAGATGAGCGGTCTGGTGGGAGAGAGGCGGCAGACCGCTTGCCGGCGTGGGGACGGGTTGGGGTCGGCATTGGCACTCCTACTGCCCACTGGGTATTTTTGGTAGGGTGTTATTCTCTGGAATATAAAGAGATGAAATGATGTCAAATTATGTGAAGGTATTGCGTGCTGAAGTTTTTTGATGGTGATTAGGTCGTGGTGTGATTCGTGATTGACTTCGTCGAGGTTAGAAGGCGTTTGAAACTGTTCGGGGCTTTTTTAAATCGTTCGTCGCCTGTCTGAATGGATTGGAATAACCAATTAGCTTCCCTACAAGTCTCAGAGTCTATCACTACAGCACTATGGCATAAGTTTAGACACTCCTTGCAACTACTTGGGGTACCGCGACAGGCTTTAAAAACTCTAAATAAGATGTAAAGGCCAACGTAGTGAAGATGAGACTACCATTTGACGAATTTAATACCTGCGAGCTGGGGTCCTCCTGAACGCGGTGTCGATCGAGCAAAAGCAGCGATATATCCGTTTACCCAATCCTATAACCTAGTACTGTACGGCCGTCACGTTTCTAGAGCGTTCCTTGGAACACAAGTATTATACAATTATAGCTACATCCACTCCCACCATCCTCGCTGCACCCTCAACACTGCCATCCCAACTCGCAAGCCCCCCTCACGCCGACGCCTGCAACAACGGCGACCGCTCACTCGCCCCGTTCCCATTCCCCACCCCATTCGCGTCCCCCTCCGCGCCTCCCTTCTTCCTCCTCCAATCCCTCACTACAAACGAAATCCCCATGCCCAGCAACACCCCCTGCAAGCACCCCGTCACGATGTACAGCCCCCACGCGCTCCACCCCTCGCGGCCCAGCCGCGCCGCCAGGCTCGCCGCCCACACAAAGCTGCCGGGTGTCTGGATGCACATCATCGGGATGCTCAGGCTCAGCACCTCCTGCAGGCGCCACGTCGTCCAGATCTGCGGCAGGTACTGCACCGACGCGAGCACAGTGCCCAGGATGCCGAGGAAATTGGCCCAGCCTTGTAGGTGGGCGGGCGCAGCGTAGATGAAGACGAGGGAGGTGAGGAAGGCGAAGAGGAAGAAGGCGAGGGAGAAGAGCAGGACGAGGATAGCTTCGGCCCAGGTAGGGATGGTTTCGTGGTCGGGGGATGGGGCGGTGGGAGTGGTGGTGGTGGGGGTGGAGGGGGGCGAGGGCCGGCGCGGGAAGAAAATGAGGAAGAGGAGCATACTGGAGGCACAGCCCGGTTTGTTAGCTCGAGCTTACTCCTAGGTACGGTTGATCGGGGGTGGAGGACGCACATGAAGAAGAAACACGTCCACTGCACGCCCACTTGCGCGACCCCCAGCATCGCCGCCGCGCACGCGAACCGGCTGATCTCGGTACAGCACGCCATGTCGGCGCGGCTGGCGGGCAGCGTGAGGATGTTTGCGATCGCGGCGGTGCCGGAGACGGTGCCGAGGAGAACGAACATGGGCGAGAGGCCGAGGGAGGAGCGCCGGCTGATGATGCGGTAGTGTTGGGGGAGGTAGGAGATTAGGATGCCGATGAGGATGAAGCTTTGGGTTATGGTGAGCTTTGTAGCTTTTCGAGAGTCGGGGGAAAGGTGGACATACACTGAAACAGCAAAGTTCCCGACATCTGGAGATTCCAGCTCGTCACAGTGGGAGCTCTTGAACGCTGATGGGAACGTCATGATGGCGGGAGTGGTGGTGGTGGTGATGCGGGACTGATTATTGATGATGCTCAGTTATTGAGTTTGCGATTAGTTGTCTAGTATATTTTGGGATGCTTCAAGCCTTCCATGGCTGGTTGGGAGGCATTCGTAGACGTCCTTTTTGGCTTGTTGGCAGTAAACAGCTCAGAGCTGGTCGTCGCGGTCATCGCAGCACGAGCGTTTCGGGAGTATGTCGGGCCGATAAGCCAATCAGAGTGCTGACATCGACCATGCTGTGCCTATTTTCATCTCGCCTCTATCGAGACGTATAGTTCTCCTACGCTAAGGCGGCGAATAGCAGACCCAATACCTATAACTTTGTCATAATGGTAACACCATTGTAGCTCCCATGAACGTGCCAACCTCTAGCAAAACCGGAAGTCCCACACCCTGATTCTCACTCTCCTGTCCTAATGATAATGATAAAACAATGTAGCTATAAATCAGACTCCAATCAAAAGGCTAATTACTAAGGTAGCTCTGATCCGCGAAGCCCCAATTACAAACTCTGGTATCTACACTTCTCGGCATTCTGACTTGAGATTCTACAGTCAGATGAGCTTAAGATCTGCACAACATTGTCTCTATTGCCGTTCTGTTTCATCGCATCACTATGTTTACGCCAGCTATAGCATCTTCAAAGCCGAGTCTGAAACAGTATAAACCTAAGATCCAAGTCATCTGTCCGCCAGGCTCCTAACCTAGCTTTCTTGTACAAAGTCTCCCTCTCCTGGGGCGAATGAATCACGTCACGTGACCCTTCATTCGAATAACCTTTCTAGCTCTCAGCAGCTTAGTAGACAACCCACAAACTGATCTTCCCATCCTTGCCGCCGGCTGCAATCCAATGCCGCGCTACTTCTGTCTCTTCCCTTTTACGCTCTAATTCTTTCATCGCATCTACCCCTCCACCTCCTCCAGTCACGCTACTATCTTGGTAGGGCGAGACATACGCGTTCGAAGGAAGCACGGGGTTAGGCCGATTCAAGGCGCCCAACCCAGAGGTGGTAGAGGGTTTACTGTACGTGTGTGTTGTGGGTTTCGTGGCAACCTTTCCGATCGTCTGGGCGATGGCGGTGGAAGAGCTGTAGGGGGAGACATATGCTGAAGATGCTTTTGCTACGGCTACGGCGTCGGCGTTGGGCGGCAGGGTGGGAGTGGAAATGCTGTAGGGTGAGACGTAGGAACCGCTTTTCGTGTTCGCAGATGGTTTTGGGTCTTTTGGAGAGGGACTTGGAGTTGGGTGGATGGGATAGGCGGGCCCTTTGGGCTCCGTGGATGCAGAGTTCTCTCCCTCTCCACTGTTGCCTATCCCTTTCGGCGCCGGTGCTGAGGATGCAGGTGCGTAGGGGCTGACGTGGCCCTGTGTTCTTAACGTCTCTGTGTCGTCCTCGGCACGGCCGTCATTAATGCTCTTGCTAATAACAGGGGTGACAGCAGAGGAGAGTAGTTGATTGAAGGTCTGTGCAAATGCAACGCCGAACACGCCCTCTCGATGCCACTTAAGCACGGCGACTTCTTTCAGTGATTTCGCGCTGTAGACCCTTACTCTCCCATCCCATCCCGCGGTCGCGAAGATTCGACCATCGGAGCGCACGCGGAGAGACTGCTGGCCTGCGTGCTTGGTTCTGGATACCTTATGGGCATCTTGGACTTTGGTCGAAGACTGAGGTAGCGCAGGAGTAGAGGAACTATGTGGAGTAGCTGAGCTTTGAGAAGCCGTAGGGAATGGCGGTGGTTTTTCTTGCTCTTTTTGCAAGATTTCAGGGTTTGGAATGCGGTGAGCGGCGATGATGGCGTCGGCAGAGGAGGTGAAGTAAGTTGAGGCGTCCGGGGTAGCGTCGAGAGACAAGACCGGCTGGGAGTGAGGCTGGCTGAGGTAGACAAGATGCCAAGTTGGGAAGATGGTGCTCCAATTAGCCGGAGGCGTATCGTGAGAGAGCGTTTCAAGTTGGTGGATTGCGGTGTGACCGCTTTCGTAACCGACGAGGACGAGGAGATGGTTGGATGGATAGCGGATGAGTTTCAAGGCCATGATCATACCTAAATAGGTCAGCCATGAATAGGGTTCAGGAGGAGATTGATTTAGAGTGTATAGAATCGACATGAGCATTGCAAATGAAGCAATGAATTCTCAGAGTATGAGAGTCCATGTTTCAGCTTACCAGTATCACTTGATATAACGCGAGGCACGGTGTGTATCCTCTGCTCACTTGGAAGCTGGAAGATGTCGACCTTCTTGTCATCTGTGCCCGGTACAGCCACCAGAATCGAACCTGTGGTGCTATCTTTCGTGTCACCCTGTCCTGCCACGGACTGGTCCTTTGAAGGATCTGTTGCTGGTTGCTCAAGGCACATGGAAAACGAGCAGAAGTTTAGGGTATTGACACCCAGGGAGTGCAGTAACCATGGCTGCGGACGCACTGCACTGAGATTGTCGGCCGGGGGTACAGGCGAGAAAGTGTGCTCATCGGCGACGCGGAGTTGCCAGACTTTGAGTGCATTATCGCGGCCGTGTCTATAGTTGGGGGTGGAATATGTTAGTTGCTAAGAGGATGCATGCTAACACTACTTTGGTATTTCAGAAGGCCGGGGGAGTCTTATTATGATTCGAAATCAACGACTGAGAAACCAAAAGGATATAGCACTAGAGTGATGGTGTGAAGACATGAATGTCGAGTATAACCAACATACGACAAACTTGAAACGAGGAAAAATACGACTATTACGGATGACTGTCACTTACGTTATAAGCTTCTCGGGCCCCCATTCTGCGAAGCCCAGAATCGCCCCGTCGTGTGCTTTCCACACAGCCACGGGTCTCTTGGAGGCAAGCTTCCACAGCACGACCCAGCCGTCCGCATCCCCGGATAAAAGACGGGTGTTCTGGCGCACAAACAGCACAGCGTGCACATGGGCTGTGTGGCCGCGGAAGATATAGGAGGGCTGGGCGGGGGGCAACGAGTTGTGTACCTCGCTCGCGGCCATGGTCGATTCTGGCCAGCAAGCACCAGCATCCGCCGCTTTGTGGGCTTCACGGGCTTCACGGGCAAACAGGCAAGCCGGGACGAGGCGATCGGCGCATGGAGTGGCACTTGGGGCGGCACGGCGGGTGCGGCGGTGCACGGTAGGTTTCCACAATCGGGGAATGGAGGGTGGTGAAGGGTCGTCTGATAGGACGCGGATACGTGAATACGTGAATACGTGCTAGGTAGGCAGTGCCCGCGCGCCCGGCGTCCGGCTGCTGCTCGAGAGCCCGATTGTGGCAGTTTACGAGGTGGAAGGGCTATGAATAGCAGGCAGTTCTTGCGAGGGCATGGCGACCCTGTCCGCGTTGTCTGCGGCCTGCAGCGCGCTGAAGGTTTGCTGATGACGGTGGAGACCTATCCAGGCTGCCTACAGTGCGCTCTGTCCCTATTTCGCGCTGAGTTATCACGACTAAGACGCGGCAGACCCGGGCGACGGCCGCTATGCTGGTCATCTGGCGAGTGCAGTAGCGGATCGTGCTGCTGGGAGGCCTGGGGCCGGGGGGTGGGTGGTGGGTGGCATTTGGTGGAGCATCGCATCTCACCGTGAGCAGCAAAAAGTGCCGGCCGCACGCACATCAGCAGGCTGAGGCTATTTTAGGGGCGAGCTTATTCTGCAATTGTGACAAGAATTGTCGGCGCATCTGCACCACGGCCTGGACGCGCTGCAATTGGCTGCCCGCTGCGAATGCCATTCACTCTCCAGCCCGCGAAATGAAGCCCCAGCCGCGGCCGTCCACTGACAAGCGGCTTCCTGCACGCTGACAGGGCGGCCGCCGCCCGAACCACGGCAAGCCCCCGTCTTGTGCATGCAGCGCGGTGCTTTCGCTGTGCTTGTTGATGCTGCGGAGGCTGTGCCGTGCGACTCGGTGGGCTTCCAGCCAGCGTGGGGACGAGGGCCGCGTGCCAGGGCAGAGCAGTTAGATATGCAATGTCCTGGTGGTGAGGCCCTCTTCAAGTCGACTGGCCCGCCCCTTGCAGCCACTGCTCGATGACATCTGCCGCCGTCCGCGTCGTGGAGTCGTTATCACCCAGCCCGGATTCCTGCTTCTGCACGGCATCCTCTGCGCTCCATCCGATCCCACATCCGCTCCCTCGCTCGTTGCTCGTCGCCGCGCTGGGAGTCCCCTCGGAAACACCGCCGTCACTTGCAGGGCGCCGACGTTCCAGACAGCGCGGCCAGCCCAGCCTCTGACCGCATAATCGCATCGTAGATCGGCCTAGCGCGCTGCTCTTACACCTTCCTTACCTCCTTCGTTCCATCCTCCCACCGCGCTCCGTGTCGAGTCGAGCCCTTTTCCCCCGCCAAAGCCATCGCGAGCCTCTCGTTGCTCGCTGAGATACCTCGCTCTGTTGTTGACGTTGACCGCCGCGGCACAATCGTCGTCTTCCATCGCGTAGATCGACCTCGCCGCCTCGACCTGCCCCTCCTCGTCGAAACCTGGTCCACCCGGCATCTCCACTGCATCTATCCCAGCACCGCCAGTACCACCGACATCACAACCTCGAAGCTGCTTTTTCGCGATACTGCGACCATTCCTCTCCCTCGCCCTCCGTGTCAGCTGGCCCGCGATCAATTGCGCAGACGCTGTGTCCCCTCTGCGTCCGTCACTTTTACTACACTTACGACCAAAGCGTAGTCGATAGGCAGCCTTACGACGCTAAAGATATCTCAATACTTGCTCCTCTGCCTTTGCAGATGCCCAGAAGTTGCGACCGACTCTCCCGCAACAACGTGCCCTCACGGCACGCCCTCGACCATCCCCAGACCTCCTCCCGAGCAATCATTCACCGTGGCGGCCACGATAGAGCAACCCGGGTTCGTCCAGCCCTTCGACTTCAGCTTCCTGTACCCCGGAGACCCTGGAATCTCGCCCTCGGCGACTTCAGATCTGACTGTCATTGGGGACCAGGTGCTGCACACTTCGGACAGAAGAAGTAACAGCTCAGCCAGTCCGCGGCCGAAGAAGGGCAAGCAGGCGCAACGCGCTGACCAGACGCGCAAGCACGCCGGTGGAGAACAACAGGGCAAATCCATGGCAGGAAACGAGGCTACCACCACACCCGCCGCAGATGCTACGCAGGCTGTGAGTAAGCCAAAGAGGGTCCGCACAGGATGTTTGACGTGCAGGGAACGGCATTTGAAGTGTGACGAGGCATTGCCTATATGTCAAAACTGCAAGAAATCTAACCGCCAGTGCAAGCGTGGTATACGACTCAACTTCATCGACACTCATGTGAAAGCTCCACCAGAAGTTCCACCTACCCAGGAATGGACCGTCAGCTTCTTGGACGAGTCCAGAGAGATTGCCAATGAATATAAAGGTGGATTGAGCAAATACGGCGCCCTTGACATGGACCCCCCTCCTCCACTTGAGAACGGCATGGGATTCGACTTTTCGACTACCATACCCCCTCCAACCTCTATTGCACACCAACCTCTACCACCAATCCAAGGGATCCTGCCTGATCATTTTGCCGACGATCAGCAGAATGGCATGTTTGAGCCGCAGCGGGAGCCTTCACATCAACACGCGCTCTCGCATACAGAGTCTACATATTCCGGCTCACATCTTCCCGGAGGCTCATCTTCGTACGGAAATACCGAACAGTCTGCGACGCCTGCGGAAGGTGCGCGTGACTACTTGGACACTCAAGAGGAGGTGCTTTTCATGCAGGTGTTTGTTGAAGAGGTCGGCTTGTGGATGGACAGCATGGACCCTATGAAACACGTACGCTTTTGATTTCTTTATGAGTCTAGCTTACACACGTTGCTGACTGTTCTATTCCAGTTCTCGCGACTGTTGCCGTTTCACGCCCTTGGCGAACCCATGCTTCTCAACGCTTTCCTAGCATGCGGGGCGCGACATCTTGCCCTCGTGAACCCGAAATATACCGAAGACAAAGCATTGCATTACTATGATACTGCAACGAGGTATCTGCTTAACTCACTGCAGAATCCGAACAGAGATACAGTGATATGCGCGACAACCGCGGTGATCCTGAATGTGTACGAGATCATGTGCGAAAAGGCGTTACAACGGATGAACCACATCGCAGGAGCCCGCGCATTGATCAAAGAATGTGGCTGGAATGCTCGGTCGACTGGAATTGGTGCAGCTTGCTTCTGGTTGAATGTCGGTATGGAGCTCCTCAGTTGCCTCCACTTTAACTGGCAAGTGGCCTGGGATCCCGATGAATGGGGCGTCAACATGGACTTTTCGCAGGAAACGGAATCTGGACGGGAAGAAATCTGGACGTATCGGATTGTGTATATTGTGGCCAAGGTTGCTAATTTCCGTGCCACGATCCCACGGCACCAGGAGGCCTCGCCACGAAACGAGAACATGCGTTTGGACCATCGCTACCGCGAATGGCAGAGACTGAAAGACTGGGCGGATGCTTGGAATGAGGGCATTCCACGAACGATGCATCCAATGGCGTATCTCTTCCCCGGCCAAACCATCTCTCAGTCGGCCTTCCCGGAAGTCTGGCTCATCAAGCGGACAACCATTGTTGCGCGCCTTTTCTATCATACTTGCATGTGTCTACTTGCTCAGATCAACCCTTACAAGGGCCCAGAGGCCGACGAAATGCGAGATCTGCAGATTAAGCATTCACAGCTCATCTGCGGTATAACGGCACACGTCAAAGATCGGTACGTCTTAACTTTCAATTCATGTGTACAAGTTGCTAATATGGACGTAGTGGTGTCGCAAGTGTTGCCCTCCGATCTCTCGCTATCGCCGCCGAGTGTCTCACCACCCGCCGCGAGCAAGAAGAAGTCCTGCAAATCTTCGACAAGATCCGCCAGGAGACTGGATGGCGTGTCGGCTTCCTCAACAGCGAGCTCAAGGAGAAATGGGGTTGGAATGAAGAACCTGTGCAACCGCCGCCGCAGCAGCAGCAGCAGCAGCAACAAAGCTTCACTGCCAACATGCAGAATCCGGCAAATATGCACTATCAGCAGCAAGCTTTGCAGCCTCAAGTCACGCTTCAGCCGATGCCGGCAACCTCTTTACCACCAGCACCGCCTGCACGACCGCGTCCTCCCGTTGGCATTTTGAATCCCTTGCTTGCCACGGCCGATTTCGCGATGCCACAACATCCGTACCAAGCGTACTATGTGGCGCCAAACCCCCAATATGTGGCGCCAAATCCACTTTCTCAGTCACAGCATTTCACGTACTGACAGCTAGGGTTTTCACCCGCTTATTGCGGTTAGGTTCCGAGGATGTACGGATTCTCGACTTCTCAACTAATGTTCTTATATGTCCTGAGCAAGCGGCTTTGTCTTACTAGGTTCCTGGACTTTTATTACCACTGGGCGGCTGACTGAACACTCTTTGAGCAAATTCGGGCTTTTGTTTATGTCATCTATTTCCCCAGGGATTTCCAAATGTGAATTTCCGGTTCTTTTTTCATTGCAACTTCACACTTTATAATTTGGGATTGTTACGATACCTACGACGTGTCTGTTGCTTGGAATGATGGCTGGATTGGGCGGGCGAGACAAAAAATAGAAGTGATGGGCCAGCTGGCAAAGGTTTTGCGATGTTAACGGATTTTTACGATTTCACATTTCTGTTCTGATCTATGGCGTTTGGGGCGAGATATTGTGAATGTATGTACGAGTGGAAATCGGGAAGTTGACCCTACGGATCTGGATGCAAGATTTAATACGAGGATACCCCAACACCTATTTCGTGTATTGGAACGGGACGCTTTCTCCAACTTTTGCTGAGGGCTTATCGTGAGTGATGCTAGGGGTGATCCGCCATCTATATATATCACTACACAAGGAAATTCACCGCCTCGAACTTAACATCCCCCATCCCCCATCCCCCCCCATACTCACTAACCCTCGTCATCTACTACCACGGATTAGAACCGGCGCCTGCATTCTCCACTCCTACATCTAACCTCTCTGGAGGGAATCTCGGCTTTCGGGGTTAGATGGGCGCGATTACCGGAAGAATTTGGGGATGGATTGATGGAGTTGTGTGCCTTGATTTGTACAACGCGCACGGTATAGAAAGAAAGGAGGGTCCCTTGATGGGATGGGGTGGGGTGGGTGAGCTCCTCTGTCGAACCGGGGGGGGGGGGGGGGGGTTTCAGAGTCAGGAGACCACTTACATGACGAGAGGACGAGTTGTGCAGGTTTAGTGTAGTGTAGCGGGACAAGAAACAACACGCAGGCTCGGTTGAGAGACCCTACAGTGGCAGTGGAGAATTGAATTCTGCGACTCTGCAATCGAGGGTTGGCCTCGGCGAAGCTACTACCTTGGTGTCGGACCTGTCAAAACTTTTGTCGTTTGAGAGTTTTTGATAACATACCAGGGGAACCTCCAAGCGGGTGCTAGGGCAGGTGTACACAAAAGCCCAGAGCGAGTGTGTATTTAGTGGACATCGAGTTTTAGAATAGACTTCAATTCGAGCCCTCTACAAGGCCTATCCATTCCGTCCTTCTTAGGAATTATACACATAAGAAGTGAAGATCTTCGCTGCACTTAGTCCCACCTGACGCCAATAAAAAATCCCTGCCAAAATCTCTCCGCCGCACACCTCTCCCAATTCCCCAGCCCCGCCTCCTCAAAAAAAAAGACACAACCAATCGACGCATAAAGAGCGTTAAGGGTATATCGCGATCCCAGATATAATCAAAGAGACGAGATAAGAATGCTAGCGAGCCGCCCAAGCGAGGTAGAATAAGAGAGTTGGTAAAGGAGATTGCCGGCCCAAGAAGTGTGACGGTGATAATTAATCCAGATAGCGCTAGAAATAGATGATGCGTGCGTGGGTCGAGAACGACCCATGGGAGGGATAATTCCCAGTTTTATTGGGAAAGTGAAGCCCCTTTTTGTAGGCTTGTATCCGAGACATAAGAGAGATGGGTTGGTGGCGATGTAGAGGACGAAGAGGCTAGGTGCTATCCATGTCATGGTTTGCGTGGCGCAGTATGATAGTCGCCCTCTTGATGCGAGGGGATCCTAGGGAACGCCGTCGAGATACCATTGAAGGATTCGGCGGCTGGTGATGGTAATCATCATGTCGAGATAACGATGTTCTTCCTCGCGTCCGCAACTTCGGGGTAGAATCCGAACACGAATCGGAACAAATCTCTCATCCAGGCGAATTGCTCGTTTTTCCGCATCCACTGCACTGCTCGCGCCACCTCACCGGCACTCAGCCGCTTGGGAGGCACAGCATGAGCATTTCGTAGGGCGGGATCCGTCAGCACGCATTTCCGATACGAGTCCAATAGCTGGGTTTGCCATTGTGTTGAGCCAAAAGCATTCGCGGGAAGCGATTTCACATAATTCGGGAGAGGCTGACCACGGGCGTAGCCAGCGTTCATTGCGGCTTTGATAATGAGGGCTTTGAGGCGGATGAGATGAGGGTCTTCGCGACCGGCGGTTGCGGTGGATGAGGTGCGTTGGGAGGTTTCAGAGTAGCCCGAGAGGGTGGAAGCAGCTGAGGACCAGCGATTGTGGGTACGGGTTGCTCCCGCTTCGGGGCCAAGGACGAGAATATTAGGCACATTTTGTTCTTCAGTAGGGGAGAGCTCGTCGCGGTCATCGAATATAGTTGTAGGTGTTTCGGGGTTCATCGAGACCGCGCTGTGGTAGCTCTCGTCTAATGACGAGCGATCGGACTGGCCTATGGACCGTTCAGAGCGCGAGCTTTGGCTTATGGAAGCGGGAAATGTGTACTGGCTCGGCCGTGGCGTCCCTCTTTCGGGGCGTATCTGAGTCCAGCCTTCACGGAACAGGTCGCAGAGTTCCCAGCACGCCTGAATGGCCGATCCGAGAATCTCCTCGTCGGCAGGTTTGCCATCTCTAGTGTTCTGCCGTATGCTGAACAGCATCTCTGCAAGAGACCAGCACGCTCGTAGTAGGGCGTCGGTCTCTTCCGGTAGCGAAGTCCTCTGTTTCATCAGTCTGTGGCATAAAGTTAAATAGAAATCTAACGTTCGCTCTCTAAATGCCTCGGGTAACTGTCGGTCGTGGGTGTTGTAAAGATGGTTGTTCAGCTCGAAGCTGACGCGAAGAACCGAGTCCGAGGCTTCGTCTCCCCGCTGGCGGACTTCAAAAAGTGCCTGACAGAACTCGCGACACAGCTCCAAAGTAGGCTTCACCTGACTGGCATGGTCCTCGTTCCGGCTCTCGTAGAGTTTCTGGCATAATCGCCAACAGCTTCGCCAAGCTTGCTCTTGCGCTTCGCCCTCTCCACCTGAGTACTGGAACATGCGCTCGCGGTGATTTTGGCTGAGTCTTGCCAGGGTATTGCACAGAGTCCAACACTCGCTCAGAGCACTTTTGAGGGACGCAACCTCCTTCTCTTGCTCGTTAATGTCTAAGAGAGCCTCCCCCATTGTCTGAGTGCCCATAGAAACGACCGAGGTATTATCATCTTGAGTCTGAGTGCCGAAGTCTTCCGATTCCAAGATATCTAAATGTGGCGTCAGCTAGCTCATAAAGCGCCGAGGACAAGATTTACCTGCTAAGTTGGAGCTTGCCCGGCTTCGCGACCGCCGCCACTCGTCCTCTACTTCCTGGCGGGTTTGTGCGCGAGGGGTAGCCCGGTCGAAGGATCCTGGCGGGGATATGATTGAGGTGTCAATGGGAGACATCATAGAAACGGCAGATTGTCTCTGCTGTGATTGCTCAGTCACGCGTGTCACACCTAATCCTGTAAGGCCTCTCTGCCATACCTTCTCATCTGGATGTTTATGAGACTCGGGTGTGACGGGCGAGCCTGTCACAACAGTGTTGTCTGACTTGTCAGACGTGTTGTTAGACAACGCCGGCGGCGGCGTTTGGCTTAGCGTTTGGGAGATGGCGACAGACTTTCGAGGTTGCTGGCAGCTGTTAGCGTGTATCTCAAGACGGCATTCGGTTGGTGAGTGCTCACGAAAGTCTTGAAGTCAGTCGGCGCGTGGATGACCGACTGCGGTGCCTCATCCGAGTTGGAGCGGGCCCGCGTTGGTATCATGGTCTCAAGCTTTGCCAGCTGTGACATGTTTAGAGATGTCCGCGCATCTCGAGGCTCGAATACTACCTTTCCGAGGCTGCCCTGGCTGGACGGACTGGTCAGGTCGTCCATGTCGGGAGAGCGGATGTCGCTCATCTCGTCCTCGCTGGGCGGGTTCTCCTGCGACTCATCCTCGATCTGCGCACTCTTAGCAGGGTGTCAGGCAGCAGGAGCAATGGGTGTTACCTCGGTGGAGACGGTGCCATTGCTGTCGACGGGCGAGGGGTCGACGTGGGCGGGATAGGGACTCGGGGGCGGGTGCAGGTGGTCAGAGGTGGTGCCCGAGGATCTTGGGGAGTCGGCCATCAGTAGGGGCGCTTGCAAAGCTCCTTGGGCCTCTCACCTGTTGGAGTAGACCGAGTGGGGGAAGGGAGCTGGCGAGCTGGGAGAGTCGGTATAAGGGCTGAAGGCCGACTTCAGGCCCTGGGTCGGCGAGGGCATCAGCTGCGTGGCCGTTGCCATTGGGGACCTGGCGAGCCAGCGCTGCGCCGCGGTCGAGCTGCCGGCTTCAGCAAGCTTTGCGCTCGTCGAGGACGCGGGTGCAGGACTCGACAAGGCTGGTGGGCGAGCGAAAGGCGACGGGCGAATCAGGCAGCGCGCAGCAGGGCGAGGTGTTGTGGAGGGAGCGGCGGTTGCGGGCGGGCGAGCGTTAAGAAGCAGGACGGAGCAGCAGAGACGCAGCAGAGACGCAGCACGCAGCACGCAGCACGGGACTGTTGGATGCAGGCAGCGGCGGGGACAAGGCTGGTGGGAGGGAGGGCTCTGGGGCTCTGCGCGTCGTCGTGTCGGATGGGGACAGTTGGTGACTTTCTTGTGCTGCCGTCGGCGGTGCTTGGCCTCTGGCCGCTTGGTCCTCACGCCAACGCCGCCGCCTCCTCTCCCACTCGCCCGCACTCGGGCCTCGAGCTGGGAACCCAATCCGTGCGCGACAGACGGCCGCCTGCAGTGCGCGTCCAATCACGACGGCGGCGGCGGCGTGCAGCGAGTGGCCCCGGGGTCGTAAGCGCCGTGGACGTCCTGGCGACGGCGTGCTCGCTCGTCTCGTCCATCCAGCATCCCAGGTCCAGCGCACCGGCGCAGGCTGGCGTTGACCAGCCACCAACAGAACGGTGGAGGTTGATCGCGGGCCCAAGACAGTTGAAATCGCTGAAATCTCCGTCAACCTGACTCAACTGGCCTGTCGTCCGCCGCCGTGGGCACCAACACCGCGCTGGAACCGTGCTGGAGCCGTGGATGGCGGCTTCTCCGCAGCCTATCTCCCCGGGAACTTCGCGGGAGCTTCGCGGGCGCGTCACGGCTCCCTGCCATCACTTCCACAGCGCTGGGGGCGCCCTCAGGATCGTGGGCCGCTTTGGGACATGGCAGAAGGGCAGGCGTCGGCAGTTTCATCTGGTCTTTGCAGCCTGCATCATGCGGAGCTACTGCAGCAGGGCCGCTCTTCACATAGCCATCTGCGAAACGACTCCAACCTGGACGACCTCTCCCTTGCAGCAACTTTGCCCCGGCTGACTCTCGTCGGTGTGAGTGTCAGTGAGAGGAAACAGACCCGCAACCTACGTGGCCCTCTTGCGCCAAATGAAGGCAGGAACACTGTGCCGGAATCTCAATAGACGCCGGAGCGCGTTGCGCGCATCAATCACACGGAGAGCGTGGCATATGCATGTCATTGATCGCCCACTCCTCCTGCACAAAGGCCAAGCACCACTTCCTTCCGTCTCTAGGCTACTGCTGCTCCTTACAGTAACGGCATATGTTGGATGGGGGCCAGCATCAAGGCCATTGGTTTCTACCTGCTCTCTGGCCATCTGCTCGCCCAGAGCTCCGCTCCCAGGCAGTGAATGAGGCCGTGGGAGCTCCCTCCTTCTCACCGAGAGTCTTGCCTGGAGTGTGGCTAGGCGATTCACTGGCCGCACACAGGGGCTGTGCCGTCTTCACCGTTTCTTCCTCACCTTCGCGCTTATTTCCCGCGCCGCTGTGTTTCTGCGCCCCAATTGTGCAGAAGCGTATTAGCATCGTCACATCCGAGTCGTGTGGGTCTTGGAAATCTTCATCGCCTTGCTTCCACCACAACTCAGATGACAGCTAGGCTGCAGAAGGGGCCTGCCTTATCAAAATTAGCCCACCGCCCTTGTAAAAGCATAATCGACACTTCAGAAACAACGCCTCAATCTCCTCGGCTCCAAGGTTCCGAGCAAGGCCCATCGCAGCGAAGCTGGAGTTCTAAGCGCCCAGGCCCATGTAAGTACCAACTCTGCTAACCCATTCGGTAATCTACAACATTCTCCGTCGAAATCCGAGCTCTCATCATGCGTTGCTCCTCATCCTAGGGAGAGACGTGTCCGCCTATGCCGCATTGACAAGGTTTCGGCAGCCGGATTGTGCGGTCCGGACTGTTTCTTGACTTGGAGAGAGGGGCACTGACACTCTGAAGTAGCCCAGCACCAGCTACCCAAATATTGATCCCTTGTGGCAGCAATGGCGAGCTAGTACGCGTTCAGTGACGTTCAAGTGTAGTTACACAACATACTAAAGTTCCTTTTACTTATTACTTCACTGACGAGATAGTTAACCGACAACAGCCGCCACAGGAGACCATGTGAATATTTCCACTACTTTAGTATGCAGTCCCGTCTCTCGCCGTAAAACTTCACTCCTCCGCCACCAACATGCAGCAATGAATGTATGTGTCAGAGGCCACTATTTCTTAAACTTCGACTATACCTTTCACAGGGCTGAAGTCCGTCCGTCGCTTCACTAGGACAGCACCTACAACCTTATGCCGCCAAGGCTGCAAAAGAGATCGCTCGAGTTACACTACATGTAGACCGGTGACCTGACCAACTCCAACACTCACCACTGGCTTGCTTCTTTCATCCCGCCTCTGCATAACATAACGCAGACAGACACCGCCACATCCAACTAAAAATCTAGGTGTCATTCATCCATCCGCTCACATCTCAACTTCGCCCGGCCGTCCGCTCTTGCATGAGCAGCTAAGCACACCGCGGGTTAGATAAGCGGTAGTCCAGGTCGCTTGTTGGAACAGAGATATGCGCTGTCTGCGGCGAGGTTCTCCTTCATCTGGACTCCCGACGCGGGATGGAGGCGTCTGATAGTGGCGATCCACTTGGCGGTAGGGAGGCCAGCAAAGGTCAGCCCCCAGTCTCTAGGCCAGGAAAAGGCTGTTGAGGGCGAGTTGCCTCTTTACTCGAAAGGTTAGCATGAATGCTCTCTTCACTCGGTGCTCAAAGACTGTGTTACCTTGAAGTCATGACGTTGCAGGTCATCCATTCGAGGACGGTAGGGAGGAAAACTCATCCCAGGAGGAAAACTTGCTGCTGAGGAGAAGCATTCCATTTCCCACTTCGAACTCATGTCTTGCGTTTCAAGGAGCACAATGTCTAACAACACATCCTCTCGCTCTTTCGTCTACCAGAACCATCGGCGTTTGGGCTTTCACACACGTACTAACCAAAGGCAGAGACTTTCCCTTATCTTCGCCGTGGGGAGAATTTCACACAGCTAACAGTAGTGGATCAACAATACTATATGTCACAAAGATGCCCAGAACTACAATACGGTCCTTCAATTTCACGTACCGGTCCCGGACACGTTATCGAAGACCCGAGAAGCGAGGGAAGCACTTACTACATCATCTCATCAAGGGCTTACTTTGACTAGATATTTAAGTTCCCAATTGAACGAGATCGAAACTTACACAACTATATATACAACCAACCAATCTTCACTCACCTACGAAATATTTACAGAAGAACCCGACCCTTCGTTCCCTCCTCCCCCCCTCTCCCCACCAACCCCTTTCCACTTCTTCCCTCCTTTCATACGCCCCTCCACTATACGGTCGGCCACCCATTCACCCACGAAATCGTATTCCATCCAAACACTTTATCCCCATCCGCATACCCAATCGTCGTATCCACATGATGATAGTACAGCACCGGGCCATACGTCGGATCATCATACACGCCCTGCCCGCCCGGCCCGTACACGGTGCCATGGCTCGCCAGCACCACCGTCCCCCCGCCAGCCGTACACGCAACCCCGTTTTTATCAACCTGCATGAAAGCCGTCAGCGGGGACCGTCCGTAACTCGCCTCTCGAATAAAACGCATATATTATATCATAACAGGGGGAAACTTACGAATCCGCCCGTCGCGGAGCTGCTGCGGCACACCATGACGCTATACTCGGCCCCCTTCGCGGGGCGGTCGGTGTCGTACCCGCAGCAGATCCCCCGCGAGAAGAAGAGGTAGTAGTACCCCCCATGGCTGAACATGTACGAGCCCTCCATCGCATGCGTGCCGCTCGCGTTGAACGCGATATTGTAGCTGCTCCCCGCCGTCTTCGTCGGCGTGGCGGCCAGCGGCGCTTGGTAGATGTCGTGCCAGAAGGAGCCGAAGTTGAGGTAGTAGCCGCTGCCCACGGCGACGAGGTTCGGGTCGATGGCGTTGTAGTTCTTGGAGGAGGAGGAGGCGATGCCGGTGGCGCCGCGGTCGGTCCAGGAGCCGGCGTCGAGCGTGGGCGAGGTGGCGAGGCCGATGGCGGAGTTTTGCGAGCCGAAGCTGGATACGGAGTAGTAGAGGTAGTAGGTGCTGCCAACGAGGTGGACGTCGGGGGCCTGGTGGTGAGAGGTTAGCTACACTTGCTGGGGGTTCGAGAGGATGAGAGGTGTTTGGACTACTCACCCAGAGGTCAGTGTTCCCCGTCAGGTCGATCTTGGAGCCGCCGGAGAGCACGACGCCGTTGTAGGTCCAGGGGCCTACGATGGCGGGAGCGGTGTAGATTGAAAGGCCGCCACCCGTGGAGAAGCGGAAGTAGGTCCCATCGGATGACCTGCGGATTAGAGAGGGGTCGTGCGAGTTGTTGCAGATGCCGGAGCAGGCGCCTGGGTTTGCGTAGGCGTTGGCGGAGGAAAGGAAGATGAGCGCTGTCGTGATGAGGGTGGATAGGAACTTCATGGTGCAAGAAAATAATATGAACTTTTACTAAGAGAAGAGGCGCATGACAAAGGAAGAAAGGGAACGTTGAAATAGACTATATGTATACAATTTGAACTAGTTGAACGGATGAGACGGAAGACCGCGATCTGCCATCATGAGAGCAAAAGGTTAGTTCCTATAGTTCAGATTGCATTGAACGGAGAAAAGGTGTATAGAGGTGGGGTCTGATGGTTAGCGTCCCGTTTCGTTGTAATTATTCTGTGCCTGTCAGGCCCTTTGGTAGTCCTTTCCCAATTTGACTTGTCCGACCATCAGATTAGTCGTCAGCGAGGAGGTTGCCACCAATGTGCGACCATGCGAGGGGTCAAATAACAGTTGATACTCAAGGTTTGGAGCCCTAGTTGTTTGCGGGGTGAGGTGGATCAGGGCTGGACAGAATGTCTCGTGAAAAAGTGCTGATTGGAGGAATTCGATTCGGAGAAAAGATATCGCAGCTCTTTGTGCAGCCTTAATGCACTGCTAGGGTATTTCAACTGCCGTTGAGATATCTTGATGAAAAGCCGAGTTACGGCAAGTGTACCCACTCTCGGCCTCGTTTCGTTTGAGATGAGTTGAAACAAGCCGAGGATAGTGCTTGAATCATGCATCATGCGTGATATCAGAGCATTTCCAAGCAGGAGAAAGTATCATCAGTAACTGATTATCATATAACAGTTTGTACAGAACAAAATACTTCCAATGACAAGTTGGCAATGCTGCAAGCCACCTCGAAATTGGTGTGACAAAGGGAGCCAATTAACCGAACTGATGAATTAGATGATGAGGTGGAGTTATCATCTCACAGTACATATCATACTGACGCGCACATTTCATACCGGATCCAAGTCTTCTGGCGCGCTCTTCCTTTCACCGCTTTCAGATCCAGTACTACCCAGGACGCTACCCGGCTCTCGCTTCTTCGCTACGGCATAGTTGCTCTGATATGGTGACTGAGTTGCCTACGAGCTAGAGAACCCGTCCAATCCACCCACATTCAATTCACATTGAAGTAATGCGCTGGAGCACCCCTGACCGTCTCAAAATAATCGCAAAACTCTCGCAGCATTCCCTCCCATGATCATATCGTATTCGTCCGTCCCTCCGGAGGTATCTCCAACCGCCTTGACATTCGTCTTGACACTAGCTGGCGGAAACAGAGGATGATCGGTGCCAAACATGACTCTGTCTACTCCGCTGGCTTCAATGGCTGCCTTCAAACCAATCTTGTCAAAAATAACAGAATTCAGATATAGGTTGTTCTTTAAAATATCCCACACAGTCCTGCGATCTGACTTCAGCTTCCCTTCCGCCGCCAACACCCTGTCATGCTCGATGCAGCTCTCGATTCGACCCGCGAGGAACGGCAGCGTACCCCCAGCGTGAGACACAATAATCTGAAGATTGGGGACTTTCTCGAAGATACCAGCCAGTATCATCCGTACAAGGCCAATGGTGGTCTCCATTGGGAATCCAAGAGACACAGCGGGTACCTGGCCATAGGAGCCACAACATGGGCCCCATACCGAAGATGGCAGTCCGTGATGCGGATGTAAGAATACTGGCATGCATATCTCTTCCGCTGCTTGGAAGACTGGGACGAGTTTTTCATCGTCCAGACCCTCCCCGAGGCCTCCGGGTCCTAGGATAATGCCTCGCACATGGGAAGCAGCTTGGAGCCGAAAGATCTCCGCAACAATCACATTCGTCGGTGCACTCAAAGGAAGCGCTGCAAAGAAGAATAGCCGACCTGGGTAAGTCTTGCAAAGCTCATTTGTGGAGTCATTTATCGTTTTGGCCACATCCCCGGCCGTCTCTGACGGAAGAAAGTCGAGCCATGGATTGCCAAGTGAGAGGACCGATATGTCGATTCCGTGCTCGTCCATAAACGCAATTTTTGTGGAAATGTCGTATAGCAGAGGGGTCATGGGCTTGCCATTCTCACCCGCTCGGTTGACGAGCCGGAGCTCGTTTGTGTCTGGGTTTGATCGAACGCATGGAACTTCTGTGCGGTCTCTGAGGAGGTCGATATAGAGGTTAGGATATAGGTGGCTATGAACATCAACAACGGGCGACTTCGAGCTCTGCGTCATTTCAAGACTGCGAATTGCTTTCTTAACGGAGAACGCGAGAGACTCATCGCCACTTGAGCCTCAAACCAATATATTCTAATCCTCCAAGATTATCGATAAGCATCCAAGCATCCGACGACCCGTATGTTATACTAGGATGCCGGTATAAACCTAGGTAGGCATTACACATCTAACGGCACTAGCTGCCCGCTATTCTAAGCGCCACTACTGCCCCTCACTCAGTCTGCTATCGGCCGATAGCCGTCTTCGGTTACAAGCATGCGGATCCAACTGCCATTCCGCGGATGCAGGTATCCTTGCTTAACGCAGGGCAAGTTGCATCTCACATACACGTGATAGGCGGCGATATTTGGTTCATTTATTCCTAGCTCTATCTCTGCTGCGCTTCCCAATAATTCCTTTAATCACTCCCACTTTGTCCCTACAATGGTGCAAAACGCAAAAGGTCCCTTCCATGTTGCAATAATCGGTGCAGGTATCGGCGGCCTCGCGTTGGCAATTGGCCTTGTACGTCAAAATGTTCAGTTCACACTATATGAGAGTGCTGGGGAGTACGCTACGGTGGGCGCGGGCGTTGGGCTAGGGCCAAATGCCTTGAAGAGTATGGACTTGATCGATCCCATGTTACGGGGCTTGTATAACAACGTTTCCACGGGGAATCTAAAACCAGAGAAGAAGAATGTTATGATGGAAGCTTTGCTTCTTGAAGAGGGCTTCGGTGAGAAGCAGGGATGGATGGGAGGAGAGTGGGGATCGCCAACTTTCGAACGGACGAGCGCGCATCGAAAAGCATTGCTCGATATAATGACGAGTCTGATCCCTCGAGACACAGTCAAGTTCAACAAGCGAGTAACAAATATCCAACAAAACAATGGAAGGGTCTTCATCACCTTTCAAGACGGTGAGGTCGTTGAGACTGACACAGCGATTGGTTGTGACGGCGTCAAGGGCTTCACAAGAGGTGCAGTTCTCGGATCCAGATATCCGGATCTGGTAAATCCACAGTACTCCCACAGGTATCTCTACCGAGCCATCGCGCCCATGGAAGACGCAAAGCGCATCCTCGGAGACCGCGCCACAGACGCAGCCATGTTCATGGGACCCGGCATGAATTGGTCTATCTACCCTATCTCGAAAGGGACAGAAGTCAACCTTGTTGCATTCAAGCAGGACCCCAGGGGCGCCTGGCCATACAAAGAATACACCCACCAAGTCGATCTCCAGACCATGTTGTCCGATTTCGAAGGCATAGACTCTCGCCTCCTCAAGCTCTTGGAGCTGTACGCAAAACCTATCCAGTGGTCCCTCCACCACCACATCACCACACCAACCTACTACAACGCCCATGTCGCCCTCCTCGGCGACTCCGCACACGCCACGGGCCCGCATCAAGCCGCCGGCGCGGGCCAGTGTCTCGAAGACGCCCTGGTCATGTCGCGCCTACTCGGCCTCGTCAAGCGCGCTGCTGATCTGCCCACGGCCTTCCGCATCTTCGACTTCCTGCGGAGGCCGCGTGCGCAGAAGATCGTGCAGACGAGCTATGATGCTGGGGAGATTTATACCTTTGCGTACCCAGAGACGGGGAGCGATATGGCGAAGGTGACGGCGAATTGTAATAAGCGGTTTCAGTGGATCTGGGAGCATGATCTTGAGGCTGATGTGAGGGTCGCGGAGAAGATGTTCAGGATGGAGACGGGGGATGTGTGAAATTGAGAGTCGTGAGGTTAGGTCAGTGGGTGGGTGAGGTGGCTAGTCTTATGGTGTTGAGGCATGGGGAGGGAGCGGGTTGATGGAGACGGGACTTGAGCATGGCTGTGTGCTATTGAGTTGTAGGGCTAGTGTAGGATTTGTATACGCATGGCATTTTCTATTGCATTTACGGTTGTTGTGCCTGAAACATAGCTGGCAATACTAATCTATATACGCCTTAGGATTAACAACACGATGCAATCGCCCGGACAGGTTCTTGGAATTCCAAGCCAAAGAGAGTCCCTAGGGGCTACTCAAGGCGGAAGAGTGATAAGTAATTAACTTATCAGGGGCCTGCGGGCGACTGATTGGTTTCCAACGCCGCTCATCCGCATCCCTCAGCATCGCAAACCTATCAACAATGTCCGTGCCGCCAAACGCGAAATCGTCCCAAACTACCAAATCAATTCGCTGGTTCATCCAACAGCTGGAGAAGGTGAAAGAGACATTTGACGACAAAACATCCATGTTACCAGCTTATCAACACGCGCCATTTGATAAGTGTCATCAATTAATAAAAGAAAGATCCGACATCTTCGACAGTGGGGACAAGCCAACAGTCAAGACGGACGCGAGCGCGCATTCTTTTAGCAGATGTTTTCTCACAACTGGGACCTGACATTTTCCTATTATGCACTTTGGCAACGTCAATCACCCACTTGGCCTCTGTGACACAGAAAGGCCTCATTGCGGGCCTGCGAGGCTGGTGGGAAGATACGTCACACCCACTAGGATTGACAGCTGTCGCAAGCCAACTCTGCGAAACGTATTCAATCAAATTGTTACTTTTTCCGCCTCGGAAGCGTCCTATCTCAGAGGTTTCTGCGGCCGTTGGTAGGAGAGATACTCAATAATAGGGAAAATATAAAACTAATATTCAAATAGACTCTGCGTCACCACAGACCGGACACAGTTCTCTAGAGCAGCATATGCTAGAGCACATACACACCGATGTTACATAGAATACCGAACAAGCTCAGACAAAATCTCAGGATGGGCGCAGTATATCGAGCTTGGTTCCCAAGACTATCCACTCGATTCAAGCTCAGCCAGCAGGAGAAGGTGCGCATGATGATCCCTGTTATGCTTTTGTCATTGACTTTTTTTCAGGGCGACTTACCGGGAAAGTTTATAAACTTACCATGTTAGATGCTATTAAAGCTATCGTATCTAGTGAAGTTGATGGTGACATATTTTTGACCGTTCCAGTGTATCAGACTAACTCCCCATTCATAACTGTTTCGATCACAGATAAAGGTATCAGACAAATTGTATCCAAACGTCCACGAATCATGTAATTAACATATAAAAAAAATCTTTATATCTTCATGACACGGCCTACTTGAGGAGATCCAGTGCAAAGATACGTCCAGTCATCCTGCCAGGGGACAATCACTAAATTGGGTTTCGCATCCATCCCGACCATGTCCACGTAATCATCATTCTGTTTTTGATATATCCTAATTGAACCCCAAGCATTACGCAGATCGACCACTATAGCCACAGTCCCCTCCCGGAGTGTTACGTCGTCGCCATCCTGATGTGTCGTCCAGGTCGGTTCTGAACAGTCGTATTTGGTCTAGGATATCAGTTTAATATCTGAAGAATATATGGCTTATGGCGTGGCCTTCACGATGTCCTTGCATTTCTCTGCTATTTTCACCCCTGCAGACTCCACAGTCGGAATTTTAGTTGCTCCCATGATCGAGTCTCTAATCACGAGACGGCAACTGTTGCAGGCAGTTCTCCGAGCGCACCAGAAAGGTGCAAAGGAGATTTATGCGTAGATCTCGAGGTCGCTCTAAAGCGCAGATGCGTAGAACCGTGGTGGGCCGCAATGGCCATGCAAGTGGGAGGATAACAATCAACAGGAGAAGAATCCAGCGCAGGTTCGTGAGGGGGGACAAAAGCTACAATTCGTGCAGAGAATGTCAGCAACCTCATACTTGGAGGGGTACGTCGTTTGATAGTCACCCTGATGACTCGAAAAAGCGCAGCCCGTCGGTCGCAGCGTATCAAGCAGATACAAAGTCGAGTGAGAGTGGAGTGTGCCACAGGCCCTCACTGAGGGAGAAGGACGGACTTGCGCAAAGAGATGTGTCCTTGAGTTGATAGAAGTTTATAGCTGCTCCAACATTGGTGCCTGACAGATGCGCCTGCTTGCGACATACCTTTGTAGTTTGCCCCACTATTGAGGCCACAACTTGTCACGTGGACGCGACCGATCGGCATGGCCCGCGCTGCGTTCAACTTTTTGTCACGACAGCAGCTATCGTAACGTCGCCATCGCAAACTCGTCACTGGGCTCCTCACCTTCCGGTAGGCGCGCCGAGCCTGTTGACCAGCACTCCGCCAGCACCTTTCATCGCTCAAGAGCACTCTCCGACTCTCTAAATAACACCTGCTAAGTGTCACCGGGCCTTCTCGAAGACCTTATTCATCTTGGTCACCAGCTTGCTATCTAATTCAGCGCTCATCTCTGATGAGAGATCCGATAGGCGTCCGGTCTGGGTGGACGGTAGGGCTGTAGTACCACAAGCTAAATCGATCACCACAGGGGACTACTAGTTGGGGAAATAGCGGCGCTTAATATGATTTTAGTTGTCGAGCACGATAGGCTCCGCGGGGATGGATTATGGATAGCAGTTAGCCGTTAGGCTTTGTCACGTGAAGTCTGACCACTACATCTCAAGTGCTTATAAACGTGGATCTGGATTATCCTTACATCTATGCCATTCACATAGCATCCCACAGATATCCAGGCTCTCTCTCGCTCAAAAGATTCAGCTCAAATGAGGGATATAAAAAGCATTTCTGAATCGACAAACTCCAAGTACGCCTGCCATTCTATAGCCCTCCACTTTGTTTTCAACGAAAGCGACGTGGGGCAAACATCCTCCCCTTAGCTCTAATCTGTGGTCCCCTCCACATAAAAATGCCGATACCAAGCGGGAAAAACAAGATCGGGAGAACCGCAAAGACAATATACGGCACCTTCGCGCCGCCTGGCTGCAGGATCCACTGCGGGACATAAAAGGGCGGGTGATAAGCGTTTAGATTCAAGAAGAACTGGAACACGACGGCGCACTCGGCGGCCGAGTGCGGGTAGCAGTCGGTCATGTAGGTGAGTAGGACGGTGATGAGGACTTCTTGGCCGAAGGCGAAGATGGCGATGCCGGTCAGAGCGGCAGCCCAGCTGGTGGGGTAGTTGAGTTCGAGGCCGTACAGGAGGACGCCAGCCTTTGAGATGTTAGGGGCTGTAGAGCGGATAGTAATGGATTGAGATGGCCACATACCGGAATGAAAATTATGCCCGTCCATGCGACCTTGAGAAGCAATTCCGGGACCCACTTCTTCCCTTTCTTCAGATGCCTTTGCGCAACGAGATCACAGATAGGTCCAGCCACGACTTCCCCAAGCACGGCGCCAATGAAACCGGAAAAGGAGCAGAAGCCGACTTGTTGCGTGTTGAAGTTGTAGTGGGTTCCTTTTCCGAATTGCAGAGGGAAGCCGGCCGTGTTGGCGACTTCGGTCATGAAGCAGATCGAGAACCAGAATGAGGGGAGCACAACGGCTGGGTACGCGAACATTCTGAAGTTACGGGTCCATGTTACTTTCATGGGCTCCTCGTTGTGGGGTTTCCTGAAGCCTAGGCGGCGCCAGATGGAGCGTTTTGTTTCTTCTGATTCTGCGTTGGCTTGCTTTTTGATGTATATCGTTTCCGGGACTAAGAGAAGATTAGGGAGATGGAAAGTGCCCAGATTTTCAGAAACATCTTACCTAGGAATATTTGAGCAAAGAGAAGAGCGGCGTATAATAATGCTGCGATCCACATAGCCCAGCGCCATCCAAGATGCGGATTATACTGTATTGATCCACCAGCTACACCACCAAGATATGGCGCACAAACGAGGAGAAATGTATTATATCCCATGCGTTTGCCCTTCTCATGGAGGAAAAACATGTCAGAAATGGCCGCTGGCGTAATGCATATGCCAACTGAAGCAAAAAACATGGCAAATAGGCGTAGTGTTAATGCTTGGGCATAAGTCTCGGATCTGGCTAGACCAACGGTAAATATAATCGCGATGAAGTTACCACCTAAAAGCACAGGCCGTCGTCCTATTCTTTGGCTTAGGGGAATCCATAGGAATGGCGCAACTGAAGGCACTACTGCAGCAGCGGACGCAATGTATGAAGCTCTTCGCGCTGAGGTATGAAATTGTATAGCGAGCCCATGAGCACCGGGGGCCTTTTCTCATTGTTAGCACAACAGTGACGGTACATTATTACATAAGTAACCTACAAGTAGCGTTGCGGTGAACTTGACCAAGAATGTTTCAAAACCCAACGCAACCAAGGCTAGATGTTTCTTCCAGAAGCTCCAATTCTGAAACGGTGTTAGCATCACCACTCCCGCTGTTTCTTCCAACACCTACTAGAGGCTCTTCTGGGTCATCGGTCGGCTGAGGCACCAACAGGATGCCATCCTTTGTCGTCTTCGTGTTGGGAAGGATCGTGACCTGACCCTCCTTAGACTCAGTCTCCATATCACCGAGTGAGGCTGGAGCCTCGATGCTCATCTCCTTTTCGGGCTGGGTGCTAGTCATCATAAACGACCAGCGCAATGCTGAGACAACAATCAGTTCACCGAAAAGTGAGGCATGGTTCCCAAGCGCAAATACATGGCTAAGCCAGATGTTATCTCGCGTGGATTGGGCTTGGCTGTTTGCCGGGAAGGGTTCACGCCAGCACGACGCGTGCTCCCCAGGCGCAGAGTGCCCCATGCAACTGTGCGTCCGTATTCCCTGGCCTCAGCCGTCGGTTACATGCAGCCGTCGGACATAGCGGCACCCTTCGGGCAATGACGCGGAGAAAATGCAATGCGACACAGATAACACTTACCGTTTCGATGTCGCTTCGCAACGATCCGTGCCGCACGGCAGAACCATCGTGGTGGTGAGAATAGCGTCGCATGTGAACGCGATGATTCCGAAGAACTATACGAAGCAGTGTCGAGAACAGCATCCTATCTCCAGAGCTACTACTCTACCCTATCTAACTCTATCATCACTCGCAAGCCTGCAGCCGTGATTATGGCTGTCTGTCTTCCGCTGCCTAATCGATGTGGTGCCAGTAGCTCATATATAGTCGCTGTCCAAACATTGAATATCTGGAAAAACTGACAATCACATAGCAGCAGACCCTGTATGTACAGTGCTAGATAGGATGTGTACATCTCTTCCCATACTCTAGAAGGATTGACATGAGCTCACCTCCCGAGTAGTTTCACCATGAGCCGCAACACCTCTCCTCGAGGGCACTTCGCCGTAATCCTCCCCTCCACCAATACCGTCGTCGAAGCAGAATACCAGTGGATGCTCGTGCCAGGCGTATCGTGGCACAGTAGTCGCATATACATCCCAAATCCAAAGCTCGACAGCGATGAGGCCTTTGAATCCTTCAGCAAGGACCTCAAGGTAACGATCGCCGATGCAGTCAAGAGCGTGATGACATGCAAACCCGACTACATGGTGATGGGTATGTCCTCTGAGACATTCTGGGGAGGAAAAACTGGGGCCACTTCATTTGAAGCATGGATGAGGGAACTGTCCGGGTTGGATGTGACTACGGGTGCCGCCTCCTGCAATGCAGCCTTGGACGTGTTTGGCGCAAAGCGCATAGGGGTCATTACTCCCTACCAACCCGTCGGCGATGAGCAAGTCCGCAACTATTTCACTGAGATGGACTACATCGTAAAATCAGTGTACGGGTTGAAGTGTGACTCGGCCACTTCTATCGCAGAGACCACACCGGAGCAGATTAAGGCTGCATTTCGCGCTGTCGACGGCCCCGACGTCGATGTACTCGTTCAAGCTGGCACAAATCTTCCCGCTGCCCTGGTCGCCGCGGAGATGGAAATCGAGCTCGGAAAGTCCATTGTTCCAGTGAATACCGCAACAGTATGGCACGCCTACCGCACCCATGGCATCATGGACCAGATTACGGGTTTCGGGTCCCTGCTCGAAAAGCACTAGAACCGTGGAATGGCTTGCAAATTCCTATCATGTTCCAGGGAACCTCCCAAACCCCGTTCGTAAATATCTGCAACTGACTTTCTGCACAAAAGCAATAGTCCGCCTCTTTATCTGTGTCCGATCGGCATGAAACCAATAAAGCCGATCGTCCAACGTTTAACGGATCTTCCCATCAATCCTAGCGCGTGGGGCTTCAAAAAGGTGGTACTCTAATTCTAGAGCAAGTCGCCGGTTTGTGCGCGCGTATGCCACTGCTCGGGATGCTTCAATGCATTTTCAGGAATCTGAGTGAGATAGAAGCTCTTCACGTTTGGCTAGGGTAGGAACTCGTTGAAGCACTCCAAGTAGCGGTAGACAGGTGTACACATAAGGCAGCGTACTTAATAAGTGTGCCGCTTTTTTGACGCCCAGCGCGCCTAATCAATAGCCAAACCCTAATCACATTCGGAATAATCCAGCTTCCTAATCCGGCAAATTTTTCATCTTGTCTCCAGGGCTCACCCCAGACCAGGGCTGAGTCATGTCTGGAGCGTGGAAACCTTGCAACGTCTACCTCCCACCCCCAGGATGTGTAGCTTAGGATCTATCGAAAAGCCATGGAGTACCCCAGAGTTGTTCGGTTACACTGATATCCGTTACGAGGACATAGCATAAGGTTTCCACAAGCAATCGAATATGGTGCTGGTATTTTAGCAATTAACCCCTTGGTAGCAGCCCTTTTCAAGGCGAATATGCACCTAAACAGACGCTCTATCCGCTTCGCGGTAAGTTCCGTCATATTTCAAGCAACCCGCTATCGAATTTGCTTTCCATTTTCTCCATGAAACAAAGTCCGCGGACATACATAAGGCGACGAATTTATCCCCTGTATTTCGATTGACCGTACTCCGGAGGGAGCCAAATCAGACCACATCGACTTCGCAAATTAGGCGTAGATGGCGAAATGAAGCAGAGAGCAAGCGTCTCAACAAGCACATGAAAGTTTGAAGGGTTGCGTTATACAACCGACCCTCCATTTCTTCGTTAGGCAATCGACAGCGACGCAACCAAAATCTACTACCTCACCCACGTCACCACCCCTCGCCTTGGCCCTTGTGTTCTTAGTGGCCGGCACTCGAACCGAGTCTGAACTACTGGAATACTAGCTGGGATGCAAAAGTGGACCATGATGTATGCGACATCGCGAACGGTGAACCGAAGCTGAGATCAGGCCTTTGAAACAAGGTTACCTATTCGGTATGAGCAAGATGCATACGTGGTTCCCAGGTTGTGTCCTCGATTGATATCGTAGCACGTTCCTGCGTGTTTTCAAGGATCCCTAATGGCAAGGGTTTAAAAGCCGTGGGATTTGGTTCACGGCTAGCTCCAAGGACCATACTAACCCTCGAAGGTTTGGTCCCTGGAGTTGCGACTGTTTCAGATGAGTGAAAACTTGGCAGCAGATATTAGCAATACTACCCGTATGATCATGAATTTGACCGTTCAACAACACCAGTACTTCGCATTGTCATTCCACATGACCCACATAGCTAATGAGCCTGTTGGAATTGATTCTACTACCCCTGATGATCGAATTGGAATCTTGACACTCAAAAGCCCTGACAAGAGGCAAATATTATTTTCCAACCAGCGACGCAAGCCATTGATGTAGCGTAGGGGGCAACACCAAAGGATTCCCGGGGGTGGTGCGCCAAAGACTAGCTGGTACATTCTCTATAAGACAGGCCCCCGCAAACGAGCTCGCAAAAGGGTGCTAGCCGGCTAATTTACTCTTCTGGAAAGCAGGTCTTCACTTGAATGCCTAGAATTCGGCAGGGTCTAGGGCGTTACATCCCCAGCACGCCATTCAATTCGCCCTGCCATTTTGTCAGCCTGCGTGGGCCGCATCTCTGCCGGGTTTAGTGGCTGTATCGATCGTCCTCTAGCGCTCCTAGTCCGACCCGGTGGCCCTGCAGGTGGGACAAGGTTAAAGATCCGACTCCCCACGCACCCCAACGACGGCGTACAACCCCCTCCGAACGCCTCCACGAACTTGAGACGACGTGCATCTCCGCTTCTCCATGCTCGTGTTCTCCGGCATCGAGGGATACTTTGTAACATACCTTCAATTGCTGTATCAGGAAGAACGCCTTCTGGAGCGCTGTGCCAGCGTACCTAGGAAACTTCCACCGTAGCCACAATCATAGTCACGATGAATACAAGTAATCGAAGAGTGCCGTTGGACCAGCGGAAAAGGACAGAGACCAGTTGTGACAAGTGCAAGTCCCGAAAGCAAAAATGCGACCGTTTGCCGGGCCAGGACGAATGTCGGTACTGCCAACGACAAGGCATTGTCTGCGCGACAACACAGGTTCGGAAGAAGCGGATCTACGGCAGCGTGGAGGGACTGGGCACCCGGCTCTCGTTATTGGAATCTCTAGTCAAAGGACTGCTCCCAGAAGCAGACCTCTCCAGCGTGGACGAAATGCGGGCATTGGGACGTTCTCTCGGCATACCCCTTCCGGCATCAGACGAAAGTGGACTGGACACTACGAAGAACAGCAACAAGCAAGATGAAGAAATCACACTACCAGACCAGCAGGGGCAGGATCAATACATCGGTCCAGCGAGCTCCTTCTACTTCCATCTTAATCTGAGGGGATTGTTTGGACCTGAGGCTACGAAAGGCCTTTCACGCTTCATCATGTTTGGCCGGAATGCTGCAGACACGAAGTACGAAGCTTATGCTGTAGAAAGAAGGAATACGTTAGAATACGGCCAAGAGTCGAGTCCGGAAAGCTTTGTGTCTCTTGGACAGCCTCCTAGTCACACATACAACTCTCCCTCCGCGGGGCTCCCGGACATCGATCAACACACATTGGATTCCCTCGTAGTAGCCTTCTTCGACCACATCCATGCCGACTTTCCAGTCCTGCACGAGGCTTCGTTTCGAGAAGAGTACGAAACCTGGTCACTGAACCCTTCAGGGGTAGATCGGGCATGGCTATGCAGTCTCCTCTGTGTACTGATTTTAGCTCGACGAGTCGCACCGCACATCCGTATTTCCGAAGAGCAAGAGGAAAAGTGGTGGTGTCGTGTACAAGCGCTGCTACCTTCTGTGGTTTTTATGACGAGCATGCCTGCGGTCCAAGCACTCATGCTCTCAGCACTCCATCTCCACAATAATTACCACCGAGACGCATGTTGGACACTTACCGGCGCAGCAGTTCGTATAGCATTTGCCATCGGAATCCACAGGGATGGAGTCAAAGCCAAACAAACGCCCGTCAATCGAGAACTCCGAAAGCGGTTATGGTGGTCGCTTTACGGCTTCGAGCAGATCCAAGTCTCATCCCACGACCGACCAAGCGCCATCGAAAACTCCGCCTGCTCAGTCGGATGTCCTCGAGCCTCTATCTTAGGCATGGGAGAGCACTCGCCACCCGAGCACGGCATGTGGTCGAATCGACTAGTCGTAATCCTCGGACAAGCCTGCCGAATATCAAAAACATGCACCTCAACGAACTCAGACGACACCTACCTAGGCCCACTCTCTCCCGCTGCAGGCATCCTGCGCGACCTCACGCGGTGGAAGCAATCCCTGCCCGCCCATTTAACCCTCGAAAGCATCGACTCTTCGCCCCCATCCTTCCAACGCCCCCTGCTCCTCCTACATAGCCAATACCACTACACCGTTTCCCTCATCTCGCGCTCCGCCCTCTTCTCCCGCGCGACCATCCTCAATGACAATAGTACAGAACTCCTGCCGCCCTCCCTTCTTTCCCTCTCGGACACCTGCATCGAGTCCGGCCGCACCCTCGCCCAACTGCAGAAGAAACTCGATTCCCTCGGCAAGTTCAACGCTGTTACTTGGTGGGACATATACTACAACTTCAGCGGCGCCCTGATACTCGTCCTCGACATCATCTGCACGGTTATGCAGAGTGGCGCCGCCGCGGCGAGTGAGAGCCGCGAATTGCTGCGCCAAGCGGCAGACCTGGCCCTCCAACACTCCCAGAACCCGCTCATGCCAGGCACAATCCACAAGTGGGCCACTGTAGTCGTCGAGATCGGGTACATGACCGAGCAGTTTGTGACCAATTCGCAGGCGAGGGGCAAGATGAGCGTGAGTAGTGCTGTCAGTCGTCATGCGCATACCGGTGGGGCCCCCCAAGACGTAGATTCGAAGTCTGAGTATCCACCCGCTCAATACGTGCTACCCTCGACAGGCGGTGTGGAGCAGCACCGGCATCAGCAGCCGCAAATAGAAGCCGGTGGTGACGCGGGACACGCCCTGATGCCCGAGGCTGCGACGATGGGCGCGATGCCGGAGTCGTATGCGACGCATGCGTCATCATCCAGAGGTGGGCATCCAAGGTGGGCACAGCTATCATTCTTAGCGCCAGAGAATGCGCATATGTGGCAGGATGTGCATTGGGATGATATTGGGAATATGTTGTTAGGTGGGGATCAGAGGGGTGGGTGAGGAGGCTGGACTTTAACGGCATTTCTTTTTATTTATGGGTACAGGATTTGGATTCGGATGATTACACGAATTTCTTTCCTTCTAATGGGTACTACTCGAGTTAGATGGGGTGATTGAATTGGTACCCGTTCTAGTTGTGGAATAGACACTGAGATGTCCGGAAGGATCTAAGTATAGTACTAGGTCGTAAGTCTGGGCACATAAATTATACCACTGCTCAGACTCGAAGCTTTTTCGCCTGACACCACCTACGGGAGTGCTCCAGCCAGAAAGTAGTTAGAAAATGTTGCTCTCGCTATAACGTGTCTTAGCGGTTCCTGTTTTGAGCACGTTTTCAAAGATTGTGGCAAAAGTGATTACACGGAGACAGGGCTAAAGGTTTGCGATGATCTAGTGGACACTGCTATCAATTTGCGGCGCTCCGCCAAAAGAGGCTTGGAAAAACGGATAAGTAAAAGTCTGGTGTTGATACCACGTGACTTACTTAATCCTTACCTAGCCTAGCCTATTTTAAACTAGTCCTTCAAGATTCACTCACATTAGGTTTTGCTGCTTATGAGCTCGGGACAACCTCTAAACTTACTACCACCTGCTCATCTTCTTTATTATCTCATGTTCAGATGGGCCCAAAGAGGAACCAAAATGAAATGAAATGAGAGTAAAACCGCCCCCGCCACCGCCGTATCTAGACACCTGGGCAGCATCTACGTAGACAGCCTCGTTCTAAGGACTCAGAAGTCTTGGCCTTTTGCTTATTTGTAACGCTCGCTACAGTTCAGCTGATGGTCTGCAAGATTGCGTGGCGGGGCTCTGGGAGTCCTGAACTTCTGCCTTGTCCTTCTCTTCATCACATAGCTCTATCGTAGTGCTGCAGAACGCCGTTCACAGTCGCACCATCTTGAAGAAGCTACGAACCAGATTCGTATCTTCATCATGTCTGAATGTAACCGATGTTTTCATTTCCGCCGCGCCGCCATTCAATTTTACTCAAAGGACCTGTGCGCATCGGCACGAGCGGGGTGTCCATATTGTGAACTGCTGATTATTGCGACCAACATGACTAAACCGGGCTGGTTAGACCGAAATCAAGATGGAGGAAAACTCAGGATCGGATGCTATGATTCTGTTTTCAGCGTCACTTTAGTCCGAGGCCCCTACAGTAGCTTCGTACCGGCACCCGGTGAAGATATTTTCTGTCCCGAAAAGTTTTCAATATGGATCTGCAAAGGCAAAGAGAGTTTCATATTTCAGAAATCCTTGTGCGCCAATTGATGCTGTAGTGCTTTCTATTCTTATTCTCTTGAATTTAAGCTAATTCGGAACATCCAGACGATGCTGCGCATGATCGGAGCCAACGATACATCTTCCCCACTAGCCCCCCGATCGTCGAGGATACCGCAAGTAAGGAAGCCGTCGCTCGGATTATGGGGTGGCTACAGCATTGCACGACTTTCCATCAAGCCCGTTGCGATATTCCTGATCCAACCTTCACCCCTACTCGACTCGTTGATATAGGCTCAACCGAACGAGAGCCCAGCCTGTTTGATCCTACCCAGTCTGTCCAATATGTTGCTCTTAGCTATTGCTGGGGGCCAGATGTTGAGGATGTCCTCAAAACCACTAAGAATAACATTGAGCAACACTACAGAGGCATATTGCTCACTTCCTTGCCCAAGACACTGCAGGATGCTATAGAATTATGCCGGAGAATCAGTATACCATATTTATGGATTGATTCATTGTGTATTATCCAGGACGACGAGACCGACCGGATCCGGGAGTCCGGGAGCATGCGGAACATTTATTCAAATTCATACCTCACCATCGCAGCACAAAGACCTTCTTGCAAACAAGGATTTCTAGGGAAACAAACCTTTGGTCGGCCAACGCGGCAGCGAAGCTTTTATGCTGAACTTCCCGGCCTATCTTGCCACGACTTCATGATCAGGGCCGGAGCAAATCCCTCTCAATCCAGCTCAGGGACTGCTGCTTTATCCAAAAGAAGGTGGGCACTACAAGAGAGTGTTTTACCCACGCGCAAAATAAGCTTCAGTGGCGACGAAATGATGTGGAATTGTAACGAATGCACCCTTTGCGAATGCGGCCACATTGGCGGTATGGCTGGGGGGCGTTTCGCCGGTTTCATGGCTTTGAGGGACACGCTCGCATCTAGGATTACACTAGATACGTCAAAGAATCTGGCAGATGGTCGACTTACCATCTTGACTGGAAATCTCTAGTAGAAGAGTACTCGAACCGGAATTTGACGAAAGAGATGGACAAACTGCCCGCTGTCTCGGGGCTTGCACAATCGTTCCTGGAAAACATGAAGCTCATGAACGGAGAGCCGGATGTCTATCTGGCAGGATTGTGGAAGGGAGATCTTATACCGTCACTTCTCCGGTGTGTCGTCGGTTGGGATCACACAAAACCGTCGGAATATCGCGCTCCAAGCTGGTCATGGGCTTCAATAAATGGCCGCATCAAGTTCGAAAAACTCGGATACGTCCATCGCTTAGAAAGCCAAATCAGCATCAACGAGATTAGCTGCACTCCCGTATCCTCTCTTGATCCTACTGGCGCAGTAAAAACGGGCCGTCTCGTGGTCACAGGGCCTTTGACTGCAGTGCAATTGGTCGTTCTAGACGGATATCGATCTAGTGACCCTTGTGACGGTCCTATGGTTATGTTCAGCGAGCGCAACCCGGCTCATTTCATCCGCGGCCCGAGTCTCAAGAGCTATGAAGTCTCTTTCGACATAGCACTGCCCCCGAGTCTACGAGCGGGAGCGTGGTGTTGCGGCTGTTGGCGGACAGGATACGAATGCTCGGCTTGCTCCTTCGACTTCGACGAGACATCGCAGTTCTTTTGCTTGGAGTTATGTACCACTAAGCTTGGAACTACTTACTACCTTCTTTTAAAGCGTTCTCGTACAATTCAAGACGCATTTGAAAAAGTGGGCGTGGGCCGGATTCGAGGTGGGGTCATGCAACGAGACGGACTCTTTGGTAACGCGGAGGAAGTCACTCTCACGATCATTTAGCGATTCTAACCCCAATTCATGCAGGAAAGCTTCTGATGATAATGCAACACTGCAAGAAGCGTCACCATATTTCTACCTAGATAGCCCATTGTCAGTTCCTCGAACCTAATACACCTTGGCGTTTCCATAAGCCTTAGACCCCATCTCAAACAGCCGCGATACCGCCCTCCCAACCGCAAATCTCGCATCTGTCTCTCCCGCTCCACCGGTAGCCAACGACACACTCTTCAGCCCCGTCGCGCTCCACTCCACTTCCCCGATAAAAGTTGTCATCATGCTAGAACTACTCCCACCCTCTCCTCGCACAGTCATCTCCTCCATCGCCTTCTGCAGCTCAGCAGCCGCTTCTTCAGGCGGCACGATACTCGCAAAGACCTCGAAGAGCGGAGCCTCGGAAAGACAGATGATACGCGTCTTGGATTCATACGCCAAGTCGATCAGCGTGATGAATCGGCGTACAAAGTCGAGTTCTTCGTCGCTGAATTGGCGCAGGCCGGAGATGTAGATGGTACTAGCTACTTTACAAAGGGCGTGGTAGTCTGCAGAGCCGACGTTGGATTCGCAGAGGGACGCGAAGGAGCCGTGGACAGTGATGCTGTCACCGATCGTGGTGCCCTTGACGTTTAAGGTGCGGCCCATCATCACTGGGATCGTGATTGTCTCAAGCGAAGCACCGCCCATGGCGAGGGAAAGCGATTCCAGGAACTCTTCCTCATTGGTGAAGAAGACGGGCTGCCTTTCGTGCTCATTCGAAGCTGTAGACATGCGGTAGTCTTGGTCTCCCTCCATTCTCCAGACGTCACACCTCTGCTGCAGCTCGTCGATGAATGGAAGAAACAAGAACCGATTGCGCCCCTTTTCATATAGGCTTGTTGGGTGGCGGTTACTCGTTGACACCATCGCACCACCACTTTGCCAAAACGCCCTAAACAATCTCTTTAGAATTAACGCAGTAGCAATATCAGTGACTTGAAACTCGTCAAAACACAACACTCGACTCTCATTTCTGACGTCTCGTCCAATTTGCACTACTGGATCGCCCCGGTAGGTGGCCTGGCTATTTGCTCGGTGAAGCCGAGAGTGAATGTCCATCATGAATTCATAGAAGTGGATCCGGCGCGTGGAGACTCCGGGAGGCATTGTTTCTGCGAAGAGGTCGGCGACTCGAGATTTGCCAGTACCGACAGAGCCATAGATATACACACCATTTTGAGGGGTGGAGGATTCCGTGAGGTTGTTCTGGAGGGTTGCGAGACGCTTCACGAGAGCCGCTTGACCGGTGTTCTGAGTTATACGGCCACTAGAGATGAGAGATTTGTAGGCGGCATGAATAGGGGCATTGGACATGCTGATGCTCGTCGAGAGCTGAGATTGTAGTAGGATTCCGCGGTTTGGAAGAGCGGAAGTTGTTCGACGATATTGTCATAGCGTCACCATGTTCACACTAAACTTGATGAAGATCTAGTACATTTTATGTGGCTCTTTTCATACTTTTAGCCGTAATAATTTTCCAGCTTGAACTCGTGAATGAGACAAAGGAGTGTAAGTTTTTGCTTGGAGATGTGCTTCGTCGAATACGGTCTCGAAAGACTTCGCATTCATCGAATACGCAAGGTTAGACTTGACGATGAGTCGAGTAGACTCTTCGAAAATGACAAAGGAGCTATCAACATAGCTTTACGGTAGTGAGTTCTATTTACTTCTATTCACCGGTCTAGCTTTCACTGTGGGAGCTGTACGAGGCGCACAACTAGACCTCGTGTTCAGTCTCCTCGAGCGTATCAATCTCTAACAACTCCATACCCATGCATCGCTCTTCTAGTATGTACGCACAGACAATCGCTTCTTCTCATCTAATAGCCCACCGACTTGTCATACCTCCGATAGACCCGCTTTCCACCCACCCAGGTCTCCCGAACCTTGACCGACCTCAACTCATCGATATCCATCTCGTCCAACGGCTCATCGAGCACAATCCAATCTGCGAACCCACCAACCTCAATGGCACCTGCCTTGCCTTCTAGAAAAGCCGCATTAGCCGGGCCGAGCGTGAATCCTTTCAGCGCGTCTTCCAGCGTCAGCGTTTCGTCTGCATACCAGCCCTTCTCGCCTCCATCAGCACCCAGACCCGTGTGAGGGCTTCGTCTCGTGACGGCAGCAAATATCCCTTGGAAGATATTGGCCGGCTCAACGGGGAAATCGCTGCCTAAGACGGGATTGACCGGGAGGAGAGAGCGCATGCGATACGCCTCTTCTTCCGTTCGCTGCGGTCCCAATCGCGTTTCTGCGTACACCATATCTGACGTCGCGTGCGTGGGTTGAATAGACGGAATGATTCCCAGCTCGAACATACGCTTCTGGTCATCTGGGTGAATGATCTGGGCATGCTCGATGCGGAAACGGTGAAGGGCCTGGCAATCGTGGCGAGGAGCGTCTGGACATAGGACGTCGAAGGCAGCACTCATAGCGTCAATGGCTAGGCGGTTGGCGAGGTCACCGATGGCGTGTATATTAATTTGGTAGCCAGCGGTTGCCCACGCTGTAGTGAGGTCGGTGAGAGTTGAGGCGTTGACGAGGAGAGAGCCGGAGGAATTGGTATGGTCGGTATATGGGGTGATCATGGCACTGCCCCAGCTGCCTAGTGCTCCATCTTCCATGTATTAGTGCATTTTCGTTCAAGGAGGGCGATGTGGATGTATACCGGCGAATAGCTTAACGCTTCGAACGTCGAGGAGGCCATCATCGCGTGTCACTTTAAACGCGTCGTCGAAGCAGACAGTATTTCTCTTCTCGCACTCAAGCATGGCATATACTCTGACACTCCAGTCCTTGTCCTCCACTAACTCTTCGTACAACTTAATATCTGCCGGAGCTACTCCAGCGTCATGGATCCCAACTATTCCTAGGCTGTTCAAGTCTTTCATTGCATTCTTGATATATTTGGTCTTCTGGACCTTGCTAGGTTTCGGGAAGTACTTTAGGACGAGGTCCATTGCGTTATCGCAGAAGACTCCCGGCCCTGGTGTTGTGATTACTTCGCCTCCGGGTGTTTCTGGCAATGGGTCGGGGAGGAGATTTAGCACGGCTTGAGAAACCCAGACGCAGTGAACATCTACTCGGTCAAGCATGATATACTTGCCCTTTATGCTGTCGTCGTCTTCGAGTTCCGACTTCTTGATGTTAGTCTTCTGACAATGAAATGGAATCGATGAGTTGACTGATTCGAAAAGCATTGTCGAACTAGCTGGCAGATCGTACGGACTTCAAGACGAGCTTGGCAAGTGGAACCGCACAAAGAGAATATTTTTGAAACACATGACAATCGAACCTGAACATGTTTGATTTAGACTCACACTCGTTGGCATCTTACCCCCAAATGCTGCTTGATCCCACCCAATGCCTCTCAGCCACTCCGTACTCGTACCAACTTGCGGATTCTGATCCAAATAGAGCGAAATCTTTCCCAAGACGTCATCCATAGACTGGGAGCCAAAAAGATTCACAGATTGCAGCATCTCTCCGTACTGAAGCAGATGTCCATGGCCATCCCAAAGGCCAGGATACGCATACCCGTACCGGGTACCGGCCTTGTAGATGGGATACGAAATGAGGTCATCGAAGACAGCCGTGACTATTCCAGCAGGATTGAAAGTTATGCACTCTGCCGTGGCATTGTTCAAGGCGGACAAGGTGGTAACGGAGACGTAGCAGCGGGTTTCGGAGTAGAACCAGAGCAGCTTGGCAGAAAACCAGCCTGGTAGCACTGATAGAGCGACGGCGATGGCTATGACGGCCGTTGAGGACGCTATGAGGGTCTGAGTAGAGAGAATAGCCATATGGTCTCACGAATCCAGGGGTTTGGTCCCGATATCGAGTGGGGTGCGTCCAGGAGGAATTTTTTGAGTCGAGATTGATGACAACAGTGGCCGTCCGTATGGGGAAGGTACTAGTGGATCACTAAAACCCGCTAACGCCGCGTCGCGTAAACAACTTTGTGCACCTCTTCTTCGTTTCTTCAACGCGACAACACCGTCCCACCTACAAAGGTATACCTAATGTAGCTCATGATTGTCGCACACAGCAGTCTGGCGCGACAACAGCGAGGCGTCTCTGAATACAGGCCGCCATCACAACACAGCATTGTAGCGACGATAATAGGAGTGTGTTTGTGGAGCTCTAGGTCTCATGGCTAAGCAGTTATAAACGGATAAACCTAGACTTTTGGCGAGACCGTAGCTAGACCGGCTTGACTCGTGTTTATCGTCTTTAGCCATCTCATGTTCTTCTTACCAGGAAGGTCTCTGGCCAGTTGTTCCTAAATGAAGTCCAATTCTATTCATCACAATGTGCGCTCACAAAGTCTCGTCTCTCTTCACATCCATCAGGGCCGAGCCTCTCGAACATTGTACATTCTCACTTCCTACACCGTAATCATTGTGCATTCATGTCTTGCTGTATATATAATTAGTACTAGGCTCACTCGGATCACCGTTTTCAATCAAAGTTCGTTCACTTCGCAGAATTGGATACCTCACACTTGGATATCTCACATTCTCCAAATCCTTCGAAAATGTTTCAACCACTTCCAACCATCGTCCTTAGCTCATTTGAGAATCCACAGCATCGTCTGGTTCTTAGCACTGATGAGCACATTCTCAACCCGATCGTGGAGCTGTACGGGCCAATTGACGCCTCCGCACCCAACGACGACCCTTCTAGCATCGTCAGCACTCCGGCAGAGCGATGGTTTTGGCAAATGATTCATCCGGGCTCGTTTGATCGCTGTTCCATTGACGAGAATTTGGAACCCTGGGGCTGGGCCGCAAAGGTTCCAGGGCCCTCCTTCTCCGGCGACGAGCGGCTACAAGAACTCAAAGAAGAGCTAATACAGTACGCTAGGACAACACACGGACGACGCGAAGCCGAAAGCGTCATCGCGAAATACGAGTCTGAGCTCTTCGAAGACTGTACGTCCCCCGAAGACTTCAAGGCTGCTGAAGAGTACCGGCAAGATATCAAAGAGTGCTGGGAGTACTGCAAGGACATGGAGGTCTTTGACGAACAGTATGTTCGGAAGACCAAGCCTGAGGGTATACGCGATCGCTGGGAGGACCAGGGTGCAAAGGTGAACGAGCTTGTGAGTCCGATCAGCCAACCTTCCATCCATGAGCCCGAGAAGACTCGTGCCGAACACTTTGACGACCTTAAGAACGAGCTTAGGGATCGCTCCAAGACGCAGGAGGGACGAGCAGCTACTGAAGCTCTCCTCCAGTGCTTCAAAGGCGAGCTTTATGAGTCTCGGGATTCCCCCACGGATATCAAGGCTGCAGAAGACTATCTCAAAGAGATTGAGATTCTTTGGGAGACCTTCAAGGCGGGATCTGGAACGGAAGGTCCGCAGAAGCGTGCTCTCAATCTGTGGCCGTCGCGGAAACTTGCGACGATCGAGGAGGAGGACGAAGACAAAGATGACGGTGAGTTCTTTGAAGACTTTGAGGACGACGACGAGAATGCTCTGATACGTATGTCCTCTCGAAGTCCATAACTTCTTAAGCCTGCCCTGCTCAAGTTGTAATCGCCCCGCTTGATTTCTCTTAATTGGACTTGACTCTCTTGACTAGGTTCATTTCAAGCTTCACATATACCTAAATTGATGATATTCACAATCCCCAGCAACTTTGCCATCTTCTTTTAACTACCACCTAGTGCTCGAAGTGGACTCAATACGAAACTACTAATATAAAACGTGCTTGATGACTATGCTACGCTTTCACGCCCAGCATGGCAGTATAAGCCATGAACGGTAGTACATACACCACGAATCTCACTGTCTTTACAACACATTCTAGAAACATGTATTCATGGACGCATTGTACTCCCTAATTATCCATGGTATCTATCCCAAACCAAAGAAAACCCGCATATATACCCAAATGCTTCCCACCAATCCAACCTAATAGTCCGCCTTTTCCAGTACGTTATTCGATCCTGACTTCTTACGAACTACACCACCTCAACACTCTTATCCGTCTCCCCATCTTTCACCTTCCGAGTATCCCCATCCCAGTCCTCAAACTCCACCACCACATTCGTCGTCTGCTTAATACCATGCACATTCTGCATCCTAAACTCATCCCCGAGAATACTCTCATCGCTCCCATTCGCCTTGTTCCTTCCCCCGACCCCCCCAATCCCGCCCCCCATACTCGTCGCGCCCCCCGTAACCGTCACCCCGTTCCCATTCACACTCCTATCATTCAGCGTGTACATGTTCCCCGTATTCCGCGCACGCCGGCTCCCCGAGCGGCTCGTAGTGCTATCGCCCGTGGACGACGTGAGGCACTTGACGTAACGGCGGTACAGGGTGCGCGTGGCGGGGAAGCAGGTGCAGATTATGGAGACGGTGAACTCGGTGCTGCTCCAGATCACAGTGGCGGCGAACTGGTAGTTGCGGTCGGTGGCGGCTTCGAGTGCGACGAGTTGCTGGAGCCGAATGATGCCACAGATGCCGGCGAAAACGCCGGCGCTGAGGGAGATGTTGATGGTGAGGCGTTCACGGCGCTTGATTTGGAGGCTGCGGAGGAAGAACCAGGGGAGCGCGGCGAGGAAGAAGTCGAGGAAGGTGCTGTAGCCTGGGGATTAGGTTAGTGATAGGGGTATGGGGATGGAGGTGGGGCGAGGGGAGTGTTACCTGCGAGGGTGTAGCCGACGGCGGTTACGTTGAATTTGCAGACTTTGTCTGTTATGAAAGGGTTCCAGTTTGAGTAGACGGGGAAACATTGGATAAATAGGCCGATGAATTCTAGCAGACATAGAAGGGCGATTATTGACATAGACGTGTAGAGTATTATTTTGTGTCTATAGAGAGCGTAATTAGAACTAGTGGGAAGCATATGGGCAGTCTCTATCTACATAATACTCACTTCTTCTTTACCAAAATTATGAGTAGGAAGGTTGCAACGGCAGCTTTGCTGGTGGCGATCGATATTGGGAAGATGCCGGCGTAGGTGAAAAATAGCTTAGATAGCTTCTTAATCTCTTCCACGTCTGTCAATTTGTCGTTGCGTTGGCCTAAGCCTCGATATGCCCCCGCGATGGCTACCGCTGTAAAAGCTACGAGGCTGAGCTATTTGGGTGTTAGTCAAACGAACGATGATGGCATTCTACGGATAGATATAATCACCATCACTGCCCATACGAAGTAGCCAGTAACCGTCCGCTCGCATGCCAGAAAACAGCTTTATACGTGCCCATGTCCTTGCCACGACGAAGGCAAGGGCCAGGAACATTTCCAAGAGGGTGACGGCGACAACCGTCGGGCCCATGCCCCGAGGTCCCCCATGCTGAGTTAAACAAGGAAAGCGAAGAGACGAGACGATAAGGAGGGGGTTGGAAACAACTAAGAGGCCGCAGTGAACGGCCGTGATTCATATAGAAATGAGCAAAGGAGACCACGGTCTAGTCTCGCCTAGATCTAGACATACATAACCTCATGGTGGCCATGATAACTCTAAGTCCAGGGTCCGAGTCAAGGCTCAATGCCCATGGGGTTTCGTGTGCCGTGTTTTGACATATAGTTCTAGCGCCTCCTCTGAAGATCGAGGGGCAGGTGGGACACGGGTTCCCCAGCCTGTCAGAGTGAGGCATTGACTATTGGTGGATGACTCTTCAAGATCGTTTCGCTGCATGTCATTTGTTGCAATAATTTAGGTTTGGATTAGCTTTGCTAACGCGAGCAGGAATCTGGGATCGACGCCAGCCATAGCACACAATGGACCGACTACTGCACCCAGTAAGTGATCGAGCCGCCCCCTTGGGTTCGCTACTGCAGGGCGGACTTCGATAGACCACTTGGCGTGGAGTAGTGAAAGAAAATGGTTTGAAGGTCTGAGTCGTGCTCGCAGCTGATCCTGCCGGCGGAAAGTCCGTATCATGCCAGCTGTGACAGAAAGAAAGCTGCTGCATTCACTCTGATGTGGTCCATCGCCGTATTCATGTTGTTGAAGCTTGACGTTGATGACCGCTGTGAAACTAGGCGGTGTCTAAAGGAAGTGAGTGATCCTGTAGCCCTTCATTTACTATATCCCAGATCGAATACTCGATGACACTACGTATCTCAGCCCTAGAGTGAGGCGTCAGCGGTAGCATTACGTATAGCAAGGTTACACCTCAACGCAGGTTTCTGGTAAAAAGCCCTCCGAAACTGGACGTTTGTGACGCTGTTTTGTAAGGCAGTACAACTCAAGAATGAGCATGGCTTCTCCGCATGTTGCTGGGACTGATTAGGGCTAGCATCCGTACGCTGACCTGACTAGGAAGTGAAAGCGGCGGGCGATTTAGATGGAAGTCCTGACCAAAATCTGACCACAAGTCCATCTTTTCCTTCTATTAAGCCAGCTATTGTTTCATATGGTAACTCTGAAGCACAACATTTGTGAGGACAGGACAACCAGAAATGGGAGTTGAATTTCTCAGCAACCAATGAGAATGGGGGAGTCCATGAGGTATTGCCAACATACTTATACTATCCCTTCCCGGTCGCTTTTCGTGAACTATGGGCATAGTACTTATTGCTTGATTTTGATTTGTTTCATTAGAATAACCAAGAACACCCTGCTCAGCATAACGCCGCTCGTCTAATGTTCTACGTGCACTTGTCTACGGCCTTTAGAGCTCTCCATTATGGATCTCCTCTCTGCCCTGGGCTCCCTGGAATCTTGCCTCGTAAGTTTGTAGCTTGTTTGTTCACATTGAATGCAGTATTTAAGCTCCACCACTTTTAACACTAATCTTGTGGTGCTCGTATGATGGCAACATCTTCCCGCAATTAGTGGGTATACATGGCACGATGTGCATAAGGCGACCCTGAGTGACCCGATATGTCTTTCTTTTAGCATCATAACAGTCTCATGGACGGTCAACGGGACTGAAGACAAGAGTCGAATATATTTCGCCTTGCTATCATTTCCCTTCCAACAAACCCGCATCTAACCACACCTCACTTGGCCTCGGGCGTCATCTTGACATCCGCATACTCTGGATCCACCACCACCAGCGCCGCATACCCCCCCTCCTCCACAACCCTACTTTCAACCACAAAGCTCGCCACAATCACATACTCCTCAATCTCGCTCGCATTCATGCTGACCTTGTGATGGCACCCCGGTGCCTCATACCAGGCGCCGCCCCGTTCCAAGACGGTCGTCGGCCCGTCGTTCATCTTGTTGTAGCCCGTTCCCGACACAACGAGGCCGGAAACGGATGCACCGCCGTGGCGGTGGGGCGGGGAGGCGCCGCCCGGGGGGAAGCGGACTTCGAGGGCGATGTGGCTGAAGCCGGGGACGTTGACAAGCTGGTGGTGGTAGAGAGGAGTGATGGCGGGGAGGGGCTTTCTGGAGGGAAATTAGTGGGGTGGAATGGAAAAAATGTGGTGGGTAACTTGCGTGCGGTCGTAGACTGGATCAGCGATGGTACGGGCCATTTTGGGTTGGGTCTCGATGAAACGTAGAGCGCCGAGTATTATTTGGAACTCTTTGTGTCTGGAATCTTGGCTTGAGTAAAGTGATTGGGTTTTGAATGGCTAGAACTGCTTCTCAGCAACCATTTTATAGTCGCAAATAAAGGACGCAGATGGTAGCAACGAAGCGCCATTACTTCCTTTCGGGCTGCTCGCCAAGCCCGCAAATCCCAATACCCGCAAAGCAAAGCCCGAGCGGGTATCAAGAATTGCAAAATTCAAAAATGTTCTTCATGACAGACCGTTGACTTCAAACCCGAGACCAAGGTTGATGTACGGGTCGATCCCTGTCAAATCCGTTTCAAACGCGGTATTTGCAATGGGGAAGTCGAAATAGCCGTAAGCCTCCACACCCGGGAACGTCTGCATGGCAGGGACTGGAGACTCGATGTTTGTTCCTAGTAACAAGGTATCTGCTTCTTTTGTTCCTACGCTTGGTGGCCGCTCGGTAAGCGCCGGTTGGCCCAGTCCCAATAGTTCTCGCGCGATTGTTTTGACTTCACGAACCACTTTTTTCGCACCTGGCCATACTTCTGCAAAGGTTTCCATGGCGCCCATTGCGACTCTAATGCGTTCCCTCGCGACCTTCATCTGCTTGTCTCTGAGGACATATTTGCAGGCAGAAAGATGACCGATCGTGGTCGAAGCAATCATGCAGATCGCAAAGGGCGTGTGTTTCGCCATTGTGGTGGGAAGAGTGAGCATGTTTGTCAATCTCTCTACAGCGTCTAGAATCTTGGCCGTGTGCATGGGTGCATCGCGATAATAAACAGGGGGTAGTCTCTCTGGTGGTGGTGGGGGAGCACAGGACGAAACGGCTTCAATAGGGTGGAACGCACAAGTTGACAGGCGACGATGCATGTCGACAAGATAGCTGGTGCAATCAGCAGAGCGCTAATGGTGGACGGGCGGTAACTTACACTTGAACCATTAGGTTGGTTTGGAAGAGGTGCTCGTCCAGTATACGATCCTCATTGAACAACCTCCGCTTTGACTTGTTCAGCAGAGACACCCATGCCGCTACAGCCGCGTCTCCTTTTGAGCACATATCCTTGACATCTTGTTCCGAGTTCCTGGGTAGACCAATGATGATGTGGTCCAAACTTCGGATCAGCCCAATTTGGTAAGCAAACGATGAGAACTCTATGTCTTCGTCAAAGAACTCCCGATTATCATATTCTTCCAGTGTTCTTAGCCGAGGGATACACTGCAGGAATGTCAGCCGTGGGCGTAGTCACGATGCGGGTATGTACTCACCCCTGAATAGTAATCAGAATCTTCGCATGGCAGCTCCACCGTGCAGAGTACATTTCTTTGACTAGAACCAAATGTGACCGCATGATCGCTTGCAGCGATGTGTGCATCAGTCACATATAACTGCCACCATGTCCTCCTCCAGCATTCAGCCAAGACTGGACGGCCCTTGCAGTTATCGTTTGCAAACTCCCTTTTGTTCATACCAAGTCTGACAGCCTTTGCAATTGCCAAGTCCAGAAGCTCTCTCGACCTTGGTTTGTCGTCGCACCAGTAAACTGCAATAGAATACAGAACCAGAGCTTGGACAACGAAACCATCTTCCTGCTCTTGGCAATGAATCATGGTTAATTTCAGTTTAGCTTCCAATGGTGCGGAGGCTTGCTTTGGCGAGTATAACGAACCAATGAATCTCATCACCTGGACAAGCAGCGCCATGCTAGGAACTGTGTCGTCCAGAATTGCTGTCAAGAATCTTGCCGGAAGGACACAGGGGTGGGCGTTGTGAAAGTAGGCGTAATACAACTCTAGTAATGACTCCCGGCTACTCACAGACTCACCTCCGCTCAAGTAGCTGTCATTCAGCAGTGACTCTCCGCTGCTTGGCGATCCCGAGCTGGCAGACCTGTTGGAGATCAACCCAGGCACTTGATTTGAGCCAGTGCTTGAACAGCCTCGATTGATTACATCGTCGAGTCGATTGGAGTCGAGAAGTTGTATTTGGTGAGGAGATGAGATATTGCTAGAATTGCTTCCGGATGTTGAAGAAAATGTTGATGGCAGCGCAGGCGCTGAAGGAGACGTGCTTCCTCTAACCAGGCCGGCGGATGTGTTCGGGCGACCTTTCTCCCGTCTCCCACCTCTCCGCGACTTCAGATATGTGCATTCGATGCCTAGGGTCCGACATCTTGAGCACAAGGGCATGGCGGCGTCGCAACGAACATGACGACCTCTGCATTGGATACAGGCGACGCTGACCCTCGGCTTTCCCGATTGTTGGCTGACTGCTTGGTCCTCCGGTACTTCCTCGTGAAGTACAGACATGGTCCCAAAAGAACAATTCGTATGGCGGTATCTAAAGATGGCGCAACTTACTGTCGTTTGCACTCCTCGTTCTAGAAATACAGTAGCGGAACCCTTGCGCGCTTTCACACGCCAAGCTTCCGCGAGCTTTTGTCGCAGGCTTTTACAATTCGTCTAGGATGCTGAATAATCATCCTTCATCCGCTGAGATTACTTGTGGAACATGGCGATGTGTTAGGTAGGTAGGAATAAAGCCCAGATCCAAGCCCTTCAATCGCCGAACCTTGGAATGCAGGCAGTCAAAATTGAAATCTGGGTATTTACACCCCTGCCCCCCGCGGAGAAAGTTCCATGCCGAGACTTCAATACCCGCCCTCGGGATTCAACACCATGTCTATCGCCAGGGGGATGCGTGACATCACGGTCCTTTCATGCTCGTCAAATAATGGCTGAGTCTGCAATTGGAAGAAACGAAGGGCTTTGCACTCACCAAATAGCCGTGGACGCATCAGAACGGCTATTTAGCTATTCTAGAAGCCGACAACAGCGGCCGGTCTATAAGAACAGATGGAAATCACGGCGTGAGACCAGCCATTCGGTGCCAGCGAATGTCACTTATGCGAACTGCCAGCAAACAACTCGTCGCCAACTTCTCTCAGCAATCAATCAACTCTCTGAATCCTCATCCCATTCAAACAATTGCCCGACAACTCGCTTCATCAACAAGCCCCCAACAAGAACAGATGGCTTCCTCCTTACCCTCCAACATCCGCGCCCTTCTCCAACCAGACATCCACTCCACCGACCTCATCCTCACCTCAATGCCCCTCCAACCCACACAACCCAACACCTCCGAACACCTCATCAAAGTCCTCGCCACGGCCCCCTGCGCCGGCGAGCTCCTCTGGGTGCCGTCGCCCCCCTTTCCCAAATCCAGACTCTCTGTCCCCCGCACTAACCCCTCTCAAAAGGCCAAAAACTTCCCCGGCTTCATCCCCCGCGACCACCCCTTCGTCCCCTGCTTCGACCTCTCCGGCACCGTCGTCACCGCGCCGCCCGCCTCCCCCTTCCAGCCCGGGGCGCACGTCTACACACGCACGCCCGCCACGCGCACCGGCAACGCGCGCGAGTACGCCGTTGCGCTGACCAGCGAGCTCGCCGCGAAGCCGCGCAACCTGTCCTGGGAGGAGGCGGCCAGCGTGCCGCTGAGCGCGCTCACGGCGTACCAGGCGCTGTTTGTGCACGGGGGTTTGGCGGCGGGCTGGAAGAGCGAGGCCGGCCGGGCGGCGAATGGGACGAAGAGGGTTTTGATTACGGCGGCGGCGGCGGGTGTAGGCGTGTGGCTGGTGCAGCTTGCGAGAGCGGCGGGCGTGAGGGAGGTGGTGGGGATTGCGGGACCGCAGAACGCGGAGTTTGTGAAGGGGCTGGGGGCTTCGGAGGTTATTGATTATAAAGCGCAGGAGCTCGGGGAGTGGGCTAAGGAGAACGAAAAGGTTGATTTGGTGGTTGATCTTCTTGGTGGGAAGACCTTGGAGAGTGCATGGGGAACTGTCAAAGACGGCGGTATCTTGCTCAGTGTTTCTCAGCCGCCAAACACGGCAAAGCCAGACGACAGAACCTCCAAGGATGTTCAAGATAAGTTCTTCATCATGGAGCCTGATGGATGGCAGCTTGATGAGGTGAGGGATTTGATTGAAGCGGGAGAGGCCAAACCGGTTGTCGACAGTGTCTGGAAGCTAGAACAGTTCAAGGAAGCATTTGCAAAGGTTGCTTCCGGTCATACAAGAGGAAAGGTGATCATTAAAGTTCAAGACGACTAATTGCTTATTAGGGATCGTACTTGTTAACATAGCATGATTCAATATAGTAAAGAACAATATAGAAAGTATGGATCTTCAATATGTTACCATAGCTTTCCTTTGTTCCTCTTAGCTTACGTCTCTCCACGTTTATTTCCGCATCTAGATTGAGTCCTAGATAGAGACAGCGCTATAGACTGTTTAAAATAAGGTTGGTTCACAACAGATAGAGCCAAACGCACCCATCAGTGCCTTCTCTAGGCGTTGCCTCTCCTTTCCTGTAGGAGCTGCTTTAAGCCGGCCTTATAGCCGGGATACTAAGCCGAATAGGATATAAAGGCGAGTGCGCAAGCAGGCAGGCGCTGAAAGCTGTCAACAACAGTAAGTCAATTGAAAGACGGGATAAGATGGCTCCAGATGGGCCGGTAAAGCGGCAAAGAGGCAAAGCGAGTAACCTTACACGTAAGCAGTGGGATACAGTCGGACGTAGGTAAGCCCTAACTAAATGGGACTTCAAAAGTGGGGATATAGGTGAGAGATAGAGGAGATAAGGAGTGTATGTGCTTCTATAGAGAGACATTTAGTCGACCTGCTAACGTATCACGTGACACAGAAGCCCTAAAGAAGTGACGGAGAATCAATCATGAATTCCTTACTGTATTCTCTCACCCACTCCATCAATCGCGTTTCTATTTTCAAGCCGCCGCCAACACACTTTTGTCCACCTCCCTCACTCTCATGCGTCTTCCCACTCCCAACGCGCCTCCAGCTCCATGCATCGCTCATTCCCACGCCAACGTTATGCAAACTCAGAGCGCCGTGCAGAAAAGCAGCCACCAACGGCATTAGCGTCAACCCGAAGCCTCGTGCCCAGAAGAATAAAGGAAAAGAGAAGTTGCGATATCTATATTACGAGGATCATAAAAGGTAGTGGCGAAATGAGGCAGGCCACTTCGGCGCGTGGTTGAATATTCGATTGAGAAGAAAGCTTCGAGTTTTGTCTGTATACTGTTCAAAATCCAGCAAATGCGAAGGAACGAGTCTCATTATAGGACGGACAGTGTGCTCTAGTCCGCTTTGATAGCGCTGGAGATGAGTTGTTAGCGGGTTGAACTGGGCGTTGAGGGAGATTAGGACTCACCCGTAGATCCTCCTCACAAACGCATACGCCGACAAAAACCCGATCGTGCCCGTGAGCAGACCATAGACTAGACATGCTAGGAAGCCGTAGCAGAAGAAAAGCAGGCTGGATACGAAGCCTGAGATGTGCAACTTGGTGAAGTAGTACCAGGTGAGGTAGCCGAAGATCCAGATACTGGAGCTGCCACCAACGAGGAAGGATTGCCACCACCAGTGGTAGTTCTGAAGGCAGGGATGTTAGTACTGGTCGAATGACACGAGGTAGGTGGCGAAGAGACATACCTCTGAGCAAAGCTGTACATATGTAGCCACGATCGTGACCTCAATTACCGTGATGATCAAAATAGCGCTTACAACACCCAAAAATCCAAAGACGTAGTAGTACCCGCTCTTATCTTGCCAAAGACTCTTGAAAACAAACATCAGCTCGATGAAGATGACGGCGAAAGGGATGAAGCCTGCAAGAAGAAGCGCCTGGACGCTCTTCGTGTACCATGACTGGACAGGGATTTGTCGAGGGATCACGTTCGCTTTAATGGGATGGGTCCAATTTCCTACGACAACGAAGCCGTACCAACCACCCACGTAGACGAGGGGCATCTGGATCAGGAGCCATAGGGCGACAAGGCCGACGAGAGTGCCGAAGGGAATCGCAGTGCTAGAAGCTTGAGCCCAGACAAAGAGGTTCAAGATGAAAACCGTGGCGAAGAGAAGACCAGGAATCAGCGTTCCAGTCTAGAAGCAGCGTTAGTAACTTTTCAAGACCGAAGCGAATGTTGACATCTGACATACCACTAAGACGTTCTTCTGCCAAAGTTGACCACCAAATGTCTTGTACACTCTAGACGAGAAATAGCCCGAGAACAGACCGGCCAGGACGAATAGGCCCATTCCAACGCTCACGTAACCGCCGCGGAAGCTGGGGTTAAGGATTCCAAAGCAGCTGAGGATCAAGAGACCAGCTGCCATAAATACGAGCTGCATGCCAGAGCCGACGAGAGGAGCGAGAAGACCACCATATGGTGGTGGTCTGAAGACATCACCATGGACCAACTTCCAGCCTGTTGTATCTTCCATCAAAGACTCTTCGTCCGAAGATATATCAGCGTCTCCCTCTGCATCTGCTAATTGGTCGAGGAGAGCTCCATTCTTTTCGTTGCTCTTCCTTGGCGATCTCGTACCCTTCGTTCTCTTAACCCTAGCTTTGCCGTCTTCCAGTCCATCCTTGGTATATCCCTTGATATCTCCACGGACGGTGCGAGCTACTATTACGGCGACAACAGTGGTAAGAAGTCCGCATATGACGAGGGAATTAATAATGGCGAGCCAATGGATGTTGGAGCTTTCATCCTGAGCGACGAAATACATGTCCCACCGATTTTGCCATTCGAGGTGCTCCTCTTCCCTGTAGTATACCGAGTATGTATATGGAATAGTCAAGGTGGCACCATCGTCGGTATTTTCTTCCACGGTGACGTCGCCGTCAACAGAGGTCGAATTCGGAGAGATGGTGAGCTCCATTCCATATTGCGGGTCGTGAATATCCGCAGGAAGTCCAGTGTCATTTCGGTTGCCGGCCTCAATACTCTTTGGGAAAACCTCAAAACCAACAATGACTTTCTTGCCTTGATCCCCGTCCCGTCCAGGGGCTCGATGGTATCGAATAACTAGTGTTACGTGGTTATTGATGAAGTACTGCGGCTCTGCGTCAGGTGAAGAGTAGTACTCCTCGCCGAGCTTGAAACCGGCCGCATAGTATTTGCGCGACTTATCCGTGGTGACGAAGCTGGTTGCGCCGGGGAGGTTGTCCACAATCCATTCTGCTACGTAGCCGTCTCGTATGACCTGCTTGGCCCTCTTTAGCCCGTTTCTGTCGATTTCGTGACTACAGAGGTATCGGGCTTCCTCGTCATTACCCATAATGAGCTCGTAGTCGGACACCATGATTCGATCGCCGCGAAGCACCTCTCCCAGATTCAGGGAAAGGGTCGCGCCGCTGATGAGACCAGACCCAGTGTGCGTCCGTCCGGTCGGCGGACAGACGAAGGGCAGCTCTGAGTAGGCATATTGTAGTTCGGTGTTGTCTGAGTAGACCTTGTTCCAGAAAAGAGGGATCGTCTCGCCTTCGCGGTAGCTCTTGATGGAGAACCCTGAAGCCTGTTAGTCGAATCTCCCAGGGCTAGCAGAGGCCTAGGACGTACCCGGTATGTAGAAGGCTTGTGTCAGAGCCAAGAATGAGCAGAGGAGCGCACTTCTCCGGACGTCTGAATGCATTGTAAAGGGCGAAGGGGGTCCGAGGGAGGGTGGAGAGAGGAGGAGTCGAGGACGGGAGCGAAGGCGGTGATGGAAAGAAGCTTTTGCGGCTTAATCGTCGGGACCAGACCCCGGGGCGTGCAGCAATGAAATGAGGAGGGAAAGCTCGTCAGCCAGGAGGCTGCTTCGGTGCTGACGGCTGAGAGGGCGGTCGGCAGGGGCGTTCGAGGCTGTACCAAGCTCGCCAGGGTGAGGTGAGCAGTCGACGGGTGTCGCAGGCGGGTGAAACGAGCGTAATTGGCACCGAGGGCCTTTGTTTGGGACGCGTGCTGACGGTGGAGTCAGTACGCAACGGGTGCAAGCTGGGGCAGTGATGGCGATGCAATGGAAGACTTTCTGGCGACGTGTTGCTAGCGGCGTCCTTATCAAACGGCGTCTCGACCACTCTCCCATTCGAGAAGGCCGCTCCGTTTATTGGCTCCCGCAGCCTGTCACTGCAGTGGGCCCTCGTTTAGAGGGCATAATTAGATGCACTTGTGGCCGATCCAAGCGCCACAAAGTGCGTCGTGCGCGGCTTCCAGGGTGAATTCTCGCCCTCCTTTTCGTAACACTCCAACATTGGGCATTCCCCGCTACCTACATACATACATACATAGTACGCGTGCATGTGCTGTCTCGAAGAGGGGAGCCGACTGCTATGTGAAGCTGCAAGGCTTCTTCCTATGCCTAAGCATCAGTCACTATCAACATCAGCGGGAATTGGAGACAGGAACCAATCACCGTCACAGCGAATTTGGACATCAGCAGATACTTCAGCACGGATTTTGAATGCTGCAAGTGTTGTTAATCAAGCCGGGGGTTGCAGAGATAGCCGACTGGCATCCAGATCTACCGCCTTCTTCCGATTGATCATCTCACATTTCCATATGCCCGGCCCTCTTTCTCACCAGGGTAATCTGAAGAGCGATCTATAACCTCATATATAAATCGAAACGGGTCTTTCCAAGTCAAGCCATAAGTCAAGGGTAAAGCTGGCACCGTTAAGAAGCATAAATGGGAGGCAGTCAATGTCAAACAATCCTAATGAGCGAAATAGTAGTCAAGTTTTCATAAATTACATACTCTAAAGTTTCTATTCAACCAATGCTTCAATCCTCCAGACTCTGGATCTGCACCTTGATAGCCCCCGTCTTCGGATCCGCCGCCGTCTTGAACGCCTCCACTGCCTCCTCCAACTTATACCGATGCGTCACCAACTTCTTCATATCAATGACCCCACTGCTAACCAACCGGATCGCCCGCGGCCACGTATTGGCGTACCGATACTGGAACTGCAAGTCGATTTCGCGCGTGCTGAGCCGCATAAACGGAATCTTCATCTCGTTCTTGCCCACACCGATCACGAAAACCTTGCCGCCGAACTTGACCGTCTGGATGGCGCTCGCAATGCTGCTCTCCACACCTGTGCACTCCATCACGACGGCCGGCTCGGTCCCGTGCATGGCCTTCACCACGGCCGCCGCGAAGTCTTCCGGCGAGTGCGAGAACTCGACCTTGTGCGTGATGACGCTAGGCACGAGCTCCTTCGCGAACTTCAGCCTGCCCTCATCGATGTCGGTGATGACGAGCGGGCACGCGCCCGCCGCCTTGCAACAGAGTAGCGTTACCAGCCCAATAGGGCCAGCGCCGCACACAAGAACGGGGTCGCCGAGTTCGATCTTCGCGCGCTGCATCCCCGCCAGCGCTACCGATAGCGGCTCTAGCATCGCACCGTCCTCGAAGGTCATACTGTCTGGTATCTTGTGGCACCACACGGCGGGGTGGTTGACGTAGCGGCGGAGGAGGCCCGGGACCGGGGGCGTGGAGAGGAACTCGACTTTCTCGCAGCCATTGTAGCGGCCGGTCAGGCAGGGCTCGCAGGCGTTGCAGATGACGTTGGGCTCGATGGCGATGCGGTCGCCGGGCTTGAGGGTTGTGACGGATGGGTGCACGGCGAGGATGGTGCCGGCGGATTCGTGGCCGAGAATATGCGTGTCTTTCACGATCATGGGGCCGATGCAGCCCGCATGCCAGAAGTGGACATCGGAGCTGGGAGGAGGGTATTAGCTTTTTAGGCTAAATGATGGGGATTTGAGGATGCGAACCCGCAGATGCCAGTGCTCTTGATAGCTATTGTGACCTCGCCTGGTTTGAGACCGTCACCTTTCTGCACCGACTCCAAGCTGGGTTGGGCTTCTGCGACCCAGAGATCGTGTTCAGGGTTAGTGTATACACCGATATTGGCTTTCGACGGCTTGACAGCTATTACGGTCTGAGTGGTAGACATTTTTGCACTGATGTTAGGAAAGAGCAATTAGGGATGATAAAAAAAGTTTGTGTCACAATCGCGGCGTGCAAGGGATAGAGAGTGGCTATATGACAGCTGGGCCATGTTGCCAATCTACGTTGGGCATTTATATGCGGATAAAGTGGACGCCAGCGAGGGGTTCACGATGGTGGGTTGTGGTACGAAGGTACGTCTGCATTAGGGATCCCGCGTCGAATTCTGTCTGGTCATGGTGGGGCAAGTATGCCGAAGACGGGCCTGGTGAATAATTTCTCCGTGGAACAACGACGCCACAAGGCAAAAAGCAATGGATCGCGATGTGGGTTGGCTGGAGGGACGCTGAAGTGGAGTTGGCGGAGAATTATACCCCGAGGCGAGTATCACGTGAGCATCGCAAGTGTTGAAGTATGTAGGCAAATAGCCACCACATGCTATGTAAAAGAAGACATACGGATAAAAATCTCAATCCCTATCTATCTACGCTGAGAACCCATAAGCGCTTCCAATGCCCATGAATCATCACCAATCCAAACGCCAGTGAAGGCAAAAGTATCCCGGACACTATCATGTTCTCCTGATTATTGCTTACGCCCGATAAATACCTCTAATCCATCAAGTTCGTGGCGGTTTCGTAAGCATCATCTTTAGGAGCATCATACCGATTCGCTTCATCTCGCCCTTTCCTTCGTGCTATGGCCCATTGCAGCCTCCAGGTCCTCGCCACCGTCGTCGTCCTGCCCTAGATTCGTCATTTCGTACTCAAGAACTTTGATGACCTTGTAGAAGGCCACCGCTATCACAGCACCAATTCCTGGACCGACCCCTGGAAACCCTTGAGTCAGTACAAGCTTATTTCTTGCCGAGAAAACTTGTTGAACTTACAATATATCCAGTGTTCTTTGTCGAATATGCCAGTCATAACACACGGTCCAAAACTTCTTGCTGGATTCAAAGAACCGCCGGTGTAGAAGACTCCAACTAACTCAGCGACGAACAGCGCGAGCCCGATTCCGACGGGTGCGATAAAGGTTGCCTTATGTTTTTTCTTCGCAAGCATAAAAATAGTAAAGACAAGCTCGGCCTTCAGAACCGCCTCGATGAAGATGCCTCGCGCAATCGACGTGTCAGTGGATAGTGTTGTGCGAACATTCAAGGGCGTTGGAAACATGACGCTGACGAGGTATGATGCAAAAATACTGCCTGCAAGCTGAGCGACAATCAGAATGGTGCATCTAGTCATTGATATCGCCTTCGTCATCAACATCGCAACTGAGACGGCAGGATTGAAGAGCCCACCGCTGATGCGGAAGAAGACTCACACGTTGACCATCAGGCTGAAGCCGAATACCATCGAGATGTATAGCAGTACCTCCACGTTGAATCCGGTGTCACCTCCTGTGGTGGTATTCCTAGCGCCATTTCCGGATCCGATATTGGCGACCTGGGTACCTGCGAAAGCGAAGAAGAGAAACATAGTAGTGCCGACAAACTCACCAATAAATGCAACGAAATCTAGGACTTGTTAGAGGCTGCGCACTTCAACATTAGAGTGTATTTACGATTCTTCAAACGAGAATTCATCCAAGCAGTCCATGGAATGCGCAGAATTGCCTCTGCGGAGGGCGGACGACCTCCATTTCCGCATTTGGCCATAGTCGCAGCCATGTTCGACAAAGTAGGCCGCTGTGGCGGGTACTCATCTTCACTACCATAGTCAGATTCGTAGTGAACCTTAGGACCTCCAGAGGGAGGCCCCTCGGAATACCGCTCGCTGCGATAGTTCCAATGAGTTAGTGGCGGTCTGGAGCGACCCGCACCTCTGCGATATGCCCTTGGAGGAAGTCTTCTTTCCTCATCGAAGTAATCTGCGTATAGCTCGTGATGCGGCGTCCGATATTCCGGGTAATAGGGCCCATCCGTCGTTCGCCGGCGGTCTGGGTAATATTCCCTGTATCCATAATCGTCACTTCGTCGACCGCTGTTAGAGTAGGGTCCCCATCGCTGCATGTCGTTTGGAGCTTTTTGAGAACTCGTTCGGGTTGGCATCTCGCCTCCTACGTCGGAACCCTCGATGGGTGACAAGGTGTTATCGCGATGCATACGTTCATCGGGCGGAGGATGACCTGGAGGACTCTGAGGATTGTTTGGTGAAGTGAGTGAGGCATCGTGGCTTTCAGCGGATGGCCGTTTTATGACAGCACCAGACGCTCTCTCTGCATAGAAGGCCGGAAGGGCTGAAGGTTGGGGCTCTTGCGCCATGTATAGGAAGAGTAAAGCACGAGAAGAATCCAAACGTAGTTTCCAGTAAGATGCACTAGTAGGGCAGCGGATTGTAAAATGGTTTTAGTATTAGCTCTAATGAGTATGAAAGCACGAGAGCAAAGTCAAGATCAGACGATCATATAGAAAGGAGTTGCAGACTAATGAGATTTGACGGTGGCGGGCTCAAAGCCAGATTCAACCTCCTCCATTCAACCTAAAGGTGATTCGTCCAAGGCTATAGCGACTGGGCTGCCTGTTGATTCGCATGATCGCGACATGGATACCAGGATCTTCGCGATCGCAGTCAGATGAATATGAGGAAATAACGTCGAAGGAGTGGAAGGCAGATACCTTCATAGAAAGAAGACGAGTAAGTGACATGGAGGTACCCCAGTGACCTTCATGCAAGGTCACGTTTACAGACTCGAAAGAGGTTGAAGCAGAGGCTGAAGCAGCCCCCCTCGGAGCTCCATTTCCAAAGGCGGCACATGCGACGAAGCGAGGTCGTGCTGGTCCAGACGTGTCTCGAACGTGCGCAAGGACAGCCATGGTGCCGAAGAGAGGAGTGCGGTCTAGTTGTCTGAAGAGGTTGGGGGTGGATCCTGGTGGTTGGTGAAGCATGGGTCACGTGGTGTCTGTATAGAGGGATCTTCCTGGGAGCATGATGCGTACAGGCATCTGTGCTAACCTCGACTAGACACACGTAAGTCGGCAATGTGGGTTTGATTCCTAGGTTCCGTTGCTTTTGTCGTAAGAATCGGACTATTGTGGTAGGGCGTGTCGCCTCCTGTGATATCATAAGGCGCACCGGCATTTGAAAGCGCAGGCTGAAGATGGAGAATATCGTGCAGGCGCCCTCCCATCGTTTTCAAGCCTCCCAGGGTCACTTGTATAACATGCTTCGGAGTCGACTACGATAAATCGCCTGGACTTTCCATTTGACGCATGTAGTGCATTCGAGTTATCCGATCGTGCCGAGTCGACACACCAGGTATCCTTAACGACTCAACGAGTTGGTTGAGGCTAGCGTGATCGACGTGTTCCGAAGGATGGCTATGCGACTTGGAGATTAGAACGCCGGTTTTTCTTGGGCTGGGAAGATTTGTTTTTTTTGGGGGGGGGGGGGGGGTACACACAGCCCATCGGATATCGCTTCATACCGTCCCTCTCTTAGGTAGACCAAGTAAGCACAATTGGTTCAATCTGAACGACGCACAACGAACATTGAAAGATTTTTTTTCAAAAGAACGATGAATTACAATTACGCTACCTAGTAGGTACATTCGGACCCTGATCCAGGCCGATGAATCTTACAGTCTTACATCTCTTCTCTCGTGTACGTTATGGAGAAGGCTCAGGTGGCCTTCCGATGCCTGTCATGATGCGTAACATCCAATGAGCCCAGTTCTCCTTTTCCCTTCTAAAGTCCTCTAGTTCCTTGACTTTATCTTCGACCGTCTTGACCTGCCTCTCGTATTCTGCCAGGGCGTCATCTGCGTCGTCGACTCTGCTTCTCAAGCCGTTTATCTCATATTCCAGTTTTGCGCCGAGAACTTCCATATCTTTGGCGGCATCTTGCAATCTTAATCGCTCCGTCGTCATGATCTCATGTGCGTCCTCTCGGAGAGCTTCATACTCGTCTTGGCGCGGATAGAATAGAGTATCAAGTTCTTGAGTATCGAGGTCTGCTTGAGTGCTCAATTCTTGAATGTTGCCAATACGCTCCTCTACCCAAGAACCTTCAAGATTGTCCAGCAATGCCAAACGTTCACGCATACGCTTCGCATCTTCAGCCAGGGCCAATTGTCTCTTCATCTCGACTTTAGGGGACACTTTTGAATCTGGATCGTCCTGGCGTTCGCTCGCGATTGGCTTCCAAGTGAGGATACTGTCCTCAGTCACGCTAAAAGACAAATGACGAGGCCACCAGGCGTCGTTTCGCGTCTCGGCATGATACCGAGAAAGGTCTTCAAAGCTCTGGGTCCTGCGCAGCAGGTGCCCCAAATCTTGACCCGCGTCGATGGGCGGAAAGAGGTTGGTAAGATCGACCCCTCTGTACACCGAGCCCGCGATAGAGGTGTTGGCCGTGGGCGGTTTTGTCTCGTTATCTGTGTCGTCTTTTCGCGCAACATCGCCTTCGATTTGATCCTCGACATTGGCAAATGTATGGTCTGTCATGAATGCGTCCCGACTCTCTAGAGACGTCTCCGTTAACGTCTTTGCAATCGCCGGGCCAAGCTCCGTACGAAAAGAACCTTTGCCACGAAGTGAGGTCGTTGAATTTGGCACGCTTTCAGGATCGTATGCTGAGTCTCTAGAATCCGTCTTTCTAATCGTCAGTGAATCTTCGGATACAATCGCATCTAATCGTTGGGAAGCAGAGCTATCGCTGGGTTTAGTTTGTGTAGCGATATATCCATTTTCATCTTTCGACGACTTTGGTAGATGACTCCGCCGTCCGACAGCTTCCTTGATACGACCAAATCCGCTGCGAGCATCAATTTTCCCGGTAGCCTTCCTCAGAACCGCGCGTTTAGAGAACGGATCCCTCTCAAAACCATCATACGCCGAATGCACGTCTGTGAGTCGATCTCCTTCCGTATCGCGTCGTCGTATAGGTTGGCTGTCCACCATAGACTCTCTCCTCTGTCTTGACCAAGCATAACCACCTTGATCGTCCTTCTGGAATATCATGCTCTCTTCCTCTGGCAGTCGACTAAACATGTCGTTAGTCGTAGACTTCCGTAATTTGCCGTACCAAAGCCATTTCGCTCGCTCTCCGTGGACAAGTTCGACAAATCTTTCCAGATCCACGGTCTCAACCTCCGCAATCCCAGCTTTGTCGCGGCCCACCATTCCCATCATCATTTCTCCTCCTTTTCCACTAAGCTCTGCCACTGTCGATTTCACTGCTCGTGGTACGCTCCACCCCTCTCCACTAGCTGCCTTGGCCGTTGCTCGTCGTAGGACCTCCATAGTCTGGCGGTCCAGACGCCTCGTTCGTTGCAATCGTTGAGACTTTTGAAAGTGTGCAATGCCGCGCTTCGTCGAATCGATATCAAAGACGTCCTTAGAAACAGGCGCATTGAACGCACTTAGTCGATTGCGAGCGCCCATAAGCATCCCTAACAAGGCGGCCACAGTAGTAGGTCCAAGGATACCATCCTGAGGCTCAATATTATAGAACTCCGTTCCAAATTCTACCCACCAGTCGTTGATGGCTTTCTCAGTAACATCGCAGAGTAGACCATCGGCGTACTCGGGCTCAAGCTTCCCGAAGAGGACCAATGCGACCTGGCACAGTTTCACAAGCTCGATTACGGCGCCATATAGGGGAATCTTGTCACTTGTCCGGTAGAGTTGATGGAACTTGGCCTTGGCTGCATTGCTTGGTTCCGCAAGTTTGATCCCCAACCGTCCGGAGCAATTCAGCCTCTTGAGGTTCTCATTTACAAAGAAGAGCTCACGGTGTGCCTTGGGGTCTCCGTCCGGCACCGATATGACCGTTAAGGACGAAGGGAAGCTGCTCATGTTTGTAATCATCAGTGTTCCCTGCTTCGTCTCCCTCCTCCGCGCGTGGTATTGATTCAGGGCCTTGAAGTAGACCCTGAGTTGAGGGGACCAAGTGCTTTCATCTGTCGGAATGCTCAACACATTGGTGACGACTTTGTGTGCCGGGTCTCCGGTATAGGTGGTGACTATGAAGGTTGGGTGGGTACGGGAGCAAGCCCATTGCTCTACCAAGTAGATTTCGTATCCCTCCAACGTCTGTCGACGAGCTAGGACTTGAGTAGACGGGTCTTCTTCGAGATAGCTAGAGCTAGTCAGCTGCGTCATGAGGCGTGTAATTGCTAGTGGTTCCGTACCGGAAGGCGACAGGGTCGGTGAAGACGAAACGCTGATGGCTGCCCTGGACTGGGGATTTCCTCGTGGTGCTATCCAAGGACGCACGACTGAGTGGAGTAGCATCTCCATTTTGGGCTGTTGGCTTTCCGGCAGAACTCGAGTCTGGAATAGATGTTTGAATTGGCGGGAGGCTCGTCGATGAAAGCCCGTCTGGAGCGGGCTGGCGAGAGTGGTCAGACATGGAGGCAGAAGATTCCCAGAGTTTGACCAGCTCCCAGCTTAGATATCGTGGTCAAGTAGGGTCATGAGGCGGGGAGCATCTTGTTGTTGTCGCGGTCGGCGTGCAGAGAGCACGGGGTGCCCAGCTCTGCAGGCGACGAAGCCGGGCGTGGTGAAGGACGAGGATGTGAATGCACCGAAGACAAAGAGGGCATAGTTAGATGGATCTGATGTGGCCAGCCTAGGCATGCGCTTGTTGTGTTGTTGGTGAAGCATGCAGTTCTAATGGAGATGGTTCAGACAGGAGCCGCCGGCTCAAGCTCCCGAGCCCCACGTCACGGCGGCCATGAGCAGATCACCCGCACCTGGGCAGCTCTCAACACCACCACCATCTCTGCCTGCTCTGCCATGGACACGCCGTCTGTGACTGCCCGCCGACCAGAGCCTTATTATCCATATGAAAACGCGCCGTGAACTCTTCTCACACCCTTTTTAGCGCCGATTTAGCTCCCAGGTTTCCTCCACCGCCAGTATGGAAGCCCTTCAGCGAGAAGTGGAGCAGCTCCAGAAGGAGAACAACCTGGAGAAGACCGTCGAAGATGTTCAGAAGACCATCGACCTGCTGCTTCATGCACGCCAGGCCATTGCGGCAGGTAAATCTCCCTCCCAGAGCGCCGTAGTGAACGCAGGCTTAGAGGACCCTCAGATGCGAGTGCTGCTCCCGTTACGATGGCAAAGCTCCAGAACTCAGTCCAGCAGTCCTTCGACAGGGTCAATAGAGACCTGAAGCCTGTACACCAAGGGCTCAACAACTACCAAAAAGCCGTGACCAACGTACACGCTCCCGGACCTTATGTCCCCATCAACGCTGACGCTGCGTGCTTCAGATGTTCAAAGACAAACCCCTTCCAACCGCCGAGAACGATGCGCTGTCATCGCATCCGTCCCTAGTGAATCGAGCAATTGCCATGCACCTGCTGCGTGAAGGCCAGTTCTCTGTTGCTGCAACCTTCATCGAAGAGGCGAATGCCCATCCACCACAGCCTGAACCGACGCCAGGAACACCAAATCCATATTTGCAGGAAGCCTGGGAAAAGGACCTTGCAAATGGAACATTTAATTCGCAAAAGCTGCAGCAACAATTCGCAGAGATGTACCACATACTACATGAGCTCAAGCAACAGAAGAATCTTGCTCCGGCAATAGCGTGGGCGAAGGAGCGTAGCATCGTGCTAGAAAACCGAGGCAGTAATCTGGAATTTGAGCTATGCCGACTGCAGTTTGTGTGCTTGTTCAAGGGCGGCGATATACAAGGACCGCCAGCCGACCCCGTACTCGGTGTTCTCAGAGCGATGCAGTATGCAAGAAGCGACTTTGGACCTTTTCAGCATCGATACGGGAAAGAGGTATCAGAGCTAGCAGCAGCAATGCCCTTTGCCCATAACATGGCCGAGTCACCATATCGGCGGATCTTCTACAATGACTCTGCATGGGAAGAGGTAGCAACTTCATTCACACGGGAGTTTTGTTCACTGTTGGGGCTATCGGCGGATTCACCCCTGTATATTGCTGCAACCGCCGGGGCCATCGCGCTGCCTACTCTTTTGAAACTGCAGAAGATCATGAAAGACAAGCGCACCGAGTGGACCACCCAGAACGAACTCCCAGTAAGTCTTAGCTCATCCTTCACTTCGTCGCTTTACTAACCCTGGATATTAAGGTTGAAATACCACTGCCACCAGCATACCACTTCCATTCAATTTTCGTCTGCCCGGTATCAAAAGAGCAAGCAACGGATCAAAATCCGCCCATGATGATGCCGTGCGGTCATGTGATCGCGAAGGAGTCTTTGGACAAAATAAGCAAAGGGGCGAGGTTCAAATGCCCATATTGTCCTGCGGAAAGCCATCCTCGGGAGGCGAAGAAGGTGTTTCTGTAAGATATCGATCCGGCTCACTCTCGCATGCATTTTTGGCACATGACTATACCACAATTACAGGGAGTTTGCGCGAGGCGTTTTGGGTCGAGGGCAATGGCCTGGACTTGCCATCTATCCTTTTTTCAGGCAGCGGGTTCTTCTGATAAGGTACAGGCAGGTCTCACTCAGCGGGACTTGAGATATGGTAGAACCGTCTCATACTAAATCAATCATCACTCTTATACAAGGCTTCTGCTAGTCAGTGCTACATACGTCGGCATTCGTTTCTTCACTGAACAATCTGTATCTTCAGTTCGTTTAATTGAGCTGCGTCCTCAGCTATTCACGTCGAGTCTGCCGAGATTTCTCAGCTCCGTCGTCTTCTCATTTGATATGCTCTCGGCTGGTAGGTATGTACAAAGTGTCGGAAGCTCTGAGGAAGGTGATATTCTTATCTAGCCCAGAAAAACGAGGTACCAGCTGCGCGCAAACTATGGAGCTTTACACTGACTGACCCCGCCACGGAGTGCTTCTTGGCAATCTAGCGGAGTCGAGAAAAAAGCGGATAACAGTCCCGTGACTTGGTCTGGTTTCTAGATCACATGATTTCTCTTATCGGTCACATGAGACTCATATGGTGTCTGGACTTTGAAACCCGTTTTGGACTGCCTCTTTGACTAGATAGGCCTAGCTTCGTACTACGATACAAAGTCCCGATTGTTGGAATATAAATGTCTCTTATTTTCCGGTCCCTCTAATCTTGGGTGGGGCGTGCCTTTTTATCCAACACCGATACTCATTTTAATAAGAGGCACAAATGTAGCGCAGAGCGCTGCCTCTGATGAGGCAGATTTAACGCTGGGACATTGCGCCCAAGATTTGCCTATTTTCACCTCGTAACGTACTACCTTTGTGCCATGATGTGAAAGCTACCCTTCAGTCACCGGAAACACGATTTTAATCGAATTGATTGAGGTCTTGGCAGATTGCTTCAATCAATCGGCCACATGGGAAAAGTTCAATCAATCAATATCAAGAGGCCTAAATCGATTGAATATTTGACGGTAGCCCTGCGTGATGTGGCTCGAACATCGCATGACAAATCGGAAACCGAGAACAATCGTGTACCTGCAGAGCCATCGGATACACGCGTGCGTCCAACGTTGTCGTGTTTAACACAACCCCGGGGATCCGGGCGAACCCGCACAGATGGTGGTGGCGCCACACCAAGCACGTTGATAACTGCCCGGGCGCTCACGATGCCGCCGTCGCGATGAGATATCGGCGGATTGGCTTGATGGGGTGGGCGAGAGCAGCCTGTTTGCTTTGCGATACTGTGAAGATAGCGAGATCCTTTGATAGGAGGCAATGCGCTGCGGAACTCGCGCAGGCAGTTCAGAGAGCGCTGGCGTGGAGGAGTAGTTCCTTCTAGGGTCACTCTATGTATCCCCTTGTAGAGGTCAGCATTTACTTAGGGCGTCCAAGAGTGGGTTATTTGGGGCCGGTTAGATAGGACAACAACCCAATGTGCTGACGGGTATTGAAGCGTGCAGCTCGCGTGTCAGTAGCCAGGTATTCGGTTCTCGGGAACAGTACAGATAGTCGATATGCGTCTCGAGCTACAAAGGATCTGGGGTCTGTAACCGTTAGCTCTCATGGCTCGCCTTGAGCAGCCTCATCGATATCGTCGCGATATCACAAGCAAGGTGTCAGTAACACGCTGGCGAGCAATGCTAGAAGTAATAGGCGCGCTCCGCTGCTCAATATCACGACAACACGAAGCCCTGAACCAGCGACCTGGCCCAGGACGTCTTGGGGGAGAAGGTTGACACGGCACTCACTGCCCGAAGAGGGAGGCGGATAGCGGTTTCAGCGCCTGGGGAAAACGATGTGGGGCGTGCCGCGATCCATGGGTCTTCCTCGCAGCCTTCCAGAACGCCACCCGGAGCGCAATCCAACACCCAAGAGGGAGCCTCAGCCGACGCCACCGCGAAACATCCGTCATTTATTAGGCCAAGGCGCGATGGCACGCTGCTGATTGGGCGCGTGTTGCAGGCGCTCGACGATCATGGCCCGCGGCCAAGTGATAACACAACCTTATCATCGCCAGACACTCTCTGCGCCGCTCCTGGCAGCCGTCTTGCTGCTCCGTGTCAGCATGCATCGACACCATGTCCAGCACCAGTCCTTGGCGCGCGCGCTGTGTCGATTGCTGGTCCACTGCTCAGCGGAGATGACCGACACAACCCAATCATCCATGCGCACAGCACCCAGGTAGCTTGATGCGGCAGCTGGCATGGTTACATCAAGCCGAGCCCACGGGAGCCCACGAAGGATTGCAACCGCGTTGTCGTGAACTGACCCGCTGAGGGGGGGCTCACGACCGGCTCTTAAACTGGCCTACCTGCCAGCTCCTCTCCGCGCACAGCTTCTTCAATTCCGCTGCCACCTCCAGCTCCACCGCAGCTCCACCACAGGCCAAGACCATGGACGTCGGAGAGCACAAGCACAACTCCTCGCCCCAGGTGGGCGTGGTGCCCAACACCGACCCGGCGCTGGATGTGTCCCACGAGCACGCCCACCAGCACCTGCACCACTCAGCGTTTGCAGAGAAGGGCCGCACCGACGAGATCGTCTACTCCAAGGGCACTACCCAAGAGCCGCAGACGGTGCCTGATGCGGACCCCAACGACGACTACCTGCGTCGTCGCCATCATGTCGCACCGGAGAAGGGCCATCATCCGGGTCAGGAGAAGGACATCGAAGCAGGCAATGTCGAGGATGTCGAGGACAAGAACAGCTTGAGCCCCCGCGTTACCGAGGACCCCCAGAACCACCGCTTCGCGAAATTCTACTCGCAATGGAAGATCGTCTTCCACGTGTTCCTGGGCATGCTGTTTACCGGGTGAGTGAATTTGAATACGCTTCTTCTGAGTCGCAGTGTGTGGTCCAGGCTGACGTCGGCGCAGATGGTGGATTGCAAGCTTAATCCTCCATCGTCACAACAAGAACTGGATCATCCCATTCCTCCTGTGGCTGGCCATCATGCTGCGACTGGTTTTCTTCTACGTGCCCATCACCATTGTGACAAAGCCAATGCACTTCGTGTGGAATAACACCATGGCCCGACTTGTCTCCTTCATCCCGGAGCGAATGAGGATACCCGGTGGCGCCCTTGGGACCATTGCTGTCATCATTGTCGGCTCGTTCGCTAGCAAAGAGTCTGAGGACAACACCCGTGCCAATCGTGCTGTCAGCTTGTTTGGCCTCGTCGTGTTCCTCTTCCTCTTCTGGGCTACCTCCAGGAACAGGAGCAAGATTGTGTGGCACACCGTCATCGTCGGCATGCTCGTGCAGTTCATCATTGCGCTGTTTGTCCTGCGAACCAAGGCTGGTTACGACATCTTCACATTCGTTGCCACCCTGGCTCGCGAGCTCCTCGGTTTCGCTGAAGATGGTGTGGTATTCTTGACGGACGCAACGGTGCCTAAACTAGGCTGGTTCTTCACTGGTGTCGTTCCGGCCATCATTTTCTTCGTATCCTTCGTCCAGCTGCTGTACTACTGGGGTGTGCTCCAATGGTTCATTGGCAAGTTCGCCGTCTTCTTCTTCTGGAGCATGCGCGTGTCTGGTGCCGAGGCTGTTGTCGCGTCTGCCTCTCCTTTCATCGGACAGGGAGAATCCGCTATGCTCATCAAGCCGTTCGTTGCACATCTCACCCAGGCAGAGCTGCACCAGGTCATGGCTTCTGGGTTCGCCACCATCTCCGGAAGTGTGCTGGTCGCATATATGTGAGTCTTCTAAAGTTGAGGTTAGTAATTCGGTAACTGATTCGGTTTCAGTGGTCTCGGTATCAATCCCCAGGCTATTATCTCGTCTTGCGTGATGAGTATCCCCGCCTCCCTCGCCATCAGCAAGCTCAGGTATCCGGAAGAGGAAGAAACCCTCACCGCCGGCCGCGTCGTCATTCCGGATGACGACGAGCACCGTGCTGCCAACTCTCTCCATGCGTTCGCCAACGGTGCGTGGTTGGGATTGAAGATTGGCGGCATGATTGTCGCCACCCTCCTGTGCATCATTGCCCTCCTCCATCTCGTCGACGGCCTCCTCACCTGGTGGGGCCGCTACATCAACCTCGACGGCGAGTACGATCTGACTTTGGAACTCATCCTCGGCTACGTCTGCTACCCGATCGCCTTCTTGCTCGGTGTGTCCCGAGAACGCAAGGATCTCCTCCTTGTCGGCCGTCTGATCGGCATCAAGGTCATCGCCAACGAGTTCGTCGCCTTCAACAGCCTGCAGAACGACGTGGCCTACGCCACGCTCTCCTCGCGCTCTCGCCTCATCGCTACGTACGCGGTCTGCGGGTTCGGCAACATCGGCTCGCTCGGCACGCAGATCGGTGTGCTCTCCCAGATCTCCCCCGGCAGGAGTGGTGATGTGTCGAGGCTCGCTGTCAGTGCGTTGATTACCGGTGTCATATCGACCTTGTCGAGCGCGAGCATTGCTGGGCTGCTTGTTACGGACCAGGCTGCGTTCACCAGTGTTCCTAAGAATGAGACGATGACATAGTTATGCGATATCCGAATGATTGAGGAGGCATTTAAAATCCAGATTTAGCGGGTTCTGTAACACATGAGTTAGACTTCATTTACGCTTCTTGTTGTTGCTTGTGGTGATATACTTACTTGTGCGTACTAAGCGCTTGGCTGCGAGTTGAGTTCCAGGCACTCCGCGCGTGTTCTCCGCGCGTGTTCTCAGCGCGCACGACAACGAGGCAAATGCGATCACGGACGATGCAGAACGACAGAAGAGCGAGCAGGCGAGCTCTCTGGGTGTCCAGTTGTCTTTATTCGCGCAGGAGAGCAGCACGCGATTGTCTGTGCATCTCGCGCGTCCGCCACCCTCGCTCACGTCTCCTAATCGGGGTATCTGTAACGTAAGATCTTGGCTCTCTCGCTCTCGTCTCCTATTTTCAAGGCGTCGAGCTGGAGAATGAGGGATTGTGTCCGTTGGTATTAGAGTTGGTGGCTCTGGGTATTGGTCGGCCAGTAGCTACTGTGTCTCGTCACAGATGTCCGCACACTTTTCTACCACCGCTTGTGGTGCCTCATGGTATTTTCTGAACTTCGGTTTAGACGAAAGCCACACCTTTTGGGCGACCAGTAAACTCGTGAGGCCACCCCACGCAGGGACAGAGGAGTGTGCACAGATTGTAAATGCGATTTACTGACCCGGATCTCTGACGATACCGTGAGGCGCCACAAGCGGCGGCAGAAAGGTGTGCGGATATCTATGACCACGCACTGTATGCAGCTGTCGCGTGTCACCACGGGGGACTTGTGGTCGTGTTTTCCCCGAGAGTTTCAGAGCTTTGGGCTGCAGCGCGTTAGGATGCCTGTAGTAGCGCGGTTATGGTAGCTTGGTTATAGTAGCCTGAGAAGGGTTCTCGGGCGCTGTATTGGTTGGTGTTTGTGAGTTCAGCTGGGTTGAGTTTGGATGTTAGTTTTGAGGACGGGTGGATCGGATGATGCAACAGGTGGATGTGGGATAAGGGTGGATTAGGTGACGCGATGACTCGGAGATGGGCCTGGCGGTTCATTCCTTTTGTGAATATCTCTGTCTTTGTATCTTGTACCTACGAGTCAAAACGAGGTCGGGGGTTTGCTGGCTTCCAGGGTGATGTGGGGAATGGAATGGCGGTGACTCGTTCCTGCTACATAGGGGGTTTCTGCTGTATATGTAAGCTCTGAGTGTGAAAATGGGGTTACGTTCAAACTGTTCGAAGAAGTGGAGAGGTTGAGGGTGTGCTGTGGTGACTTTCGTGATTACATGAAGTCGAAGTTTGTTTGTTTGAGGGATTTCTTGGGGCCTTGTAATGTCGACCAGCCAATCGAAGGGGCACAATATGACTATTTCCCGCTTCTTGAATCTCGGCTCCACTCTACGGGCGCTGTGAGACTTCGATCTGTGTGCATTTGGCGGTGTCGGGCGGTCCCAGCTGACGAGCATCGGAAGGGAGCGAGTCGGCGGAACCATCTGGAGCATTCTGACGAATCAGAGAGGCGGGTTTCAAACGTCGAGGGCCCGAGCGCAAAGCTTCCGCTCCACCGTTCTGCTCCAAGCCCAGGTTGTGGCTCTTCACAGGGCGTTCAAGGGCTCGAGCTATACAAACTAATGCCGCCAGTAATCGAGCTATGGGCGTGTAAGTCCTCTTTGAGAAATCTTTGACGAACATGGTCCCCCACATCAATGACTTGCATCGTCTTAGTAGCATATACGGAGGGAGACAATGCAGTTGACACCCACGTCTACTCAAGCGTTACAGGTCGGAGCTGTGGGGGTGGGGCTGTCAATGCCTGTACTGCTTCGACAATGTGAGTGAAAGAGTTTTCAGTCAGTCAGTTTCTTCTCGATGTAACCGACGATATCGGAGCAGACCCTGCCAGCTCTATGCTCCCTCCATACCGTTGAGCACGCTACGGAGTCGAGTGGTGTACATCAGCCGGGTCCAAGGCCGAGTCCACCAGCCAGCCTCGAATTGCTTCTGTGGCTGCTTCTGCAATGAGATTGGCGACCCACCGTACAGCCAGTCATCTGCGAACTGTGCTGAGATTGAGATAAGATTTGTGGCTCTGGACCTTCAGCTTGCTGGAACACCAGGATAGCCCAAGCACCTGCTGGCAGCAATCAGCCCTCACCAAGAGGCGTTGACGCGATGGTGTCGTTCCCAAGCTAAGTTAAGATGTTGGAGAAGGCTGCAGGGCAGCAGGTGCCCAGTCCAGAGCGGGCTGGCGCTATCTCTGCAGTCGTCGACAAGCAAATGGCAGCGAAAAAATTCGCGAAAAGATCCCCCACAAGGCTGCGAGGTTGACAGCATTTGATGTGGCCGCCGAGTGGTTTGCAAGATATGATAAGCTGCATATGGCCAATCACGACGCGCGCAATCAGCTCAAGCGAGGGCACTCGGGCCTCCCCCTACGGCCCGCCAGAGCTTGATGGGACGACTGCAGTTCTCTGCTCCAACCTCATCGCGCCTCGCTTCAGAAGAAGCAGCAAAAGCAAGCTGAGATTCCCACGCCGTGCTGGCATTGCCGCCCTCACCACGCGAGCCGACCAGGGCTGGACCGCATTGGCAGGGCTGTCACGGGCCGGCCGCTGGCCGCGGTGCAGCTCGCAGGGCGCCGAAGGCTTCAATTTTCTCCAGATTTTCCGAGGCAGCGGCCCCAGCGCGGCCCCATCGCGGCCCCATTCGACTGTTTGCAGCGCGGCGATCATGATTCTGGTGCGGTGTCTCGTGACTGGTGCCCGCGTCCATTGGCCCACAAGTGAGGTTTTCCGTTTAGTCACTCTTTGCGCCTTATCAACCCTCCTCGTCAAGCATCCCCGTCCAGCCCCCCTTATCAAGCCGATTTACGTGCAGCTTGCTTCAACCAGCCAGAATCCGCGGATGCACTCGCCAGCACCCATGGCTGAAAGCTCCACGCCACGGGAGGCCCAGCCGCCTTTGTGCCCGCTTTGCCGATTAACGCTCCTCGAATATCACAGCTCCATCACAGAGACACCTCTAGCTTTTCTCTTCTAGCGGCGCTCTAGCCCGGGGACCTTTGCTCAGCGCCCATATTTATATTGAAGCCTGCTGCACCACCTCGAAGTCTGTGTGCGGAGTACTTCCTGGGAGCTGCAACCTTCATCCCAAAGCTTAACCAGATCATCACAGCTATGTCCTTCCAACCTCCTCTCGGACAGGGCGCCGGCTATGGCGTCGTCATCGGCTTGGGCTTTGCCTTTGCGTGCGTGCCCTCCTTGAGCTCGCCAAATATATTTCACGCTGACGTTGAATAGCTTCGGTATGATTGTTACCACTTTTGTGCTAAAGAGGTATGTGGTATCTCTACAAAAGCTCCGCGTGGTTGCATATAGCAGCTACAATCAACCTGCATGGGATCCGTGTCTTCAGCCTCGACTGAGTTTGTAGTCACTTGTGCATTGTCGGATTCTACCTTCAGACCTTAAAAGTGTTGGGTTTGTGGTTGTGGTTGAAACCCCCACGTCGACCTTTAGTCCCATGTCGTTTAGCATCTACCGAACCGTTACTGACATCATATAGGTACAACAATGAACTCCAGACCTCTGAGATGTTCAGTACAGCAGGCCGGACTGTCAAATCTGGTCTTGTTGCTTCCGCCGTCGTGTCTTCCTGGACATGGGCTGCAACATTACTTCAATCCTCTGGTGTCGCGTATCGCTATGGTGTTTCCGGTCCTTTTTGGTACGCTTCGGGTGCCACAGTGCAAATCATTCTCTTCGCTACTATCGCCATTGAGCTCAAGCGCCGAGCTCCCAACGCTCATACATTCCTCGAGGTCATTCGGGCACGTTATGGCGGCGTCACTCACATTGTCTTCATGGTTTTCGGCATCTTCACCAACATCCTGGTCACTTCCATGCTGCTGACCGGTGGTTCTGCCGTCGTGACATCGGTAAGGCTACAATCGGTCAGCCGTAATCAGTACTCAATACTAATGACTTGTAGCTTACCGGAGTGCCAACCGCAGCTGCTTGCTTCCTCCTTCCCATTGGTGTCGTTTTGTACACCATGTTCGGTGGAATCAAGGCCACCTTCCTTACTGATTATGCCCACACCGTCGTCATTCTCGTCATTCTCCTCACCTTTGCGTTCACGGCCTACGCAACTAATGACCAACTGGGCAGTCCAAGCAAAGTCTACGAGCTCGTGGTCGCGGCCGGTAAGGCTCACCCGGTCTCTGGAAACAAAGATGGCAGCTACATGACTATGCGCTCGAAGGAGGGAGCTATCTTCTTCGTCATCAACATTGTTGGCAACTTCGGAACCGTCTTCTGCGACAACGGCTACTACAACAAGGCCATTGCTGCCAGCCCAGTTGATGCCCTTCCAGGTTATATCATGGGCGGCTTGTCTTGGTTCGCCATTCCCTGGCTCGCAGCAACCACTATGGGCCTTGCTGCACTCGCTCTTGAGGGTCACCCGGGTTTCCCCTACGCTGGCCGTATGCTCGATTCCGACGTCTCAGCTGGATTGGTCCTTCCCACCGCTGCTGTCGCTATGATGGGTAAGGGTGGTGCTGTAGCCACTCTGCTTCTTGTTTTCATGGCTGTTACATCTGCCATGTCTGCCGAGCTGATCGCAGTCTCCTCTATCTGGACCTACGATTTCTACCAGACCTACATCAACCCCAAGGCGACTGGAAAGCAGCTCATCTACATGTCCCACAGCATGGTTATTGCCTTTGCCATTGCCATGGCTGCTTGGTCTACTGGACTGCACTACATCGGAATTTCCATGGGATACCTCTACCTGTTGATGGGTGTCATCATCTCTTCTGCGGTGCTTCCAGCCACGCTTACTCTTATGTGGAGCGGTCAGAACTGGGCCGCCGCTACCTTTTCTCCTATTCTTGGATTCGCCTGTGCCCTCATCGCGTGGTTGGTCACTGCTAAGAAGCAGGGTGGTCAGCTCAACGTTGCGACTACTGGTGCCAACAACCCCATGTTGGCCGGCAACGTCGTCGCGCTTCTTTCTCCCCTGATCTTCGTCCCCGTTCTCACCTTCGCGGCTGGTGGTCTCCAGCATTATGATTGGCTCTCAATGAAAGCTATCCGCAAGGGCGACGACCACGATCTTGCGGCCGAGGCGAACATTGACTTGGAGCAGCTTCCCGGAGAACGCAGCAACTCGGTAGTCGAAGAAGAGGCAGAGCAAAGCAAGCTTCTCAAGGCCTCTAAGATCGCCCGCTATTTGACGGTATTCATGACGCTTGCGTTCCTAGTAGTCTGGCCCATGCCAATGTACGGCAGCGGTTACGTCTTCTCTAAGAAATTTTTCACTGGCTGGGTCGTTGTCGGCATCCTCTGGATGTTCTGCTCCGCCTTCTGCGTCGGCCTGTACCCGCTATGGGAGGGCCGCAAGACCAGCGGGCACACCTTCAAGAGCATCTTTTTGGATATCACCGGCAAGAAGAAGTTTGGAAAGAACGTTGTCCATGGCGAGGCTGCTATGGTCGAAGATTCGGGCCCTGGAACGCCGACTGAGAAGGTCGCGGAACTTCCGGGCAAGCAGTAGAGTTTCCTCCATTCTGTCGTTTGATCGGATAAGCCGCGCCTGCGTTGTCCATCTGGGAATGTGTGGCTGTGAGATGCTTTGATCATTTACTGTTATGATACCTATGTACCGTTCGTTACGTATGCAAAGAATGATTTACAGATACCTCTTATAATGCCAGTGACGGGTTTGAAGTCTAAGTAGCTGGCAGGGTGCTTTAATGTTCAGAGGGGAAGCCTCAATGTCTCTTTAGTTCGTTGGGTCCGGCCCGGAACGCACGTGCAAAAGCTTTGACCCAGTGACGTCGGTCGTTTACTCAACTTCACGCTAAGTTTAGCAGACGTGCTATTCTTCCTCGCATATCCGGGAGCCGTGGATCCCCTTTGTATGATTCCAAGAAGCACGATATTGCGTTCCCTTTCCTGTGTCTATATATGTCGTCCTAAACTGTTCTTATGTCCCTCCCAAAACTTTCCAGCCTGTTAAACAGCTACAATGATATTGTTCTCGCATCAATAGAATAACAGCATTTCTGCTGCAAACAGTAGATTCCTTCAAGACGATTTTTTCTTTTCGCATTAGCTGTTGCAACTCGGATATTTCCTATTCAAAATGTCAATTCCCGACCGTATCACCGGGAAAAAGAGTCATGAATCTCAACATCAGCCCCGCAGCATCCCAAATGCGAAAAAGCCGAAATCTCGCCCGCCACAGAGCTTCCGAGATAAAGCTGGATTTCTCCAAAGCAGCTTGCCGAAGTACTCGGGACCGTATAGTGTATGGATCCTATTCGATGCTAGTACTGGGGGGATGCAGAAGCGAAACTAACTTATCTAGGTCGGTATAATGGAACTCGAGATCCCAGCACGACATCCCCAGACCTTCTCCCACATAAAACGCCACGGCCACCACATCCTGAGGCTGGAAACCGTTCTAATCACCATATACTATCCCTCCGCCTTCGGATCCGGCGCCGGCAAAGACCCCTCCGGCAACCGCAAATGGTCGCGGCAGACCTGGCTTCCACGGCCTCGGATTAGGACCGCACAGGGCTACGGCAAGTTCGCAAGCGTGGGGGACATCGCCGTGCCTTTCTTCGCTGCTACGACTATGTTTACGAAGATACCCGCGTTCAGGAATTCGAGACCTGCGACGCACTGGCCGCCGCCTGATAACTTCCGCAGCAGGCATGGTCCCGAGAAGGTCAAAAATAGAGAGGGCCCTCCGCCAGAGGGGAAAGGGGATGAGCCAACTTTCCCTCTTATGTTCTTTAGTCATGGGCTGGGGGGAACGAGGACGATGTATTCGAGCTTGTGTGGTGAAGTACTACGAAACTTCTCTCTATGAAAGCTTTCGTGGATCTAACGATGTACAGTTTGCAAGTTATGGGTTTGTGGTGTGCGCTGTAGAACACCGGGACGGATCGGGTCCAAGGACCTTCGTAAATCATGCAAAAGAGGGAAAGGGGAGTCTCGATGATTTGGAGCAGAATGGGCATATCGATCATTGCGAGAGGCAGAGGAAGAAGGGGTATGACAAAGTCGTGAGTTCTCCATGATATTCCCTGATTTTTGAAACGCCACTGACCATGTTCAGGATTATATCTTCCCTAAGGGTACGATAGCGAACAGATCGCACCTACTCCAGATACTTGTTTCAGCGATGTTGCTAACACCTCATAGGCAATAGATGGGACACCTCGCCCTTAAATGAGAAAGGGCCTGATAAGGAACTCCGCGACGCGCAGACCCAGCTTCGTCTTGCCGAACTCGAAGAAGCATACCACATCCTGTGCCAGATCCGCAACGGCAAGGGCGAAGACGTAGCCCGCAAAAATCTCCGCCGAAAGGGCTACGTTGGGTCCAGCTCTCGAGGTCTCGAAGGCGTCGACTGGGATGCATGGAAAGGCCGCTTCCACACCGAACGTTGCACCGTAGCAGGGCACTCCTTCGGCGCTGCCACAACCATCGAAGTGCTCCGCCACGCGGATAGATTCAAGCACGTAGAACAGGGAATAATCTACGACATATGGGGGTACCACATCCCCCTACTACCCCTCACTCCTTTCCTCCTCCCAGCCTGCCATCTCTAATACATCATTCACCCCAGAGCTGCCATCAACCCGCCCGAAGAGGACCCCTGCCACCGTATCCACACCCCTCTACTCGGCATCAACAGTGAGGCCTTCATGTACTGGCCCTCCAACTTCTCCGCCGTCTCCTCCCTCATCAAGGAGTCCCGCGACCATGGCTCCCCAGCCTGGCTCACCACGGTCCGCGGCACCGTGCACGTCTCGCAGTCCGACTTCTCCATCCTCTACCCCGCCACCTGCTCCATGTTGCTCAAAGCGACGGCGAACCCGAAGCGCGCGCTCGATCTCAACATCTCCGCGAGCTTGGAGTTCCTGAAAGCGGTGATGGGTGAGCAGGGGGGCGGGAAGGCGATTCTAGAGAGGTGCATGCTAGATGAGGGACTGCTTAGGACGGAGGTGACGGAGGAGCTGCCAGAGGAGAGGAGGCCGGATGATAAGTGGGTTGCGGCGCGCTTGAAGATTCCGCATGAGTTTCGGACAAGGCTGGGGGCGAAGTTTGTGAGGAAGGAGAGGAGGAGGAGAGGGAAGGGGAGCGGGGAAGTGGGGGATGAGATTTGGATGCATGTGAGGACGGAGAAGGAAGAGTTTGAGAAGTGGAGGGAACAGAGCAGACATGAGCAGGGTTTGGTCAAGACGGGACTGGGTGGGGATTCGGAGGAGGACGTGGAGCAGGGAACGGTTGGGGTTGAGGATACTAGGAAGAGTGGTGTAGAGAAGCTTTGAAGGGATTGGATTTGTAGCGTGACTGTATGAGGAGCGAGTAATAGCAAGGAGCTCTGGACACGAAAGGTCACAGAATGAAGACAGTATAAGCGGCTAGGAGTAGAGAATGCAACCCGCAAGCTTACACATCTAACGATACATTCGACAGGCATTATATGTACAATCCCCTTCTAATTGGCCATCCGCTGCGTACTCACTAGCGCCTTGCTGGAGCTTGTATTAGTGTCTATCACGTGATTGGTACAATTAAAGACGTCACTTCACTGAATGTAGCTAAGTGTTGCATTTTAGCCTATCAGTCGCTAGTCTATGATGCTTTCAGACAGTGTACATTATATACATAGCAATTGTATCTCATAATCCCACATAAACCTCGTTATACACACGCAACCTCGCACTAGACAGTCTATTTCCTCTCATACCATCTCTACGGCCTCATCAGAAATCCCCCCCAACGTAGACATACAATCCGCTCTATCCTTCCCCACTATGCCCTCAAACGACCAACCACACTCCAAAACAGTCCGCGGCACGCTCTCAAACCCAAAGACCCAAGAAGCCATCAAGGACGCAAAGGCGAATCCAGACTCCGACGCGAACCGCACCTCTCTTGGTGACCTAGGTAGTCTGAAAGTCGAGTCTAGCGACTCGGAACCTGTGCCTGATCGCACGTCGCAGGACGGTGGGACGGTTGGCAGCGAGGGGAAAGACGGAGCTAGGGAAATAAGTGAGGACAGGACGCATGCGCAGAGTGTGAGAGGGAGTAAATTATAGAAGGCCTAATTGATAGAGAGGATGGATGGGCCCTCTCATTGAGACTAGAGGATGAAAAGGAAGACGGTGTGGTCGCATCAGAGAACATAGAGCTAGTGCAAGTTTTGAGATGTTCAAGATCAATATATACTTACAACGAATGCCATATGGCGTGTAATCCGAACCGCCTATCCGTGCCTACGTCTCTTCTTTTGATGACTTCTATATAGAGATGACTGAATCTGATAGTTCCTACCAACCCTACTCACCTACTCCTCGAACTTCCCCCCTTTGCTAACATCCGGATAGACATCAAACCGCCTCTGATCCCTCAGCGGGATCCCACTCCTCACCTCCTCCACCCTCTCCCCCTTCAGTTCCGCATACACAATCCCCTCCTTCTCATCCAACTGCTCCAGCACCGCCGCATTCGGATCCACCACCATACTATGCCCCCACGCATTATACTCCGCGCTCATATCCCTCGCCGGGCTGCACAGCCCCACATACACCTGATTATCCGTCGCCCTCGCCCTCGCCAACAACTCCCAATGCAGCGCGCCCGTCGTCAAATTAAACGCGCCAGGATACAGCAGCAGAAACGCGCCCTTGCGCGCCGCAATCGTCGCCAGCTCCGGGAAGCGGACATCGTAGCAGATCGCAACCGCAACCTTGCCGTATTCCGGCAGGTCGACGACCGTGATCTTGTTCCCGGGGCTCAGCACCTCGCTCTCCTTGAACTTGATCTTGCCCGGGATGTCGATGTCGAAGAGGTGCACCTTGCGATGCGTCGCCAGCAGCTCGCCCTGTGGCGAGAACGTCAGGCTGGTGTTGTACAGGCTCTTTCCGCTGTTGTCGCTGGGCGGCCCGCGCTCCGGGATGCTGCCGCCGACGAGGTACACGCCGCCCTCTTTCGCCATGGCGCTCAGCGCGTGGAAGGAGGGCGATTGCGCCTCCGAGGGCGGCGACGGGAGCAGGGTCTCCGAGTACTGCGCGAAGTACTTCGTGCCGTAGGGCGAGTTGAAGCATTCGGGGAGGACGACGAGGTGTGCGCCGGCGCGGGCGGCTTCGAGGACTTTAGTGCGCGCGTGCGCGAGGTTGTGCGCTTTGTCGGCTGTCGAAGCCAATTGGATGAGCGCGAGCTTGAGAGGTTGCTTGAGGAGCTTCGCCATGGTGAGATATGCGATGGTAGAAGCGTTGAAGTGTGGTTGTTGACTGACTGGTTGGCGGGGGAGTGGGGGTATAACAGTTCGAGAGCTTCGGCGTCATTTGTCCGATGGCGAGCGCCGGGTTTAAAGTCCCATCACTTTCAGGGGTTGTTAGACTGGAGCCCGTGACTTGGATATCTTTTTGCATTCATCGTTGTCATGACGTAGTTACCATGTCGTATCTATCAAGCTACCTTGGTTGTCATTCTCCCATACGTTTCGTAGGTCACGAGACTCCCTCGCTGAATGTAAGCCTGATACCCACATGCCGATACTCCCAGAAGATGCCCTTTTCACCTCGAATTCAAGTCCGATATAAGGAAAAAAGAGCCGTTTCCACAAACACTGGACGCCAACGCTTAAGCAATCAACAATCGTAACAGTCGTTCCTAGGAGAGTTCCTGTAAACAGACCAACCTCGCATTGCGGTGAGATTAGTACTGTTTTCCATCAGTCATACTGATATCAATTAATTCAGCTCCATTCCTTCGTCTTCTTCTTCACCGTCGCCCTCCCCGTCATCTTCACCACCGCCCAAGACTCCCGCACTCCCGATGCTTCTTTTTCTGCCATCTCTTCCAGAACCCCCCACCCCGAAACGTCCGCCTCCGAGACCGCCGAATATCTCGAGTTCGTCTCCACCAACGACTCTGCCCTCGATATCGACCTCTTCGCAGATTTCAATAATGCTCCCACGGCTCAAGCTCTTGAAACCTGCTGTCCGCACAACTCTCCCCCAATGCAGCATGCAGAAAGCACCGGCACGACGTTTCAGCCATTCCTCGTTGGCTGTACCAGCACGCTCCCAAATAATGGCTGCATGTTCAACATCGAGTTCCTTCCATAAGCGGTTTACACACAGGAGGCGGAGGCGCGGCATATCGTAGATATTGGCCATGACCAGCATGCCAGCAACATCGGAAAGCGAAGGGCCGTGCGGTGGATAATTTGCGATGCTATCTGTGTACAGATAGTAGAGGAAAGAGCGGACAGCCGAGTACGGTTCTGGAATGTGCATCTTCTTGGTGTGATACTCCAGCATCTGTGCAGACAACAGACGCGCGAAGTGGGGCCATCGCGCTTGTAGAATGAGCTTGTGAACGTGAATCGGAGGCGAGGTATTGGCGGAGGTTCCCGATACACCACTCTCGGTCATAGTCATAGAGGAGTCGTCGGCTCCGTCATAGTCGTCATCGCGGTCTGCAGTGATGGTGAAATCAGCACCGCTTCCATCTTCGGGACGTTGGTCGAAGGTCTTGGCGAGATCGGCACCAATTCCGGACAGATAGGAAGAGATGTTGGCGTCCGACGACGGAATTTTAGTCTTCGATCGGGACTCGTTAGTCAAGGAATTGCCCAAAAGACCTAATTTACGGAGGTCAATTGGCAATACGTCGCTCAGATACTCTCCAGTCGCATCGCCAGCGTTGTTGGTTGGCTCATTCGGACAACCAAGTAGCCAGGCCTGTGTTCCGTCCTCGTTCATCGCGCAGTAATGCCAACGGTATCCGGGGTTGAAAAGGTCCTTGCCATCGGCCAGCTTCTGCCATTGTAGGGTATCCAGATCCAGAGCGGAGAGGCTCGTTTCGAAAGACGAGATGATGCTTGCTGGCGTAACAAAGTCCAGCAGGCACCCTGAAGAATAGACATGGAAATGTGTCCCCAGCGCCTGGGTTGGAAGATTTGGACTGGAATGGAACTTCAGGGAGGATATCGAGCCTGGAGCTACGGGGGGATTCCGATTGGCGGAGAGCTGGCTGGGATTGCTCTGTACACTGCTGGAGTTGGCAACGTATCCAGTCGTGCCTGTCTGAGGAGGATTGCTGTTGGTGAAAGGGTACCCTCTCTGGTATCTAGAGGCTGTCAAGTGGCGTTCTCCAGATCCATATGTCATGGGGGCCTCAAAGGCGGGGCTGCCGCGTATATCCAGCCACCAGATCTCGCTCATTCGTTCCATGTCCTCCCCAAGACCTCCAAATATCCAGATACGGCCGTTCCAGATCCAGCTCGTGTGGTCGTAACGTGGTACGAATCTCCAGGTGCGTGACCAGGTCCAGGTTTTCAGATCGAGATAGCATATGTCGTCAAGGACATAGCTTTCATGTCCAGTCATACCACCACAGATATAAAGCTTCTCGTCATGGATGACGGCGGAATGTCGAGCTCGGCCTCTAGGAGCGGGTCCATTGAGCTCGGGCTGGGTCCAGTGAGCAGTCTTGAGGTCAAAGATGATCACGTCGGAGAGATAGGCACGATGTTCATTTTCTCCGCCGTATACGAGCAATTTATCTCCCTGCCAGAGGTTTGCCGTGTGACCTGCCGCTGTGTGTCAACCAATTGAAAAGTGAAAGTGTGAAACTAGTAGCACTCACCCATCCGGACCCCAGGAATATCCCCGTAGTTGTCGACGAGATTCCACTGCTTTGAGGCAAGATTCAATCTCAGTACATGATTGTATACTGCACGTGTTAGTCCGCATTCATCTAGTTTCTGGGTACAAGAAGCACATACCTTCGTCGGTGTACTGGTCAAATCCACCGAAGGCATATATCTGGTCATTTCCCACGTAGGTGACGGAGGCATTGACGAGACAGGCAGGCTTGGCACCGATGGTGGAGATGATCTTGGGGCGGTAGCTGTCGGTGGCAGCCTTCCGGGTACGCATCGGACTGGCAGACATCAGGAAGGTGGTGTTGTTGGCGGACGATGCGGGCGTAGAGACGGGAGCGGTGGAGGAGGTAGTAGTGTCTGCGAAGAGGGTGGAAGGCTGGTAGACCTGATGGGCCATTGAGTGACTTCAGACTAGACAAAGAGGTGCAGGAGAGCGAGCAAGGGCCATCAAGGGCCGTAAGACTGAGTGACGCACGCAGCGTAGTAAAAGGGCCTGCGCGTTTCGTCTGGAGAGAAAACGAGGCGGCAAGGCGGGCGGGCAGTGAGGCTACGAATTGAAGGAGCGGCTGCAGATTCACCGCCCCCAGCGCTGCGATGATGCCGACGTGAGCGGAGCGGGCTTGGCGTTTCGGCTGCCGGGCTCGGGATCCCGGTGGCGCAATCTGCGAACCTGGGAAGTGGAGAGCGACTTCTGCGCACGGGCCGCGCCTTCCATCACCACGGCGACGGCAGGCGTAAACAGAAGCTACAAAAGGCCGCCTGCTGCGCTGCCAGCTCTTGCTCCTCACCATCCGCCTTCCTCACCACCTACCACACACCCCTTCAATTGCATTCAACCCAATCACTACTCTGTACAAAGTTCTTACTTTGCATCAGTTACGCCATTGTCTAATACTAATAATACCCAAACCCAGCAGTATACACTAAAAAAATCATACTGTAGGTCCCACATGCATATGCGCTCCGGGCATTGGCTAACAAGGCACTAGTAGGAGTGGAGCAGCGATGGCCAGCCCAGCAGTTTGCACGCCAGTGAGGAACTCTCACAAGAGTGCCTTCAACCTCCGTACCGCCGGCGGTCGGATGCCACTGACACCCTCTCCCCGTACGCCAACCCGCCAGCTCTCTGATGTGCCCGGAGCACAGCAGGAGTCCATCCATGGCACCAACAACTTCATGTCACGCCTTGCCGGCCGGTCAGTCTCCAAGACCTCAGTCCGTGACTCGCCCAAGTCAAACATTGCTCGGTCCAACAACTCCCCTCGGCGACTCGAGCTTGGCGTATCAGACTGGGCCTTGACCGGCACTGGCAACACGACATCGACAAAGCAGACACCTTTGAAGTCGCGAAAGGACGGTGTCATTCGCCCCCGTGTTGGCAAGTCGAGGATCACATACAATGCCGCCGACCGGTTCATCCCCAACCGGACTGCTAGCGACGCCATCTGCAACGTTGGCGGCAAGCTTGACCTCGAAAATCGACCCAAGTCAAGCAAAGGCGAGGGCTCGGCGATTCTTGCTACCGCTGCGAGCGCCTTTGACCTCGGCGGACGAGGATCCGAAGACGATGTCACCCTTTCCCTCGAAGGCCTGTGTCTGGATGACGAGGACGACGGCGAGATTTACACTAAGCCGTCGCCAAATGCAGTTGCATACCAATCATCACTAGCCTCAGCATGTGGTGTGTCCCTCAACACTCGCATACTTGCATTCAAGCCTGCTCCTCCCGAGTCATCGAAGCCCATTGACCTCCGATCGCAATACAACCGACCCCTCAAGCCAGCTGGAGGTATCTCAGCGCAGTTCCGTCGCCGTGTGCCTTCAGCACCGGAGCGTGTTCTCGATGCACCAGGTCTTGTTGACGACTACTACCTCAACCTCCTAGACTGGTCTTCCGGCAACCAGGTCGCCATTGGCCTCGAGCGTTCAGTTTATATCTGGTCTGCCGAGTCTGGCAATGTCTCATCACTTCTTGAGGTTCCCACCGACACCTATGTCTCCTCGGTGAAGTGGTCCGGTGATGGTGCTTACGTCGGTGTCGGACTTGGCACGGGTGAGGTCCAGATCTGGGACGTTGAAGAAGGCACCAAGCTGCGAAGCATGTTCGGCCACGAGACTCGCGTTGGTGTTATGGGATGGAACAAGCACATCCTCTCCACCGGTGCCCGCTCCGGTCTTGTATACAACCACGACGTCCGCATTGCTCAGCACAAGGTCGCCGAGCTCGTCTCTCACACTGGTGAGGTCTGTGGTCTGGAATGGCGCGCCGATGGCGCACAGTTGGCTACTGGCGCCAACGACAACCTCGTCTCCATCTGGGATGCCCGTAGCCTCCAGGCCCCGAAGTTCACCAAGACAAACCACCGTGCTGCCGTCAAGGCCTTGGCATGGTGCCCATGGCAATCCAACCTCCTGGCCACTGGTGGTGGAAGCCACGACCGTCACATCCATTTCTGGAACTCCACTACTGGCGCTCGTACCAACAGTATCGACACTGGATCGCAAGTCACTAGCCTGAGGTGGAGCACCGGCTACAAGGAGATCGTCAGCAGCTCCGGCTTCCCGGACAACAGCCTCAGCATCTGGAGCTACCCTACCCTTGTCAAGAATGTCGAGATCCCAGCCCACGAGTCCCGTGTTTTGCACAGCTGCTTGAGCCCAGACGGACAGATGCTTGCGACTGCGGCTGCGGACGAGTCTCTCAAGTTCTGGAAGTTGTTCGAGAAGAAGGCGGGCGCAGGAGGCGCATCGAGGGAGAGCAGTGCCACTGTCAAGGCGAGCGTCGTCAAGCAGATGACGATTCGTTAAGTTTGATGGCCTGATAGCGGAAGAGAGTCAATGGGGGTTTGAGTTTAGCAGTTGCTTGGAAGGAGAGTTGGTTGGGGTGGTGTGAGAGCTTTGGTCTTGCAATAATATGTCAAGGTGCTTCAGCGATTGCGCAGGAGAGGGAGAGATGGTAGAAGGAGAACTTGGAACGACGAAATGCTGGCGCAAAGCAGCAAACACCGACATTATGCGCAATGGTAAGTTGGTAAGTATCCATCTCGTTTGGGTAATGTGGTTCATCGGTTAACGACATGATATCACGACAAACGAAGGTTCTTGGACTTGGTCTGGCTGGGACTACGGGGGCTGGGGTTCACTGGCATTTTCGATTGGCGTCTCGGAGGGAGAATCTTCTCTGCTTAATCTTCGAGCGCGGGTTGAAGTGGATTCTAGTTCTTTCAACTTCATATTTCTTTCTCAGTCGACTGCATACGTTAGAGATGGCTCAAGGGTTTTCTTATCTGCAAAATATACCACTGGTCAAACGATAAAATCAGTCTGCATGGTGTGTTTCAACACCCCAATCTGCACGCTGTCCGACCCCCTCTGCTCACGTAACCCGGCGCCGCTGTGGCTGAGTTCGGCTCAGGCCCGGCTCAGCTTCGGCTCAGCTTCGGCTCAGCTTCGGTTCAGGTCTCCTCAGGTCTCCTCAGGTCTGCTCACTCTTGCTCACCCCTACTCACTTGCTGCGGCGCAGTCTCAGATATACCTCACCAGAAACTGCCAAGTATTAGCGAAGGGCCTGAAAGCTGTCCCGGGTCATAAATTAGGGCCCTATACAGTTTTGTGAGCCTTAAAGCTCAAGCTACTTTGTAGGGAGCATTCTCCGCCCTTATCCTTATTGGCGTAGAGTGTGCCATTTGTTATAAAACCAAACAATATGTAAGGCGCGATTCCGCACCTCCCAGTGTATAGCCATGCTTGAGCCCTGCGTCAGGCCTGCTTGCACGCATGCGTGCCGCAGGCCTATCACGTGCCCGGAGCTCCGGGGCCTAAATACCCCGAGCCTGGCGCGTGCCAAGGCCCACGGCGTACTCGAAATCCTCTGCCCTCCGGAGCTTCTTCAAGGATTCGTCTGAATTCTGTCCATCCGATATTATCAATTCCATCCGAAAGCTCCCTGCCGTGCACTCCCTCCTTACAGCAACTTGCTGCAATATTCCATAACACTACCTTTGCAGGCTTCACGGCCTAAGCCATGACATATAGCGCTTAATAAAGTTGCGTGCCCATTTTTTAGGATTGATAGATAGAAGATTTCTGCCCTTTTGAAAAGAGGCTTCTTGTTGTTGTGGGGTGGCCGTTGAGGTTGTAGTTGTACAACGCGTCGCGCGTTTCGCGATTTTGATGAGGCGGGCCACAGGCTTGCCCGGGCCATAGGCTTGCCGACACGTTATGGTCCTCGGGGAATTTCAAGTTCAGGATCAATCAACCGAACCAGCCGAAGATCAACCATCTCCGAGATCGAGAAGTCGCGTTGAATGCCAGGTCTCTACCCGTGGCTTTCGCGTAGTGCAAGTTTCTCGTTCCTCGAAATTTGCCCCACTTCCACCTAACTAGTTAGGTGGCCGCCATCTCAGTGCACCGGCCACCTCAACGAATCATGATAATATACATTCACTATTCTACAGCCCTCCTAGGCCCCCTAGGCACTACAATCCCGTGCGCCTTGTTGTATTCACGTACAGCCTTCCGAGC